AGTTGATATGCCAAGAGTCCGAATTTTCAATTGGACAATCTCCGCGGGGATGCATAGCAAGGTGGCATGATCCTTTTTCGCCCTCCAGGGCTAATGTGGGCCGTCCGATTTGGTACTCGTGCAGATGAATTTTTTTGTTTAAATTCTTCATACTGGATTTCAACCGAACCTAGGGACGGAGTACGGAGTACAGAGTACGAACTATACTGACCCTTAGGAATAATGATGGACGATCTTATTCAGTACCCCTCAATATTAGATCGGCATAGAATATCCCCCCCCCCTCTTTAACCGCTAAACGCGAAGAAAGAGGAGAGATCGTCGAGATCGTCAAGATCATCGGGTCTAACCTGACTAGTGGGAATGTAGCACGATCATTCGCTGCCAGTATTTGTGTTCACGAGATCTGATCTGGGATCGGGAACATGAGATCGAGTTGTAGAAAAAATAATAATAATACATAATTCAATAATAATTGTATAAAAATTTGAGTCTTACATGTAATTGAGTAGGTACGGAGGACTTCCGTACCCAGCAATAACAATATGATATGACTCCCGGGATTCGCACGGTATCAAAAAACAATTCCAAACCCCTACAAGTGACCGTTACAGACCGCCACATTCCGTAGTGATGCGCGGATAAAGTCCGCGTATCAAGATTTGTCATTGAAGTGCTCAAGTGCTCAGTTGAAGGTCCACTTCGCAGGGAACCCCTGTTCGGAGGGATCGATTCATCGGACTGCAAGTGGTATTTGGCCCGACGCCATTCCGGTGGGCTGGAGAGTTTGTATAGCGCCCTGGGGCACTGACATGATGTGGAGATTTGTCACGCTTGGTAGTTGCTCTTTGGTTCTTAGTATTTGGTCGTAAGATCAGAATAGTACGGGGCTGTAACGATCGAGATGACGGGTGACGGAGTACTTGTACCAAGGTAATCCGTACAAACGGAGAGGGCCTAGCAGGGATGGAGGAATTTCATGGATCAAGATCAGATCCCACGTTCCCCCATCCCTGTGGAGATCGTTTACGGAGTCCTCCGTACTCCGTACCCTCATTTCTATTCCTGTAATTGGCCCCATTGAGATTATCATACAAGTACAATGCACAGTCCTAGTAATGCATCAATAATTGTCTGCACATACAGTCCTTATCAGACTCAGCATTTGGAATATTTCTTCGCTCTCGCTCACGGTAGGACCTACGAGTACTCCGCATTCCACAGTCGACAACATCCATGATGGCGAATTGAATTACGTTGCCGTGCGGCGTACTCCGTTCTCCATACCTCCTGACCGCTGGTCAGTCTACGAGTAGTATCACATCAATCAAATCTCCAATCCAGGTGCGATTTCGACCACGGAGTTTACTTCCACTATCGAACATGCTTGTAGTAGTCCCATTCCGAGATCCGAACGCTCCAGGTAGGGGTATATCCAGTTCCGTATGCAGGCGGCCTTCCGCAGACATCAAACCCTAGCTTACTGGGGCCAAATTGGTAGATCGTAAGCTTGAATCCGTGGTCGAATACCTAGTTCTCTGCCCAAGTGGCGATTGGCTAGGATCTCGTCCACCGATCGCATCGGCAAAATCAAAAAGCAAACATTCAACCGTGTCATTTCGATATGTACTCCGTACTTACCCAACCCTCATTACTCCGTAGATCACAAAGTATCTATACTCCATGCATATGGGGCAACCCCACAATCAAGAAACAGTCTGTGCGGGTGTGCCGCGATCTTCAAGTTGCATCTATCAAGCAATAAACCTCGTATGTCATCGTTGCGATCGCCCATCTGTGCCGTGTGGCACACAAACCTTGATTCGGCCCGATATGAACTCTATCTCCTCAAGGTCTCAGATACAGTTGCATTCAATAGCGTGATCACCTGCGGTTCGTCCGTTGTGGAGGCTTAGCGGACGTGCTTTCATGTACAAATACACAGTGCAATGTGCGTATATCTCACTGGTCCACGCAATAGATATTCCAGGCACCCAGGCACCTCACCCCAAACCAAATCGGTGCAAATGGGCAGTTCCCGAGTGGAGCTCAAGGTTTTTTTTGGGTTGGAACTTTGGTTCGTATGTGACCGTTTGTGGTAAAAGGTGACTATACTATGGAGCATACGAGTAGAGCATATTGCTGAGGCGCTGGTGGATTTAGCGGAGAATAGCGAGGCAGAAACGTACGTGCATCTGATGTACATATTGCATTTAATATCTATCCTCAATCTTTTTTTTTTCTTCTTTTTTTTCTCAATGAAAACTGACATTGCATACTAAACTGCAGCGGATCTATCCGAAATAATTTCAACACTAATATGTACGAAGTAACGAGTCCGATTTACAAAACAACCCAAAGATTCCAGGATTCCGAACCAAACTATTTGCTGAAAACCTAATCGAGTCTTGGAACCACAGATCGTTTATCCGTACCGTGATTGGGTGGGGTTGAATTCGCTTATAATTCACCCTGATTGTTTCCCAACAACTCGGTTCGGGGAGGACCAATTTCTAGCGGCGGCTGAGAGGGTCTTTCCACATTCAGATCGAAATCGGATATCAGACATTACTCGTAGAAGGATTTGGGACAAAAGCCGATCGGTTCTTGGTGGAGGATTTGTGGGCATCGAGCTACCGTCTTGTTGGGACGCTATTGATTTGATCGTTCCTTTTTAGTTCCCTTTGCGTCGCAGGCTGCCACGTTCTGGGGCTTTGTTTTTATTCTTTATGTTTACTCGTACATGGATGCACTTGGCCGAATACCTAGTTTGGTACAGAGTACGGAGTACGGTAGCATGGAGTATTTGGTATCAGCTAACTAACTTTCTTCAGGCTTAACTGTCAACCCATATCGTATCGACTCTAGGCTATACGAAGCACGAGCCCGATTTATAGACCAAGTACGCCGTACTCCCTAGCCCGTAATCTGTATAGATTCAATAATTAGACACCCAAGATCTAGCGCGCTGCACCTGCCCGGAACCCCAGATTGAGCCGAGATCTTCCGAGAGAAATGGCATGCAGCGAAGATGCATGGTAGCCCTGCTGTACGAGCACTTCGTTTTCCGTACGGATGGCTCGGGATTTGAAAAGAAGTCGGATTGGGAAAAATTACCACACCTGCATGTAAGCACCCGCAGAATTCTAAATTTCGATCTCATCCCGATCTCGACGATGCACTGCAGGAGATCCTTACTCGATGTATACATCCCCCTCCTGGGGTCTGCAATCTAAGATTGGCTCTCAGACATGCGCCATTGCTCCAAGTGTGGCGGTGTGAGCCCTTCCAAGGTTGTCTTCACCGTACAACATCATAGCACATGAGCAGTCGTATGTATAGCGATTTGTCAGTGCCTGGGATATCTGATTAGAGGCAGGTTGCAGGTGGCATTGGATTGGACACGTCACAGCAGACCCCTTCTCCTAGTTCTTTCATTTTTGAGTACTCTGTGACCCCCGTAAGAGAAGTATGCGTATCCCCCCTGTACTTCAATGTTGTATACAGGAAAATACCAATACGTTTCGAACGGGAATCCCCCCCCCCCCCCCCCCAAGTCCATATTCTTTCTTTGAATGTGGGGCCCGATGCATGGTGTGAGTAGTTCGGTCCATCGTTGCTTTGGCTGACCCGCGCGATAAGCGCCAGGGTGGAAACCAAATCGAGATCCCGGGAACATGTTCGGTGCATATGGGCGGACATCGTAGCCGTGACTCCACAATGAGTATCCATTTCTGCATGTCTCACTGCGGTTCCGTTGAGGGGCCATGAGGCTGATGGTACATCTGAGAAAAGCGGCACAAACACGAGACGTTATTGTATCTTTGGAACCATGGTTCTAGGATACAAGCAGCGAATATCATTTTGCGCCGATCTATGAAGTTTCCTTGTCCCGGGTCTTCATCGAGATCTTCTGACCCACAACTCGATCTTACGAGTAGCAACACCCGTGGATAACATTCAAATCGGTAATCGACTCGGTACTTAAAGTGCTGTGGAGTAGCTATTGCCATGTGTTCGGGTGCTTTATTTTCAATGGTTTACGTCACTCCGAGCTGGAAAAATTGAGGTCCACTTGAGTACGAGTACAAGTAGAGCGTAATTGTCCACTATATTGCGCATGTCTCAATTTGTTATGTGCTCGGATGGCACAGAGATCTCAAATAGATTGGACCCGATTTCTAAGGTCTAATTTGTCTTTCGGCTCCGATTCTAAAGTTCTTTCTACTTTGGAGATAACTCGGCCGTAAGGAATCGGATCCGACGGATCCGACCTTAATCTATCAAAGTGACGAGTGATTTGTTTGCAGTTGACCCTCCTACCTACTCGTAGGTACTTTGCAGAGAGGCGCTATCACGGAGTATGCCGAGCCAAGCTAAGTCCGCTCTTTACCTGAAGCACCACCCGGATAAATCGGAGGCTTAATAGCTGCCAAGTGATATACTACAGACAACCTCCAAGCTATGAGACAACCTTTAACTAATTCTAGAACATGACCCCACCTTTTCATTGTTCTCCAAATAAGTCCATTTTTTGGGACGGTTCCCCACGGTTCTCTTTACGAATATCTCGGATTCTTACCTGGAAGAAAAAAAAAAAGAATGAGTCCAACAAGACATGATGTCAATGTGGTAACGTTTCGACCACGTCCCAAGGTCTACATAACGGTTTTTCTGTAGTATGTCGAGTATGTGATAATCGTTGAGGCTCGCAATCCAAATCACTTGCAGTCACTGTTCCTCTATAGACCTAGCATGCAATAATGACAAGACATCAAAAATACGTGCACTTTATATCGTCTGCTATTCTTCTCGTACTGTGAGATAGCCTGGACTTACTGCATGAACTGATTCATTTAGAGTGCTCGGTCTCAATTGATAATACACGCAATGATTTGATACAGATGGATCAGCGGGAACTATCAACTTCATGCGGTGGAGGCCGCAGTAATTATCGTATTTGCAGACAGCTAAAAGCGAAAGTAAAATCCATCTCGGTGCTATCGCCAGAATGACTGCGCAACCGAGTTAATGTAGTCAATTCCCTCCTTGCGCCATGTATCAGCCTCCATATGGCTGGTGGTATTAGCATCGAACAATAAATCCGTCGGCTTGTCATTGGAATAAGAATCCCAAGAGACAGTCTTATTCAAAGTACCCGGGTTTGGATCTAGGTCATGGATGAAAGATGCCCACATGTTCGTCATCATGGCACTGAGATCAATGTATGACTGTGGAACTCCCGCAAATGGCTTTCCATAATGGTATCCTTGTCCGATGAGGTTGTGGAATACAAATGCCACCTCTTCGAAGTGAGTTGCACCGGATACAAGTGGTACGTCTGCCGAGTGCACGTTGAATCGGTAGCAGTATGCTGGGGTTGATGTCTCGGCCCATGCTTCACATTGTCGGCGGCGAAGGGCATGCATTTTGTGATCGCCTGCAAAGGCTGAAGTGCGACGCCATTGATAGCCCTTTGATGGCACGCGTTGATCTCCCAGATACTCTGGGATCCCTTGGGATGGGTCATCGGGGTAGAGTTCGAGGATGCGCTTGGCCACGGAAGTAGGTGTTTGAAAGCCGAAATCGCCATCTGGGAAATTTAGCCGTGTCAAAATAGACCGAGCTTTGGGTACACACCTGTCAAATATTCGTACCACTGGTCCGTCGTATTGATTCCTGTCGGACCAAATGCCGTTCCTTCATCTGTATTGGTACCAGCGATGATCGGGACTTTAACAAACGCATGCTCATCAAGTTGAATGCTACCCCAGTTCTGGATGAAGTCACCATCAACAATGGGCCAGAAGTTATAACCGGATGGAGCATCTGTGCCGTTCAACGCAGAGTTAAGCTTCTCGTAAGGCACCTCGCGAAGACACTGCAGGGAATCAACCACGTCCAAACAGCCTACCTTGGAGGCCAGTTCGTCGTAGTCTGATTGGGTGGATGAGTAGTTTCCCGGCTGGGCGGCGATGGATCCCCCAGACTGCATGATACCGGCTCGGAACAGTTTGTCATCTCGTCCACCGTATGCTGTGAGATGATAGCCCACAGACATGGCACCGGCCGATTCTCCCCAGATGGTGACTTTATCTGGATCACCACCAAAGGCAGCGATGTTTTCTCGGATCCATTGAAGGGCCAGTCTCTGGTCTCTCAATCCAAGATTAGTGTTTCCACTCCCATAGAGTTGGCTCGAACTGAGGAAGCCCCAAGCCGACAATCTGTAGTTGATGGTCACAGCAATAAACGGCTTATCTAGGCCCAGTTAGACGAAATCAATACAGTATCTCGATATCCAAACGTACCAATTTTATAAGAGTTTGACACAATCTCAGACATGTTATAGCGCTGATCAGCCCCGGAGCCCTGGTAGAAGCCTCCTCCATGGATCCATACACCCACGGGAAGCTTGGAATCACTGTTGGCGGACGAGCTCCGGACAACGTTTAGTGTAAGACAAGCCTCAGACCGGGGGTACCAGATCGAGTCGGTCTATCTCCTCATTAGAGTGTGAGCTTCAAAGTCAGAGGATTACTCACTCCATATCCCACACAGATATCAGAATATTCCTTTGCATCTCGCGCATCATCCCAGCTCGTGTTGAGGGACTGCGGTACCCTGAATCGTAGATTTCCCACGGGCTGTTGAGCATAGGGAATGCCTAGGAACAGGTCCTGATCGTAGGTTGAAACGTGAGCCCCCGTATAAGTTCCATTCTGTACTGTCACAGTAGGAGACCTAGTAGTAGGGGCGGCAGAGACTGCAGCGCCTAGCAAAAAGCCGGTCACAATTCCGAGCATGATGGCACAAGTCGAGCAAAGACAAATCTATGGCTGCCCATCGTCAATCAACCCTCCCCCGGATTGATGCGGCATTTATAGTAACTCCTTCCTTCACCCTGCCGTGGTCGGCATGGCCGGGGTGAAGACTTGCGGGGATTTCGGCAGAGATGTGGAGGTCTCCCCGCGGGGGAATTTGGCCGGGGAGTGACCGAGGCCTAGCCTAAATTGTCCAAGATGACAATATGATGAGGGGGAGGTTGGATGACGACCGTTGATCTGCACTCCATTGGGACAAATCGGCGTGAATCTCACCCGTTTCATCCTCTCCTTCGAAAACTTAATGGGAGGATTGCCTGTTCCATAGTACATAGACCGAGGTTTAACCGGATTTTTGTCTCAAATAGATTCTCTTGGCCTTTAACGGCAAATCAATGTCGTCTTAACTCCGGCCTTGGTCTGACCAACAGGCAATTGTGAACCTGTGGGTGCCAGGCATAAATTGTGCAGCACTGGGGTGAGGGAGCACCAATGGATCTGGCAGAGTCCAGTCAATTCACCCTGATCTGAAGGCTTAACGCAATAGTAACACAAGTCTCCCAGCTCCGTTTCAGCCGGCACCAAAGGTTTCGAGCATCGGATGTAAAGCTCTTACCAAACAGTGCGATATGTGGCACACGGGCACTTCTTCTTGTACTACGGTCAGCAAGATCGCAGAATCCCTAATGAAACAAGATTAGATGCAACATGCCGATACATTGCAACGGTGACACTCATGGCTTGAATAAAGTCCGGCGAGGTACCTGCACATGTGCAAAGTTGGAAGATATTGGTAGAAGACCATCCTCGATGGCTTCTCTTCAAGGATTGTATGTTGCAACAAGATGCGCTGGTCATCACCTCACACAGAGACTGCGAGTCTTGCATCTGATGAACCGGCTGCCATCATCTCAGCCACGCAAGGTTTCCTCACAGCATTGAGCACTAAGTCCCGTATCGACTTTGAGAAACACTGCGTCCGAGCTGGAGGGATGTCCCTCTCGCCCCCGCCACCCACTGCCCTCCGTTTCTGCACAATCGGCTCATTTGTCGAACACATCTCTACGCTCAAGGATGCCATCGATGAGCGAATATGGGATCCCGAGGTGAAGGTACACGAGGCTGGGAATTTGGCTGCAGTGTGGGCGCCTTTTCGGGCAAAGATCAACGGTGTGGTCGACCATGTCGGCGTTGAGCTTTTCGTCCTGCATAAGATTGATGGTCGATGGAAGGTTACGGGGTTGGCAGATTCGTGTCGACTACCGACTGTGGAGGAAATGCTCTTGGAATGAGGGCCCCTTGGGAGAGCCTTGAAAGGAAACGTCAAGGTCAACACAAAAAAATGAGAAAATTGACATTTGAGACGCTGTGACATTGCCACCGACTGTTATGAGTATATGCAAATTATTCCATGATCTCCCTGTACATGATCACCCTGGATCTCTATCAGTTTGTCCACGATCTACTTCCGGCCTCGAAGAAGTTCCCACCCGACCGATCCATTTTTGCCCTCCTTGATAGTCATTTCCTCAACGGCCTTAACCAAGTCGTATGTGATCTCCTCGGATACAACACTGTCCTGCTTATAGCTAGGATGCTTCGCCACAAATTCACGCATCCATCGAGCGCCGGTCCAGAGAGTTCCGTTGGCTCGCTTCCGGATCAGGTCAAGATAACTGGCCAAGAAACACCTTGTCTCAACATCTACGTTGACGCTGTTGAGGTATGATTCCACAAGGGGAATCAGACCCGGGAACGATCCATCCGCACATCCATTGACAATGTCGTCAATGGTCATCAGATCGAACTCTGTTTCCACCGGTCCCAGAGGTGGTGACGGGGGAGGGGTGTTGACGGCCGATGAGGTTCCCGAAGAGAGGGTGCTGCCGTTGGTCGATTGCTGCGCGCTTCTGGGGACTATGCTGGCGAATGGGTCCTTGCGGAACCAGAATCGGCGATCATTTACAGCATCACGTGCATGTGCCGTTTCCATGTTCTCCGTGGTGCGTTGAATCGGAATGTAGAAGTTGAGATCGAAACTCAGGATAGCACGTGTGATCAGTACAATGAAAATGCTGAATGCTGCGTTCTCGAAGTCCGTGATCTGGATTTCCATGGAGCGGAACTCGACTCTCCAGCCAATGTCGTCCTTGTCAGGTGGAGGTGGCTTGAAGCGCATATGCTGCCAATTAGTAGATTGTAAATTCTCAAAGTGATCACTCTTATTGAGATCTAGCTCCTCGAGGTCCTCGGAGAAGATCACCAATGGGTCACGAATGAACAGATGTGCGAAGTGGGTGGCTAGGAGATCATCCATTCCCCCGTCCATGAGGCGTTTCTTGATACTCTCATCGACGACTAGATCGGGATCAAAGTACTCTTTTCGAAGACGAGGATCCTGAGAGATATAGGTCGAGTTTGAGGCGTATCGAGACTTGGGGATTCTCCATCGGTCGTTTTGGAGGGGCTGTGATACATTAGTTCGGCTATCTGAGAAGCGAGACTCGCATGTACTCACAGCTTCGCCCAGCTCTTCCCGGGTCCGATCATCCACTGCATTTCCAATTTGGTTCCATCGCACATCTGTGTCCACCAAGAAACCCTTATAGATGGGCGTGGCAGCAGTTAAAGCCAAAAGGATGGGGCCCAGTGGACTCAATTGGTCATAGAGCCTCCTGCCCTCTGTCATATTCTTTGCTTGGAAAGTGATTTGTAAACAACAACTACCCATTCCAAATGCCATAGCGTCCATGTAAACATGGTCATCCTTGGCAGCGCCATTACGAACATCGTCGTCCTCAGGCCAGTTGTGGAGGTCGTAGTTCACAGTTGGATCCTTGAAAGGTCGAGGGGTGTTTGTGTCATGGAAAACAGGGACATTAAGTTCGACTTTACGCCCTCTCCGTGATCGAATGTTGGCTGCCAACGTGGGGAATCGGATGTGGGGGTTAGCAATCTCATCGGGAACAAATTGAGAGCGAAGAGCTGGTCCAGATGGAGGGTAGTATGGCTGTATGTAATCATCCTTAGTCCCCAGGCGGGGGAAGGTCGTCAAGGTAATGGGAACTTCGTTCGGAGCCATGTGCGCCTTTGCTACTTCGCGTCTGGGAAGCTATCAGCTTAGTTCTTGTGGGGCCATGTGAGTTCAAAGTAACTCACCTCCACTTCATATTTGACTCCACCTTCAGCAGGTCTTTGAACCCAATTCCCCACGGCTGTCCCGGCGTTGCCTCCAGCATGAAGCGGCCAAATTCGGGATGGAAATGAGGTGGTTCCTCTCCGTCGCTGAGAAGGTGTCAGACCTTTTGACTTGGTCATTCGTAGCCAATCCAACTCACTGATCCGCGTGCTTCTTATTGTCCCCAGATCCGGACTTCCACAATGCTTCGTCTCTTGCTAGCGATTTCAGGATCTCGGCCTGAGCGAGAGATAGACGAGACTTCTTTGCCGCATCGTCGAGGGCTACCACGAGGTATTCAACCTACACCATGTCTCTGTGTTAGCAATTAAGGATCCGGTAATATTGTGCGGACAAAAGCAACATACCTCGTCGCCCCATAGCAGCGCATCACGCTCTTTACCTCGAGCCTTGCGCCAATTGGCAAGCAATTGCTGAAGGCGTCGCGAGTCAGCATTTCTGGTACTGCAAAGGTGTTGAAACAAATCAGATATGACTGTATACCTCGATACCCCACTCGCGGACCTGGCCCGCCTTCTGCTTGGCGTCGGGCCATTCCAGCGCTGTTCCAAGGGCTCTGTGTGCTTAGATTAGATGACATGTAACAGACAGTGGTCCAGGGTTGACATACAAGAGTCCCATGTTGCAGTTGTAAGATCAAACGCCGCAATCACCGAAGTCTTTGCGGAGCTCTGGGTATGGGTAGAAGGTCAGGGCAAAACGGATGCAAGATGTCGAATGCTAGAATTCCCAAAGCCGATCAAGATGCGAGTCGCATAGTCCCTCCTTCGGACTGATTCTTTGTAGTTCTGGGCTCACATGGGGAGGGGTTTTTTTTCCCCGGCCCTTTTGCGGCGGGACCGGCGATAAGAGCGGCACCGGACCGCGAGATCGAATTATTAATCAAAGTGGGACAATGGATTACCAATCAGTTGGCGGGGATTTACGATGTATATAACAATGTTCATGAAGATATTTGAGGGTGATATAATGGTGGTTGTAAGTCCGAAGGTCGAATACTTCGACCTGATCTCGAAGTATAGAAACTGGATGGTGACATTAAGCCTGGTACTTGCGTCTTCGGCATCATAACACCATGTACTATGATAGGCCCGAGCACAGAGGAACCAAAGTACAAACAAAAGGTACACTAATAAAAAGCTGGCAAAGACGAAGATCCAAGGCGCAATATGTACCTGGATTTGCTTGGATCCACCGAGAAGAGCCAATAGACATCCTAGCATATAGATACCGAAGCATAGTATGTGTTGATTTCCATTGAATATTGCCCACTTCATACCCTCTGGTGGCACTGAGTATTTTCTAAAGTTCCATGGAGCTGCCGTTGGGTTTCTTTGGGTCAAAGAGTGAGAACCTTGGAACTATATCGTATCTAAGTCAAAAGAATCGCAGACATTCAAATTTAGGTAGTTGCCTATGCACGCTGGGCCCGAGCAACAAACACAGTCTTGGAAAAAGATCGCTCCTCCATGTTGAACGTAAGAGGCTCAGGTAAGACCTCGTATTTAAATCCAGTGAGCCCAGCCTCTTCAAAGAGCCCCTGCATGTCCTCACAAGAGAACCCATGCGTCTTGATGGTGTGAGCCGCCTGGGCAAACTCATGCTTGTGTTTCTCGTGTTCATGGCCATGAGCATCGGCATGTGCCACGAGATCTATAATATAGCACACTCCGCCCTTGTTTAAGCGCTCTGTCAGGCGCTTAATAGCAGTGTCTGGATGTTCAAAATGGTGGAGAGCCATGCTGACGGTCACCATGTCCAGATTGGCACACGCAGACTCAATCTCCTGGGCGGGAGCGTTCTCTGCAAGCAAATCTGCTTTGTAGCCAACCACTTTGTTTGCCAGACCAAGAGAGCTAGCATTTTGATTGAATTCAGCAATCATGTTGTCCGAAACATCGATTCCAATGATTTGCGTGACAAACGGGGCCAGGCTCTGTCATTTTCATGCCTGGTTAGCCTGGAACGACTACAAACCGAAATATGAAACAGAGGGTAGTATGATACTAACCATGGAGACAACCCCAGGCCCACATGCATACTCAAGCATTTTGACTTCTTTGTTCTTTCCGGCTTCTGTATCAGTCCATCGTTCACTGATCCAGTTTCGATGCTGCACGGTCTGTGATGCCAACATTCTCGATGCATCTGCAAAACGGCCCTTGTAGGTAGCAGCAAGGTTACTGCAGAAGAAAAGAATCTTTTGTCAATGTACTGAGAGGGTACTTGCAATTCGGGTGGCTCACTCAAAGTATTTCCGGTTGGCTTCGGTAAAGTCCGACATGGCGATAGCTGTGATGGGTCTTGGTAGCTGGACTGTTGTGGAAGTTGAATTTATGATTGAGGCAGTAAAAGAGGAAGTTGGAGAGTCAAAGTTCAAGGAAGAGCACAATAGAGGACTGTTTTGACCTCAAACTTCAGGAGACTTATATAGTAGGGGAACCTCGGAGACATGTAGCCCCCACCATTTTAGAAAGTCTCCGCTACCAATGAAAGTCAGTCCCAAGGTTATAACCTGAGACTCATACTAAGAGCTAATGGTCTAATCCTTTTGCGGCTTCAGAGCTTGTTGTAATCCAAACTTCAACATGGGATCGAATGTCTCTGGCATGTGATTCAGGCCTAGGAGGCAATTCCCAGAAAGCTCTGTACTTCATGATGGCCACTGAATGTAGGTAATGATAGGTGGCTATTTAAGCATTTACCGTGGTATTTAACTACCAAGGTATCTGCATGGCTAGTCAGTACGTTTGTACCAAAAGGTGAGCAATTCAACATAGACGGATAGGTAGCACCATGAAGTATGAAGGCGTCACTGCGGCCCTTGCAACAAATACGCAACAACGTGGCAGACTTAAGTCACAGGTAATGGGCGCTTGATCTAGTAATTTATCATCAAAAACAGAAGCCCTGATCTATGGCAACCTCTTTGACCTTTGAAGTATCATCTGGGCACCAAGGTACTTCCTACTGTACGGAGTATGCCCGAAGGTCTGACGAGGGTGGGAACACCTCGGTTGTATAAGTTGTTATCGCACACTGATTTTTGATCTAAGATTTTAAAGCTCTTGAAGCCTAAATGGGAATCTATCACATTGGAAAGCCCAGAAGGAGCAAATCAAATCAGATGGCCCCCACCAAATCTACTGCTTTGACAAGGATAGTGTGCCAGAGCGTGGCATCCAATAACCACCGAAGACCAGCTGTTGAATTTTGGCTTGCTTGCACGAAAGAGCAAGGTTCAAACGTAGGACCCAGGTGGACATAGTCTATGTGAACTAGGTGTATGCAACGTGCAACACGCTACACGCATGTATATGTCAACCAAAGCGATGCCCGCAACTCTTGCTCCAGCACATGTCACACGTTCAGCATATTGAATGTCGATCTATCAATGTCCATTGGTCGATTGGGGTCTGGGGAATCGAGTGGTCGGTTTCAACATGAAAGAGTCCCAACGCCAAAAGGCAATCCATAAGCAGTTTCGGTGTATCTCTTATTTACATTTCCTGCTGCTCCTTCAGCAGCACCGATCTTCAAGATTTCGACGATTTAGTTGCTCCTGGCACCATCCTTGGCAGCACGCAGCTCATCCATCTTGGCCACACGCTTCTTGAACTCCTCGTACTGGCATTTCTCATAAGAGTGTCGCTCGTCCTATGTGCGCAGACAGCCGAGTTAGCTGACGATTGTTCCAATTGGTCACAGAAGGCGTCTTGGTCGAAGCCGGTTCCGCTGCGGCTTTCAAAACGAGGGGATTCCATACCTCACACTTCCAAGGAAGGTAGTACTCTGCTTGCCGGCATCGGTTCAACGGGATCAGCAGGTGTGCGCATGAATCTCTGTATTGCATGGGAAGACGAGCTTCAGACATCTCTTGGCGAGTTGCTAAGTCTGGTCAGTTTGCCTGTCGAGCTTTCGATTGTTGATCAATGGCCTCGGATTCTTACCGGAGTTCTCCGAGAGGCCAACGGCGCTCTTGACCGACTCGATGACAGTCATTTTGCTGAGTATTTGAGGGTGGAAAGGCAAAGAGCGGGGAGTGGAAGGCGGACGCGACGTTGGCCATTCCCGATCGTGAGGTTCCTGCAATGACCGATACCAGTCACATGACCAAAACTAGCACGTGACCATACCCACCCAAACGGGACTAGTGTCATATTTCCACTTTACGCGTCTGCAGCGCGTATCCAGATGCCACTCAAGCTCCACCAATTCTGTGACTTTGCATTCGTCCTTGAAGCATTCTAATTTTCGTGAAATGGATCGAGTCTGACGCATTCCTAGAACAATCAATCTGCTGATCATTAAGGGGTGACATCTTCGGCGACAACGTGCGCCCTATCATAATTCCTCGGCAACCTGCTCAATCGCGGCGCTCACGGCGACGCACATGATGGCGGGGATGGAGAACATCTACTCTGCCACCTACAGCAGTGTAAGTCTCATATCAGTCCCGTATCTTATCGTCTTCATTCGGGATTCACTCTCGGACGTTTGACCGCAACGGAAACTAACGGACACTCAACTCAGAACCCAGTCTACGAGCTCAAAATCGACGGCGATAGTGTGATGAGACGGCGAGCAGATGATTGGGTCAATGCAACACATATCCTTAAAGCTGCCGGATTTGATAAGCCTGCGAGAACCCGTATCCTTGAGCGAGAGGTCCAAAAGGGCGTGCATGAGAAAGTACAAGGTGGATATGGCAAATACCAGGGTAAGTCTTGAGGTGCAAAATCGGATAACTACAGAACTGATGCAATGTCTCCTAGGGACTTGGATACCTCTCTCGGAGGGTCGACAGCTCGCCGAGCGCAACAAGGTCCTCGCCAAACTACTCCCAATTTTCGATTACACTGCTGGAGACCGCAGCCCGCCCCCAGCGCCAAAGCACACTTCAGCTGCATCCAAGCCCAGGGCCCCGAGGAAATCGGCCGCCGCCAACCGTGCTGCCGCGGCCGCGGCCGCGGCGGCAGCAGAGAGTCTGAAAGTTGTTCAACCTCCACGCAGCATGGGTCCTCCAACCATTCCCCAAGACCATTATGAAATGAACGCAGGGTTTGATGACAATGAGTCCATTGGACATAATACCATCGAGTCTTCTTCAATGATTGCAGATGAAGACATGCTTCAGATGTCACACGGCGGTCGCAAGCGAAAGCGTGGAGTGGATGAGGCAACTGCTATGTCAATCGCCGAACAGGAGCATATCATCTATGGTGATCAGCTCTTAGACTATTTCATGACCGTGGGTGATGCCCCAGAGGCAACTCGCATTTCTCCTCCTGTCCCTCCCAGCCAGTTCCAAGTTGACCGAGCTATTGATGATTCTGGAAACACTGCCCTTCACTGGGCCTGTGCAATGGGTGACCTGGGCATTGTGCACAGCCTTATCAGCAAAGGAGCCAATGTCAAGGCACTTTCAGAGCACGAAGAGACCCCGCTTGTCCGAGCTGTCCTATTCACCAATAATTATGAAAAGAGAACGTTTCCGACACTGTTGGATATGCTCCTCGACACCGTATCATTCCGGGATTGGTTCGGCGCCACCATCTTTCACCATATTGCGGAGAATACTCGAAGCAAAGGGAAGTGGAAAAGCTCACGTTACTATTGCGAAATCCTCCTTGATAAATTATGCAAAACCTGCTCGCAGGACGAGATAGCCATCTTGCTGTCATGTCAAGATCAAAACGGAGATACTGCCGCCCTTGTTGCAGCACGAAATGGCGCATTCCGTTTGGTTAATATCCTTCTCCTCCACTGCCACCGCGCAGGAGATCTTATGAACAACAAAGGCGAGACCGCTGCCAACATTACACAACGCGCCCACCACCCCGACCATGACATCCCGCCAGCTCCATCTTCAGTTACTATGGCCAATGAGCATGGTGATGGTGATGTGGGTGGCCTTGCGACTGCGGACCAACATCCTGCTCCTTCGGTTACAGAGGTCCCCGCAACCACCGAGCTTCTCTCTAAGATCGGCACCATCATGTCCGATGCAAACAAGAAGCTCGCGGTGACATACGGCAACTCAAAGGATAATCAGCAAGACTCCAACGATGTTGCCAATCCCGAGACTTTACACGAGCAACTCGAGTCTGACCGACAGAAGATCCAGGCACAACTTGTCAAGCTGAATGCCAAAGAGGCTGAGTATGAGCGTACTGGTGACCAAGTTGGTCGGTGTGAAAGCTTGCGGACCACCTACGAGTCCCTCCTTGAGCAACTCCAATACAGCCGCTTGGCCCAGCAGCTTGCAATCACGGAGGTTCCCAAGCCAACGCCGGCCTCCCTCGAACAAGATCAGTTAATTGCGCGGTACCAACTTGCCCAGGAGCTCAGTTCTGCGCAGAAAATACGGCGCAATGCCGTCAAAGACCTATCTCAACAAACAGCCGACGCGGGTGTTAGCACCAAGTTTGATGTTCATCGTAAGCTGGTGGCGATGGCGACTGGGCTCAAAGAAGAGGACCTGGACCCGATGGCCGCCGAGCTGGCCGAAACCCTGGAGTTTGACCGGATGAATGGTAAAGGTAGCACCCCTGAGCTTGGGCATCGGCGGCTTCCTTCTCAAAATGACACGGATACCCTCCCTGGACCTGGGGTTTCTGTGAACACTTGAATTTTCCCAGGTCGCACTTGTTTGATTAGTTCTTAATGACTCCTTGACGTTTCCTCTCCTCTGGCATTGTCGACGCCAGCAGATACCCCGCATGGTTTTTCACTGTCGCTTTCATTGTCTTCCTTCTTTTCTCCCAATTTCCTTCGCACGCTCGCACATCAGCAATGCCATTATATGTTTTCTTTTTCCTTTGTTCTAATTCATGGTGAAATGTGATGGCAGAAAGGCCCACTCGTGGCCTGGGTTGGCTCGCGCGAACAACCAGGCCTGTACAGATTATCGAGTCTTGTATACAAGGATAGCATTTTTGGTTTGAGATTTTTTGAAAGTGAGACATATGTATGTGTACGGTATGGAGTACATTTGTGGGAATCATCCATGATTGAATGATATGGAGTTGACTGGATCTTCATCGTAGATCATAATCACACTAGCGCCGACCAACGGCCATAATTCGACACGGACCGCGATTGCACTGAACCGTTCCATGGTCTGTGCGAATCTGTTCTGCATCGAGTAAATTACTACGGGAGTACGGGGAACTCCGGGTTCTTTGTGCTTTGTGTATATACTTGGGTACTCCGAACGGAAATAAGAAAGGAAACAATTTCAGCTTTTGCCAGCTGGAGTCATGAGCTAATTTCATGATATACCCAGTCCGAGTACAAAGGTACCTAGGATGGGAGGCAAGTCCAGACATAATCATTGGCTGACGTTGACAGCTTGGCATCAGCAGCGAGCGGCTCCAGGGGCATTGTCAGGCGCGGAGGGCGGCCACGTCGCGCCGCTAGTGACCAGCAGCCAATGAACCGGAAGAAGATGTGATGGGGAATCACTTCACATCCGAATATCCTGCTTATTGGCTCAGAGGGCGAGCCAGTCAGATCCCCTCAAGGGCGTGTGCTCGTTAAATCTTTAGGCAGATCAGGCAGACTTCCGCCACAGTAGACTGTACTCCGTAGAGGGGTACAATTAAGAGCAGGGCCTCGGTTTCAACAATCGTACATCTCAAGTTAGGAAAAACGAAAAGAGTCACCAAAAAGGTGAAGTTGAAAGCCATTGTGCCTGGAAACGCTAGCGCCTTTTGGGAACTGCCTGCCTGAGGCGCCAGATCCCCACATCACCATCCTCAATAATCATCTCTCTTCTCTTCTCTCAACATCTAATCTTCGCTTCGTTCTTTCTTTCCCCCCTCTGCATTCCTTCTTTCTCGGCAGCTCTTCTCGTTTGGGTGAATCAAAAAGCCTTTATCAGCAAAGTCCCCTCCGATACCTTCGCCCCTGAGGGAAGAAAAAAAATATCGCCTTGGGCCGAGACCCGAATTCCCTTCGATTCTGCATGACCTTGACGAGGTCTTCCCTTCTGGTGTACTGAGCTTGGATTGGTCCTGTTTTTTTGGCTGTGACCTTTGATTGTTAGGTCTCGACTCTTCCAATCTTCGATCTTCGATCTTCGACTGCGCGTCAACGACTCTCTTTTTCTTTTCGGTTGGGGTTTGCAGAGCATTCCCCCAAACATTTCTATCTTCCATTGGTCCTGCTTTGCGCCTGACTTATTATTCATCTTATCTCTCTAATTGTTCTCACTCCTCCAAGTCAATCACCTCGTGTTTGACCTCGAGAGACGTGTGGTGTCCAACTCTTCAACCTCAAAACAGTCACTGTACAGCCTGGTCATATTGGCCTCAGCTCTTTCCCTTGCCGGCCACTCGTTCGCTTTGCTTGCATTTCACTCGTGATCGGTACGCGTTTTCGTTATCACTTCTTGGATCTTACTGACTCGCCTCTTGGATTCAGAAAGCCCAGCGCTGCCTCACTTTTCTTTTCCAGTCCTTGAACCTCGACTCTGCAGACTTCTTTCGGCGCTTGTTCTTGCATAAAAATCATAATCAATTAATCGCAGGGAAGTGAGTTCAGTTTTGTGGTTGACCCCAAACGCTCACATCGGACCCGGCTGTCATAAAACGCGACTGTTTCAACTTGCATTCTGTTGCACATACCTACAACCCGACTCACACGAAAACGAGCATGGACACTGGTGGTCTTGCTCAAATGACTTACAACTCTTCCTTCAATAATGGCGGCTCCCTGGGCGTTCCCGGGTCTGGCTTCGCTTCACGCGGCAAAGGCTCTCATATCAAGCGCCTGAGTGTTCCTCCTCAAGTCGCCACCATCGACGAGTCCCAGGCATCGGCCTCGATCTCAACCCCGCGCACCAGTCGCTCTCACCTCTTGGCTGGATTGCGCACTGCCCCCAAATCTGCGACGATCCCTTCTCACCATCAACAGCGAAGCGGCATCGAAGGTTCCCGGTTTCCCAGCTTCCCGAACCGAGGAGCTGATCGGGTTCCACAAACTGCGACTGGAGCTGGATTCCCGCAGCAGCCGTACGCGCACAATCAGAACATGAATACGCACCACAACTCCCAACAAGGCTCGCACAATAACCGCATGTCCTATACCATGCCGGAACAGGTACTCGCGCCCCCGATGCTAGAAATGGCTGGTGGCGATATTCCTCTCGACGAGAGCATGTATGCAGAGCTGATGTCAACCAACTTGTTCCTGGCTGCGCAGCAACAGCGCTTACAGCAGCAACTGATCAGTGTCACTGCGGCAGCTCAACAATTCCAGAACCTCAATTTGGGATTGTCTCTTCAGCAGCAGCAGCAACTACACCACCAGCAGCACCTGCCTTCCATGTCTGATGCCAATCTCGGTTTCTATCAGCAACAGCTTCAGCAGGGTGTTCAACCTATTGTGCAACCTGTTCCTGGACAGCCTGGAATGTACTGTGTATTCAACCCTCTCACTGGCCAGCAAAGTTTCGTCATGGACAACAACTCCCAGGAGGATGCTCCTCCCCAGTCTCACCATGATTCTCAATCCTATTACGGCCGGCAGGTACCCCAGTTCCGTGCTGAAATATCTCCTCCCGCCGATTCTGCGCAGTCTCCTATGCAGTTCCCACAGTCGGTTGCCCGCCCCACTGGCAGCCCCTCTCCGCCCCACGAGTCATCCGTCAATGCCCTTCGCCGAGGTCATCGCAAGAACCCTTCGTTCAACCCAGGAATCAAGACAAACATTGACACTACCAAGGCCAACATAGTCCCTGGTCCTCGGTCCGCTGCCCTTCCACCAACTCCGGCCACTGGAACATTTGGTCCTGGTCAAGGTCGTGCTGGTGAGCACCCGGTGCGCCAACCTCGCGGGCCTCCCTCGCTTGAGGATCTTGTGGCCAAGCCAACATCGAAACACGAGGGCAGCAAGAACTTTGCGACTCGTCAACGACGTCGCGCTGTTCATAATTTGGTTCGTGCAGGCATCGAGCGCCGTGGTGATACGCGCAGTTTTGGATATCAAAGTAGCGGGGGTACCAACACCCCTGCAAGTGAGAAGGAATTTACCTTCTCTGATGGAGATGATGCCACTGTTCGTAGCGGGGGCAGCCTCTCCAGCAAGCCCAGCCTCGGGAGCCTACGGGCTGTGGCTAACGGTGCCATTGGCTCCGAGAGGAAGGAGAAGTCTGGCAGGGATCGCAATTCCCCGGACAGTCCTTTCCACAGCGCTACCCCGACTAGTGAGGATGGCTACTTTGGATCTAAGTTTGTGGATGTTCGAGGGGACTATGTTCCCTCGCCTAGTGCCAGTGGTACCTCGTCGCCCTCAGTGGCTGCTGTTGTTGCTGGCCAGGGGCCGACAGCCCAAGCACCAGAGCGGCGCAAGACGCCTATGCTGGTGCTGTCCAGTGCTGAAAAGCGCAAGACCCCTTTCATGTAATACCGAACATCATGTGACAGCGACGTATGACCTTTTTTATTCTTATTATGTTTCTTGTTTCTTTCTCTCTCAATCCGGTTGGCTTCCATTCTTATCTGCTCTGTTCTTGACCAAGGATGCTTATGAGCCCTACCTTTTCGCCACTCCTTTACTTATCATTACTCTATCGCTTGCATTTGCCAGGCTCTTATGGTTTCTGCGATGAAGGACCTTGATTGGTCCGCAATGACTTATTTCTTACTTTTCTTTTCTTCCCCCTCTTCCATATTTCCTTCCAATATGTTCCACTTACCTTTTTCCTGGCCGTCTCACAGCCATGGCTAGGCAAACTTGGATCTAAATCACAGGACTCCGGAAGAGAAAGAACGGGCTCGACATCATGAGCCTCCTTTTTCACCCATTTCGCTCCCTTCTTTCGGCTTCTAGTGTACATCTGGCTATGTACAAACCACTCTCCCCGGACTAGTTGTGACCGACTCAACTCCGGCTCCAAGGTTATCACATGTTTTTGCTGCAATTGTCCAATTCTATGTTTGGTATATCTTAGTATTTGGCTGTGTTGATCATAGCCACTGACAATTGAAGCACATAAGTCGCTACTTAAGTATTTGGCTCAGAACTTCAGCCTGATAACCCACCCATTATATTAAAATCCTTTCGTTGATTCTTTGACATTGTAGACTGCGGTAGCTGACTTGGTTCCAAAGTTTTGGTTTGCCCTTGGGAATATCATTACTGTTTGGTGTGATGATCGCATGGTACAGGACCATTCGTCAGTGCTCAAGTGCAAGTGGTTAAAACCTCCGTCTCACCTTTGAAGAAATATTGGAAGAAGTAGCATAATTTGAGAAAAGCATGTCGGATGGACTATGCCTGTTTGGCGAGAGCTGGAAGTAATATCACCAACCATGGTACTATCGCTACCTTAAACCCTCTCAAGTTAAATGCGAACCCTAACCCGATCGATGTAGTATCCAAACCTGTATATAAACAACCATGCTTCTATATCTCAAGCTGGGTCTTCCCTTCTTTAAGATGGGACGGTGCCCGTGGACGCTCAAGGACAATCCATGTAAGTAAGGACGTGGACACACCCAACTTTAGAAGCACAGTTTCGTAACTCGAAGTAGGTCTACAGGTGCTTCTCGCATATCTCTTACTTGAGTAGGCCAAATTAAACCCATTCCTTTTGTTCCAACTTTAGAAGCAACTCATTATTACACCAACAGCTCATATGTATTCTGTAACTTTACAAAACTTTAGAAGCCCTGCCTTGTGTATATGTGCACTTACCCGAAGATCGGACTGCCGGAACACACCCAGGCATATGCATCCGGAACAGTATCAATGCCAGCTCTTAGAATCCAAGCTTAGATATTAGCCCCTGCGTCCGTGCAGGTTACACCATTATATTCGGTACGGCTGGTCGGGGGAGAAAGCTGTGCGACTGAGGGTGAAGAGAAAGGGTGGGACAGATGGCTGCACGGTCGCATTGTTGCATGAAGAGGCACCGAGTAGATGGAGGTAGATATGATGCAAGTTTGCCAGATTTGTACAATTCCGGATGTATGAAATGGAATTTTAACTTCAACTTTAGCTTCAAAGATCGAATGTAGGAAAGGTCATGTCGAGGAACGTCGGGATAATCGAATAATCGACTCGAGCTCCACCTGGCCAGATCTCAAAGGGCTGAAGCAGCGTTCCCAAGGTGCGCCTTATGGAAAGTTGTGATTAGTCGCCACATTTGGTCACAAAGCCAGCTATAGGTATGGAGTAGGTATCTTCCCCTGGTGGCTGACTCAAGCCAGGGCTCAAAACCAGTCAGCAGCCACACCAGTAAGCTTAAAAGCTTGAGACGTCGCCAAGAGGTCTTGTGAATGACACGGGAGTGGGTGTCAGTCTTTTTATCTTGCCTATACAAGCATCCCGCAGGTCTATGTGATACGATGACGAGACAGGAGCTCATAGCCCTGGAGTTGAAATGACGACTGACATCATCAAAGGGGATGCTTCAAGCCCATTCAGGAGTGCATGTGTTGTGGCCACAATTTCCCTTGTAAAAATTTGCAAGACATTGGTCCCAAAATAGCTGGCATGGTCAGTGCAAACAGGCAACTTCCCCGGATATTGGTGCAACGTCTTCAATATTCATCATGACGTGGTACTAATATGTACAAAGCCGTGACAGACCAGAAACCTCCAACAGCCTCTCCGAGTCTAGACGCCGGGTCGGAGCTTGAAAGTCGGCGGGATGTTGGCCCGCAGTATGGGTGATTTTCTTGCCCCAGAGGAGATTTTAGACTGAAAAGGAGATAGCAATTTCGGCCATAGAATAGCCCCCGAAGGTGTGATAGGTATCTTCCTCGCGTCGCAAGAATTGCTTTGCGTGGACATTGCAGTATGCAGGTGGATAAGAGGATAGATAAATTGGCATCTTGTTTCCACTGGCTGAATCAATCAGGAACTGGTGATAAGGAGGTATTTTGCAGGTATCTTGCATGCATGACGGACATGTTTCGCCTGTCGGATGATTTTCCATGATGTTTTAAGGCACACAAGGGATGGGATAGGTTAGTTCGATATCACATACAGATCGGACTGCACGATCTAGTGGAAATAGAAGGCGCAAAAAAAGGGAAATTCAAATTCAATAGCCCCGTCACGTCTGAGTCAAGCCTTTGAAACCACACTGCACTAAAAAAAAAAGGTTGCTCCACTGATCTACTTGCACCTCCGATCGCGAAGATCCCTTCTACTTGTACGAGTAAGCCACGCATTCGATACTATGTACGAGTACTCCGTACTTCCAACTCGATATGGCCATGAGATGATATATGACTCTATGGAATTGTGGTACCTTACGGGCTTGTGGAACCCCTGGTCTCTTCCACAATGAGCTCGGTCCCTCCGTTTCCCCCCGTTGGGTGTCTCTCTGTTCGGTCTATGGTCGAGATTCGGTAATAGACAGTGACAATAGACGATCCAGAACCATGGCTGTGTTGTAAATCAATCCCCTTCCAAGGTTTCTAACGAAGAAAATTGGGTCTGATGGAGCCCATATGCGGATCTCTCACGATATACTCACTCCAAGGGCGTTCCCCGTATCTAATGTATTCTGAACCATTCCGAACACCAGTTCCCTGAAATCCCTCGATTCACCACCCTCTCCTATTTGCATCTGATTGACGATCGTGGCAAAAAGTTTGAGAAAAACTTGGCATAGATGTAGCCACTCTCTGGAGCTGCGGCTACACGGTCATGGCCCAAAGAAAGTCTCCCAAATCTAGTTCTGTTGGGCTGCTGATCTTATTACTTCATTATATACAATTATAATTATTATTATTTTTTATATGGCCCGTGTGCTGCCCAGTGGATTGATATCCTATTTCATCCCTGTGTCTAGCCGTCAATGTCCTCGTAATGAAAGGAGCTCTACATCCAAGCTTCGTCTGTAGTCTTCGGATTGCCTTGCCTGAGTGGTTTCCCTCCCCCTTCCCCCGACGTTGCAGGTGTACTTATTTTCCGATACAATATAATACTGCCTCTTATTATGTACTCGTGACATGATTTCGAATTTGAGCAGTACATCCTCCGAGCCGAACTCCGTTCTAACCTTGGAACGGGGCTAAAAGCAGCTGTATAGGTTCGTCTCTGCTCCTTTTGGTTGTGTTAGCACGTTTGTCCAATTCTTGGATTTTCTTGCGCATGGCTTCGGCCTAATATGTTTTAGCTTATCGTCTGTCGATCTTGTGATCCCCGAGAAGTGCTCTCCATGTTCACATAGCTGACAGTTGCTGGGTTACAGTTCACCACATGAACCGCACCACCCGAATTTCCCGTTGAGCTCGGTCACTAAAGAGGTCTGTGAGCTCTAGATTATCAAGTAACAGAAGTCCATTTTGGGAGAATATTACCAAAAATTACACTGAAATGGCGGGGGGCTATTTTGACCTTCCGACCTCCCGCCCTAACGCACCTGATACAGAGTCAAGGATATCAGGGCTGTGTTCTACGCCACTGTCTGATAACTCTCAACAATCAATGTCGCGGGAGCGAAAGTTGAGTAGAGCACAGGGCAGGCGTCGGAATGCAAGCATTCTGAAAAGCACGAGCCATGCTCAGACTGCCCAGTCCAACGTCAACGAAGCTGGCGGGTCCCAGGTCGAATCCCGGTTGGATCGAAGGGGGAAGCTGCCGCAAAGACCATCTCCCACTGTCAACATTCCAGGTATCCAGGGAAAAGGCTCCTCAAGCTGCCCAGTGGCACCCCTACTGAATGGAGACCACACTAGTGCATCAGTGGATGTCACCAACCTGACGATCATCCCCCGACCCAGCCTACCGGACACTTTAGGGGAGCATGGGATCCAGAATACAAATGTCAAGGGGCGAGCCATCTGCTTCGCACATCAAAGGGTCCACAGATTTGCATCCCTTCTCAATTGCTCACAAAAATCTCCGAAGTCAAGCTCCCTAGCGTCATCACTTGCCACCACTCCCACCCAAGTGGTATATCCGACAGGAGATGGGGATAAATTGCCAGTGATCAGCTTTCCCAAAACACAACAACCATTCGAAGACTCACTAGATGAACATGAAACGGACTTCATAGACGGGCGATCAACACCGCACTCCCCTGAAGCCCAATATTTAGAGCAACAAATGTCCCCTCGAGACCTGAACTTTCTGAGCCGTCTTCGTCCTCCATCATCTGGTCTGGGCTCTGGGCACATCGAGCTCTGTGAGGATAGGGACTCTTACGAATCCGCTGAACGGCCTTCGCACTACCGCGGAGGCGTTCTCTCATCTATACTGAAGCTATATGACCAACCCCACCACAAAGCTCCTCGGGATACCCATCAAAGTCAATCACAAGACAGGGGACGCTATGGACGCTCTCGACATGGGAGTCTCTCCGAGTGGAGTGGCCGTGGACTGTCCCCGGACTCCATCTGGAAACCAAACAGGAGATGGTATGACAAGTCATCTACCCGTTCCAGTATCTCCTTGGCCGGATCTTCATACAACTCCAGCTCCCCTTTGGCGACTCTCACGCGGTCCCGGAGTAGCGGAGCCGCTGTCCCAGGCTTAGGTGGTAGCCCCCGGGGCAAGCCTCAATACGATGACGAAGTCCATATCACTGTGCATATTGCGGAGCTTCTATGCCGCCAACGGTATCTGATCCGGCTTTGTCGGGCTTTGATGAAGTTTGGAGCCCCAACCCATCGGCTGGAGGAATACATGCGCATGACTGCGCGTGTAATCCAGATCGACGGCCAATTCTTGTACATACCTGGCTGTATGATCATCTCCTTTGACGATGCATCCACCCACACCACCGAGGTCAAGGTCGTTCGTTCAACCCAAGGTATCGATTTGGGTAAGCTGGCCGATGTCCACGAGATCTACAAGGAGGTGATACATGACGTTATTGGCGTCGAGGAGGCAGTGACCCGGCTCGATGAAGTCATGAGGAAGCCGAGCAAATTTCACATTCTCTTCCTCATATTTGCGCACGGATGTGCCAGTGCGTCAGTTGGTCCATTTGCTTTCAACGCACGACCAGTCGATATCCCTGTCGCGTTCCTCCTGGGGTGTCTTCTTGGGGTGCTACAGCTTATTCTGTCCCCCAAATCGAGCTTATACTCCAATGTGTTTGAGATATCTGCAGCAGTCTTGACGTCTTTCCTTGCACGTGCTTTTGGAAGCATCAGGTTCCAAGGAGAGCCTCTCTTCTGCTTCTCTGCACTCGCACAGTCTTCCATTGCCCTTATCCTGCCGGGATACACGGTCCTTTGTGCCAGTTTGGAGCTCCAGTCACGCAGTATCATCGCAGGTTCCGTCCGCATGGTCTATGCCATCATCTACTCGCTTTTCCTTGGGTTTGGAATTACCATTGGCACTGCTGTGTACGGACTTCTTGACGCTCAGGCTTCAACGGCATACACATGTCCCGCGAGTCCAATCCGCAATGAATACCTTCAAAGATTTCCATTCGTCATTTTGTTCACCGTGTGCCTAGCCATTGTCAACCGCGCCAAATGGAGGCAAATGCCAATCATGTTGTTCATCTCCCTGGCAGGCTATGCTACCAATTACTTCAGTGCCAAGCGCTTCTACGCCAATACCCAAGTGTCTAATGCCCTAGGCGCGTTTGTCATTGGCGTCGTGGGAAACTTCTACAGCCGACTACGACATGGACTTGCTGCTGCAGCCATGCTACCAGCAATATTTGTTCTTGTCCCATCTGGCCTCGCAGCTAGCGGCTCACTCATCTCCGGCATTACCTCTGCAGAAGAGATCACGCGGTCTCCATACGCAGTTGTCAATAACGGAACACAAGGGTTTATGGACGCTGCCAAAAACCGATCGGCCGATCAGGCCAGAGACCAGAGCTATGGTGTTGTCTTCGACATTGGATATGGCATGGTCCAGGTTGCTATTGGCACCACCGTGGGCCTCTTCCTGGCCGCTTTAGTGGTCTATCCTCTTGGCAAGAAGAGGAGTGGACTATTCAGCTTCTAGGCTCCGTGTTCATAAGTGGTGATTCCTTCATCTTGAATTCCTATCTGGTGCTGCATCATCCCAACATATACTCCGTACGGATGATACGATTCTCACGAGTCATGACCATCGTCACTGTGGCCCCTTGCATGTACTTATCTGTGGCTTATAGCCACGGGGCTCATCTTTGTGTCTACATGTTTGTCTGTCTTCTTTTAAAGTTTCCCCTTCCATGTTGTTGATCTTTAACTTGCATTCTTTTCAATTTCTTGTTTTGATGTCTTCCCTGTCTTCTATTTGTTGTCTTGCGTGCATCTCAGCGGAATTTTAAAAGCAACGAATGATGGGACACCAATGTGAATTATGTCCTCATCTTTCCATGGCCTCATTGCATATGTATCGGTTTATTATACATACTGTTATACCTCAGGTAGTTATCTATACCATATAATGCGTTTTGTCTGGAAGTTGGCACTTTTACCACAACTCCCATGAGCTTCCTCAAGTTATTCCTAAATTGAGCGTGAGCTCCAGGACTTCAGGAACAACTCCGTCTTTGGCAGCTCCTGAATCCTGTCAACTCTCACAGCCTTCCAAAGTTGTATACCAGCATTTGCATACTTAAGTATCACACTTGCCTTTGCGGACTCCAGGAGGAACTTTCAATGACCGCCTAGCTATCTTCTAGATTTGTTAATCCATTCAAGATCGGAAACGACGTAATCAACTTTAGAAGTACTTAAGTATTGATGCATTAGGCACTACTCTACCTGCACATGTATTTACCAAACCCAATCCACCAGGTATTGAACCTGGGAAACAAATCCCAAACACCAAGCTTGAACGATTCAAACGCTGGACCCCGTATATGCATTGCCTAGGAGAGGCCCCCTCGCTAATAAGATCATACCGGAGTGCTCAAAAAAACAACAAGGAAAACGATACATTATCGTGGGTATAAAATTCTGGAAAAGACGGGTTCTATCTTCTTTCCACCCGGCTGAGTGCGCCCAGAATAAGGCCTAGATCTTGCTTGAATCGAGGTGGGCTCTCGCCTTCTGTACCCTCAATTGTATGGAGGCGCTGAGTATTTTGAGCATCGCGCTCTTCGAGACGTTGTGCACAGGTGCGAAGTATTCGTGATGAAACCGTGTCCGCAGAGGCGCGATAGAGTTCGATATCATGGATGCCGGCTGCGAATGTATCTAGCGTTGGTGCTAGGCTAGTTGTGATGCGTGATAATTGGGCTGAAATGGCGGATGGTGTGATTGGTGGCCTGGTTGTTGTTGAGGAGTCTCCTTCTGACGGTTGCGTAGGTGGATTGAGGGATTTGAGGATTGCTTGTTGAGAGGGATCGAGAAGAGAGGAGTCGACTTCCTCGCGTTGTGACTTGCGCGATTGTTTAGTCGTTTGTTGGTCGGGTTGTGAATCTGGTTTGACACTTGGAATTGCTGGCTGCCGAGAAAGCGCGTTAAGGGCTTGCCGTTCTTTCTGTAGTCTGGTGTTTGGTCAGCATTATACCCTTTCAAGGTTGATTTACCCGCTGGATTTTGCCTACTTTTGTATATGCTCTTCCAGTTCCTTAATCTTTTCTGTGTTCTGCACATTTCGCGGGTTCGGTTTCTTCACAACCACAGCTGGCGGGTTAAGATCTTCACGACTGAACCAATTCGATAGATCTGAATTATTTGAAAACTCCCGGAGGACCTCCTCTTGGATTTGACGCGCTGATAGACATGAGTTTTTGTTTCATCGGATAATCTGAGCTCAATATCAACTTACCTGCCAAGCGAGCACTTTGCTCATCTGGATCTGAACCCCCTTTAGGCTTCTCTCCAATAGCGCGAGTAGCACACCAGATCAAGAGTTGTCGCATCCTCCGCGGCTCCGGCAGGCCGTCATCGGCAATATGCTTGAAGAAATCTGCCGTGCCAACCTCTCGGTGGGGCAATGCTATAATGAGGCACGTGTCAGCATCTTCATCTCAAATATCCTGTATCAAAGCAACAATACCTACCATTTGATGCTCCCGAGTCAATTAAAGAGCTGGCTCTTCGTCCTCGCATGCTTAAACTGCTCCGCCGCTTGCCTTTGTTGCCTTTACCACCTCGTAACTCCTTATTGCGCTGAATCACAGGTGTATCGGCCACGGGAAGTGCCACCTTCGTGCCCGCTGGCGGTTGCTCGGGTGACTTATATCCATTAGGCTCAGGCGCTTTGGCTTTGGGTGGCCGTCCTTTCCTCGATTTCTTCGCCTCGGGCATACCCTCCGAGCTCTCGCGGGCCCGTGAGCGGGATATTTGCGCTGGGGCTTCCGGCTGGGCATCAGTATCGCCGCTTCTCGTCGGTCTCCTGTTCGGAAGCTCCACGGGATTCGTTTTTGCTGGAATAGAGCTTGAAATCTTATCATTGGCCGGCTTCTTCTTTGGTCGTCCTCGTTTCTGTGTTGGCTTGTGCACATTTTCCGCATCGGACCCGGGGTTTTCAGGAATCGCCTCAATTGAAGGTCTGGCCTTTTTTGAAGGCACACGAGAGAACTCGAACCCATCCTCATCCTGCTCGTAATCTATAAGTGAGCTGGATTAGTAAATCTCCTCAAAAGACTCCCCAGCCTCGCGCGCAGAGAGCCACTCACCAGGTTTGCGTTTGTGCGTAATCTCCTCTAGCCCTTGTTGGCTCGCGCTAAGTCGCGTTGTCCGTCGTCCAGTACTTTTGCCAGTTCCGCTAGATGTCGCAGAGCGCGATTGTGTCTTTGGGGCGGCCATTGTAATCGTCCCCAGCGGTTCGCGACGCTTTGTTTTGGTCGTGGTGGTCGTCAGGACCGCGATTGTCATGTCAGGAGGGGCGTCACGCGGGGTTTTCGTGGTTGGTCGTTGGCCCAGTGGCAAACAGTGCACCCCAGATTCCGCGCTGCTCTATCGCTTCGTTGGTTCCGGTGCCCACTCAATAGTCCCTGGTCGAAAGAATTCCTGCCGAAAGGCTTCCTGGCGAAACAAGCGCAAGTCGCGTTCCTGCGAGTACCCAACGCCAAACAATCCCTGAAACAACACAGAATAACAAATGCGGCTTGATCTGGAATTGTCGGGTCAGATGGCGTGTTAATCGATGTAAGACGTGTATAGGGTGGTGGAATGAAAGTGTCGGCGTAATCGGCTCGCGGGCGGAATGCTAAGCGCGGGTCGCGTCCCAATCCGTAAGTGCAGCTTTAAAGTCGTAACTTAAGCGACTTGAATTAATCGCGAAGAAGACACGCAAGGGACCGCCGGGCTCGAGGGGGGTGCGGTGGGTGGGTTGGATTCTCGCACGCGGTTGTTTTGGTCGGGCGCGTGGGGACCGCGCTAGTCTGTTTCGGGACCTTCTATACTTCAACGGCTTCTTCTTCGTCGATCTCACTCCCGAGGTCTTTACTCATTACTTTTTTTTATTTTAATTGGCAACCCAAAATGATTTGTGTATGCTTCTATGAACCACTTCTCTCTCACCTCTACAGCTCCCCAATCCTCGCAATGCACAGATGCTGTTGAATAAACGCTATGATGTTTTCAGTACAAATGATCCCCGACGCCAATGTTGAAAGATAATATGTTCAGTGAAAGATTCGGATGGGAGTTGAGCCCTGTCCAGTTCAAAGGAAAAGAGACACAACAGTGACAGATCATTTGATCGTTTTGAGCATGGTTGAGGGGTTTCCTGGAGGGGCTAGGCTACCCTCAATGCGTCGCTTGGCTTCTTGCATCTCCTCAGCAGTGATGTTCTCTGCCTTCTTGGGCATGTCAGGCTCATGCTGAGGGATGTCTGGGCTGTGTCCAACCGACATGCCCACACGAATCTAGGAACAGGTTAGCATGCGATCAGGATATGATGATAGGTATTGGTGGATTGTCGCCTTACCAAAGTCTCCAACGGACCCTTGGAGTTATCCACCAGGTCCTTGTCAAAGTTGACCTTGCCATCTTCAAAGAGCACCAGAAGGGTACTACCACCAAACTTGAAGTAGCCCAGCTCCTCAGCTCGTGAGACCTTCTCGCCGGCTTTGCGGGTGATGATCGTGCTACCTACCATCATGGCACCGACACAGACAACCATTACCCGGCCATGCTCGACGGAATCAATGGGAACGAGAATGCGAACGTTCTCACCATATACATCCAGAGAAGATCGGATCGCCATGGGATTGACCGTGTAATACTCGCCCTCGATGGTTTTAGGCTCGCCCATGATTCCATCAACAGGTATGTGGAAGCGGTGGTAGTCCTGAGGCGCCAAGCGGAACACTCCCATGGCACCATTTCGGTACCGAGCAGCATCTTCCGGGTAGGCATCGCCCAACAATCTTTCGATTGAGAACTCACGGCCCTTCACCCAGATACCGGTTGCATCGCTCATGCGGTCGAAGACAACAGAGCGACAGTCGGCGGGAGATACGACAATTTTGGGCTCATTAGGACCGGAGCATGGACGGGCATCGGGCTTGAGAGCACGGTAGAAGAACTCGTTGAAGTTGCGGAACTTTTCAATAGGCATCAAGACCTCAGACATGTCCAGCTGATGGAAATTGATGAAGTCCTGGATCTGAGACGCCGAGGCTGGATCGTCATACTTGCGACCCTGCTTGACACTCAAAGAGCGCAACACACGGCGAACTGGTAGTGATTTGTTAGCAACGACTTTTGAAAATTTCACCCTTTAGATGGATTTGCGTACTTCTCTTCTTTTCCATGTCCCGACTCTTGATACCTTTATACAAGAGTCGAATTCCAAGGCGGACGTAGACACTCATACGCTCCTCGTTAATCTGACCTGTGATCCGATCTTGGACAAGAATGTTGGCGGAGTTGGCTCCAAGCTTGTAGCCACCGTATGAGATCTTCGTGATGACTTTAGAGTACCATTTGCGCTGTGCTTGACTGGATGTCACAAAGCCACCCATGACCAGATTATCGACCTGTCGCCAATCCCGGCTTGCACATGTGGCAATGTGTGTGATGATATCTGCATCCGACCGTTTTGCGAGGCGTGGCTGATGGCAAAGAGGGCACTCGCGGATTTCCACCACATGTTCCTCGTCTCTTTCATCTGCAAGATCATCAGGCTGGAGGTATTCATCTGTTGAGCTCTGATCTTCACTCGACAGAGTTGGAATTTGTGTTTGCTGGGGATCGGTATTGGCTGCAGCAGTAGTGCTGCCTTCTAATGTCTGCTCATCACTGCTGGATGGGTCACTATCCTGGCTTCCAGAGTTTGATGACAATGGAGGAAGCGAAACTCTGGGAACAGCCATCGAGTTTCGCTTCTGCAAAGTCTGGAGCGTGTCCTCCAGGCAGACGACTGCTTGATCAAAGGACAAATCGTCTGTCTCGTTGGCTTCATTTGCTTCGCTGAAGCGTTCGAAGAAGCTGTCAATTGTTGATTCTTTCAGGGTTGAGCCCAGTGTATCCAACATTGTTGTCATCTCAACCTTGTCAATGCGACCGCTCTCATCTGCATCGTATTGTTTGAGCATCAGTCTCCAAAATTGTTGTCTCAGAGCGCTGTAAGGCAGATATTTTGCTTTGACGTGCAACACCGGCGAGTGCTTGTCTTCCCACCGTTCTCGGTTCTTTAGCATAAGAGGAATCGCAAATGGCCTGAACCCATCCTCATCAGCTGGCGGTGCCGTATCACCATCATACATGTTGGACGTCGGGGGCACCTGCAAAGTACTAGAACTGTCTAGCTCTTCTGGGAGAGACGAGGGGAGAGAGGATGGTGCGAGCAGAGTTGGTGCCGGTGCTTCGGGGATGGACTGGCTAGAAACGGAAGTCGAGGAGTTACGGGTTCTCAAAATCGGTCGAGCCATTCTGGAAAGACTAGATGACGAATGCGAAGGACTAATTCCACTTCGTGATGGGCTGACTCCAGACCGCGTGCCAAATTTGGCACTGGTGGTGGGATCAACCTCATCCGGCTCCGTGAATTGGTAGAGACCAGTCTCAGGGTCTGCGTCTGGGCCGGACTGCACCAGGTTCTGGAGAGGGAAGCCTGCTGAGGCGACAAAGTCGTTGCCCGAGAACTTATCCCGATCCATCACGGTGAAGCTGATGGTGTAGTTCTGCTCGTGTCGCATCACCTGGAAAACCATCTTCTCGTTATACACCGGATTCAGGTTGTGGCGAATGACTGGCGTTCTTAACGTCTTTCTTCCCAGGGAGGTGACCACAAAAGGGTCCATATCGAATGATGTCCTCGTCACTGCGAATCAATTAACAAGGTAGTTCGCATACAGCAGCCAAAGTCATACCATTTTTTTCGGGAGGGAGGTCGGTCACGCGAACAATTTCCATAAATACAATACCTTGTACTCCGGTCCCCGATCCAGAGAACTGGTAAGCACGAGCTGCCAGAGACTTACGTCTCAGACGAGCCAACCGAAGTCGCCGGCGACGCTTTTCCACTGGCTCTGACCCTGCGACGTCGTCGGGCTCATCAGAGGTATCCTCATCCTGATCGAGATCTTCGAACCCGGCAGGCGGTATTTGGTCGTCCTCATCTCCAGAATAAACCAGTCTCTTGAATTTGCGATGGATGTCCGCCGGTGTCGCAGCGGGATTCGCGGAATCGGCAAGGGAGAACTGCAGCAGGATCTCACCCGACACGGTGCTGTCCTTCTTCCTGGAAGATTTGCGCTTCGAGTTGAGGGTGTACCATTTAGGCTAACTCCGTCAGCACAATCCCACTTATCCGAGCGTGTTCATTCACCTCTTGGTTCAATTGACCATCCGCAAACAAGTCCTCCAATGCAATATCGAACTCGCCCAAATAGTCCTTGCCAAATCGATCATGGTCCCAACATATTCCTTCCAGTAAAGGCACGCCCAAAACGGGCATTTCAAACGAAACGTTCCATTCGGGGTTGAGGGTCTTGAATATCGTTGGCGTCGATTGTCTCGCATCTCCTAATGTAACCACCAGATACTGTATCACGTATAAGCAATCTCGGCGGAAGGTTCTATGGCGGTTGGTGCGCTCACTGGATCACTTGTGCCACCGCGATCTTTGGCGGCGAGGTTGCGTCCCTAGCAAAACAATGACGTTGATCAGCGGAAGCTCCTGAAACCCAGTCAACCAGATCATGGCCTTCCTTACCCGAATCACCGAGACCTTGAGCAGCAAAGGTTTTGTTTCTGATGATCTCATCGGACTTGTGCTTCGGCTCTGGCCGGGGGTCGACGACGCGCTGCGCGCGGAGAGGTGCGAGCTCAATCGGGAGGGTAATGCTAGCCGGACCATGTCGGATATGGTTTGTTGAAGGGGGGAGGAAAAAACGAAACAAAAACTCTAGACAATACGAGGTAAAAAATAAGTGTTGGGAGGTCAGAGCCCCAGCTCGCGGTGTGGCTACTTCCAGAGCCCCAGAGTCGAAGAGTCGATCGATTGAGTCCCGGTCGATCACCCACGTAAGAGTACCGGATTTCCAGAGGATCTCGATAACCAGATCTGCAGGGCCCCAGATCACAATATGAGCGAACTGAGCGATTTGCCAGAGGTTTCCGAGAAATTGGCGCTCAACAGAAATGCCCAGGTGTTCAAAGGTGGAAGCGGGGACAGACCGCCAGTTATGGGTCCAAGGGTACGGGGCCAAGTAATGGGAAAATGGATGCCTACAATTTGTATCTGAGGGATCTGTTACATTTCACCTGGCAATATTCCCAGTCAATTTGGCTTATGTGCGTCACAAAGTCGCAAAAACTGGATGCGAACCACATGCAGTACCCCGCAATCCAATTCCCTGCGGCTACGCTCAACATATCCTGGACGGAGGTGCGGAGTCCGGAGAGCACACTGGATTATCGTACAACGCAACAACTAATCCTGTCGACGATTTGTCCTTCCCCATACCTCATCGGCATTTGCCTTGCCTTTTGTTTCCGGCACGTACTGATAGATGAAAAGACCAAAAAGGCCAGCCATGGCCGCAAACACCCAGTAAACCTTGCCACGGCCCCCAAGGGCATCGTTGAGGATGGGGAAGAATTGTGCGACCACAAAGGTCGCCGCCCAGTTGGCACCTAAGGCCCAGCTTTGCACGGCGCCCACGGCCTCTGGTCCAACAAGTTCCGAGGCAAGGATGAAGGGAACAGGGCCTAGTCCAATAGCAAAACTGGACACGAACAGCAACGCCGCAAATGCTGTCAGAATTTTTCCATTCATGTAGATGCTGATTGCGAGGAGGATGGAGCTACATCCCATGCCGCTAATGCTCAGCAGGAGACATGTCTTCCGGCCGATGCGATCCGGGAGCGGGGAACACAGGAGTGTGACGACAAGATTAATGGCGGAGATCATCACGGTTAGTAAGGCGGCCGTCGTAGGAAGAATACTCTGTAGCAAAGACACACTGTACATGACAATGCTGTTCATACCGGTGAGCTGTTGAGCAATCATCGCTCCAACCACGGCGATCAGAGCTGGACGATAATACGGATCCCGAACAACCTGCATAAAGGTGACCGCGGGCTTTTTGGGGGTGCTGTCATCCGATGGGGCGAGCAATGCTTCCTCCTCGCCAGATGCAGCCGATACCTTCCAGCTAGCGATCTCTGCTTCAATATCGACACCGCGACCACGAATCCGCTGTAACACCCGGCGCGCCTGACCGAGCTTATCATGTTCCGCAAGCCATGAAGGGCTCTCTGGCACCAAGAACAACCCTGACAGCTCCAGGGCGCCTATCATTCCAGCCACAGCGAGGATCAATCTCCATAGACTCGCATTGCTCCAAAAATAGCCCAGTGTTTGTGTAAGGAGGATGCCGACATTGGTCATAACCTGAGTGAAAGCACCGAAAAAGCCGCGAGCGTTGGGAGGGGCGACTTCGGAGACGTAGATGGGACCCACAACGATAGCGGCTCCGGATCCGACTCCAGAGAGGAATCTACCGAGGATCAAAAGTGGTATATTGGGCGAAAGTGTTTCTGCCACAGGCCCGAGGATAAAAAACCCAGTGGTCGCTCGTAGAGCAAGGAGGCGTCCGTACTTGGTTGCGACGGGCCCTGCTAGTAGAGCTCCCAGCAAGCCACCAAGGGTGTAGATCGAGGAGACGAGACCAAATTGGGATGGGTTCATGGGAAGACATTGTGGGAGACCATGGAAGCTGATGTCCGCGGAATGACTTCCTTTGTGTTTGCATGTAATGACTGCTTGAGGGGCATTGAGCTCTGCCTATCCTTTCGTGTGAGTACGGTTGCCAAGTACCGAAGGGATAGCTGTCCTACCAAATGATAGCCAAACTGAAGTGGACCTAAAGTAACAATAAATACCAGGTAGACCAGGTAAGCCGTCACCCTCTGGTTTGGCGTAGTCATGTCGAAGGTGTTCAGGAGAGATGACGTTTCAGGCGCGGAGTTAATAGAAGAGGTGCCTGTCAACTATGAAGCGCAACCAGTAACATTCCTACATGAGTACTCCAACTTTAGAATGAAGAATTACCTGGAATATGATGTGACACCAATTTCAGATAGATATTGCTCAGGATTTACTTCACAAACACAAATCCCGACACATCGTGTCCGCGCGGAGTTATCAAGTTGGAGAGCTCCCCGTGATCTGACTAAGCGATGTTTGACTGGACCTCACCTGGGGTTGAGGAGGAGAAGGAACATTCGAACATTCGGTAAATTTGATCCTCTAATTGTGAAGGAGTTTGCCACATTGACAAAACCGGTGTCTACTCAATGGAATAATCGCTCAATGAGTCTGACCAACCCGCCCTCTTCCGGTTCCCTTTCACGAACCAGAGTCGGGAACTTGAAACGGGGTCTCCAGGCTACTGTTGATGGTAATTATATATTCCTCTGCATGTCGGTCTGAGCTTCAGACCTTTTTGTCTTTATCATGTTTGGCAAAGGTTTTCCTCAGTTAAATTCTGGAGGATTTTATTCTCGTGGTAACTTTTTCCCTGTGCTGTTGTCGAACTTTGGAAGCTAGTGTTCATTTTACAATTCGGTCGAAAGGATCTCGTTTTCTTCTATTGAGATTGAACATACTTTCGTCAGAACATATGCTAACTGCGATAACAGAAGCCATTGACTCGAGAAGACCTGGCGGGTACACCAGCAAAGTCCGAGTCCGAGATCGATATCATATCGTTGGTTTTATCAGCAGCGGTACATATGGCCGAGTTTATAAAGCCGTCGGCAAGAACGGCAAGAAAGGTGAATTCGCCATCAAAAAGTAAAATGTCCGCCTATGTGAGCATTTGACACATCTCTGACTTCACCTAGATTCAAGCCTGACAAGGAAGGCGAGACCATCCAATACACTGGCCTCTCGCAGTCCGCCATCCGGGAAATGTCGCTATGCACAGAGCTTTCCCATGCCAATGTCGTCCAGTTAGAGGAAATCATCCTCGAAGATAAATGCATTTTCATGGTGTTCGAATATACAGAACACGATCTCCTCCAGATCATACATCATCACACACAGCCCCAACGCCACGCTATCCCTGCCTCAATGGTGCGCTCAATTCTTTTCCAGCTCTTGAATGGCCTTCTCTACCTCCACACGAATTGGGTTCTCCATCGTGACCTCAAGCCAGCCAATATCCTTGTTACTTCAAGTGGGGCAATCCGCATCGGCGACCTGGGTCTAGCACGCCTTTTCTACAAGCCCCTCAATTCTCTCTTCTCAGGTGACAAGGTCGTTGTCACTATCTGGTATCGAGCACCGGAATTACTCCTGGGAAGCCGCCACTACACACCTGCTGTCGATATGTGGGCCGTAGGCTGCATTTTCGCCGAACTTCTATCCCTTCGACCAATTTTCAAAGGAGAAGAAGCCAAAATGGATAGCAAGAAAACGGTGCCCTTCCAACGAAATCAAATGTCGAAGATCGTTGAGATCCTTGGCCTACCCCGGGTAGAGTCTTGGCCCGGTCTGCACTCTATGCCGGAATATTCCCAACTTCAGTCCTTCATGATGCACCGACAACCTACGCATATCCCCCGCAGCTCTAATCTTGAAGGCTGGTATCAAAGCTGTCTCAAGAATGGTGGATATTCTACTTCATCGGTAGCCGGTACACCTGGTGCAGATGGATTTAACCTGTTGTCGCAGATGCTGGAATATAATCCTACGAAACGGATCACCGCTGAGCAGGCTCTTGAGCATCCATACTTCACGAACGGAGGACCCATCAGTGGGAATTGTTTTGAGGGCATTGATGGTAAATATCCTCATCGTCGTGTCACGCAGGATGACAATGATATTCGATCTGGCAGCCTTCCCGGTACCAAGCGGAGTGGGTTGCCGGACGATTCGTTGATGAGGGCCACAAAACGACTTAAAGAGTGATGTCTTGCTTTCTTTCTTACCTTTTTGCATCATTGGGTCAATATATGTGTTCCGAAGGCCGATACCCAGACAGTTTATCTTCATAGTGTTAATTTGTCAATCAATCTGTGATTGATACCGCGAATTCTCAAGCCCCTGGGCGTGATATCAGAATACTGCTGATACTGCTAGAACATTGGTAAACCTCGGAAGCGGTGGTAGCCTAGACATGAAAGTCCATGCAGCAAAAGAAACAGCTACGTAGGGCCCAGAGAGCTAACTATAGGCACACAAGCATAAATTAAGGTTGTCCCAATCGTGAGAATCATTTTAGATTTATTGAATAGCTATAGTCATTCACTCCGTACCGATACGCCAGTTCTAATTCATACAGACCTTCCCACGTTCCGAGTCCCATTTCAAGTTATTGTACATGCTCACAAAGGTAACACCCACTGGTGATCACACAAATGATATAGTAAATGCTTTATCAATATCCTGGAGACTGTAAGCATCAATTGAGTTAGATAGCGCAAAATCACATACCGCTTTGTTCGTTCCTGCTGTTTCCACCACCCTCCTTGTCATTAGTACCAGACGCTTGATCAGCAGCATCTTGAATCCCCTTGTCATCTCCACGGAGTTTCTCGAAGATGCCCTTGATATCCTCGGCACTGACCGCCTGTCCACTTTCAGCGAACGGCTTTAGGAACGTCTTGAGGTTGTCACGGAGATGGTTGTACGCCATTGCACCCTCGATGGCTCGCACACGATCCACACTGTTCAGAGCTGCTTCGCCACGATCGTAAATGCTACCCGTGCCGGCACTGGCAGCACCATCGGCGTCGCCATCCTCTGACACTGGAGGCTCATAGGTCTCTTCGGCTTCACGTAGCTGAGGGTGGGGAACCAAATGAGGGAAGCAGTCTGCACACCGACATAGGTAATCGTGGAAGTCTTCAGAAGCGAAAAGGGAAAATGATTCTGTGGGGGTGGGTTTGGGCAGTGACGCGTGCTTCGGGGCTGGAGGCGTGGCAGTGTGAGGTGTCTCTTTGGATTCATCTTCAATTGTGGTAGAATTGGATGGCGCTTCCTCGATAGGGTCTTCTTTAGTTCGCTTTGGAGCGGGGGCATTCTCTGTGGGCTCCTCATCCTCTGCTTTGCGCTTCTTTGAAGGTTCCAAATTCTGGTCACGGGGCTCGATCTCATTCTTATCAGTCGTGCTCTCTTCAGTCTTGCTCTGCTCAGAGGCTGGTTCTTCAGGTTTGGGCTCAAGGGTGGCTTTCGCGTCTTCCGTCTCCTTAGATGTCTTTTGCAACCCCCCGTTCTTCAGAACTGGAGGCAGGAATCCTGGAGATCCTGCGTATTGCTTGATCCAAGGGTTGGAGTCAACGCACTTGTAGCAGATAAGGTGCTGGAAGTCATCTTCTGCAGGGAATCCAGATGGAAGCGGGGTTTCCTCGTCTGCATCATCCTCAGCGGCATCACCTCCGAATCCATGCTCCTTGGGTGCAAGCTTGGTCCCATCCCTGGGTAGCCCGATCAAGCACTCGGGGTGCCACCAGTCCTCACCACACCCACCAGTCTCAACAGTTCCCAATCCAAGACACTGGAACATGATCCCCTTCTCTGAGAACGCATCGTACTGCTCGCCGCAACCGCAGAACTTATTGCGGAAGTTCTGACTATATGTGTTGCCCGGCGCGGCTTCTTGGGAGTGGGCACCTTTCTTGCCGGTTGTTGGGTCGTCGCGCAGAGTGCAGCAAGATGAAGAGGGCATGCGAGTGGTTCCGCAATCGCAGACAAAGTTGCGCTTGTTGAACAGCTCAACCAGGGTGTGTTCACCATGGCAGGAGATAGAGCAGGAATAGCAGACAGCAGCTGCAGTGTATGACTCGTCGGGATTCGTGGGGGGTGGGTTGCAGGTGATGCAGGCGAAGAGGTTCTGGCGCAGTGGTCCGAGGGCATATGTGCAGGAATCGAATGACTGGGTTGATCAGCTCGGCACAAGTGAGGTCGCGCGAGATACAATCACTTACGTATGGCAGGGCCTCACGCGCATCTGCCTCTAGCTGGAGCTGAGATTCGATGAACCTGTCGCGATTAGCTTGATTCCAGGGCGGGCATTGGCACGATTTCATACTCTTTGGCGGTCTGGGAGTTTTGAGAGCTGAAGCTCCCGCGACGCCCCTCAAGCTGGTTTGACTTCAATGAATCCATTCTCAATTTCGTTGGTTGCTCGTCACTTGGTCGTTGCTTGCCGAAGGTGGCAACGGAAGATGGACGCGCCGGTCAACAACTTTAATTGCCGGCAGAATTGTGTAGTTCCCCACAAAACACGAGTACATACATTCTCCTCTCTATGATTCTAGAATCCACGCGCCTAAATTCAAGGATATTTTGGCACCTTGGACTTTAGGATTAAATTATCATAAGGAAATTATCCAATATTCCAGTTGCCAACCATTTGTCGGTCAAATTGTCGGAATATCTCGTTAGTTTGGGTTCAGCTGATGCGTCCGGTTCTGGGGATCGAGGATGCTTTGATATTTCCAATTCCCCTTCAAGATTTCATTCTTGCCCGATCAGTGACTTGTTGAAGATTGAAAAGGTTTACGTAGGTAGGCAATGATATGGAAACCCGAACGAGGCGACCACTTCAATCATCCGATATCTTGTCCGCCTTCGACACCGTTGACATGGGGTGAAATAAATAATCGCTCCCACCTGAGGTACCTCTCGAAAAGGTTGACCATGCACCGAGGAGGGTTTAAATCTCAACAGCAATGACCCAACAGGCATATACTGCTCTTTTGAGATACCGGCATAAGTCTCCCAAGACATAACTGTAAAGATATCAACTGATACGTCAATCTCGTATGGATCAGTTCACTCGATATGAGATTAAATAAGAGCCCAATGCAATTTTGGAGATGAGAACTTGAATGAATATTCGGATTCGTTGGGAGTCCTGAATCAGTGCCCATTGTTCATTGGAAGCAAATCATACTATGTGTCAAGTGAAAAAGGTTGATTCAGTTCTAAAGTTCGTGGCATTGCCCATCTTCTGATTTCCGAGACTGTATCATAGCCATTGGGCACGCAATATGCAGTACTCCGTACGAATTATGTTCACAGTCGAGTACTCATGACAGTAATCGTGCAACATCAGTACTGCGTACTCCGTAGATGGGATCAAACCAGTCAAATCGCGCCTTTCCCGATTAGGGGTTAATTGAAACGCGTCCCGACACGCGACGCGACTCGAAGTGCACAACTCAACTTTGCCCCCTTCTCCCCTTCATCTCCCCAACAACCACCTGACCACGTTACCCTCGGGGAAATCAAGATAAACCGATCACTATCTATCTTGAATTTTTCACCCTTAGGTAAATTTTGAACAAATATATCGCCCACCATGGAGTCAGTATCCTGTTGTTGAATTTTCTGCAGAGGAAAAAAAAAACCTAACAGCTTCACAGCCCGCTCCGAGCCAGCGACTCGGCCGCCAACCGTGGCCCAAGGGCCAACAACCGTAAAAGAGACAGAGAGGATGATGACATGGGCTCATCTCCGGCACCATTGCCTCCTTCTAGTCGTATGTTTGTATCTTTTTGTCCGAAAAATGGGCGAGGACTGACAATTATGCAGCTACCGCTTTGGGCTCCTCCCCCCCGCCAATTCCTTTTGATATGGGGGATGAAGATGAGGAAGAGGACAGAGGAATGGTGCACGATATTGATGATATTGATGAATTGGCTGAAGATGAGGACGGCATTGATCTGTTCGGCGACAACTTCGAACGTGATTACCGCGATGCAGCACAAGATCGCTATGAAAACGAAGGATACATCGATGATGACGGAGATCATGAGGAGATTGATGCTGGCACCCGTCGCCAATTGGATGCTCGGTTGAATCAAAGAGATCGCGAGCTGGCTCGTCGACGCCGCATGCCCGCAGCATTTTTACAAGATGATGAAGATATTGACATGGACTTGTCGCGCCAACCTCGACGACGCAGACACCATTACGACGAAGACCCTCAAGATATTGACATGGGAGATGAGGGTATGGAAGAGCTGTCGCTTGAAGAGCTAGCGGATGTCAAGGCAGCCAACATCACAGACTGGGTCACCCAGCCCCAAGTGCTGCGCTCTATCTTCCGTGAATTCAAGGCATTCCTCACAGAATTTATTGACGCCAGCGGTCAGTCCGTTTACGGTCAGCGCATCAAGCTTCTGGGTGAGGTGAACTCAGCCTCGCTCGAGGTGTCCTACGCCCATCTGAGTGAGACCAAGGCCGCTCTTTCATACTTCCTCGCCAATGAGCCCACCGAGGTTTTGAAGGTCTTCGATCAGGTCGCGCTCGATGTCACGCTTTTCCATTACCCTCAGTACCACCAGATCCACAACGAGATTCACGTCCGTATCACCGATGTGCCTATCATCTACACCCTGCGTCAACTACGTCAGTCGCACCTCAACTGCTTAGTCCGTGTCAGTGGTGTTGTCACCCGCCGAACCGGTGTCTTCCCACAGTTGAAGTACGTCATGTTCCTCTGCACGAAGTGTGGTATCACATTGGGTCCGTTCCAGCAAGAAGCTAGCGCGGAGGTCAAGATCTCCTTCTGCCAGAACTGCCAGTCTCGTGGCCCCTTCAAGGTCAACTCCGAAAAGACGGTTTACCGCAACTACCAGAAGTTGACTCTGCAGGAATCGCCCGGCTCAGTTCCCGCAGGTCGTTTGCCGCGCCAGCGGGAGGTCGTTTTGCTTGCTGATCTGATTGACACCGCCAAACCTGGCGATGAAATCGAGATCACCGGTATCTACCGCAACAGCTACGATGCTCAACTGAACAACAAGAATGGCTTCCCTGTTTTCGCTACTGTCATTGAGGCCAATCACGTTGTCAAATCTCACGATCAGATGGCTGGTTTCAACTTGACCGAAGAAGATGAGCGTGAAATCCGGGCCCTCTCCCGTGATCCTGATATTGTCGACAAGATTGTTCGCTCCATGGCTCCTAGTATTTACGGTCACCAGGATGTGAAGACCGCTGTCGCACTTTCACTCTTTGGCGGTGTCAGCAAGCAGGCCCAGGGAAAGATGAACATTCGTGGTGACATTAACGTTCTTCTTCTCGGTGACCCCGGTACTGCCAAGTCACAGGTGCTGAAGTTCGTGGAGAAGACAGCGCATCGAGCTGTCTTCGCTACCGGTCAGGGTGCCAGTGCTGTCGGTTTGACAGCCAGTGTCCGCCGCGATCCTCTCACCAGCGAGTGGACGCTGGAAGGAGGTGCTCTTGTGCTCGCTGATCGCGGTACTTGTCTCATTGACGAGTTCGACAAGATGAACGACCAGGACAGAACATCTATTCACGAAGCTATGGAGCAACAGACTATCTCCATCTCCAAGGCTGGTATTGTGACAACCCTTCAGGCACGGTGTGCCGTTGTGTCCGCCGCCAATCCCAAGGGCGGTCGTTACAACAGTTCCATCCCATTCTCAGAGAACGTCGATCTGACCGACCCTATCCTGTCTCGTTTCGATATCCTGTGTGTGGTTCGCGACTTGGTTGACCCGGCCGAAGATGAGCGTCTGGCCAACTTCGTCATTGAATCACACCACCGTGCTAACCCTGCTCGTCCTCTCCGAAATGAGCAGGGTGAGTCGGTTGATGCCGACGGTCACCACGTGGACAACGAAGGATACCGTATCAGCAGCAGTGGCCAGCGTCTTCCTCCTTCCCAGGAGGAGATCGCTAGACGCGAGGCAGAGACGCAAAGAGCCGAGGAAGAGAAGGAGGGTGAAATCCCCCAGGAGCTCTTGCGGAAGTACATCATGTATGCCCGCGAGCGTTGCCACCCCAAACTCTACCAGATCGACCAAGACAAGGTTGCTCGTCTTTTCGCAGACATGCGCCGCGAGTCGCTTGCCACTGGCGCCTACCCCATTACCGTAAGTCATCTCATCTCTTTCTTGATACCACCCGCTAATCCGTCTACCAGGTCCGTCACCTCGAAGCCATCATGCGTATCGCTGAATCATTCTGCAAGATGCGTCTGTCCGAATACTGTTCCGCTCAGGATATCGACCGCGCGATCGCTGTCACCGTAGATTCTTTCATCGGTAGCCAGAAGGTCAGCTGCAAGAAGGCCCTCTCGCGTGCCTTTGCCAAGTACACACTTTCCCGCCCGAAGCCGCAATCGAAGCGTCGTGCCGGTATCCCTGTCTCAAATCCTCATATGCCGCGCGCTCCTTCTACTGCGTACTGAGGGACTTGTCTGCATGGTTTCTTTTGTTTCCTATACCATCTTTGCATCTCGTACGTGTGGCGTTTATGACAAGGTCCTTATCAAGACCATGATATGTTAATGAAAATCAACGATTTTTAATACCATTTGTGCGTTGTAGACCTGTAGACCTTAGCCCGGTAGTTTCAATGCGGTGTTTGCAGTCTTTGCACCTGAGGATACAGGGAGCTTCAGGCTGTACTTTTTACCCGAGAACTTTGTACATACGCAGTAACTTTAGAACAACCTTGAAATATTTAGACTTTCAATATGCTCAAACTATTCTACTCGTATAGACACCATTTAGATCGAATTGCTCAATCCCAAAGTAGGATTACATTGGTGCTCAGGTGACGCGCATGGGTAAAAAGCGGCAAGGGGGTGAGCACTAGACTTGACCCGGTCAACTCATTATCTCCTGCATAGGGGATTTCTAACACTCGGAGTATAATCGTTGCGGAGTAAAAAAAGCGGCCCGCAACTTCAATAGTGTCGCCCCACGGTGATTCTGAGCTCTGACCTCGGGTGTTCATGTCGAGGGACTAAGTAGGGTTGAATCTTGGCTTGCGGGGTGCGTCAGCCCGACTAAGTACAAAGCACTTTCGTACATACTTAAGTATGTACTCCGTACTTTGGGCTCAGACCTCAGTTCTTATCGTATGACCTCATGCATCAAGGGCATTAAGCCAAGGAATGTTCAATCTCATCTCCATCTCAAGAGATGTCATCTAGGACGTCATTCGATACACATGCAACCACAGGGAACTATTGGCTACATAGGTCAGAAACCCAAATTTTCGGTAGTTGGAAATCCCCAGGTTGCATCTCATCTTTACCCGTTCCTCTTCCGGTGTCCAGCCCTATGGCCAGGAACCACTCTGTTCAGGTAATTCATCATAGTGGCAGACTCATCATAGTAGACCCAGTCTCCTTGCTCCTTAGACTGTAGTCGAAAGGTCCAGGGAGTTCCCGGAAAGCAATGACATCAAAGGTGAAGAATGCCGTCATTCCGAGTACCGAGCTCGGGGGCCATTGGGGAATTTCGAATTTCGATCGAATTTGGGATTTGGGATTTCACAGTGGTACCTGATATTCACTGGACACTGTAGTAGGCAGGGTATCATTTTGAAAATCAAAAACCAAGGTACCTGGTATATCCGGAGTCAAACGTCAACCGTTATGGAGACACGGGTATCGCTGTCCCCTTAATTTGTTAATCTGGGGGTGTCAAGTCGCATAAAACTGGCATGAGTACGAGTAGACAGAACCATGGACGCAGAGACTAGAAATCCAGAGACTTGAACATGAAATTTCGACACAGTATCCAGTACAATAAATGAGGAATGGGCAGAGATCGCCCAGGCACGAGTATTTCCAGTCGATCACTAATTTACGTACCCTCGCCTCCCGTGTTCCCCTTGCCCCCCCTCCTCTCTCTTTCTTTCACACGTCCCTCGTCTTTTGTTTTTTTTCTTCCTTTTAACTTCAAGATAACCTGTTTTGACACTCTCATTGGGCTGTGCATGTTTGATCGCTGTGTTGATTGCTGTCAGCTGTCCACTGTTTCAGCAACACCTCCTGCCACTCTAATCCGCATACGTGCGACACTTAACGCGACTTCTCATTGAACACATTCTCTCCACCCACACCGTTTCAAAGTCATTCATCCTTGATAATGAATGCCCCTCCAGCGCTTGGGTATGCACCCGGCGTCTCGCTCGCCCCGCAAGGTACGTAACGCTGTGCCCCTGGGAATATCACAACCTCCTGAGTCTTAAAATGACCCTTTCCCCTGAACATCGGGTTGCAATATTTGTGGGACAACTTCCTAGACACCAGTAGCTAATCAAAGGGAACAGAATCCCAAGCTTCTCCAACAGCTGCCAGTTTTGGCTCCAATAACCCTTTCCGCAACCGCGCTCTTTCCCCTTCAGTCACTGGATCTGTCTCTTCTTCAAACACTCGCCCAGAACGACCACGCTCGACAAATCCCTTCCTAGACGACAGTGAGGCATTGTCACCCCAGTCCGCCCCTGGAATGGCCTCCGGCGCTATGGTCTCTCCAACTGAGAAGACCGACATCTCAAGCCACACCCGTGAACTCTTTGTAGGTCGGAAATTACACGGACCACCAGACTAGAGCGCTAATAAGTTGCAGGAGAGCCTTTCCCTCAAACCCGCCCCTCAAACAAATCGCCGACCATCTGATGACCGAAATGCTTCAACCCGCACCCGACCCCCAAGAGAGCGCCCCTCTCAGCGACCGGCCCCATCAAAAGGGAATGACCCGCTCGACATCTTTGCTGATCCCCCATCCAAGTCCGCAAGCTCACGGGCGCCACCCCGCCGACCCCGCCGCAACTCGGAGTCCTCGGTGATGGATCGTGGATCTACGTTGTTGGATGTTGATGACAGCGAGAAGCGCCGCAGAGAACGACGTAACCGCGAGCGCGAGGGTCGCAGCAAAGATCCAAAAGATGGAAAGTCGCGATCTGGTCGCAAGGACCGCCGACTGGACGTTATTGATAAGTTGGATGTGACGAGCATCTATGGCACTGGAAGTGAGTGATCAATCATTCCTTTTTTTTTACGACACCTAGAACCGTGTGCTAACCGCAGAAGTGTTCCACCACGATGGTCCTTTCGATGCTTGCAATCCCCACCGCAATCGCCGAGGTGTTCGGACTGCACCAATGCAGGCCTTCCCCAAGGGCTCTACCAACATGGCCCTCGGTGGCACTGGGCCCAACAATTCCAACATCGATCTGAACCTCTTCCACGGCCGAACAGAGGAGGGTCACAACGACTTCGCCACTGCTGCCCGTCGTAACGCCGACTCGGGTAACAGTTTCGATCCGACTGCCCGTGTGGACCCTGTCCACGGAGCACAGAGTATGGGCCTGGGAACCAGCACTTTCCTCGACGGTGCGCCAGCGAGTCGGTCTGCCATGGCCCGTCGTCAAAGTGAGAACGAAAGCTCCCTCGCACCCAACGGTGGTCTTGCCCGTAAGAAGAGTTTAGCACAGCGATTGCGCGGACGAACCACTGGCGGCCCTGGCCGTATTTCATCGCCCGAATATTCCACCCCTGCCCCTCCCGCAGTTGGCTCCAGCCATTCTGCCTCCTCCCGGAACAACGAGCGAAACCCATATTTCCAAGATCAGGACTACGACGAGGAGTGGGATAAGAAGGGCTCCAGCATTGAGGCCCGTATGGAGGGCGGCGGTCGTCTCCGATCATCCAGCAGCCCCAAACAAGCGACTGGTCTGGAGCGGAAGCCCACAAACGACCGCTATGAGGAGTCCAAACTCAACCCTGGCGGTGGCGGCTTCTTGAACCGCATGAAGAGCCTGCGCAAACCTAAGCCAGAACGCCGCACTAGTGATTGAATTGCCTGCGGCTGATTCTCAATCCCAAAATTGTTTCAATCTACCACCTCGAATGACGATTCGACGCGTAATACCCAGCATCGAGCGGTGCCCAACACGGCATGGCATTGATCTGAGAGCAATTCACGACTTTCTCAGACCGCCATGGACAACACCATAGTCCAGGACTATGGTTATATGATCTGGAGTTCGGGAGTTTCCCTTCTTGTACTTCTTTTCAGCCTTGCTTTCTGACTTGTATCTTTTACCAAATGCCATTTTCTTCTCGTCGGGATAATTGAATAGTCGGTTTCAATAGTTTACTCTGTACCAGTAATGCAAATGAGATCAAGTTAGCACTTTCACATGGCTCGGTGCCTGCATAGAGTGGCGCTTTGCGCACTGGCCCCGTGCCCTAAGCGCCATGCATATAAGTTGCAGGAGATATGATATCACTCCGGAGTATATCTCCACCTACAGGTAATCCCTCTGTATGTCCAGACCTCGGAAGACTGCGCAGGTGGTGGGTTCTCGTTTGTTTGCACAATGAGGACCCTAGAACTTGTATCTGAAAGTGGCTCTGTCCGTCATCACTGGCTCTGTTCGGAGATACCAACACCCCTGTAGCGCACACCCCATGTCCCGGCCTCCGTGAACCAACACTGCTCAAAACGAGAGCTGGACTGATCAAACAGGCCAGTGTCGGAGCGGCGTTATCACGAAGTCTAGGAGAAAACCCCAGTCTTAGCATCCAGTCAGCCTGGCTCAGCAACCTTGGAGTTAATCGACGTTCGTCCAATGAACCGAAGTTCTTGGCACTACTACTCCATACATTGGATCAAGTCAGTACTTAAGTATCTATCTGGTGCCTGCTTGGAGCCTAGCTCTTCGTGTGGTATTTTCCTTGGCTTCAGGACCATGTATATATCACCTTCGTGTTATATCTGTCGTGTTCTATGTATTGGACGGGGACGAATGTTCGAAGGAGACGCCCTTGGCCAAAATGAGACTTGGCTCGCCAGTGCATTGGTTTGGGCAGGAATGAGGCATGGATTTGTAGGTTTTATTGATTTGAGGCTGTGCCGGAGTGCAGGAGTGTTTTTCTCAAATCAAATATCTGATGTTGGAACGACATCCTGGTGGTTGTTTTGAAGTATCGTTCATGTAGATGGATTTATTGGTTACAGTGTCATTTTGGGTTAACTGGGTATCGTAGACGCCTGTTTGCTATCCATTTGATGCAGAAAAGGGGGTACATCCGTGTTTTCAAGGTTCAAAGCTAGGATACGTGGTTGGACAGGGACTGCAAGTGGCTCAGAAGTAGGGCGGTTGACGTCGTATCTTTCTATTCGATGGCATCGTGTTCTCAATCCATTGGTTTCCATAAGTTATTCTGAAGTTGAAATGCTCGATTATGACAGATGTGTTTTTGTGCTGATAGCAAAATCTGCCTGGGACTTCAGGAGACATTTAAAGATGATTGGAACCCCCCATATTCGTTTCTCTACGGAAACCCAGAGCTTCAATTACAAAAGATGCATGCCCAGAGTCTGGGCGATCGCCGCTTCCTCAGGGTATTCAGAGTCCTTTACGAAGACACCCCTGCGCTGTTTGTGGAACGACAGTATCTCTCTGTCCACTCGTCAATAGGCAACATTTATTTATTTGGTGTCAGCACCGAAACTGGCCGGGGATCTTTGCATAGGTCAAGGCCAAAATTGATATTTTTCAGCGATACCGGGATCCAATACACCGGCCTGGTCGGCCCGGTCTACGAAGTTGATTCCTACAAGTTTCCTGGAATTTGGGATCATGTGATCGATGAGATGGAAATGCCTGGTTATGAACATGGCACGCGTGGTGCCTTGTATCTCTTGGTGAATAGGCTCCTAGAATATGAAGGTATGTTCACTTGTTGATTTGATGACAAGAATGCCTACTAAAGAGTTGTGCCCAAGCGATGGAGGAGTACGGAGTGATGGAAGAGCCCCCATCCTAGAGGTATCCTGTTTGGTTTGACTTGTCATTGAAAGTGAGGGTTGTCAACTTTAGAAGTCCCTGGGCACGACCAATATTCCTGGAAGCAGCCTGACGACGAAGTGCCTTTCTGAGTTGGCTGAATATCGGTGTTTAACAAATGCAAAACCTTCCAAGGCTTGAATTAATTTAAATGCTCATGTGCCCAGGTGAGATACCTAAGCCAACTCACGTCCAGCATCAGATACCTTGATGGTTAGAGACATAACTCCTGTTTCAGGCGGTGTTCCCTTTAAAGCCTCGGGTTAATAGTCTGATGGCTGTATTAGGATATGATAACTTAGACTCATTACTGCAAATCCAGGATCTAGAATAATCCTATTGATGTTCCTGCGAAGAACGAAGGGCTAGTAACATAAAACCTTTTCAAGCACTTTGCCCAATCTCTTTGTCCGTTGGCTGTTGGCTTTATGGCTTTTGTGTGTATTTTGGTTGCTGCAAGTGGCATTGTATAACCGAGGCCAGGCATTTATGAGATTCTAAAGTTATCTTCTTTCGGAAATGGCCTGTCATTGTTGGGCTCAAAGCCATCTATAGATTCAGCCAACAGGCCATCCTGAAATTGAATTAGTTAGCCTCGAGCAATATATAAAGCACACTGCCCGTGCTACAATCCCATTCATACTATATTCAATCACAACCTTGGAACCTTGGAACTCCCATCAATATTCCACTCAACAGAACTACTTAACACAACAAACTCAACATCTATTTAAAGATACCAAATATCATGGTATCATACTCGGACCACTACCACCGCATCTGGACGGATATGACAAAAGGAATGACCAATCTACCAAAAGAGTATCTCGAGTGCATTAGAGCCTTAGGGGCTCCCGATGACAAGATCGCCCCTCTCAAGTCTGAAATTTCGGCTGCAGTTCTGCAAAAAGTTCAACCGGAGATCCAACAGCTGCTAGATCTTTTTGTTCCGATTTAGCCTCAAAACCTTAAGAGGGTGCTTGTCGATGATCTGACTGAAATCATCGACAACAAGACGAACGGGGAGGATACCTTTAAAAAGCCCACAAGCCAAGCTGTACGTGAGCTCATTGCACCATTGATGGCAGTGGGTAATCTCGATTGCGTGAACCACCTCTAGTGAGTCAGAAATGAGACGGCGCTTTGGAATTAATAGCTCTAATAATGATCAGAAGGTTCTAAGTTGCACTTACTCATCTTTTCTGACACAAAGCCTGGTTTTCTTTTGTCCACTGCAGAGACAGCGTCTATTGTTAGTTATTTTGAGAAATCCTGATATCTTGAATATTTTGCTTTTCTGTTGGATACTTGAGTTGTTGTGTGTTAGGTGATTGGTTGTTAGTTGATGGCAAATGTGACGAAATTATAGTTGTCATTTTATATGCGTTTCAGCTAGGCGACATCCTGAAGCTATAGCCAAGTAGAACCTAACGGGCCCAACAGGCGCTGGCATTATACACAAAACTCCATTTCAATAAGGTATGCAGCCTTGGCTAAAACTTTTCCCTACATGTACATATGTATTATTCGTTTCTTGGCCCAGATCTATAAACGGTTGCCGCCGTACAGTAGCTACACTATTTACGGACAAGCTCTTTTTAGGTAAAGAAAACGAGAAAGGAAGAAAGGAAGAAAGGAAGAAAGGAAGAAAGGAAGAAAGGAAGAAAGAAAGAAAGAAAGAAAGAAAGAAAGAAAGAAAGAAAGAAGCAGTAATTTCGCATCCAGGTCTAACAATTATTGCAGCTGTAAAGATGTGGGCAACGTTGACAGCCGAAGGTCCTATTTATCAAGCTATTTCGGGGATTTGATCCACATACTACTTGGAATGAAAACCCCTTGGATTTCGTAAATCGGGCCGCAGGGATTAAGAATTGGCTGTTTGGGTCAACTGATTATTCGAGCGAGCTTGGAGTAAGCGCCGAGAGAACGGGGCTCCTTACACGGCGGTATGCTTTGGCGGGCTTAGGTACAATCGAAGGATGAAGCCAGGTTGAATCTAATCTCATTGGATGCATGGTAATCTCTCATGTCCTGGTCTATCAGTTTTCAGGTCTTGGTGGCTGGAACTGTGTGATAGTTCGAACTATATAGGGTTTCATTTGGCGACTTTCATACGCATAGGCGTCAACGCGCCCTCCAAAAACCACCAAGATGATATTTAAGATGCTGTGTCTGCCATCAAAGTCCTTGTTTTCATTATACACTCTCAGACAATCTCATTGACAATCTACCTCTAGAGCTTCAAATTTCAAATTGATCAATAATCCGTGCTACCCCACATGGCTTGTCCAGATATTCGGATATCATACAGCCATAGTATCCCTGTGAAGGTACCAAAACACAAGAGCCACGATGTTTACCTTGTGAAAGTCCAACAATCCATGCACACTTCGGATCCCTACGCTCTCTTTGTTTGCGACAACCCAGATGACAAAACCGGTCGGCTCTACTTCGCCCACCCCGCCAACGAAACCCCACCGGAATTTGACCAGAGAGGCACCAAATTATGCAATCAAGATATGTCCCTGAGATTGGGCAGTACAACGGTCGATAAATATCCTGGCACCTGGGACAATATCCAGACTAGGTTGGGGCAGTTTCATCCGACCGAGGAGCTCACTCATGATCTCCGGAATGCAAAGATTGTGACCCCGGGGTTGTTGGAGTTGTTGCAAACTGGTTCAATCCCTTTGAATGAAATATGCAATGAGAATATAGTGGTGGAAGTGAGCGCCGAGATTAGGAAGTGCAAGTGAGAAAATCCAACATGTGACTCCGCTGAGAGGCACTGAACTTGGCATCGAGGATGTTCTAAGTGGTCTTTTTTGTGGCCTTTTCTCTCTCTTTCATCTCTTAGGATCTCACATGTTCCAGTGGATAGCTAGAGCAAAGCTAGTCAGTGTCTCAAGTTTCAAGAGCGAGACGTTTGACCAGTGTATCTATAGTCTGTACTTCAATCAAGTGTCATTGTTTCCAGGGATCACCGAGAACTAAGGACAGTATGTTCTATAGTTTATTAAAATTTTCTCTTTATATTCTCGAAAACTCACTTAGTATCAGAGGTGAAGATGTGAATCTACTCCGGTTAGAGATGGGGTGTGGATGGAGAACGGACAGGTGGACGCTATCGTCAGCCGTAGCCCTGGAGCTCCAAGAGCCTCTTGACACTCTGCCTCGCAACGCTTCACGCTTCACGCCTCGCGCCTCAACACCATGGAGTCAGAGCAACCTCCTCCCACCCTGACGAATCCACGTTTCACACTCGAGCTCGAATTTGTTTCGTCCCTTGCCAATCCATACTATCTGTCACATTTAGCCGTCACCTACCCCAATCTCCTGGGGAATTCTCGCGATGATGACAACGGGTCCTCCTCGCCCGATGCCCAAGCATTTGCAGCCTACCTAGCCTATCTCTACTCCTACTGGAAGACGCCAGAATATTCCCAATTCCTTACACACCCCGGTCCCACGCTTCGAGCGCTCCGACTGCTCCAAGAGGAAAACTTCCGTCGCGACATCATCTTGCCTCAGGTCATTGAAGGTCTGGTAGGGGTTAATTTGCCTGAACCTCCAACGGAGGCCGACACTGCAGTTGCAGACAACCAACCGGACGGTCCAAATGGGAAGACTTGATAGTCCGCTTTGAACTTTGAATCTTGCTTAGATTTTGCGCCCGACTGGAATGTTTCCTATGGCAAGCTTCAACCTACCTTCGGACCCACACGCGACATTTGCCTTTTTGTGCAAACTCGGTTCATGAGCTTCAGGCGGGGACTGGATCATGCTCCATGTGCGACCGAGGCTTGTCGATCCCACCACCCCATTTTCAAGCATCGCCTAAATCCCCCATGCAATGGCATCCAGACTGCGGGGAGGAACAGACCCGAGCGCTGTTGGGAGTGCATGATTTCCCGAAATGGACATGTGTAGGACTGTGACCCCAGCTGCGATTGATGTATTTGGTCAACCCCAAGTGAAGCCAAAGCGATTGCATCTATGTAGATATTGAACTGCAACCCCCAAATTGCAAATTGCAAATTGACCTGAATCTCAATTTTAGGAGGCTAAAAGAAGAAAAGACATCGCACTCCGTAGTAAGACGAGACCTGAGTATTCTGGCCGGGCGTCCCGCGGCCCAACCTTGATTTTTTTACCCTTGCAGCTCCCCCGTCATCGAATATCTGGACATTTTCTTTTCTCTCTAGACTCACGGAATAACTGCTTCTCTACTCCTTTTGCTCGTTGATCTCTCTTTTTAATTGCTCCATACTCCTGTGGCACTTGTTTCGGGGATACGACAAGAGCCCCACCCCCCTTAGAGATCGGCCCTGAACACTACCTCATACCCCCGTTCTCGTCGACCGTTTCTGTCAACGTCTTCGATGGCCTTCCGGACCTAACATTTCAACCCCCACGGACCCAAAGGATCCCACGGACTTCAGGTCGTCTTCGGTGTTCACTCCATCTGACGGTCGCGCTCTCGTTTCGGACTCCGCCACCGGGAAGCTGCGCAACACGCCCCAATGGAGTCCGTTCGCCAGTCTTGTCGCCCAAAGCATCAGGTATTGACCCTGAAATGCTATCCAAAATATCAGAAAGGTGTGGCGGAAGTCAGGCCGAACCCGAGTGAACTCTCGTACTTGCTGTACTATGCCAGCACGCGCCGCAGCAAATTGACCAAGGTTGGCGCTTTCCTGGAGAAAAGGGTCGCTCGGGATGTTTGGAGACGCAGAATTGGGTGAGTAGAGCCCCTGGACTCCGGAATGTTGAATTGGAGGGGCATAATTGACCGACACCTTCTACAGAAATGTCCAAGTGGCACTTCACATTCTTGCGGCGCTTATCGACAAAGTCCCCCGCGATCTCCCGATCTACGCTCGATCCGTCATGACCGTCGTCGATACCGTCTTGCGGTCGAATGATATTACAATGGTGGAGGAATCGATTGTTCCGTTCGAGGTATTCTGCCGGCATCAGGACATCGCGGCCATCGCGGCAGACCAAGACCTGGCGCACCAATACAGGGAAGTTGTGCGAACTTATGCCAGCTTCGCCGACCCAGCCTTTGTAGCAAATTCTACCGCCAGGTTCAGCCCTCAAGTTGCGATTCGGTGGAGAAATGCAGGCTTGCGGGCCATCAAAGGCGTGGTCAGCTCAGAGAGCTTGGCAGCCGATGGAGGAACGTCACTGAAGCTCTGCCTGCCTGTTATCCTTGAAAACTTGTACTCCAGTGATGAAGATCTTCTCACGACATTGAAGGCCAAGCTTCACGAATCGGACCCGAGCGATGGGCCCAAGCCGCGTCGCATGAGTGTCAACACAGTTCATACGGTGGATACAGCAAACGGTGATCCTGAGCTAGCAGCCCAATCAGCAGAGAATGCTGATCGGAAGGCGGAAATGGAAGCACGGCTCATGGCTTTGCGTTGTCTCGAGCAAATCATTGTGTCTGGTAGCAATCGTGGTCAGATCCGGATTGCGGTCACAGTCATTCTGCGTTTCATTTCCAGCAAGGGCTTCCCGCAGAGCGAGAAGCATGGCCAGATGATCGAGGGCAAAAGTGGCAACTGGGCAACATCACTGATTGAAATGATTGCAAACTGGTGTCCGGTGCAAGTTCGATTCATCATTCTGATCACAGCCATGGAGATCCTACATGACACAAGCCCTAAGGAGGAAGCGCTGGAGTCATCGTTCACTATTCTCTCCGTGGTTGACTGGCTTCTGAAATCCTCTGTGAACATGATCGGACTCAGTGTCATGGACATTCTATTTGGGCTTATGCATTACGCTTCCGATATCTTGTCTCCCCCGGATCGCTCTGGGATAGCTGATCCAGAGAAGAAGCTCAATTCATTGGCAAATGTCGTGGCAATCTCACCCCGACGACAAGATCTTCTCACGCTATTAGAGCAGTGCATTGGAGACCTTGCCACGCACATCTACTACGGAGAGCAAGTCGCGGATATGATGCGTGCGATTTTGAAGCGGTTCAAGCCTACTCTTCATCATGACAGCTCCGCGCCATCAACACTAGCTACAGTGCACGAAGCTGGAGTGGCACACATAGACTCAGGATCTTCCTCGGAGACAAATGGAGAAAAGGCAAACGCGGAACTCTTCTCGCATGCCGCCGCCAAGCTGACTGCCCTTCGAGCTGTAAAGGCTATCTTGATCGTGACACATTCAAAGACACCAGCTACCATGTCCGGAGCAGAATCCAGACACCCTGTGGGGATTCATGTATGGGAGGGCACTCAAGGACTTGTTCGTGACGCAGACCATGATGTTCGCTACGCTTACACGGATGCTTTCCTGATGTGGTTGAACTTTGAGACCAACAAGAACGATTTGAAGGCCCAAATCGACGTGCCTAAATACATCAAGACATCCTCGAAGCGAGACTCCGAGCAGGGGGACAAGCCCAATTGGCGAAACACATCGGCCCCTGGGAACCAGAGGGAATCGGTGGCTCTGGCAGCCCAGTCTAACTTCCTTCGTCTTATTCACCTCTCTATCTACGACTCTGCACTTGAATCCTCCACCAACGAGGCCGAGGTTCTCCTGCTGCACCTGCTTCTCACAAGTCTTGTTGAGAACCTAGGGGTGAATGCTGCTCAGTTCGGACTTCCCATGGTCCTCAAACTGCAAGATGATCTTTTCACGTCAATAGAACTCAGTTCCTTTGCAGGTCGCGTGAACATTGGGAGCTTGATTCACGGTTATCTCCTCGCACTTTCAAAGAAATTCAATATGGAGTCTTCTCCGATAGGTCTTGAAATTACCAACGAAGTTCAACACCGCCAGAGTCAGGGATATTGGTTCTCCAAAATCCGTTTGCCAGCGACTACCCTCGAGGGCATTGCCTTTGATGGCGAACAGAAGTCGGATAATGACACCTCGCCACCACCATTGTCCCCCTTCCGCAATGTTGATGGGCTTGTATACTTGATTGACGAATCATACCGTCAATCGATCTCCTCTCCCCCGCAGAGCCCCCCAACATCCCCAGCGCGGGGCTTCACATTCCCTGTCCTCGGACACTCATCGACAGCACTCTCCCAGAATGACGGTGGTTTGCCGTCCGCTATAAGAGAACAAATGATTTCTCAGTGGTCCCGTGAAGCGTGCCTGGCCGCAGTTGACAAGGAAGTTGCCAAAACAATCTCCATCAGCGGGTCTCGAACTATGAACGCGCGCAACCAAACCAATGGAGCCGCAAATGGCTCCCCTGCCGATTCTCAGCTTAATCGCCGCATGAGCATTCCCGAGATCTCTGGAGCATCATCCCAAGGCTCTAGCAAGGGGTCGCCGGTTCGCATCAATGATCTTCGACGCGTCTTGTCTGTCACTCATGACTCGCATAATCGACGAGTCAGTCCACTACGCGGTCAAGTCGACACATCCAATGCGAGCATCGTCTCTTCCGGAAGTGAGAGTATGTACAGTGGCAACTTTTCCGTTTCGGAAATCGACGGCGATGCAGCATCAATCCAGCCAGAGGGTCAACAAGCCCTTGAGGACGATGGTGCCGAAACACCTCGCCCTTCGGCTGCTGCGGTTGCCCTCCTAAGCGACGATCAAAACGTTACAACTCTCAGCCGGGTGAACTCCAACGAAGCTATTCCCCCGGTCCCACCTATCCCAGTCAGCCTCTCAATCCCAGGCGGTTTCCCCAACGATTCTCAGCGCTCCTTGGTCTACGACCGTCCATCCACAGCCCCAGACCCATCACGCCAAAATTCTTTAAAGCAGAATGACACCCCGGGGGCTCTCGCCGTTCAACCCTTGAACCGTAACAAAAGTCGCTCGAACTACAACCTAGCCGGGGCTGGAATCCCCGAACTCGTCAACGGCTATGAAGCCGATGCCCTCGACGGAACCCATCAAGACCAGTTGAAAAAGCTTCTGGATGGATTCCTTTCGCCTGATGATAGCTTCAAGGGTCGGCCTTCTACTGCTAGGACCGCTTCCAAGCTTCCTTTGGGTAGAAACCCCAGCAGACGACAGGCTAGCGGGGGCATTAGCAGACCGCCTTATTGATTGTATTTCTTGTACATCCAACAAGCATGACTTCGCTTCTTGAGTCTTCATATGTTTATAATTCTCTCTTGCCTTCTTTTTTTGACTTTTTATCCCCACTGCCTTGGCTGCATAAAATATTTTCTTGTTTCCTCATTTCGCTTGCATATGCTTTGAAGCTTGCGCTTTTTGTTTCTTTCTCTTCAGAACATTTTATTTTTTTTGACTTTGCGATGACACTCGTGCGATGTGCCTCCAGGGCTGATTATGTTGTCAATAGACACAATAGATGGTACTAGACTATGATGTTTGGATTTTGTAGTATGAAGCAAGTAAATATATAGCTGTAGCTTTGTGGAGGCCATACTTCTATGCCACCTATGCTGTAGGGATATCATTAGAAAGAGGTTCAAAGCATATTGAAATCACACCAAGACCCCGAAAGTGAAGCCTCGGATATCAAGCATCACGCTGCACGACTAAGCCAGGCATGTGCCACTTATTCTCCAAAGGAGCAAAGTATTCCTTGAAAGCATCTTGCAGCACCTCCTCGGACAAATGCATGTGTTGTCCGGGCGTAGTCTTGAAATCCAACCGACCAGCCTTGTCAAGTTGCTTGAGACCCAGCCAATCCGCCTGATAGATCTCCCTGTCCTGCAGACGCGTCACTTCACCAGTCGTAGCATTTACCTCCGCGAACAACGCGCTCTCCTTCGGAACAGCAACCGTATCCTCTTCAAACATGAACATCGCAAACTTATTCAACGACGCCAGGTTCTTCTTATATGTCTCGTTCTTCTCTTCGCGCTCGTTGTTGATATCCGCAAGGAAATTGCTGTAAGCAAGATACTGATCCAGTTCTCGCGGATCCCTGAAATACTGCGCGGGGACGACGCGCGACTGTGCGAAGTTCGTCCACCGCCCAGAGCGAAGTAGGGCCTCGGCACCATTGCAAATCCAGTCATTGTACTTGCAGGACTCGAACTCGGAGATTCCATTATGCTGACTGCCAAATGTGACGAGGTTGTGGACTGGTGGCGTATTACAGCGCTCAATGTATCCGCGCAGGAACTGTCCACCTTGCGAGAAGCCTAGGGCGTTGATGGCTGGCGCGGTGCTGAGGATTGGATCGGCCGCTAGTTGCTCGCAAACTATTTCGATTTGCTGGGTCACGTTGCCGAAGAATGTGGCTGAGCGGTCGCCGCTGCCATCGTCTGCTAGGTGGATGAGGTGCACGTAAGTGCCTGGGTTGGTAGCTTCGGCTAGCTCGGCGACTGAGGCCAGGCCTTCGCGTTGGAAGTCATCGCCAAGGCCGTGCCAGATCACCAGTGGGAGTTGGACATCTTCTGAGGATTGAGGGAGAACTATTGAGAGTGCACTTGTTGCCAGTGTGGCCAGGAGAGTGATGGAACGCATGGTGGTGTGATACGGGTATGTTGATTGGAGATTGGAGATGAGCGGGTAGCCTTGGAGATGACGTATTTCAATTATCTGGGGTGGTCACGTGTTACCGCATGCGGTAGATTGTCAGGAACTACACAGGCACACAGGTACACAGGCACTGTGGAATAATATCTATGATCACTGGCCGAGATAATCTATGGATTGGTCTGTTTGTTTTTCAGCTTGTTTGCTCAAGCGAGTGGGGAGAATCATAAGACCGAGAAACGAAGTAGGTGTATAAATTGAAACAAGTCTGTTGTGGCATTTTTGAATGAGGACTTCGCTGCTCATTTCCCATCAATAGTAATCTGTCCCTGCTCAGGTACCCAGGTGGAAGTGCATACTGGTATGCCGAGTCTACGGGGTACAAATGTACGGTATACTAAAAGCCCTGGAGGAGATTTCTAAGTTGAAGTGTTGAATTTGTTTTTTCGGGAGTACGGAGTACCAAATGCTCCATATCGAGTGGGTAGTCGGTGACTATGTATGCTGAAATGTGAGGGTATTTCTAGTGTAAAGTCCAGGATCTTCCTCCGCAGCAGAGTCCGTTTGACAACTGAGGCACCCCATGAAGATAATAACCTCGGAAACCCTGGGGTCACGGTGACCTGGAAAATAAACCTTGAACCCAGGTAGCGGTCATATGGTCTTTCCCCACATCTTGGCTTGGAGTAATGGATCTCTCGTGGTCAAGTAGCATGGATTGGGACGACAAACTGTTGATTGCACCCGAGCTGTCATGAGACCGTATCACTGGTCGCCCATTAATCTCAATTTGAATATTTTCAATGGTGTCGACGACAGATGACGGATTTCTCGGCCGATGACTAGGAAACTCACGGAAGGGCGACACATTGTCAGAAATCCTCTTTCTGTCCGTGTCATTTAGTCTGCGTCTTTTGCCGAAACGCTCTATCTCTTCCGTTGACGTAAACGCAAGTTCAAGGGGACGTGTCACTGCCACAGCTGCCCAATCGGATTCTTGGAGGAGTTGCCGCTTGATTTCACTCAGTTCGCTGGCACCACCTGCGTGGCCTTTCAAACGTGCAGGCAGATGTGAAACCGGCTCTTCAGCTCTAGACTCGACCGAACAGGGTTAGCACCATCACCAGCACCAGATGTAGGTGTATTGGAAAGCCAGTTTGTGCAATCAACAAATCTCGACTGACTGAGTTCTGTTTGCTACCGTGTTCCCTGCGTCATTCTTCCTTGTGCTCAAGCCCTCTGGAAAGTCGCAAAACGGAGAAGACGGGGGAATGACCGTGCCACTGAGTCTAGATTTGGCGAAACTCTGCTTCTGGGATTTTGTGAGCAGGCCTGAGCGAGTATGATGACGCTGCAACTGGCCGCCTGTCCAATTCATGATGCAAGCATAGGCAGGTAGATCAGTGCCAAGCCGCAGGGTCGACTGCGGATGCAGTGGATACCGAGGACAAACAGTGCAAACCCGCACCCGCCTAATCCAATCACGTGATACAGACCTATTTTTTCATTTTCGCGGCTGCGCAGGTTTCCTTTCACACACTTTTCTCCGTCAATCAGATTCGAGTGAAGAACATGGGCTCTTAGCTGAGCCTGTGACAAGTCATTTCCGACACCTTCCGGTAAGCATCCCACTTCCCTTTTTTTTTCCCACCTCTTTTTTTTTTTGTCTCTTGGGCCACTCGCCTTTTATGATGAACAAAAATATTTAAAGCATAGTTCACCTGAGGTCTTCGGGCTATTGAACGAAAACATATTCCATCTTTCATTTTCTGATATCAAATTTTCACATCATTTTGTTCTTTTCAAACTTCGAGAAGAATTGGGCTGACTGAAAAAAATAGGAGAGATGCATTGCTGCCCAACGTTGGGCGGGCTCGCCCCGTCCCGTTGTCCAGTAATTTCGTTCATAGACTCCTTTTTGGATAAATCAGATTCTTATTTAGTTTGAAAATATTCAATTTATCACTTTCATTTAATCTGTAATCTTATTTTATTGAAAATATTCTCTGAGTACTACGAGTAGTAACACGAGCCACTGTGCCTGGCTGCATCTGCGGATACAATATGTACGATGTATACTGTATGTGATATGTGTTATGCTCTCTAGGACTCCGTAGGCTACACCATATGCTATATCAAGTATCAAGTCTTACCTTTCCGCAGTTACCGCTGTGCCTTGCCGTGCCCCTCGACGTGGAGCTCTCTCCTCCCCTCGATCTGAGTACAACTCATCAACACGCGACGGGGAACCTGCCGATCATCTTATTCGGTCATCATGCAGCGTCAGCCAGGATTCATCACCAATCATTCTCTTTGCCAAGATTTCAAACCGCCGGCCTTGTCTCACCGCTAGAGTGGTTTCCTCCACTCAGCCGAACGAACACCCCCCCTAATCTGCAGATGCCATCACCGCCAGTCCAGAGTACTGGTTCTCAATGCTGCCAGCGCGCACTCGTCTAATGCACCCTGCGAGACTGGCACACGCCATGTTTCCACACACTGTCCGAGCTTTTTCTCGCTTGCGTGCTAAAAAGCCGCTGATCCCCCCTCGATCATTCTTCTTTTCTTCTACTCCTTAACTTTGGATACCCCTTTCTCAGCAATACCTCGACTTCTCTCAGACTTTATATATACATCGACTCAGTCCCTGGACCCGTGGACTTCTCTTCTTAACTTGCTTCCCTGGTTTTTGATGCAAAATCTGCCACAAGGATCTCTCTCTGCCACATACCAGGACAGGATTTGCTTTGTTGTTTCCCAGGCTTTTCTTTAGTCTGTCAACTCTTCCCGACAAACACTTAATAGGTAGCTGCCGTCACCTTTTCTTTTCAATTGGTCATTCCTATGCGTTGCTTTTTCTGTTCTTTTCTGCTCGTTCTCTGGACCTGTCCCGTCAGCTGTGATTGCCAAGGATTTCGACACTCTTTTTGCCCCGGATTCCCAAGGACCTTAGACTTTTCCCCAGGACTATGCCAACATTGGCGACCATGGATGCACCTTGCCTAGGATGCCTGCCCCTCGGCTCTTGCTGAGTGAATCTCTTTGAGATGTGTTTAATGTATGCACACTCATCACGACAAATTGCCACTGGACTGCCTAGGACTTTTCTCCTTTGTGACCTTGCCTCTTCTCTAAGACCGGAGTTAGAGTGCGGACTATGATTGACCTATGGACCTTACCTGCCCCTGGAAACAACGCCTTTGGATGATCCACTTGAACCCCAATGGACTATATTTTCAGGCTTTCCTTGGACCTTATGCTACTATGGCCGCTTATTCAACAATAATGGAACCACTTTTTATCTCAAGACTTCCCAGGATCTTCACAAGCTAATGTGCTTGCACTTTCGACTGGACTTTGCAGCAGCCGCTGTCAAATTTTGCCTTTACCTAGGACTCATGGACACTGGCCGTATAAACCTATACCCTGATGCTCACTATCTGCCGTCACATACTACCCAGGCCGCAGGATTGTTTCTTTGATTGGATTCCTAAGGACTAAGCTTAACGATAATGACCGTGGCCACAAACCTACGAACCTGTGCTCTTACTGGCATCACTTACGATATGGATTGACAACAGACCTGGACCTCAACTTAGAATTCCCGACTTGACCCTGGACCCTACGACCTCACCCTGGAGTATCAATTCCCACAAACGGTTCTGGTGTGTCAAACTCATCACTTTGACCCAGCTGGGCTCCAATGCTAACTCTTGCTAGGCACCCAATCACACTGGAACATGTTTTCTTTTTCTTGTTGTTTATTTTACTTTTCTTTGCTGTTTTCCATATTTATTTTTGCTCTAGTTGATCTAAACGTCGATGAGTGGGTTACTAACGCTTGATGTTTACAGTGTTCTATTCACATACAACTACACAATGTCTCCCAGGACAAGCAGTGACTCTGAGCGAGTCATCTCTCAACCTATGCACACAATGGTCTCAGGAATGTCAAATCTTGCCTCAAGGTCAATCCAAGATGATGAAATGTCAAGCCATGACAACTCATCATTGTGCTCAAGTATCCGGACAGCCCATGGAAATCCCCAGGACATGAAGAACTGGACATTGAACCACCCAGAATCTTTTGATCAGAAGACAGACCCATCCGAGGTGCACATGCTTTCTTTCTCGCTGTCTCAGCAGCTGATGACCCCCACGGTCGGACCCAATGATGTGATGTACCCAGTGGACTTCCCAGCAGTCCCTGACATGAATGAGCATGAAATGTCCCGGGATATCTATAGCACATTCCTGGATTTCTCTTCCGTTGAAAATGATTCCTGTGCCAGGAACGGCACACCAGACGATGCCCTTTCCATTGGACACAGCTCTCACACCGATGACGGCCACTACATTACCGAGTCATGGACCCCTATGATGCATGGAGCCCACTACCCAGGAACCACCATGGAACAATTCTCATCCGGTCTTTACCAGACTGTACCGGTCTCTCCCCCACTGACGGAAGCTAGCAATGATATGTCTGTTGCTTCTTGCTCCCACCCGGGATTCCCCTCATTCATGGCCCCTGACGATGCTCTCCTGGGAGGAGACTTCACCACATCACCAATTGGAGCCCACGGAATCAACCCAGCAGAGCCCTTGTTCCCCAGCACATCTCTCAATGAAAGAGATCTTAACAGGTCAGTGTCGATGCGGACCACAATGGAAGGCTCAAATCAAGAATCTAATCACAATAACGTAGGACCATCAGACCTTCCAAGCAATCCCGCCGCTCAGCATTGCCAGCTGTGTCTCACAAGGCCGACCCAGAGTTCTTCCCCTCCCTTCCCGTTAGAGAGCCCACTCGTCAGAAGTCCAAGGAAGGTGTTGAGGCTCGCAACCCGCGAGAGCACCAATATTATTCCATGTCCACCCACAGTGATGGAAAATACTACTGCCCCTTCGCCACTGGAGACAAGCCATGCAACCACCCACCCACCACGCAAAAATGCGCTTACCAGCAAGTCCTCCTGAATTTTCTATTTTTGGTATATGATCCCATCTAACCGTTCACAGCAAATACTTGGATTCCCACTTGAAGCCCTACCGCTGCAAGGTTCCCGCCTGCATTGATGCCCAACTCCGCTTCTCTTCCAACGCGTGCTTGTTCCGTCACGAGCGCGAAGCCCACGGATTACATGGACATGGAGACAACCCCCACCTTTGCCTGTGGGAAGGATGTGAGCGTGCCGTTCCCGGAAATGGATTCCCAAGGAGATGGAACCTTTACGACCACATGCGTCGTGTCCACGACTACGCCACCTCAGAGCGCCACAGCTCCCCTGAGACCTCCCCCGGCGCTGGACAGATCAAGAAGAAGGAGACCGCCGGTCGCAAGCGAAGAGTCACCGGTGCCACCCCGGCTCCGACCATGAAGCGCACCCGCTCCATTCACTCCCAGGCTAGCTCCATCAAGGCCACCCAGACTTCCATTGGACAACGTCTCCAGACCGCCGAGAGCAACTACTTCAAGTGCCGTTCTCGGTTGATGGAGCAGATGGGTAGCATCTCTCCCCAGGACAACGCTGGACACGAGAAGTTAAATGCCAGCTTCCAGGAACTCTTCACTCTCAGTCTGAACATCCGTCAGATCGAGGCCAGCCAGGCCGTCAACCACGTGACCAACGGAATGCCCTCCGCGTGAATTGTTTCCTAGATGCCGTTTCCTAAACGGTTGGTATGAACCCACCGGAGGATTTCCTTTTTTTCCCGTTCCTTTGCGGCTTAGTCCGCGCTGCTTGCTGGGCAGGCACCTTCACACCGTACTTCGGCCGAATTGATCCTATGGACAACCCCACTTCCCCAAGGGACTTCGGCCAGGGCTGGACGTGGTATTGTTCCACACGGCTCGCGATCGACGATCGTGATCCTCCGATCTGCCGGCACCGAGATTCTTGGGCCGGCTTGATCATTACACCACCTTTGACACATGGAAGACCCGAACTTATGCGGAGCATCAGCAAAGCGGGATACGGTGTCAGATCAAGGGGTGACAGAAGAATGACAGTAGAAAGATATGTACAGTCCTTTGGGCTTGATTCTGTTGATAGATTGTTGCGTTCAAATGTTTCGAGTGCTTCGAATATGCTGTTGAATGATATTGATATTAAATTTTATTCGGGACCGAATTGTGTATACTCTGTGCATCGTAGGAAGCCTTGGAGCTGAGTAGAATGTTTGGGGCTTGACCTAACGGGTGATCTGCAACGATGTTTCGATCCATGGATGCGGTGTTTGCCGTCGGAATAAGGTTGGAACCTTGGAAAGGGCTTTGGCAAACGTAATGTGGTCATTTCTCTGCACCTTGCAGATCTGATGTAGTGATCGAAATCTCCAAATGGCCATTTGATGCGCGGCTATATGAAATTTAATTTGATTAAACCCAATCCAGTTTTCTGCTTCTGTATGAAGTATGAAGTACAGATTCCACATTCGGTTGCTTTCTCCGCCAAGCTTTTAGTCTGACTTTGGTTCGGTTCGGCTTGCACCTCTTTGGTCCGAGCCGAAGTACTCCACTTCTGACGCACTCGTACTCGTACTTACGGAGTAGTACTCGTAGTTAGTTCTTGAAATGCAATCTGAGTCTGATGGGTCCAGTATGATCTCCTAGTCGGAACTGAAACAAGTTTCTCTTCGTTTTTCCTCATAAGCACCTCGATGGCTTGTGAAGACATACGGAGTAGTATGAGTGGCCGTTTTGAGGCTGTTTACTCCGTTCTTGCTTGGCTTAATTAGTCTGATTGTGCTACGGGATGGACAGTCTTTCGTCATCAAATGCATACTGAATCAAATCTTAAGAGTCGTCTGTAATAAAACATTGTGTCTCATGTACCTGTGACTTCCCGAGTCCGGCGCAAAACAACAACAAAAATCGAGCCATTTCGACCATCACTGACGGATGAATTCAGCAACCTTTGCGTTCAAGTCATCCTTCGCCGCTTCTTGAACAGAACCTTCTTTGTATAACTTATCAAATGTATGTTCACAGCTGTCATAGCGAATCATCTCAACGTGCACATCTGTCTATTCCTTGATCTCGCGGCCGAGTGCTTCTGCTTCAAGGCAAAGTGCATCGTCAGCATCTGTGACGAGTAAGAACCGACTAGAGAAGTTCTCCACAGGAATAAAGGAAGCCGAGACAAGAGGGTTCTTACGCTTCTTAGTGTTAGGAACATAACATGAGAGGAAAACATTTATGAGCTCGGCAGGAAGATTATTAAGCGATGGATCCGCCTTAGGAGCTATCTTAGCCGTCGAGTTTTGCGCCAGGTCTGTAGCTGGATAAACGGAGATTACATTCCGGAATGTTCCGAAAGGAAACACTACTCCGCTCATGATGAGCGCAAGGCTTCCACCAACACTGAAGCCCGAAATCGAGATCTGCGAGAGTGTGAACTTCGAGGACTGCGAAAGCACCCACTTAACCACATCTTCTACATCGTGAACTACCGTTGACCAAGGGTTCTCAGGAGCCAATTGATAAGAGCAATCGAGAACGGCATAATCGATTTTGTCGACGATTACCCGGGAGTATTCGTCATCGATACCGTGGAGAGGAACCACGAAGCCACTTCCATGGAAGTTGATCAGCACGGGGATTAATTGGTATTTACGATTGAGAGTATTGTAGACGTGGATCCGAATTAACCATCCTGGTTCTCGCGAAGGGATCTGTAGAACCTCGTTCGGGTGGGCCGTTACCCTATTATAGATATGCAGTCCGAAGGCGCGAGTGTTACATATGATTTCCGAGATATCAAAATTATTTATAGCGCTTTAAAACTGGAATAAATATTTCCAAGGAGTGGTTGATAGAAGCTGTAGTATACTTAAGTAATAAGCAGTACCAGTGACTTGGGAGTCATCTTCGTGCAGGTCCCGAGGTCTATTATTGAGGGTATAGCCATAGATAAGTGTCGGTAGAATTGATATACCGACGGACTAATACAATACCGATCAATATACTAACAAAGATTAATAAATAAAAAAGAAAAGAAACTTAGTCGTCAATTCTCGGGCTCATAGAATACCTAAACCTAGCTGAAAATTAGTCTCAGGCTCTGAAACTCTGGTTCTGAAGCTCCGATCCGAACTTATTTCCCGTATTTGGCCAGGGGTTTTTTATATTGTTAAATATCCTTCCAAATTTTGATGTTAGCGGCAGAGTTAAACTATAGATTCAAAAAAAAAAGAGACAAATTTATCCACCCTAAAAATCAAAGAAAGCATTCTAAGAAAGAGACAATGTGTCAGAAAGAAGAGACAAGCGACAGTATTAAAAAGAAAGTACGAAGAGAAAACACTTTTCAATATAGTATTAAATAGACTCTTGAATATACTATCGGATAAACTGAAGGATCCTTTCAAATTATTTTTACTGCTTACAGAAGTGTGCCGTTAAGGTAGAGTTTTAGAAGATACTGACGAAGAAGAGTAATGCGAGTGGCTATATTGAAGTATCCAAAAAAGAAAGGAGAGCAGGGTATACTTAATCTATGCATGTCTAAATATAGAGCAAGCCCTCTGACTCATTAAAGAAAGAGATAATCGGAAAGAGATATATATGTGTGTATATATAAAGTTGGAGACCGATAAAATACTTAATTAGGCGCAGAGCTAAAACAAGCAGCTTAGGATCTCCTTAGGAGCAAAGCCCACTTCTAGCCAATGCACCATATAATTTGCCTCTATGGTAGAAACATGAGAGCTTTCTTACAGATTTGTTGCCAATAGAGGAGCAAGCTCTTGATGTATCATAGAGAGGACTATGAGTATGTCTGGATAAGCACTAACAAAAGGACTATTCCCCGAAGGGTTTGGATATTGCAACTATAGGAATTCGTCGAATAGGTTTTGACTCAACTCTAGATCAATAGTAGAAGAGCGTAATGTGTTCTTGGCAATTTGTATAACATCAAGACTTAATAACTTCCCTATGGTTTAACCGAGATGGTGATACTCGACCCCTTGCTCGATGGCGATGAATACGTTTTTCGTATGATCTATATTGGTTTTTGGATCTAAAACATCGTATAAAAGTATCGTATAAGCTGAGACTAATAATAATATAGATGAGCTATTAAACTGTGTATAAGGATATCGCCGAAAATAGACGTTATGTACCAGATCAATCATTTTGCTAACTGCTTTTGTCGTTTCCCAGATAAATATGCTAATATCAAAAGATCCTTCTGCATTTTTCTGAGCTTCTTCTTTTGAATTGAAAAGCGCAGCAAAGAGGAGAGCAGGTCGATATATAAGCATATAAACAAGATAATAGTAGTATCCAAGGATCAGCCATTATATCTCCTGCCATCTGTGACCAAGAGGTAAACTGGTATCAAAGAAGTGGAGATTAAGTGGGAGCTTACGAATAGCAGATTCTAATAGCATCTCCACCTTGGTCGTAATATCGCACCCTTAGATAGAATGCGATATACTAGAGATGTTCTTAGGTAAATATATTTCCAAGAACACCCGGTCGGCAACAAGTCTAATATCAACCATAGCACAGACAAACCTATAGAGTATCAAGGAGTCTGAAAATTCACTCTTTGTATCGTTGTCTGATATGTTTGCTACTAAGAGGTCTTCGGGATATGGCGCATCAATCAAGTCGTCTCGGAAGGTAGATAGACAACCCGTATAGAGAGAAGTCCATCTTTCATAGGTATATATTATCCAAAAAGTACATTTCAACGAGTGGACCATCGTATTAGTTCCATTAACCACTTGTTATCGATTGATACCCAATACCATAGCACTACGGGCTGCATGTCCTAGGTAAAGCCATACTTCATTAGGCCGCATAACCTAGTAAGCGTACATAGTCTAGAAATGGTCTTCAGTATGCCGTCATGATTAGGATTTTGAACTCATTGTAATTTTTGGGGCCACTGACCTTCAAGAGCAAGAAGTAAGTCGAGGACAGACTGAGATCCTCAAAAGTAATATGCAGCCCATTTACCTTTGATGAAAAATGCTCTGCCCAATCTTGCAGCATAGAAGTGTCGTGCTGTCCTTCGGCAATAGCAACCCTAGCCCCGATAGCCAACACCATAAACAAGATTTCCTTACATTTACTGACACCCTGCTGGCGAGATGATTTTCCCATGTCCTCCCACTGTTCGAAAATATCAACATAATTCAGCACCAGAATCTACGGGTGTATTATTTCAAAGAATGACTGGATGAGTGAGGTGTCTATCTCCCGTGAAATATAAGCTTCAGGGTTTGTACTGGCCGGATGGTTACCGTCCATCAAGAACATGAAACGCTCGAGATTCCATTTGCCTAAACTGCCCGCAGTTGAGGCTCTCGGGATTAACATGGTCTCATTTGTCGTTCGGTCTATCCGTTGGCACATGCGCTCAATGAAGCAAAAATGAGACGACGGTCCTATAGTCATTTAGTCCTCCATCAAATATACCATGTGCATATTGGGCAATCTGTATACCAGTATACTCACCATAAAATTGAAAGGAGCCCGTTTCTACATTGGTGACACCAATACCGGCGCGTAGCTCCATTTGTCGTTTGAAGTGTACCGGGTCTTGCAGTACATGGGCAGTGGAGCGCAATGGCGCTATTAGAGATGATTCGGGGAGTTGAAGCTGTTGGTATGTTGAGGGTTCTCTCTGAAAACCACCCTGAGGTCCCTCAGCGAAGTGACGAGTATGCTGTCTCCTTTGACGGGTCTGTCGTGGAGGACGGAAGACACAATCATGTCCTCCGGGACGACAACCCGCGCAAGGTGAGTTTCCATCGCAGCGTACCTTACGGTAACGACATCGGTCACAAGCCCGGAGGACACGGTGGGATGATTTCTGCTCTGAGGAATGTTGAGCCTGATTGGAAGCGGACATTATCCAGTGACTCCTATGTGCCGAATACTTAACAAAGTGAGGATTCCGTCTCGGTCCCGGGAGTTGCTTACTTCCGATCCGAGCCAGTTCTTGCCGACTCGGCAGTTAGTCAGCAATCTCGCACAAATGGATGAGTAATCAATTTCGAAGAGTTCCATTGGTTGATGAATATATAACTAAAATTGTGAGGCGGCAGCTCCCTGAAAGAAGGTCCATTCACTAAGGAGACTAAAACTAGAGAAAGAAGGAAGAGAAGAGAGTGAGGCGGCAGCTCCCTGAAAGAAGGTCCATTCACTAAGGAGACTAAAACTAGAGAAAGAAGGAAGAGAAGAGAGTGAGGCGGCAGCTCCCTGAAAGAAGGTCCATTCACTAAGGAGACTAAAACTAGAGAAAGAAGGAAGAGAAGAGAGTGAGGCGGCAGCTCCCTGAAAGAAGGTCCATTCACTAAGGAGACTAAAACTAGAGAAAGAAGGGAGAGAAGAGAGCTACTGGGGGAATTTGGGAGGGTTGGGTTCCCGGGTTCGGTGTGGATGCCTTATTCCCCAGGCACCCAACCCCCCGATTCTCACAAAAATATCCAAAACGGAGAGATCTCTGGAGGGCAAGCAGTTGGCGATTTAATGTATAGTAGCCTGTAGGTTGCTGTCCTACATACTTAAGTAGTACTAATTGGGGCAAGAGGTCTGAGATCAGGTGACCTCTCCGCAAGTGTGAAGTCGATGAATCATCATATTTGCCCAGGTGTGCGAGATTGACACCCGGGGCTGGAACGTTTGACGGTTTCTTTGCAACCTTGAAATCTTGGAAATTTGAACTTCGGGCGGGTTGTTTGTGATCCAAGGCCATCTGGTCGCTTTTGCGGGAAGTACTGAGACTAGTGGGATCAACGTAGGCCAGTGGCCTAGGGTTTCACAGTGAACGTGCAGCATGGTGGCCAAAATCTCAAGCAGAATGGTTTATGATGCTTCTATCATGGTATCTATCTAGATCTATTTTGATTCTATATCAATATTCTAGGAAACAATTCGGATATGGCCTCGGACGGTCGCTATTTCCTCCACTGGCGGACTTTCACCCTGAGGAACCACGTCACGACGAAAACCAAGAAAAAGTTTGTGATGCAGAAGCCCAAAAACACAGCCCAGTCCCGCCATCGATCAGCATAGAAGAAGTGTAGAGTCTCTGCAAAGTCGTCTCCCACCGTGTACGGACATGTTTTGCAACCTTGGGTGGCATCCGGGTTAGCCAAATACCCAGTGCTAGCTTCAAGATATTGGGCCAGATACTGCTGGCAAGTTTGTCCAGATGGCGGATCGAAGACAGCCATCTCCTCGGATGTACATTGGACCTCAACACCATGGAGGATAGTAGCAACGGTGGGCTCGAAGTAATATGTCAAAGGATCTGCCCAGTAGAGCCAAGGGCGATAGAAAGAGTTGAGTGCACTGCGCGGATTGACGGCTCCAGAGAACATAAGCAGTGTCACCCAGAACAATGACATGGCGTAACCGGCCATGGTAGCATTGGGAAGGAAAGCGGCGGTCAGATAGGTAACGCCAAGGCCGAAGAGACCCATAAGGAGATGCATAAAATAGACAAAACCGGCAATGGAGGCAGTGCTGGAAAACCCGAAGGTCCAGTAGGAGACGATAAAGATCAAAGAGAAGAGCATCAGACTGTAAGGTATCTCCACAAGAATCAAGGCAGAAAGTAGTGCTTTGTGGTCATAGATTCCATTCCGCTCTCGAGCCTCGTAAATTGACCATTTCTCGTACCAACTTGCATGAACATCAGCAGCAACGCTGGGGATAACCCAAGTCGCAAGTAGAACGCCGAGCATGTGATTCTGAAGGCCGGAGCTGTTGTTTCCGACGTGAAAGAATGTGAAGGACACAAACATTGCGAAGAAAATGCATTTGAACAGGCGGCTGAAATTGTACTGTCCATTGCGCCAGACAGCCCTCCAGTGTCGGCGGGTGAGAACAGAGATCTGTACAAACAGGGGGAGTGCGTACTCGCCCTTTTGTTTCTCAGCGTTCGCATCCGTAGCTGGAGCAAAGGAAATTGAATTCAAGGCCTGAATCTTGCCCCTGAGGACATGTTTCTCGAACGAATCACTCCAAATATCCGACCAGCTCTTACCATCCGGGCCTTTCTCATTGACTGTAGAGATGATGAACTCAGCAGGGTTCTCTTCTGCTCTCATCATAGCACCATGCTTGGCAAAGTATTTTGAAACAGTAGAAGCATTCGGTCCGGTCTCTCCAAAGTATACCGTATGTCCTCCACGAGCAAGCAACAGGACATGATCGAACATCTCAAATAGAACACCAGATGGTTGATGAATTGTACAGACAATCGGAACACCTTCCGCGGCAATCTTGCGGAGAAAAGAGACAATCGAATAAGCCGCTTGGCTGTCGAGACCCGAAGTAGGCTATAGAATTTTCCAAATCAGCATTGAGGAATATAAAACTTGATGCAGAGGGTAAGAATTACCTCATCAAGGAACAGCAGTGCAGATGGCTTTGCAGCCAACTCAACACCGATGGTTACCCTCTTTCGCTCCTCTACGTTGAGTTGACCATCCCCAGTACTTCCGACAAGCGCATCAGCGATCATTTCCAACTCCAAGAGGGAAATGATATGCTCAACATATGCGAGCTTCTCCTCTCTAGACACATCACTTGACTGACGCATCAGAGCGCTGAATTGAAGTGCCTCCCATACTGTCGTTGTCGGTTCGTGAATATCCTGTTGCATACAGAATCCACAGGAGCGAGAAAATGAAGGACTCAGCGCAGTGCCGCCCAGCAAAATCTCACCAGTCATGCGGCCATCGTCTTTGCGCCGGGAGAGATTGTCCAACAAAGTAGTCTTTCCTGCACCAGAAGCCCCCATTAACGCAGTAAGCTGTCCTGGCTTGACATATCCAGATACCTGATCAAGAAGCTGTTTCTCACCCTCACTGGTGTTGACATAGTAACTGAGATTGTCAAAAGTGAATGAAGCGCGGTCTTGGCGAGATGCTGGGTTATCGTTGACGGACTCTTCTATCACACTTGAGGGTCGCTGGTCACGCTTTTCGGTAGCACATGTGAGTTCAGTGGGTCCCATCGCATCTTTCGAGGTCTCTGATTTGACCCGCTTCTCGTTCCCTTCGTCTGGCTGATCTGTCTTGGAGGGTGTCTGCTTCTGGGTCTTGACAGCATGGCGCTTGTAGACAGGGCCAGTCGCGTTGCCGCTATCTCGGGTCATTAATGTCAGGCCAATCGCACCAAGCACAGCGTAGATAAACCACATGGCAATGATGATTCCAAAGTTTCGCCAAAGGTGAGTACGGGTATAGCCATACATGCTGTTGGCATACTCGGCCCCATCCACAAGCGCTGAACCGTGATGTGCGCCTTGCATGGGGCATGCTTGGTGGTTGATGTCGTTGTATCCTGGCCCGGATGGAATCAGCTGAGATTCGGTACAGTGCAATTGAATCTTGTAGAACTCATTGCCAATCAGTGCTTCCATCGCGTATGGAGTCGGCGAAACGCGACGAATCCAAGAGCCCCATCGATGCATAGTCGGAACCGGAGGTGCATATCCAGAGTAGAGACAAGCGAATGGGAGGGCACATCCAGCGAGTAAATATGATAGGTTCAAACTCGGCGCCCATGCACCCAACATGCGGAACATGGTTGATATGGCCGAGAAATGAACAAAGGAAATTAAAACGAATATGAAAAACTGCGAAGCACTCTCGCTAAGCCCAATCAAGAAGTAATAGCAACAAGCAAACACCAGAGATTGAATCAGGGCTGATGGAATGTCTGCGATGGTCTGGATAATAGCATATGCAGCAGGGTTGATAAAGCCCATGTTGTGTTGTTTGAGGAGGATTGCGCGAGCATTGACAGTCTTTACCACTTCGGTCATAGCGTTCAAGCAGAAATATGCAAGTGTAAAGAACAAGGCTCCGCTTCTCTCGAATGAACCGGAGGCTGTTTTGGGGGCTGCGTAGAAGCCCGAGCCTGCGATCACTGCGTTCACGCTACAGAGCGCCAGGAGGGTGATAAAAGTTGACAGATCCCCCCAAAACAATCGGTAGTACCGTTTTGTTCCCACAAATATCTGTTTCCACAAAGTGGCAGGCTCGACAGCGTGTTTGAGGGCCATTGAGGATCGAACCCGCATCACCTCAGCAGAGAATTCCTCTTTGGCATTCGAGTTAGCTTGCGATAGGTAAGAATACTCTGCCAACTCCTTCTGAAGCATCGCATAATGTGGACTTTGAATATAGGCCTGTGCCAGAGAGCTTGGATCAAGGTACAAGGGCCCCTGGTAGTCTTCTCGAATTGTTCGTTCCGCGGGAGACGTGATAGATGTAAGGAAATCCGGAGTGGTTTGTCGGTCTGAGCAATAGAAGCCCAGATCTTCAAAGTACCGCTTAGCGTCTCCCACTTTTCCGCTGAAAATCATCCTTCCATCATACATCACGATAGTGCGATCAAAACACTCTCGGTACATGCTCTCTGATGCCTGGTAGATGGTCACCACGTTCGTCATTCCCGTGGCTCGAGACATGCGCTTGAGCAGTCGCAGAAACTCCAGGGCGGAAGAGCTATCAAGACCACGAATTGGGTTGTCCCAGCTGACGAGGGTAGAATTGACGGACATCGCCTCAGCAAGAGAGACTCGACGACGCTCTCCGCCTGACACACCGCGAATAAACGAATCACCCACGATGGTATCCTTGGTGTGGTTGATTCCCAAGGCACCCAATAGCTTGGCGCTGAGTTCTGCGGAAAATTGACAATCTTTCATCGAACTGTTTGCGGGCTTTCGGAGACTCAGACCGAAATCCAAAGTGTGTTTGACTGGAAGGGTTGCGAAATGCACGTCGTCTTCGGAGCTGTAGACAACCTCGGATTTGAGCTCGTTGGTCATCTCTTGCGCACTGATTGCGCCATAGCTGACCTCGCCATTGACTTCTTCAAATGATTCCCGAGTGTTCGCAATGACCTTGAGCACTGTGGTGCATCCCGAGCCGGGTCGTCCCAGGACTAACATAGTCTCGCCGGGAAAGGCTACCCCGGAGACTCCCTGGACAATGTTGCTTCGAGGCTTTGTTTGTTTGCGAACCACATGCTCGATCAGTTGAACAGGAGCTTTGAGAATTTGCAGAAGAATTTCAGGCAAATCCAACACCGTCCTTTGACTTCTCGTGTGCCCTTGCACTGTGATGTTGTTGAAAGAAACTCCGAGGCGGCGTCCATCATAGCGGTAGATTGGTAGATCATCCGAATTATCTCCTGTGCTTTCAAGATCCAACTACCATTGTATGTTAGCTTGAACTACTTGAAATCTAATCTTTACTTACCTGGGAGGACGAGGCCGAGTCTGGATTCTTCACTGACATGACCGGGCGTGTTGAGAAGAACCTTTGAATCTATGGTCTTTAAAAAAACAATTGATACTGAGGTAGCCATGATATGGTCGAGTGAATGTATGTTTAAATGGTGAGGTTTGACTATGGATTTCATTCAATTGATCGGGATGCATTCGCAGATCGAGCCCAATCCATGCCGACGTTCTAGTTCATTGGAGGCTCGGCTCGGAGACTGTGCTTCTCGGTCCGAATTATAAAGGATCTGAGTGGCCACTTTACCTGACAAGTGGGCCCTTGGAAACCTGCATGAGGAGTATACAATCCGGGGGCTCGGAGCGGAACAAGGCATTTTCAACTAAGCCTCCGATCCGAATATTGTGTTTAATAATTCAAGTCTGAATTTGCCTTCCCAAAAATTGAAATTTTAACTTAATCTCACTTGTGCGTCATCCCAATTTTGACTGATATAAAGCCTGATCAAGTGCATCCCGATAGCTCTGGTTAATTGCTGCATTTTCAAGTTAAGATCCGAATACATTCCTGCAAAGTGAAACCGAGTTATTCGCAATGGGCTTCGCAGCAGCTGATGACGGTCAAGAAATTTTTTTTCGGACTCATGGAACAAACGGCCCTCTCCTAGTCTTCATTTCCGGCTACTTCGGTGTCGACAACATTTGGCAGCCTTTGATCGCAAAGCTATCCCTGCAGTACCGCTGTATTTCCTACGACAACCGGGGTTATGGGCGTTCCTCCAAGCCAGTATCCTCGGACAGTTATTCTGTCACGCGCCATGCTGCTGATCTGCGCACTGTTCTCGACGCCTGCAATATCACCGAACGCGTTGTATTTGTAACCCACTCTACGGGCTGCAATATCGCTGCGGCATACTACATCGCTTATCCGGATAGTGTCAGTGGAATGATCAACTCAGCAGTATATTATGACGGACATCGTATTCAAAAGTTTGTCCCCGAGGAGGCGTTTTCCTCTGGCGCTGACATATCAAGCAAATGTGTTGCATTCTACGCCAACATGGGTCTGGATGAAGAGACAGCCCTGGAAGCGGCCAAGTGGCCCGCTCTTGGTCGTCGAAACAACGCCTATGCACTCATGAGCTTCACAATGGAGAATAAGTATCCTCTGATCAACGTCCCTGCTTTGGTGGTATTGGGACAGGATGATCCAGCTACCCCAGAAGAGTTGGTGACGCCAATTGTGCAGGAGATGCCGACTTGCAAACTGGAAGTTCTTAAGGGCGTTCAGCATTTTCCGCCTACTGAGGCTCCGGTAGAGATGGAACGTCTGATCTGAGTATTTGTTGAAGGATTGTCGAGGTGAATAACAAAATTGATGTATCTAATTAAGTCTTCAGTCCAATCTGTTTACCCCAGTGTATCTGTACAACTTTAGAGCATTCTAAGAACTTTAGAACTACTCAAGTACTCCAGAGCTATGATCCTATCTGTAGATGTACACTGTGCATTAAGTACTTAGTAAGTAGAAGTTGCTTCTTTTCTATGTTCTGGAGGTAACCTGGGTATTGATATTGATGAATTGAACATGTTACTTCTAAAGTTCCTGGAGTCTTAGATGTGGTCTATGAAACGATCATCCATACTTAAGTAGATGTTGTAGTTTGTTCATGATGGATGGATTGAGATCCATGTGAGAGTGGAGTAGGGTAGCGTTTCCGGCATTATGTGCCAATTAACTAGTGACTCCTATGCTATGAATTCTTTTAGTGACCCACGAGTACTGACTTTGTCAAGTACTCGCTTGAGGGGGCTTTATTCTAAGTCTAAGTTGCATATGGACCTCTTTCAATCCATCTCAGTTGGCCATCTCCATGGAAATTCGTCCATGATCCATGGATGCCCAGGTGGGATTTCGTTAGGACAACCACCTTACCGCGACGCCTGAGAACACCTGCATGCAGTTGAGATGCCAGCCATAAATGCAACTGACATCAGATATATATCCTGCGAGTTTTACTCTTCAACCTCTCCCGCAGCACCCGAAAACTCAGCATTAAGGAATCGAACGAACGCATCCCCAACTTGTTCTGCAGCTAGTGCCCCAGCTCCTCGACCGACATAGGCCCGGTTCAAACCAATCCACTGCCTTCTCAGCCGCTGCAACCTTGGTAGTGCAAGAACACCACCCGCACCAGCGAGCTCCTCCGTTGTGCCCGATAGTACGATATGAGACGGTAGGAAGACCGAAACGGCAACGTCCGGCACGGAAATGGCAACTCCATCGGCGACATCGCTCTGAGCGAGGGCGATATCCGCGGTTGGATATGTCGTTGTGAAATTACGAATTGCAGCCACAACTGCAGAGGTGCGCTTCTCCATTGCGTACATTGCGTTCGGATCCGTGGCGCTTGCTTGAACGGTCGCTTGGTGGGGGACAATTCGCGGACGAGTCGATAACCGACCGCCTCTTGGGCCGCCTGTTGCTGTGCTGGCTGCGTCGGAGATGGCAGGGGCAAGGGTGGTGAGGCTGGGGAGTGTCGGCTTTTCAGTGGGGAGAGCCACGCCTGTGAGAGCTTCAAAAATATCTGATACTGGGGGCTCGGGGTCGTCGTAAGGTACTGTGAAGAGCGGTTTGTCCCAGCGGCTGTGGGTACTTGGCTCTTCGTAGCGGAAGATCAGATTGTTTAGTAGTTCGGATGGGTATGCCTCTTCAGTATCGAGGGTATCTGTGTTTTCAGAGGTTTGTGGTGTGCTGTCATCTTTATCCGCGTCTCGGCGTAGGCGGGCTTCGTTGTTGGCGACACATCGGTCGACGGGTGTGCCGACATGAACCTAGATTGATTAGCTGTGTCATAATACACCGTATACTATGCACATACCACACAGCAAGTTGTTTGTGCAGCTTTTGCCTCGCACCAAAGCTGGTACCTCCATCCTTTGATGTAGTTCATTCCGTCGAGAATGACAATGCTGTCTCGCTTGAGCACGCGCTTGGCTCGCGCGTATGCAACTCCACGCGCCTCTTTCTCTGTACGGGCATGGTCATAAACGATCCGAGGATGGGAGGAGTCATGCGATGCGACAACGTGGACCGTGTAACGGGACTTCAATGACACTGGCGTGCCTGCTTCAGCGGCCGCGAATATTTCATCCTGGTGTTTTTCCAGCAAAGATGCTAGCTGGTTGGCGCGATGGGTGAGACCCGAGCATGGGAATCCGGTTAAAATGATGAGCTGGAGTTCATTAGAGAGGAAGACTAGAAAGGATTCGAAAGGCTGCGCGACGTACCGGCATCGTTGGTTGTTGCTGTTTGTCGCGGCGGAACTTTTTTTTTTGCTGCGGGGCATGTGACCCCGCATCTATAAATCTCCAATCTACGGAGTAGATGTCCAACGATGGGTTAAGAAAGAAAATCTTTGGTAAATAGACTAAATTCTGCCTAAAAATGTATATTGAACTTTTGTCATAGTATCATGTCATCGTTCCAAGGATAGAACTAAGCCTTGGATGAAGCCAATTCCTCTGCTGACCACCGAATTTGATATCCAAACACGGTTCTTCGCAATTTTTCATCCTGAATTTAGTTAATGATATAGCCCAGTACCAACATGGATGGTAACTTACACCGGGATCATCTTCGAAAAGAACCGCATCAACGACTTTCTGGAAGATCTTGGTAACTGTGAACCCACTTGCTTCAGCCAAGGGGAAGAACTGTTCAGTCTTGGGTAGAAGCCAGGGCTGGTAAGGGGTGAAGATGACCAAAGCGACAGACTCGGGACTCTTTTTCATGGTCTCTTGCATAGTCTTGATCAAATTCGGATGCTCGCGGTGGCTGTACACCACATCGGCCATGATGAGTACATCGAACAGTCCAGGAGAGCCATCGGCCGCAGGTGGCAGATATGCGCGCAGCTTGCCCACATCGCTGCCCCATTTGTAGCCATCCACGTGGAGACGGCGCAAGCCATCATCTCTAGCTGGGATGGCACTTGCAGACAGATCAGCGTTGTATTGCATGTTTGAAACGAGATCTGGGTCAGGGTAGTCGGTTAACACGACGGTGCGTGCTCCTTGAATTGCGCTCACGATACTGGGGACGCCTGCTGCTGCCCCAATCTCGAGAACATCTCTGTTTTTGATGAGATCCTCAGTGTGCTCCTCAATGTAATGGGAGCTGGTGCGACCAGCATTCCAGAGTAGATTGCCCTGACGAGGTTAGTATCTCTAGGTGGATGAGCCTGGTCTGGTTTCATACATAGAGAGGATGGTCGCCGACGAGACGAACCCGGACCTTCTGACCGGACAACATGCAATGCTCGGCAAAAGTAGGGGCTGCATCTTCCGGATAGTATCCGTCCGGATCTTGGAATAGATCCCCTGAATCAAAATTGTCGGCCATGGCGGCAATGGGCTTTTTTCTCTTTTTTTTTTTTTTGCTTAGGGGAAAAATATCAGTCGGATCTTATCGGCGGGGCATTCTCGGGAACACTTTCGGGCCAATGCCTAATTTGGGGGCTCAGAGAATACCTTGACTTGAATACCGGATGACTCGGCTTCGACTTCGGTATGGCAATGTGGTATTGCTATCTTCGGTCTGCAGTTAATCTGTGCACGCAGGAACCTCGGGAGGGGGATTCACACATCAGACGATCATACAACCATTCACTGATCGTCACCCCGCAGAGACCCTCAGCCAATGATAATTACACAGTAATATACTCCATACGTGTAGGTATCAGATTGTATGTTCAGAATGTCTTTTATAGACTCCCAAATTGATACCCTGTGGTTATCCAGGCTAAAAAAGGGTCATGAACAGCGGAAACTCAATGGAATCGATATCACGTGGTGCCACATGCTAGCACGTGATCGAGAAATACACCCCAAGTCGGTAATACAGTGTGGAGAGAGACTTGGAAATACCGTCACAATACACTAGCGGATAAATGTCGGGACTGAGAATCTGCAGTTCGCCTTCAGAGAAAACCATATGCACCCCTGATCAGTGACAATTCTGTGCTTAAGAATTTAGACTGCTTTCTATCTCTGGTCCTATTTCGTTCTTGCAACTTTGCTCTGCCCTTGGTGGAAACCCGCAAGTCTTCTCCGCACTGCATTGCATCTGTCGATCTGATCAACGGCTTTGAATTCCTTGCCCTTACTTGCCACTGTGCTCTCGTCTGCGCCCTCGATTACATTCCCTCGTCTATAGCAATATCTGCTCCTCGAACCTCACTCCCCCGGCCCCGTTTGCTTCCTTATCGCTAGAACCCCGGAACCGACTATCACGACATCATGGACTCGACCCTGCAACCGGCATTCAATTCCCAAGCGCCCCAAACTTCCTCCTTGCAACCCTCAAAACTCGAATCCACCATGGCCGCCCAGGCTCAAAATACCATAGAAGTTGCTTCAAATGCAACTAGGCAGGTCTTTGCCTCGCCTTTACAGAACGCCTGCTCCCCGTCGCAACCCTTGTCCAAGGCAATTAGCCAAAACCAAAGCGCCCCAACCGCCAACCCCCATACCATGCCCTTGAACCAGGCACCGGCCCAGAACAACCCTTTACCCCACATAGAATTGGGCGGACCGACCGCCACGGCGCCCTTCCTGCAGGATTTCAGTCTTGTCGCCGAGGCCGCAAAGCGTGCTCAGATGGGCATCGTCATGCGTGATTTGGAGAGTGTGACCCTGTGATTTTATTCTCGGGCCTGATCTAGACTCCAGAGGGAGATGGCGTGCCGCATGCGCATATACGAGGACCTTGGACTGGCTCCACGACCTCGACAGGACTTTCTTGGCGTATACGGGGATAATTTGTTTTTTTGCGAAGACACCCGGAAGAGTGTCAACCCAGTGCAAACGTCATGTTGGGATGTTTGACTGGGTCTCATGGCGTTGTCGCTGTACGGTGTTTTTTTATTTTCAGGGTTTAAATTTCTGTGGCTCATGCCCTTATACCATCCACTCACGAGACATGCAATACATTTTCATTAGTACCAATATACCTCAGATGTCTACTAAAGAATCTGCTATAATTCACTTCTAAGAGGAAAATGTAGCTAAAATATCACTACTAAATATGCGATGGTAGCCCGTGTTACGGCCAGAAAGCCTACTGCCACGCTCCTATGAGTATTGTCTGACTCTGTTTACCCGGGTAAGATGCCACCTTTAGAAAGGTCACCTAGGCATATTTCTAGGCCCTAAAGACTTCCAAGGTTGTCTGCATATCGCCCGGGCACCTCAATGCTCACCTGCATGTGTAGGTGGGATAGCATGTAAGCATAACGCTCGGTCTCCATAAGCCCGATGAACGGGGGCCATGCAGCATGCAATGTCCATAGAACCTGGGGATATTGCGAATTTCAACTCTTTGCCCAGGTGCCCGCCTAATTATCCCCATTTTACCCCACGCCGTGACGCAATCAACAACTTCCAGTCAATCCAATCCCTGGTCGTCAAGTAAAAACCCCTCCTTTGAACCACCGAATTCCGGCAAGATTAGCTTTGCCAAAGTCATGGATTGCCCATGTTTGCTAAGAGTCTTTCCCCGCATGTAGCCCCGGACCGCGGAGTGGAGCGTGGACTAGCATGGATTTCCCTGGAATGTTTAGGCTGGTTGCAAAGGGTAATATATACCCTGCAGTCCCTGTGATCAACAAAAGTGGGATTTGCATAACTTGAGAATGGATGTGGTCGAAAAGAAGCCGCATTGCGTTATCCGGGGAATATTTTAACATTTATAGTTTGTGTTTGGCCACCACAGGGGTCGTCTAAACTATGTTGGCTTTTAGGTTGGATGAGAGAGTGCATGTCAGGTAGATCTCCAATCAAGTTGGCCCTTTAAAACTGGGCTTCAAACGAAGGATAGGACAATTGTTATTGTGATACTTAAGTACATGCCGCTGGTTGCTCAAGTCTATACTTAAGTATTTGGTGCAATCCTTAGTGTTACCATTAGGAAAAGACCGGGCCGAGCGAGTCACGTCTTTTTATCGCCGGAGGGGGGGATTGAAAAGTGCATGGTCCATTGCGCCAGCATGGGATAGCTCGAATAATGTTGCAATTCGACACAGAAGCCGATAAAAGGACTTCACGGCTTCCTTGATCGGCAAGGGAAGACACGACAAGCCCTCAACTGCCCAAAAGTTAAAACAATTGATGGTCACATGAGTGAAGATTGTGTGATAGGTGAAGATGACGGCGCTTTTTTGTTCCCTCGTGAAACCCCTCCAATTGCTTATGTCCGACTCAATTATGGGACTTTCGGGAGATGCGTGGGTCTTGCTCGTATTACCACAATGGAACCAACTCACTTCCAATGCAGATAAAACTGATGGTAGCTGCGATAATCTTCAATAGTGTAAGTCCTGAGCTCGGCTGAGTGCCCAGGTGGTTACCTAGGTACTCACCGCCATCTCAGCAGACTGCACTCATAGGAACCATTGATGCCAAGGATCGCACTGATCTGAGATTGATGACGGGAGACCGGGTGCGATCTGCCGAGCGCTTCCCACCCAAATACACCCCGCGCGAAGATCACGAGCTAAAGAGAAGTACTGCAAGGGTTCTCCTGCCCGAAGTGAGGTACGAGGTACTCTGCAGTCATCGATGGTCAATTTTGCAAACATATGGCACAAGCACATCATCTTCGGACTCCGTGCAATGCACAGTACGCCATGATCGTGGCTGGAAAATACCGAATGAAAGTGATGCAATGGAGGAGCCTGATACCCGGACTACCATCTCAGACACCCCCACTGTAATCAGCCCACCGAGCGACCGGGGGAGAACCGAGTGGGAACAATAAGTGGGTGCACAAGGACCTTGAGGAGCACTAAATGACTTAGAAACCTTGGGTTCCGTAGAATGGAATTATACATCGGGAATTCCAGTGTTTGTTACTCTCTCTGTTTCACGTCCGGCCGCATTACGAATTTGAATCTCATATTTTTAGACGTTGACGCACGTTGGTCCACCGGCAATGCTTGGCTGGGGGGTGCAATGCCGCATGGTGGCGCACTTGGCGTGCTGTTTATTGAACGCTTCAAGGGATGCATGAACTTGATATATCATTCTGAGCTGTCGATGCAATCAATAGTCCTGAAGTCAAAGAAATAGTCGTATTAGTGGAAAACAGCGCAAAAACATAACATTATAAAGGATATCCATTTCCCAAACACCGAGCTATGCGCAAACGTAGATACAGATTAGAAAGGAATGTAAATTAGTTACCACCCCGCAGTAACAAAAGCCCCAAAAAGATTATACCCGAACACCCCAGCAGTGTATGTATGACTGAATCATTTCATAACCATAGCTCTTTTTTGTTGTGTGTGTTGCTTTTTCCCGTCGATTCCGGTGGATGCTTGAATGTTTTAAATGAAGGAGTTCTGGCTCCGACTAGCATATTGAGTTGAAGACCCGATCAGATTGGGCGAGGAAATGCAGCCACCCTTGGAGCTGACGGGTTTGCCGCGAGATGAGAATACCGACAGGCGGCGGGAGATGCGTTGGCTCATGCCCCGCGTTGGGCCGGACCAATTGTCGAATGAGATAATGGACATAGGTCGTGAGCGAGGACCGTCGGATGTGGCGGGAGGAACATCCCGTGGGGAAACAGGCTCAAAGAAGACGGTTGAGCGGCGCTTCAGCTTCTCCGTGTCGAGGGACAGGTCCTCGCGGATATCGCCGAGAGCATGGGAGACTCGGCGGAGGAGCTTGGGTGGTTTGCAGTAGATGGAGGGCTCTCTTTGCTCGAGGCCATAGACTTGTAGAGGGGTTGAGTTGGTGTCCTCGTCCACCGGGGAGGAGTAGAACCGGGGGTATTTGATGGGCATGGGGGATCGGCGGGTGGGTTGTTGGTATGGAGGTGAGCGAGGCTCAGAGGAGACACTGGAGGTCGAGCTGTTGGGTGAAGTCAACATGATTAAAGGACAAGGATGTGAGAGAGGAGGAGGAAAACAAAAGGACGAGAAGAAAAAGTAAAAAATAGGCTCGCAGAAAGGAAAAAGAAAAAAAAAGCGCATCTCTATGAGATTCCGAAAAAGACCAAGAGTGGATCAGAGACATGAACATTTTAGTCCCAAAGCTACGAGACGCCGTCCCGTGTAACACTTAGATGACTGTAATTTAATTTTCTCCTTAATGTCCACTCCATAGGATTGCTTCTCTTCCTATGTTTCAAGCTCTATGAGTCTCTAACATTGTAGAGAGACTGAACCGTGGAATAGTCAGTTACATAGTCATGATACTCGTAGTTATCAGATCGTGTCTCAGATTTGACGTGAACTACGATCCAATGACATTCACGGGAGCATCATGATCATCTCCAGCCCCATCTATTTTCGTCCTCGTGTTGCCGCATCAGCTTTCCCACAACGCGAGTATACTTCCACGTACGCAAAAACGTACGCAAAAACGTAGCGACAGAACAGCTCATTGCGCATTCTGAGGATGTTTGTCGTAAGTCCCAGGGGCGAAGACATAGGCATCCACGGTTCCCACCGGGAGGTCTTAGGATCTGATCGGTGATTGGTTCGATTCCCGCTCAGGGGGGCATGGCGCCATGCTTTCATGTCGAGTTTTGTTTTTATTTTTATACGGAAGATCAGAGACATTTAGACCGACTAATGGAGAGCCACGGCATCCTATGGTGGAATCTACCTGTCTCATTGGTATCTCAATATCCTCCTACACTGCAGGTTTAGGATTGAGCAACATACCCGACCATTGACTTTTTTTTTTTCTTTCTCCCGTCGGATCCACTACGAAGAACCATAGCCACAGTTGTGCCCACAGGTGGATGTGAAAGGAGGAGGGGGCATCGAATTTGGTACTTCATTCCCGTTCTTCTATTACTAGTGTTGCCTAGGGAGCTGTACGAGCATTACCCATAATGTTATAGTGTCAATCATTCCCCCGCACTCGGGAAATCGGAAAGTGTCCTTCGTTCAATCGTACCTCCACTTTACAGTGTACATTCACCTTACATCACAAAGCGAAGGTTGGTATCTGCGCGAGTCAGCTGAGCTCGGTTAGGTCACACCGCGGTACTTACCAAGGGGATGGCTGCAGCTCAGCTGCGGCTTCTGCGAGTACTTGTCTTCGAGTTCATTGCGAATCGTGTTCAAGAGCTGCAGGTAGCTCTGATGTGGCCACTGCTTCAGGGATTTCACAAACGCCCAACTCAACGCCCCACGCGCTTGTCCGTCCTGGAATGTATCCGCCCTATTCACGTTAGTCGAAATTCTGGTGTTTTCTTTTTCTCCTTTATTTTTTCCTTCTTTATTTCCCCCCTGTCTTTGCTTTTCTTTGGAAAGGCTTGGCGACGCCACTTACGATGTCTGTGTGTCCTTGGACCCTGAAAACATAACCACATCCGCCGGGGAAGTCTTGGTCATGATGGTGCGCTCGCGGGCAGATCCACCATTGGCCGCCTTTTTAAAGAATCCGATGGCAGTCGACGCAACGCTAGATAGATCACCCTGCCCGTAGGAGGTAAAGGCGCTGAATAAATCTTGGGCGGCTTCCTTGGCCAAGTTGGGTTCCTTGAGAACGCCCTGCGTGGAGTAGACGTATGGTAGGTCCAGGGCCGTGCCCGAGTGGCACGAATCAAAGATTGCGGTCAATCGCACTCCGGGGCGCAAGGGACGCACCATGATCGCATGCATGTCGTCGTCTACAATGTGCCCAGCCACGCGATAGTCGAGCGGGTAAATGACGTCGTCGAATCCGTCGTCCTCGTCGCCATCCAGATCGGGTGTGCGACCGCCGTGACCGGAGAAGTGCACGAACAGAGAGTCGTTAGGTTGAGCGTCCTTGACGAGCCACTGCATCGCTCGCAGGATGTTGGCTTTGGTGGGGATGCTCATTGGGTTGCGTTGGTCGTCGGTCAGGATGACCATGTCCTCACGCTTGTAGCCGAAGCGCTCCGTCAAAAAGTTCGACATGTTGGTCACATCGTTGATACAGCCCTTGAGGGCATTAGGCTGCCCGGCATAGTTGATTCCGATTAAAAGGGCCTTGCGCCGACCGGTACAGGCCGAGTACTGGAACTGATAATTTGACGGTGCCCCACCACCGAAGTGCTGAAAGTTCTGTGGTGGGGGTGGAGGCAAACTCGGCGAGTTTGCTCGCGGGATTCCTGCATATGGTGAGTCATGCATTCTTCAACAATCTTTGATCCTGTGCAGCGACCTACCATTCTGGGGCGCACTCAGATGATGCTGGTGAGAGGGGTGAGGAGAAGGAGAGTGACCATACGGTGATGGAGCCTGAGCAGGAGGATATTGGGGATAAGGAGGATAAGGCGAGGGGGGGTAGGGTGCATGGTTGGGACCTGGATATGACGGCTGCGGGTGATGACCGTAGGGCTGAGGGGGATAGGGCTGAGGCGGGGGTTGCCGCCAGTGTTGTCCGGGATAGCCCCATTGGGGAGGCGGTCCTGAGTGTCCCTGAGGAGGGGGAGGGCCGTGGGGATAGTACATATTTCTGCGATATTCTTCAGAGACACAGAAGTAAGAAGAGGAAGTAGTCGGGAAAAAAAGAGCGAGTTTTAAAAAAGAACTCGGCTGGCTAGTGGGGTTGCAGATCGTACAGAGTCAACGCCCGGCAAGGCGAAATTTCTCGGCACTATAGCCGACAACAAAGCTGGAGATTGAAGAGACCCACTGATAGGGCTGCAGCGTGCCTATGTCATCGTGTACTAGTACTACGTATTCACTTGAAGAGACCATTCCAAGGTTGTATCGGAATATACTAGCTATGGTCACCAATGTGTGAGGTTGTCTACTCCAGACATACCATCTGTGAAATATGCCCTACAAGGTTACAGATCGCAAATACAACGTGTACGGAATACTCCGTATAGAGTACAAAATAGTTCTGAAGTACTCGTACACATAACGCAAACCACTCATTGTGAAGGCAAATTGGCCAAGTGTTTCTAGGCAGCGACATTCAAGGCACGTGACCGACGGAAAGTGCGAGCATCGAGCAAAGAAGCAAAATCGAATTCAGATAGAAGTTTTATGGAAGTTTAATGGAAGCAGATGTAGAAGAAGACACCAAGAATTCACTTAGAATTTAATAGGTGCGACGGTCATGGTGTAGTCCAATGCGCTGTGCTCTGTACTCTGTACTCCATCCTCTGTGCAATGATGTCTTCGATGCGGCTCTAGAGTGGACAAGGTGGAGACTCATACGTACAGAGTACGTACTCCGAACACATAAGATATAAACAAAGTCCATGCCCAGAGTGGAAAAGGGAGATTCGTACTCCGTACTCCGTTCTCTGTCCTCCGTAGTCATCCCCGTCATCTCCGTCACGCGCAAACACGGAAAGGGACCGTGTCTCGACTCAGCCCCCTCCTGAAATGCAGTAAGAGCCTCAATACTTCAGATGTGGGCAGCCAAACCGCGAATTCGGGGGCTGTGATTCGCGGGAGCAAAGTGGCGAAAAACTAATCTAAGACGATCTTCTCCTTAGTGCCGCCCTTGGCTCCTTCCGCTCCTACCTGCCATGCGGCTCCGTGAGACAAGAGCCCCCCGGATCCCAAAGCATTTCCGTCTTAGAGCCTCATTTCTCATCTCATAAAGAGTCCCTGTTCATCGTCATGGACCCGGGTGTGTGAGATCTCCATTCACAATGCTCCTTCAGAGGCTGGATACTCTTCCATTCGATGTCTTCTATCAAATCGCTACGTCGCTGGACGACCGTGATCTCATCCACCTCAGTCGCGTCAATCGTGCTCTACACTCCATTGCACAGAGCGAACAGATTGCCCGTAAAACAATTGAGGTATGAGCCTCACCGCCATTCATTTGGCCCCCTCTTCAATGCTGACACCCCCGGAGAATGGTTTGCTCCACAGCAAGGAAGGTCAGGCGGCAATGACCGCCCAGTCGGGTTACCGCAAGGCGGTTGGTCTCCGCTTTGCCATTCACGAGGCCGTGGCCACAGCAAACCCCTACTCCGTCGCCTGTCTAGGCTACGCCGCAGATTTCATCTACAACCAGGGCCATTTAGTCTACCGTTGCCAGAATCACATTCGTGTGTTGCACGTACATGGCGTCGCGACAAAAGAGCGTGTCTTAGACCTCACCCAACTTCTACCGCCATCATTTTCCACGGCTGGGCCGGAAACGACCGATAATGTGACTTTATTAAGTTACGACGATGACATCCTGGTCATCCGAGTTGCAGATGTGAGCTCCACAGAGGACGCCTTATTTGTCATTGACATGAGGCGGAGATCGTCAATGCCATTGTTTTATGCCCCCATCCCCGCGTCAGCGCCGATCTTCGTACGACATACCCGTTCCTATCTCTGGTACGGGACATTCACGGCTGCCGACGGTTCCGACGGGGTATGGACTATTACCGGCGTGGACTTGGACACGCGTGCGCGGTTTGAGTTCCCTCTAGACCGAGTGGTCGACGGCGATCTTGGGCAGACACTATGCTTTGAGATGCATGAAGGGCATCTGTATGCGGTGTCGACGCAGGTCGCTTCGGATGACAATGAAATCCACTCTTCCTTTTACCATTGGTTTTGTCATGCACCTCGGGAATCAGGCCGCAAATGGAACGGTCGCTTTTGGCGCCGCGAACATCAGGAAGGTCCTATCAATGAGATGTGGACCGATCTGTCCATTCGAAAGGATGAAATAACGGGTCGACCCGTTATTCTCGAATGTCGTCGCGAATGGCGCGATGGAAAGAGTGAAAACCATCGTACTTACTACACACAACGACTTCCAACGCCAGAGGAAGCCCTAGCGCCTCTTTCAGGAGGGGCCGTCCAAACCCCGTCTTGGGTTTCCATGGACGACGACGTAGATGACAATCACCCCTACGACGAGCGACCTGCAAAGAGATTGCGCCGTCACTACCATGCCGAGTATGAGTCCGGGTCTACAAAACGACAAGAGTTTATTCCTGCCCGCACCAAGCACCGGAGCTACCACCTCGGCTCATCCACCTTTGTTGACCTCGTCAACGACCCAGTCAGTGACGGCCTGCGCTCTCGAGATAGACTGCGCCTCCGAACTGTTTCACGCAAACGCAAATCCCCAATTGATGAAGAAGGGATCGAGGGCCACCGCAACGCACTCTTTCAGCCCACTCAAGTAAATTCAGATGGCAGTCCCACCGAAGGCTCCGAAGAGCGCTTCGAATGTCGCGGTGTACACATGTGGCCGCCGGAAAATGCTACGGCAATTCAACAACTACTTTGTCCCAACACGCGCATCGGCACCGTGAAGAGTATTGCCGACGAGCGCTCGATCATCTACTCCATTGATGCACCGGGTTTGCCATCCAATCACCGGGCTCTCATCCTCATTAGCTTTGATCCTACCCTTAGACTCCCAACCCTGGACCCTCTGCCCGCATCTGGAGACGCGATAGATACTTGGGCTGGGGACAAGTTCCTCGAAGTCCCTCGTCCGCTTACCAGCTCATCAGCTAATCTGGTGGAAGAATCATTACCATATTACATGGAAATCAGACGCGGCTATATGCTGCGTTAGTGTAATAACTAGTATAAGCATACCCAGATATCAATATAAAAATAACTTACAGCTGCAGTCATCCAGTTGGTGCAACGTGTCTGACGATATTGGGCCGACCAGGCTGTGCACCTTGCATAGACCACGCTAGTGTATATCCACGGATCCTTGCGTCTGTGTCTCTCATGCACTAGTAGGCGCATGCGGTGAGCACCCGGGTAAAAGCGATGAATCAATCTGCACTGTGCTGATGGGCTGCCACGGCTCTGATCGTTTCGAGGCGACTTGGCGTCCTTTCTTCCAACAATCGTCAGATATCCCGCGCAATCATTTCCAAGTGGACTTCCAGGGTTCCCATGTACCGGGATGACTTTGGAACATGCCCCCCTTGTTGTTGCACGCGGGTTGCAACTGCTTCCGAGGTTTCCTCGTAGAGCTCAAACACCATCCCCGCCAGTTTCGATAAAACCGGGGGTCACTTCATGGATAAGCCGAACATCGAACTTGAATAATCGTGAAGACAGATTCCAAGTCTACTTGACTGCATGGATAGCGCACCGTGAACCTGTTGCAATGACAGTTTCTAAGTTGACATTGTGTCCACCACTTCTGATGAGTCCCAACCTGACAGTCTAGCAAAAACGGTCTCTACCCTTTGTCGTACGATTTACCATCTTGTTAGGGCCCTGCCTGACCTTGAACAAGGCGATACCATGCACACTACAGTGCTTCCAAAAGCTTGCCCCTAAAGACCGTGGGACGTGATTCCACTCGAGACTACGTCAGAATACGCAACAAGTCACTATTCTATGTGATACTCACCGAGGGTGTCAGATGAATACCAAGTTGAAAGAAAGCTCCTATGCTGAGTGCTAATTTAAGAAAACGGACTTCACTTACAACTGGGCAACTACAGAGTACTTCGTGTACTGATTCCAACCTTCAAGTGCAAGCCACCAAGCTTTAGGGACGAACACAACTGTTTTACCTATTCTCCGAATCTCTACTCCGTACAAGACATACAGGTATACAGTTCCAAGGTTCCAGTCAAGCACATTGTGAGAACAATCATCAATCAGCATGATTGAAAGTTTAGTTATTAATATCATCCGCGACCCAGCCGTGGGGCGAGTCGACAGGAGATCTATATTCTCATCACAAAATATATGAGACACGAGGGTCCAAACGCCAAAGACAAAACCAAAGACAGAGGGGGAATCAAATCATCGAGAGCACATCCAGAACATTAAATCACAACTTCATATACATCCCAGCCAGCGCATCGACAATTCCATCCCGCTTCTGGACAGAATGGTCCTTGAACATATCTCGCACAGCGACATTGCTCTTCAGCTTGGACTTGAGATCATCGAGTTTCGAGCTCTCCGCTAATGCTGCACTGGCTGTGTCACTTGCTCCTTGGCTATCCGTTAGATTACCCACCAGCCCACTCAGACCGCCGACACTATGCAGGGCATCGGTGATACTGCTGTTCCCGCTGAGGAGATTGTGGATGGAGTTTTTGAGAAGATCGGCGACTCCCAAGTTGGCTGTTAATGTCAGGCCAGACATCACCTTCGTGTAGTAAGGTACCAGCGTTCCGTTCCAGGTAATGCTTGTGGTAATAGTATCCAGGGCTAAGTTGCCGGTCTTAAGAGCCGAGGCTTGGGATGCGAGGACCGCGCCTAGGTTGTGGATGACCTTTGATATGTCCAAGACACCGGTCAGAGGGAAGGTGTTGTTTCCGGGGTAGATGGTAACATCTTTCAAGGTTGCGTTGCCGATGGTGAGATTGCCACTCTTCACATCCAAAACGATCGTGCCCAGGTCTAGGGTGAGTAGTGAATGGTTTGGAAGGGTGGCGTTGCCCTGGAGGTTTGAGCCGTCATCGCCCTTGGCGACGAGACCCATATCGGAGACTGTGAAGCCTTTGAATTGATCCAATACTGAATACAGGCGTTAGCTTTTTGATTTCAGGGCGCTTTTTTTTGTCATCATCTCGGCTTACCTGGTGATACGACGTCTTTGTCCATGGTAACCTTGGACTTGAGGACGCCCAGGTACGACATTGTTGTACCCTTGATCGACAGTGCGGTATCCTTCTTGTTCACGACATTGTGCACATATTCCACCCAGGTGGTCTGGTTGGAGATTGGCGTCTCAACGTCCTTAACCGCAAGGGTGCTATTACCCTTGATGACCTTTCCGTCAATGGTTGTGTTGGCCCATGCATTGCTTGCACCCGCGTCGCGCACGAATAGATCCACGTTGATTGGGTCAATGCGCACGGGTAGCGCGAGCTTCAGGTTGATCGCCGATTCCAGGGTCAATGAGATCATGTCCGGTCGCGGGTTGAGAACCGCCGCGCTCACGAGAACCAAGTCAGACTTATTGACGACCATCTGAGAGATAGCGGGGATGGCAACCAAGAAGCTATAAATTGGGGTTTAGTTATGACTTCCAATGCTGTGGTGAGCACGCGACTTACAAGACTGGTAAGAAAATGGCCAGGAAGATAATGGTCACGAAAAGATGCAAACACCAAAATCGCTTCCAATGGCGTTGGAATTTCTCTTTGGCTTTCAATTTCTTTGTCTCCAATGACATGCCACCAGCCGATTCGACCTGGGCGAGACCGGCGCCTTCGTCGGCATTTTTGGAGATTAATGGGCCACGATGGATGCCGAGGGAGTATTTGGCATTGTTGGCAGTGAGATATGCTGGCCTGTCATCTGTTTCCCCCATGATAGCGATTGGCAGACATACGGGGAGAAAAAAGGGCTAAGCCTCAGGGGAAATCACATAGTGCTTATATGTAGTATTTAGTGTTATGGGGGGTTGCCCCCCCTCGGACCCTCATGAAGCCCCAGACTTCGGACGCTTTGAGGACTCCGTAGCGGGTCCTAACCAGTGGGTTCACAAGAATTAGAAAAACGCAAAAGGCCAATGATTCAGTCAAGCGGGTTCGCGTCGGAGCAAGACTCTCTTTTGTGAGTGCATGACGCAGAAAAGGGAGGGATCGTCGGCCGGAAATGGCGATCTGCTACGAACCGCGGCTGAAATCCACCAGAGAACGAGACTATTCACATGGGCCGAGAAGATCATCCTATCATATTGGACTCCAAAAACTTGGCTTTTACAACTTTGCGGGGGGACGCTGTTTGAAGTCAACTTTGGGGCGAGGCCATTTTCAATATTAATGACTCTGCAGAACCTCCCCTACTCACCTACTCATCATCTATCACCATCATGTCTTCCATCTCACCTGTTTCCACTGTAGATGAAAAGCAATTCGGGGCTCTCCCCACAACCATCTCAGATGCGGCCCCTTCGCATTCTGACTCTGGCCGCCTCCACGCCCTGGAGCAGCTAGAGATCATCCCCAAAATGCTTCAAGAGGGCATCATCTTCGCTGGCGCAGGTGCAGCCCTTCTTCTACAAGCTGCACTACCTGGAATCCGCGATGGATCAACCGGCGGCCCCAAAGAGCTCGCCACCGAGCTCATCGATGTAATGCAAGCCCATATCAGCTACATCTCCTGTCTGGTATTTGGCAATCGCGCCGAGCGCAAGACCCTCCTGGATCTATTGCAAAGTGGCGAACGACCCCTGCTGGGTAACGGCCACTCCAATCGGTTTACAGCCCACCCCTCACAGCAGCTGTGGATGGCTGCAACATTATACGTTACCACAACAGACGTCTACCAGCGCGTCTACGGCCGCGTCGATTATGCAACTGCTCAACGCGCATACAGCGAATTCACCCTGCTGATGTACTGTCTGGGCGTACCATCCGGGACATGGCCTGCATCCCGAGAAGAATTCTGGTCCTACTGGGACGATCAGGTGTCTCAGCTGACGGTCTCCTCGGATGCGGCGCAGTTCGCAAAGGACCTCAGAGAGAGTACGGAGATGCCGCGCTGGGTGCAGTCTATGAAGCCGTTCCTGCGGGTGGCGATGATTGAAATGTTGCCTCCGCAGTTGCGTGATGCTTATGGATTGCGCTCGACGGTGGCTACGAGAACGCTTTATCGTACTTACATGGGACTGTCGGTGGCTGTTTATCCTGCTATGCCTAATAAGTGGAGGGCGTATCCTTACCGGTTTTATCAGGATCGTTTGAAGAAGCAGTTGAATGTGGTTTAATTTCCAAGGTTGCCTTTTTTTTTGTATATACCCGTCCATTATGAGATATGCTTCTGCTTGATTTTGAGGTGTTTCAATTATTTGATGTACTTAAGTAATTGGATTTTTTCAATTTTCTGTATTTTTATGGTGAAGCTGTCATTGATCGTGTATTTCCCCCTTCTAATAAAGGTGGTCGTGTAAAAATAAAATGATAGTCATGATTCGTTCCTTCTAGTCCTCACAATGATCCCAAGATACCACCCAGAAGCTTGGAAACGTCCTCCACCAGCTATGAATTGTCAGTATACTTGTTTTCAGAACGGAAGAGATGAAGGAATTGATCACGTACTGGCGTCGCATCCCCGATAAGAGTCGTCGTGTTATCGACAAAGCTCTTGGTCAACAGGGAATGTGCGTTGTTCAGAATATCCTGCAAGATATCGATATTGTCGGACTTGAGCAGCTTGGCCGCACCATCGAGAATGGTATCCAATTTGTTGACATTATCCTTGGTCAAGAGACCCGAAACACCACCTAGGATATCGGGCAGTTCCTCGAGTAGTCCGCCAGTGGCGGCTGGTGCCGCAGCAGCAACGGGATTGGGTCGCGGCTCGGGAGCAGCCAGGGCCAAGGGAGCCAGGAGTAAAGGGAAGACGTGGAAGAAACGCATGGTCAAGAGCTTCTGCTGTAGTTGGAGAAAGAAAGATCTCCCCTGGCGCAAGTCTTATAAGCGATGTTGACTTTTCTCCCACTCAATCTAGACCCTGTTTTCCGTAGTCAGTCTGTCAATTAGCGTGACAGCTAGCTTTGGGGCGTTCCAAAGCCCGCTTGGCCGGATGAGGGTTATCTCGAACCATGGCCGAGGAAGTGTTGATAATCATGTGAAATACTCGACATTTTCCAAGGTTGGAGAGAGGAGAAAATCGATCCAATCCCAACACGAGTTCGATACGACGCCAAACTCCCCCGCATCCAGGTTTCACCCCAGATGTGCCTGTTTGGGACAAGATCGGCGGGTTGGAGGCGGATCGGCCCCTTTTTTGAGAATCACTTGGCCGCTTCTGGTTTAGCGTCTTTTCAGGGTCCTCGGACTCCAATCCTGTCAATTCGGCTCGGAGCAAAACTTCGATCTACGGTGTCCAGCTGCATACGAGACATATATTGGACTGGGCGCTGCCACCTCGTCATGCACCTGCATATTTCCATATTAATTAATCTACTTGCTCAGGGCCGAACAGAACAGCATGTGCTTCGAAAGGCTTAATGTAACCTAGCCCTGAGGCCCTGAAGGTAAGCTCCACTATCCATGGATCCGACGATATGTCGGACTGGAAAAGTCGAAGAACAAATTGAAGGGCAGCAAAATTGCATCTACGAAATTCGGGTTCAGTGGGACTGCCAGTTGAGAGTGGAGAGTTCCAGGTTCCAAAGTTGCAGCTAAAATTTTTGAATATCTGAATTTCTAGATCTCATATCTCATCAGCTCGTCTACCATAAAATACGCAGAAGCTAGGTCGTATACGAATCCGCCTTCTCCACTTGATCTAACGACCGTTGCATCGAATCAGACTCCACCAGGGGGGAAAAAAAGAAGAGGAAGAAGAAAAAGTGGATCACAAAGCAAGTGCTAGCCCAAGCACACTCAATGCACCCATCACCGAGACAGTCAATTCCGTGGGTGCAGCCGCACTTGAGGAAGTCGAAGTCGAAGATGAAGATGAAGACGAGGACGCAGACTGCGAATCTGCCCCGGTCGCAGACGTGCTTTGAGCCTGGGATTGCGTCTGCGTCTGCGTTGCCGTTTTGGCATACGCCCCCGTTGTGGCTGTCAAAGCGCCATCTGAGATCTGCGAGCGCACCACGGACATGTAGCTCTTTACGTCGGTGGGGAGGGCACTGTACCAGGCTGGTGTGGTGCCGGCGTTGAATTGACTGGCTAGTGATTTGCGCTGCTCTGGGTTGATCAATTCCCAGATTACGGATACTGGGACTGCTGAGAGGATCTCGCCGATGAGGGATCTTGGCGGGGAGGAGATGTTCCCGAAATTGGCACTGGCTGTTTGGTTGGCGGTCATGTGTGCTCTGTTTCATGTTAGATGGGAATTGGGTATTGGTTATTGAAGGGGACGTACAGTGCGCTTGAGACGGCACCGATGTTGATGCCATTGTCAGTTGTGTCTCGGCGGTGCTGATGCTCGGCACAAGCTGTTGCCAGAAATAATAAGACAGCTGTGAGTTTCATGATTCGTATAAAGGAAATTGGATACGAAATTCAGCTTCGCCTGGGTAGAGAGGGGAGTATATCAAATGCTTAGCCTTCTAGTATACCAATTGAGCATGGTACAACTGCAAGTGGAAACGCCACAATCCTTGATCTTGAACTCGCTTCCAGGGTTCTAGATCATGTCTCAGTCTTGACCTCGGATGGTCAGCAGCGGGGAAATTGTCATTCCGGGGCCGGAGATTTTCACATTCTCTGGGGCTTTGGGTCGCTAGACGGAGATTGAGTTGCGTCCGGTGCAGATCAGATGCTCATCTGTGAACGTTCCGAGGTTGATGAGACGACATGTCAGATCCTCTGCGGGGTTTTCGCCATCGATCTGACCTCGCTTACTCTGTGTAGCTCTCTTCGTCAATGACAGCTATAGTCGTCGGTGAACACTTAATCTTGCGATACTACAAGATGCCCTGGACCCGTGGTCCTGGGTCTCTGACCCCTGGATTCCAGTAAACCTGATCCTGTGAGCTGTGAAATGGACTGGTGGGTACCTGAGGGGCAATGTTGCACGCTTTTGTATCGTCACATCCAAGTCTACCCTGTTTGCAGATGGATATCCCGGGCACGTAATCAGGTCTAGAGACAAATTCCTACAGGAGAAAGGAAAGAGATGCTAGAGCTCTGCTTCAAACAGAGCCTCAAACCCTTTCTTCTTCGAATACAAGGTATTCTACAGACACTAGCAAGGTCGACTCCGAAATGAGACAAAGAAGTAAAGTAAAAATGGCAAATTCAATTGGATATCACAGCAAAGCCATCGTAAAAATCATGATAGAAGAAAGGCAAAACAAAGCTTACTCGCCCTGCTTCTTGGTAATATCAGCCTCAGCACCACGCTGGCGCACCTTGCCCTCATCGTGCATATCGCGGTACTTCTGCTCCTCCTCACGGTCACCCTTGACAGCAGCACCGACAGAGCCCAGAGCGCCCTGAGCACGGTTCTGGATACCCTCACCCCAGTCCTTGAGCTGGCCCTTAGCCTCCTGCTCCTTTCCAGCGGCGTTTTGCTCAGCGCCGGTGCGACGGAGGTTCTCGTTGCCGATGAGGTTACCGACGGCTTCCTTGGTTGAGCCGAGGGTTTGGTCCCACTGGCCTGTTGGGCGGTTCTCGTTGTCCTTGGCCACGGCGCCGGTGTTGGGGTCGGCGGAGAAGGGGCCTAGCTTGGCGGTTGTGTGGGAGGCTTCGTTCTTGGCTTCGCCTTCGGCTTTCTTGACATCGCCCTTGGCCTGGGGTTGTTAGTGGGGTCGGAGGTGGAGGTATTCAGCAGGGCTTACCTGAGTGGAAGAGTCGCCGGTCACAGTGCCCATGGCACGTTGGGCGAGACCAGAAGCCTGGTCCAAGTAGGACTGGCCGGTAGAAGCGTTTCCGTCAGACATGATGTAGATTGTGGGTGGTTGGTTGATAGATGGTAAAGTATGGAAAGTGGAAAGTTGGAGAGTGAGAGAGTGGTGTTTTATGTGGAAGCTCAAATATGTCCGAAAATAAACAAAGAGGGCGACTCTTTATAAGTCGTTTGTCAAGTGTAAACAAGTCTATATCGATGACGTCATATGATGTAGAAGGGCTGACTGCTGCGTCATCAGCCACAACCTTGGAAGATTTGACGATTCGAAGATTCTAGTACAGAGTCATGATGGGATTAATTTCAGCAGATCGACAAAGTGGCACGTTTCTAATCCCAGTGATATCACACGTGGTACAATTGTTGCACGAACTATGCGCGCTACGTATGGCATGTTCATAGTTCTTGGTATACATCCACAGGTCTAGAGGACCAACATAGAATACTATCTCCAAAGATACATACCCAGATACTTGAATGTATGTCTACCCAGGTGAACTCTTTATCTTGATGAGTATGGGGTCAGGGTGCAGCTCAAGTCGAGGGGCACATTCGGCCAATATAAGCTCTAGACTAAAGGACAATCCGAGAATGACAGTAAGCTTAGTTCTTAAATCCAACGACCAGCGAAAGCCATGCAGATCCTGCTGTAACTCGCGGCTAATTCACTTCAAATTCCTCATGGCGCTTCATGTACCTAGACTATTTACAGTTATGAATCAAACATGCAACCCAAACGCCAGCAAGAAAATGCATCGCTCAAGACAAAACTCAGTGAATCACCAATGGCAAATCCCCCCCTCACTCTCCTCAGCAGTCCAGGTGCCACAAAGACCAACAACCTCAAGATGACCATCAGGTTGTTCGCCAACTTTACTCAACGAGGCAAAGGCCTTATCGGCGGGGTTACTTAGCAGTCTCCGAGCCCACGCGTCGATAGCCGGCTCACAGGTCTCATCGCGCGCCTGCTTGAGGAAAGGAATCAATGCGGTGCCTCCTGTACCGCGCATTTTCTTCTTCTCGCTCGTGGCAGTCGCCAGATTCGTGCGTCCGGTATTGGGTTTCGCGCGCGATTGGACAATAATGTAGCGAGATACCATGGTTATATGCTTGTCGCGCAAGACGCGGAGCATGGCAAGACATGCGTCGTAGGCAATGCAGAGGGCGGAGTCGGACTTGCGTGCTTCGACGAAGGCTCTGATATTCGACACGGACTCTATATCTTCCAGGAAGCGCCTGTGAGGACCTGGCATATATTTGCGCATGTCGCGGATGAAGTTGTTACGTGATTTGGTGTCAGGTTTATCCTTGTCATCGCGGCTAGTACCAGTAGGTCTGTGTTCGATACCAAGGACGATATCGAAGAATTGGATGAGTGAGCTCTGTGCGTTGCTACCGCCGCCATACTGACGATATTCCGGGTTGTGACCGTCGTCGTATAAGAGACCGTTTGGCAGGCCTGCGTCAGACATGTTCTTGCTTCCAGCCAGGTAAGGGCGGATGCGATTATAAAAAACGTAGGGATCGCAGTTCTCGTACATCCTCTGCAGCAACGAGCTGGTATCATCAATGATTTGGGCCAAACACTGTAGACGCGCGGTAACGGTGAGGCTGTCGCCTTGGCGGGCTGCAGTGATGGCCTCGGTCATGAGGGGGATGGCATCGGCTCCGCGTGCCTCCATGGCGACAGAGACCAAGAAGAACCATTGCTCGTCTAGAGACCCAGTGAAGGTCTGTAGGCATGCCAGATTATCCAGGGTATCGGCTGGCTGGTCGGGGAAGATGGGCCTGTAGTTCCAAAGACACACCCCGGCATAGGTTGCGACGGGGGGTACTTCGAGTCGCTCGCAGACTTCGAACAGGGGTACTGTGATCTGAGGTGGGATCCTCTTCGCAGAGTCAGTACTGGACTACAGGATTACCGATGGGACGAGTGAATACCTCTTCTGGTTGGTTGCCACTCCACACATAACCATGCAAGATGAATACAAGTACGACATAGGCACGACGCCACTCGGCATCGGTCTGGAGGTGGCAGGTGGAGAGTATGGGCAAACGATCCACCATCGATCGCAGACCTTTGCTCAAGACCAGTGCCTGGAGGTTCTGAACAACCTTCTCCCATTTAGCGTAGTAAGGATCTGGGAGGATCTCTAGGGGCAGCTCCGCGGGAAGGAACCCATAGCCGGGAGCAATGCCATAGTCGGCGGGAGATGGTACTGGCGGTAACATGGTGGCTTGAGGGTATGTGTACTTGGGTGGTCAGTTTCCCGTTCTATCGCAGTCGCAGTCGCGGTTGCATCCAGTCGCGTGCCTTCCTCGTATGATCATATGAGAAAAGAATGAGCACTGCCGGATCTCAGTCCCGAGTCTCGGTTTCGGAGGATTCAAAGGATCCAGAAGATCTTGATGAAAACGAAATGATTGAAAGTTGCACAAAGCAATTGATGAGAACCAGGAAGAATACAAGGCACCAGAACCAGGAACGTCTAGGAACGTCTTGAGGGACCACTGGATTTGCCCCCCTACAACGGATGGAGACGGAAGAGACTCGGATAAATAGAATTCAATTGGAATAGAGACATGCTTAAACCGTCAGAGCAGAGTTTTCGGTTAAAGCACGTAATTTCACCGGGTATCCTTGGAAGGAACAGCCCATTTCTAAGCCGGAGGAACCTGGGAGACAAGAGTAATGATAAGCAGTACCCTCCGATATAGGACGGGAAAGAGTGACATTTAGAGAGCACCGGGGGCAGTTTAGAGGAGTGGATCAGAGAGTACCGGGGGAGAAATAGAGTGCCAAACAGTCGAATAGTAAGGAAATAGGCCTGTCGACCAAGGTTCGTTTTATACGGGCCCCCAGCAACTGGCGCTCATTGCCAAGACCATTGAGTGCATCCGCGACACCCCCCTCGGTGGGTCTGCATTAAGCGAGCAGAAATTGAGTGTCAGAAAATGGCCCCAACTCCCGGTTTACACCGGGCACACGGGCTAAGAAGGAGGGGGTGAGCCATTTTCGGTCTGTCTCGCTTAACTTGGCTTCAAATTCGCTTCACTCACTCTGCTCCGCATGCCAGCTCCAGCCTCCATTCGGGCCAACGTCCATCTCTGGGGTATACTTCAGGATACGTCAGATCTTCTTGGTGTATAGTCCTGCGTTTTTCTCCTTTTTTAGAAAATAAAAACCACATCGTCTTCCTTCACTTTGGCAAGAAATCCGCTGTGGAGACTTGATGGAAATGGAAATTCGAACAAAAATCCCAATTTGAATATGTTTGCCTGATGATTCAGGCATTACCAAAAATCACGTGTCTGGCCTCTGTCACGAAATATACATGACAGCCCGGAGTACATGCCAAAGTACTTGAGTATATAATGCATCTCATAGCTCAGAGCGTACAATCACATCCTCGCAGCCCCGGTCCCGCGTAGGAAAACTAAACACTGCCGGGATGGTATTGTTCAATGCGATATTGATCAACGTCGGTTCTACAAGCCATTAGTGTTGACATAACCAAACTTTTAGACCCGCAGCTATACCTACCGTTGAAACGGAACTGCGGCCATCCGTAGCGAGTCAGACCATTGTAAGGGTCCTTCGCAAAGGCAACCCAAGCTCCTGTGCAAATTGGTCAAATGTCAAGGTACAAACCCAGCTCGATCCCAAAGTGCCTCACCTTGAATGTATTTGCTAGCCTGGACTTCGATATCTGAGGATGGGTAAACTTTCGACAAATTGTACGTCCCGAAGATCATAGGTAATTCGGCTATTTTGTTGTTAGTCCAATTCCAGGCTACCCACTCCCCGTGACATCTTACACCCATGATATGCTCCAATCCAAGTGGTTGGACTAAGACTGCCGAAATTACCGTGATATAGATACCTCCAAGTGGGAATGTGGCTCTTGACTCGAATTCTGCCCCGAAGTCAGGCCATATAACCTGCAACTCGACATTAAACGGATACCAACCTCACCGATTCACGAAGAGGGCAGTTGTATTTCACCTGCCCAGCCTCGTAGATTTCTGTTAAGTTGACCGAAGTTTGATTCAAAGGGAATAGGGCTGCATATTCACGCTCAGTAATTCCTGCCAGTGTAGGCTGGTATGATACGTTTCATTAGCTCCGCAGTAACATCCATAACTCCCATGCTTACCAAACGTGCTAATTGGCCTCTCCTAGCCCTGGCAGGGTAGTCAGAGAAGACAAGTCTCTCGTCAAGAACCGGGTAGAAATTGTAGTTTCCATGGGCTCGTGTTTCCAGTATTTTCATGATGGGCACTTGACGCATGCAGTCGAGGGACTTGGCTCCAACGCCGCACCCAAGATCTCTAGATAGATTATTCCAGTTTTCGTAATCTGGAGGAGTAACTAGTAATGGGGCGGTTCCTGATTGAAGAGCAATCGCTCTGACTAGGGGGTTCTCGGGATACTATGATGCCCAGGTCAATAGAGGCAAAGTAAAGGACAAAACGTATTTGCTTGCCGCATAAGAGTACAGGTCTGCTGAAGAAGCACCGGCAGATTGACCGAAAAGGAGGATCTTGTTTGGATCACCGCCAAATTTGGCAATGTTTTGGTGAACCCATTCGATTGCAAGTCGCTATGAAGTTCAGCTCACTTCGTTTTGATGAATTGACTTGCTCACCTGGTCCAACAATCCAAAGTTTTGATTTTTCGGGTCCAAGTCAGGGGAATCCGGATAGCCGAAGACAGTAAGTCGGTAACTTTGTGTACTTTGAGTCAAACAAAATGGGCCACGGGGGTCAGCGAATGCTTACTTGAATGTAACAACAATGATATCCTCATTGTCTTGCACCAAATAGGTTCCATCGTAATACCCAACCGATCCTGATCCCGAGAAAAAACTTCCCCCATGAATGAACATCATAACTGCTGCTTTCTCTTCTCTCTTTTGGCGCTTGCGTTTGGCAGAGGGAGCCCAGATGTTCAAATAAAGACAGTCTTCGGATATGTTGGCCTTATTCCATATCTTGTACGGTAGCACATTCCAAATGGAATGATTCGAGTAAATGTAGACTTGGGCACAGGGATTGCTAAATGAAGAGGCATCAACGAGATTATGGGATAATTTCGGGAGAGGAGGTGTCCATCGTAGGCTTCCAACTGGCGGTTCTGCGTACGGAATACCTATGAAACCGCGGACCGTCTCGGCAGTGTTGTTGTACTTTCCGCTGATGATGCCGCTAGAGGTCACGATCTGGAGTTCCAGGGGTGGGTGTATGTGAGAAGTCGCTTTCGCCCAGAGCAGACTGAGGAATAATGGAAAATACATCTTTGGGTTCCAAGAGGAGCTTGGTTTTCGTCTCTATGTGGATTCATCCGTATATTTACATCCCCCCGAGAACAGCCCCTCGGTGGGTAAACATAGCAAAGTTCAAGTAAAAGAACATTTTAAGAGTACGGAGCGTAGTGTGAAACTGCTGTACTTTAACATCCGATCTTGTTGTCCAGTAGTTGATATCTGCCTTTGCATTCTCATCATGATTTCCAAACTTGAAGCCATGATCCTAGCTTGTTTTCCACATTTCTGATGCCTCGGCCTCAACCCAACTGAGATAGACCCAGTGAGGTCTAGAGCTATGCTAGGTCGCTCAACGGTGTTACAAAAAAGTGAGTATTTGAAAACATTCGTCTTCGGATAAGTGTCAAGGCAGAGTGTGAGTTGTGGGTACTAACTTTGTGCGGGCTAACCTTGGCTCTCAAACGTTCAACTCACCCATCTTCATAGCATAGAATACAACCTGGGAGGTTTCAAGATATTTTGCCCATGCAAGAACCCATTGGGGAGAATCCAATTTTATGTCAACGTGACTATTATGGAAACAGACCTTCACACGATCTTCTAAATGGACCACAGGCATATACGAAAGGGCAAAAGATGAAATTGAAAGAGAGTCAATTTGAGAGTAGATTATTCTCAGTCTGTACATAGTGATAATGTTGTTACACGTCAACGCCGTCCCACTTTTCTCAATTAATAACAATCAGTGCTGGCTCCACTCAATCGTGTTCAGGTCGATGCCATCCTGCACCAACTCCCAGAGTGGGCTCAGTTCACGCAGGAAAGACACACGGGCCTGCACAGCCTTCAGAACGTAATCAATCTCCTCGTCCGAGGTGAAACGACCAATACCGAATCGAATACTGCTGTGGGCGCTCTCATCACTGCTGCCCAGGGCGCGGAGCACGTAGCTGGGCTCCAGGGAGGCAGAGGTACAAGCGCTGCCGGAAGACAGAGCAATGTCCTTGAGGGCCATGAGAAGGGACTCGCCCTCGATGTAGGCGAAGGAAATGTTAACGCAGCCGGGGTAGTGCGCCTTGTCGTCACCGTTCAGAGTGGTGTGTTCCATGGAGAGGAGACCCTCACTCAGGCGCTTGGAAAGACGCTCGATGTGCTTGGTATCGTACTGTAAATTCATGTCAGTATATGATCTGTTATAAGATAGCAACAACAAATTCATCGACCAAGCTCATCACCCCTGCAATCGACATCACGGAGGCCGAGTACCATGCCCAAAGGACACGGAGCTACCACCCAGACAACTCCAAAGCAATTCTTCGCAGTATATAATCATCGCGGTAAAGACATAAAACAACTCAAAGAGAAACTTCTTACCTCCATGTCAGTGGTAGCAAGACGACAAGCCTCACCGAAGCCCACAATCAAATGCGGGGCCAGAGTTCCACTGCGCAGACCTCTCTCTTGGCCTCCACCGGTGATGAGGGGGTCAAGACGAACACGGGGGCGGCGACGGACAAAGCAAGCACCAATGCCCTTGGGGCCATAGATCTTGTGGCTGGAAATAGACATCAAATCGATGTTCAGCTTGTTGACATCCAGAGGAATCTTTCCAACAGCCTGCGCGGCGTCGGTGTGGAAGAAGATCTTCTTGGACCGACAGAGACGGCCAATTTCCTCCAGAGGTTGGATCACACCGATCTCGTTGTTAACAGCCATGATACTGACAATGCAAGTCTCAGGGCGCATAGCCGCTTCAAGGTCGGACATGCGGACTAAACCATTGTTCTGAACGGGCAAGTAGGTCACTTCGAATCCCTCATCTTGCAAGTGACGGCAGCTGTCCAGCACACACTTGTGCTCGGTCTGGGTGGTGATGATGTGGTTCTTCTTTCCGGAGCGACCAAAGAATCGCGCAACACCCTTCAGACTCATGTTGTTGCTCTCTGTCGCACCGCTGGTGAAGATAATTTCCTTGGGGTCAGCCCCGATCAACTTGGCGATATGCTCACGGGCCTCCTCGACACCCTTCTCCGACTCCCATCCGTAGGCGTGTGTGCGCGAGTGGGGGTTACCGTAGATACCAGTAAGGTAAGGCAACATCTTGTCGAGAACTCGGGGGTCCAGGGGTGTGGTGGCTTGCATGTCGAGATAGATTGGGCGGGTGCCCTGGTCCATAACAGTGGCCTGCTTTAAAATGCCGGCTGTAGGGCTCATTGCTGTATCTCCGGAGGTCGCCGATCCAGGCAGCTTGACTCCCGCAGGGGCCACACCAGCCTGTTTCATGAAAGACTTTTGCTCTTCCTTGATTGCGGCATCGACATTGACCTGAGCTTGGTCGACCTTAGTTTCGGTGACATATGAACGGGCTCGCAGACCGGTGGCGACCCGGGGAACGCGAGAACCGAGGGTGGGAAGGCGCCTGGAGAAGGCCGAAGCCTGTCTCCAAGCAGCAGGAGCAGCACTTTTCATCATGGTGATAATATGTGCTGCGATACCGAAAGTGGGATGAAGAGGGATCAGAGATGACCCCGACATTTTGTTATCGTCTCCCCAATGACAAAGATTCGGATTATCCCGATTTGGTTTATCCGGTCGGAGATAATCCGGTCGGAGATGTATGAGGCCGAGATGAGCTCCGAACTTCACGACTTTCCCGTCAATACGGAGTATTACCCTTTCGATAATATATTGGATTTTGTGAGGGCTAGGACCCATCTAATACTATTCTTTTATCTTCTCAATCCCGTTTGTTTAAACAAACTGAAACTGAAGAAGCTAGAAGTCCTAATCTTTACATGATCACCGGTGTCTTCACTTACCCAGCTTTAGTAGCACTACCAAGATTCTTGTTTTGGGAGCTCAGGCTCCCAGATGTTGTTCTCAGATACTTTTGTTCTCGGTCTTGGACAATGACAGTTCAGGCTTCACAAAAGTACTCCTGTTTTATTTGCCGATGCTCTCCGCTCAATGAAAGCCATCAGTGCGAGAATATGAAAGCGTCAGGTTAGACTGACTTTTTCTCGCGATATTGTATTAATGAATGCTATAGAATCAATAAACATTCCTCATGATAGGAGCATGATTTGGGAGAACACAAAATCTAGTCAGTGTATTATTCTACTTGGTATTAATCTCTTGTGAACAGGCTCCTAGTGCGCTTGAGTGGCATTTGGGAATGATGACAACCTTGCAGATGTCCACTGTAAGAGATTTGCTTCCACATGTCTTACCTGGACGCTCGGCAGAGCTGCTTTCAAGGTAGAAATTTCAAGATTTGTCCCCCGTTGCACAGTGCCAATACAACCTTGGATCATGTACCAATTCGCCTGGATAGGTTAATTATCGAGAATTCTTTCAAGAAGCTCGGGGCTACAAAGATAATTTTAGACCCTCTTGAACTCCTCGGCAAAATATCATATATTTTCTTTCCTGTCCTGTATCTATAATTATGCTTATACTTCAGGCGTCCCGTCCATGCACAACATGTGGGGGCGTATTTTGACGGATCTTCCGCGCTTCTGCAGTAAGAATTCAGGGGCAAGCATATGACTAGCCAGGCCGTAAAAGCATAGTCGAATCTGGTTAGACGCAAGTTAAGAGCATGGGCGATGATTCGTGTTTCCCTAGACGTTGGGACTTCAACCCAGTTGGTCAGAATAGGCGTCCGACATAGGCCTGAGGCTCGACGCTTTTTGGTATGGCCTCAATTCTTGGCACTGAACAAAGTAACCTCTTCAAAGTTTGGTAACCAAGACACCAAACAGACCATTGGTGTTGATTAGTTGGGTGTATGTCGATCATTTACCAGAGTAGAAGGGCGTATGTCCTTCGTTGAAGTGATCATCCCGCCATGGTTCAGCTGGAGAGACCAGGCAAGACATCGTTCGGGGTATATAAGTCCCTAGATATCCTCGAGTATTCCCAGATACCAGCAGTGAACAGGTCCCAACGCGTGGAACAAGCACATCTTATACATACCTCATTGACTTCTGTTAAAACTTCAATACCCTTCAAAATCTCGCCAACATGAAGCTCAACGTCATTGCCGTCCTCAGCCTCACCTCTCTGGCCTCGGCTGCCAACATTAAAACTTTCTGGGGTGAAGGCTGCAAAGGCGGCTACCTAGGTCACCCCGGAATCAAGGCCCGTCAATGCGGCAGTGCCCTCCGCACCGAGCCCGATGTCCGCGGTGCCCGCTCCGTGCAGTATCTCAATATGCCCAACGGAGCGCAATGCCTCGGGTTCCAGCAGACGACCCGACCCATCAACGCCTGTGGATCACTCGTCAAGCGAGGCACCGCCGGTGCGAATGGTAAATTCTGCCTGGGTCCGTACGTCGACTTGCAATATGCGGGTGCTAGCTGGGCTCAGCCGGCTCGGAGTGCCGGTATTTCTTCGGCTGGGAACTTGACTGCGGAGGAAACCTGCACCGAGTCTGTGAAGCCTTCTCAGCTCGTTCTTGACGATGGACATATGTATGATTTGACGAAGTTGTCGGATGAGCAGGTTTTGGCTCTTGTGGATCTGGCTCAAAACGGTACCACGTCCGGTGATTTGTCTAGTGACTACACTGCAGCTGAGACGGAGAAGGATGGAGTTGCATCGCGCTTGCAGGAGATGCAGGAGTGATTTGATTTTTGGATCCTTTGCGGCATCCGAGATGGTATGCCATAGCCCAGGTAATGGAGGTTGACATATTTCGTGTATTGCCAGTCACAGTGTTTTTTCCTGATTTTCCAGTTTTGAGCTTGACGTCAGTGTTTTTGGCCGGTCTTCATTTCTCTGTTCTAGTTAGTACCACGAACTATTTGCGATTTGATCTGAATGTCCCGAGTAGGAGTATAGAAGTAGTAATGGCGGAGAACTTAGCCCTAACAGGATCGTCGGGTAAGGCTGCCGTGAGCAGATCAAGGATCTCCGCAGAGGAATGCTGGTGCCTGAGATCCTGCGCCACAAAGTGAAGAGAAGAGTGGACTCTGTAGGGCGCTACAATCCTCCGCAAGTAGTTAGGTCCAAAGATTAAAAAGGAGAGAAAAAGCACAGCCACGTCGTATTTGGCCAAAGTCTTATGTCATAGTTGAATATCGGAAGTTGGGTGGTGAAAACCCCCCCGCCTTGGCAAGTACGCTCTTCTTACTCCGTAGCCTCTCTCTTGTCTCTCTTCCCTTCCTCCTGGTTCTCCTCATCCCTACGACCCCCATCCGGAAGATCCGACATGAGTTTTAAAGGCTTCCAGAAGAGCATTGCGCGTGCGCCACAGCAGTTCAAGGTCAAGTTCAACCTCGGTGAACACACCAAGGACGCTGTCTATACCGATGCCGAGCGTCGCTTCGACGAGCTGGAGAAGGAAACCAAGAAACTCCACGATGAATCCAAGAAATATTTCGCCGCCATTAATGGTAAGGGAGAAAAAAAAAACATCGGCGCCTCCAAAGCCCTCCGCCACTAACGCGTCACAGGCATGCTGAGCCACCAGATCGAATTCTCCAAAGCGGTCGCCGAAATCTATAAGCCTATCTCTGGTCGCGCCTCCGATCCCACCTCCTACCAATTCGAAGGAAACGCAGAGGGTATTCAGGCCTGTGAAGAATATGAAGTCATTGTGCGAGAGCTGCAGGAGGCCCTGGCCCCCGAGCTAGAGATGATCGACAGCCGTGTCATCAGTCCAGCGGACCAGTTGCTCGAAGTGATTAAGGTCATTCGCAAGGTCGCCGTGAAGCGAGACCACAAGAAACTGGACTTCGATCGCCGCAATGCAACATACAAGAAGCTCCAGGAGAAGAAGGACAAGGCGCTCAAGGACGAGAAGGCTATGTACAAGGCCGAAAATGACGTTGAGCAGGCGACACAGGAATTCAACTACTACAACGATCTGTTGAAGGACGAGCTTCCTAAGCTGTTCGCTCTCGAAGCCGAGTTCATCCGCCCGCTCTTCCAATCCTTCTACTATATGCAACTCAACGTGTTCTACACACTCCATGAGCGCATGCAGGGCATGAACATCAGTTACTTCAACCTACAGCTCGATGTCGAAGAGGCGTTTGAGCAAAAGCGCGGCAATATCCAGGAACAGGCGGAGGCTCTCACCATCGTCCACTTTAAGACCAAGGGACTCGGCCGCACCGGGTCGAAACTTGGACCCCCAGGCAAGGGCTCTGACAGCAAGGGTTCTATCGGCCGTGGCCGTTCGAGCTCCACGGCAACGGAAGACAATCCTCCCCCACCTTACTCTTCCGCTGGTGTCAGCCCGAGTCCCACGGGCAGTAACTTCTCTTCCGCTGCCAAGAGCAAGCCCGCCCCTCCTCCTCCACGGGCAAAGCCTTCACATCTCAGCAACAAGCCGGTGGAGACTGTCACTGCTCTCTATGACTACGAGGCACAGGCGCACGGGGACCTTGGTTTCTCGGCTGGAGATGTCATTGAGATTGTTCAGCGCACTGATAACACTAATGAATGGTGGTCCGGGCGAATCGCTGGCCGTGAGGGCCAGTTCCCTGGTAAGTTTTCTCGATTCCTAGTTGGTGCTGTACACTGCTAACCCCTTCCCTAGCCAACTACGTGCAATTGAATTAGCATTGGGTATGGTTAATCTTGGCTTTCTTTTTGGCTTCGGCTTTGGCGCAAACGTGGTTCTATACATAGAGCGTTTTGTAAATAATTTTTGTTTCTAAATGGTTAATTACGCTCTTTCGACGTCTACTCAATATCGTCAGCCACTACTTTGCAATTCATATCTGGAACCTTTGCATCAGTGTACCCTGTCTTGATTTCCCATTCTGGTATCCAACACGGTCTATCATAGATAGTATACGAATATTTGGATAAAACAAGCTACCTTCAACACGAAAACAAATGTTCAAAGTCAATCGGAGCTAGGGAGTAGAACTTCTAGTGTCAATTTGATATTCCAAATGAATTCGGCGAGGCGAAATGAAATAGAGTGTCCATCACTGCTGTAAAATGCCAACAGAAAAGAAAAGTGAAAACAAATAAAGTCGATGCAGAGAGACTATTGTAGATAATGTGACGTGCAAATCAATTATTCGGGGCTAGTTTTGAGTCATTCTCATACAAATAAACGAAAGATATGACCCGAGATACCCTGAATCCATCCAGTAGATCATTCCATTGCCTCAAACCATTGATTGCTTCCTTGTCTCTCGATCGATGGAAATATCATGCTCCACCGAAATGCCGTAGAACGCATCCGTGTCACGCGAGGTCGGTGAGCTCTTGGTCGTCGTTGAAGTACGGTCCGAGTAGCAGAGGGTCTGTGCAGCACCCATTGACGAAAGACTCGTGGGGCTATCCTTTGTTGGGCTGCTAAGGGAACTATCAGCGCCACCAGCAAGCGAGCGCCAGAAGTTGCGATGCTTTTTGTCTTGACTGCGAAGACTCCGCGAGCTTTCCAGGGCAGCACCAGCCCAGATTGATGAGAGGGGGAGTGAGATCACGACCAGGGTCACGACGTTGGAGTTTAACTCTGGGATGACGATGTAGTATTGGGTGATTGAGAAGATGGCAGGAGCGACCATGGTTTGGCAGCCCATGACAAAGATGACTTTCATGGGACCGAATTCACGGACACCAAGTCGGCGCCGTTGATTGATGGCAAAGCCGAGCTTGACGACAAAGACAGTGCAGAAGAAGCAAATGCTGACCGTGAGACTGATGTTGGTTGCGCTTTCCACCCACCAAAGCGAAGCCATGTATTCGAGTGTTATGATCAGCTTGCAGTTCTCGACCATGAACCAAAAGCGGAAGATGATTGGCACCAGAGCAAGCAGGGCGGACAGTCCTAACAGTGGACGTTTGTAGCGCCGACGGAGAGTAGAGCAAACCACATTCAGCTGAAGCACCAGCGAGATTTCGATGCAAACTATGACCAATGTCAAGAATACCGTGGCGGAAATGGACATGGCATATGCGCTGAATGGCACGGCCGTGTAGTCGCCGGAGAAGTATTCATATAGTCTCTCGAATTTGGTCTCGAAATGTAGGACTTGGAAGAGCAGGCGGATGGAATTGAAGAAAAGCGCCAGGCCGTTCAAGATGAATACCGCTGAGCGTCGCTTGTCGGCATGGGTCAAAAGCAGAAGAATCACCAGCAAAGCCAGTGTTGCTCCAAGTTGAACCCCATAGTTGATGCATACGCGGACGTTGTAACCGACGAAGGCATTCACCATTGGCATCGAGACTTCGATGAGATAGCCATCTCTATGCTGAAAGGTGACATTTTGAGTGTATGGGTTGATTGGCGTTAGAGAATCCATGATGCTCGCTGTGATAGTTGCCAAGGAATGAACAGGAAGTTGGTTCTCTGATCACATCAAGATGACAAGGATATACTGACAGGGGTCGAAGATATAGTTTTGGAATCAATATGAAGAATATAGAGAACCAGGGTGAATGTATAGATTCAGACGACCCGAGACAGACAATGTGATAAAGGGCATATGAATGCATCTCGATCATCATGAGAATTCAACATTGTGAGTGTCCGAACGAATTCGATGTAGTCGGCGGGGCGACAAGAATAGGAACAATACTAAAGGAATGCAACAACAATATGAAGCGAGACAAAGGGTTCAGCAATGGCAAAACCTTCGTCTGAGATCATTGACTTCAATGCGTTGCATTCATCGGATTGGGTGCTCGGGTGAGATCGTCGAGGCACTAAGGTTGGTTTTCTTTGTCTTGGACTGGGAGGATTTGGGTCCAACGCAGCCAATATCACATCGAGGAGGTCATCACTGGAAGATTGGGGTCCAGAATTCATGCGATCTGCCATTTACCGTGGCTATGATGTTTTCGCCTCTGAATCATGTCGTCTCACCTCGAGGAGACTGGGCCTGGGCCCCTGTGATGAGCCTGCGTTTGGCCTGCAGATCAAAAAAGTCACTTGAAATCTGAAAAAGAATTTACTTGAGGTCTAAGATATCAGTATATCAGAATTGCAGCTAGAAAATAACAGCGGTGAAGTAATGAGGAATAGAGAATGGCAAAGCTGTAAGCTGTACGGAGCACTGGTAGATGGAGAACGGAGAACGGAGTAGACATGGGAGCTAAAGCTGCGGGGAAGAACGTCGCGACTCAACCATCCACCATGGCCGTGCCTCAAAGGACACTGACCTGGCTTTACAGTGTCCTCACCAAGGTAAATACACTCATTTACTTGCTCTAATTCTGCTAATTATTTTAGGATCACTACGATCCCAAACAGACATACCACGACCCAAATCGGACCTACCACGATGTTGCTAACGCGCTGGCCCAATACCCCTCGCTCTCCCCTCGGACAGATGTATACAGTGAGTCTTTCTTTTCTCTAGATTCCCCCGCTCTCTAACGCATTCTATAGCCTACGAGACGGGCTTCTCGGCCCTCCTCCTCCACCTGGTGGGCACATTGCCTGTCAACTTCCGAGGGACAACATACCGGTTCCCCATTGCGCTTTGGATCCCAAATACATACCCGCGAGAGCCCCCAATCGCCTATGTAACTCCGACGCAAGAGATGACTGTCCGAGTCGGGCAGCATGTAACGCTGGAAGGCCAGGTGTACCATCATTATTTGGCGCACTGGGCTGAAGCCTGGGATGTGAGTATGTCTCAATCGTGCTTGGCCAACCGCTAACATACGTATCGCCAGCGATCTACCATTGCGGATCTTCTATCAATTTTACAAGATATATTTGCCAAGGAACCACCTGTGCGATACCGGCAGCAAGTGCCTCAACCCCAGTCTCAACCGGAGCATGCTCCAACACCGCCGCCATTGCCTCCTCTTCCACCCGGCGTAGGATCTTCACAGACACAGACCCCAATACCTACACAAATCGCGAGTCAAGCTCCGCCTCCGCCTCCACCAAAGCCAGGCGCGAATGAGAACCGCCAACCATTGCCTGTCGATCGATCTTCCTTGCCTCCACTCCCACCCAAAGAGCGAGGCCTTCGCCAGACATCAATTCCAGGTGCATCTTCACCAATAGGACCCCCTGGTGTAAGATCACCCCAGTACCATGCACCTCCAGGCCATGCTGGAGGGCCAATAGGCAGTCCACTGTCCCAGCCACCGACTCAACAAGCAACATCGCCTCAGGGCCCATACTATAGAAATGGAGCCCCAATTCCTCCACAACCGCAATTCACTCAACCACAGCCGGCTCCCTTGCCAACTCACCATCAGAACCAACATCCCCCCTACCCAGCCAACCACCCGCGTCCTCCCCCCGCAGCACCCAAGGCCGAAACACCTGACCTTCTCACCTCCCCATTCGAAGTGGAACTACCCGCAATCTCCGGCCCTGCCCCTCCAATCCCACCAAACCCAGAGAAAGACACCCTCCTTCGAGCCGTCTCCCACTCTCTAGCAGAAACACTGCAACTCAAGGCCGCGCAATCCGACACAGCATCGCAGTCGCTGGTATCTCAGTCCCAATCCCTCCACTCAGCCCTGGCAACTCTCCAAGGCGAGATCTCAGCGCTCAACTCCTTGCACGCAACCCTCCACTCCAACACGGCCGTTCTGCAGCAATCTATCCAGCGCGCAGATGCTACCATCGCCGATGCACCCCCAGACCTACCGCCCATTGACGATGTCCTTGTCGCGCCCACCATCGTAGGTAAGCAGTTATATGACCTTGTCGCTGAGGAGCAGGGGATTCAGCAGGCTCTTTATGCGCTGCAGGCTGCGCTGGTGAAGGGTGTTATTGGTGTGGATTCTTGGTCCAAGCACACACGTAGTCTTGCGAGAGAGGCACTGCTGAAGAGGGCTTTGATTCGGAAGATTGGGCGTGGAATGGGCCTGGAGGAGAGTTTGTAGCTATTTGCTTGTAGATAGATACCCTCATGATAGATGAAGCTTGTCCTTGGCAACCTTGATGGCAAGTTTGTTCATCTTGGATTTCAATCATCTTTCAATATTGGCATTTATAATCCACTGACATACGGGTGTCTGCTGCTCAAGTGAGGTGCCCAGGTGGAGTCAACGAAATACCGTTAGAATGGTGGAATATATATCATGGAACCGTGGAATGTCAGCTCCAGAGGTTCTCGTGCTCCACAGGTGGAGAACATTGAAGGCCTGGATGATCAACGGCCTACAGTGGACCTGCACACGTAGATATGGACGAAGTATATATCATCGTTCCAAGGTTCTACTTCCAAGCTTAAGTACAATTTTTTCAGAGTTCCAATGGGATTTATTTCAGGTCTGACTAAGGGGTCACAACGAGAAAGATTAGATTATTCCTAGAGTTAGACCCACAGCCTATGCGATCGAGACAGAGTTCCAAGGTTCAAATCACAATGAAAGAGAGTATAGATTCAACTGAAGTTTGGTATGCCAACACTCGCTGTACAAGGCATCCAATGATGTAAAAAGGCAGTAACAAGCCGTAGGCTGCATACATACAAAGAATAGAACAAATGACAAAATCGGTACAGGCTTATTTGACCTCGTTAGCATCCGAGAATGGACTCTCTACTCGGGCTGGTGGTGTCCGAGTCGAACTTCGTCCATCGCTGAGACCGGATGTTCGGTCTACATGGCGCTGTGATGACCCTGTTTCTAAGTTGGCGGTTGAGGAGGGGTATGGTAGGTCTTCCTCGTCTGAGGAAGAGCCGTCGAAGGTGGAGATGTCGTGGTTGAATTGGTCACTTGTGGTGGATACTGCTCGGCTGGTGTTGTTGCTTTTGCTGTGCTCAGAGACTTCTTCGATTCGATTGATAGGTTGGGGTTGATTTTCCTTTTTCTTCAGGGAAGGCCCGCGAACCATGACAGGCTTGGCGGTTACGCTGCGAGCCACACAGGAGCTGTTACCCTTGACAGCCTCCGCGCGAGCAAGTTGTGCAGGAGTGATAGCTGGAACGGCAGGCGCATCCGCAGGGGTGACTGTAACGGCGACAGGGGAGTCGTCACCAGGTGCATTGTTTCCAGCACCTCCGTTGTGGATGCTGACGACGGCGGCACGAGAGCGCTGGATCTGCTGGGCGGGAACGGCACTGACAATGGCGTCATTGCGGTAGATGGTTGTCGCAACACTGCTGCGCAAAGTGGGTGAGATGCTCTGATGGCCGGTAGTGGTGGTCCATGAAGAGTCACGCAGGTCACCAGGCATGAAGAAGTGTTGGTCGGGAGAGGCACCGGGAAGAGGGGGAACGGGCGGGACGAGGGAGGCTGGTGTCTCGGGCGGGGAGCGATTGGTGACACCAGGAATGTAGGCGATTTGAATGACGTTGGAGGCACGGGTCAGAACTGTGGAGGCGATGGACTGGCGTTCACTGCGAGCGGCCGCGAACGAGCCATTCTTCTCCGCCTCCTGGCGCTCCAGGCGCTTCTTACGGATGACGAACCACCAGACCAAAAAGACAATGATAGCAATGGCAGCTACACCACCGATGACGCCACCAGCAATGGCCCCAGCGTCACTGCCCCCGGAGTCGGACGGTTGAGAGCCACCCATTGAGACGCATTTCGTAGTGGCGCATGAGTCGCAAGTTTGCGCACTCATTGTGCATGTGTATCCATCATCACATGATGGGCAGGCTGGGGAGGAGGTGTCGCACTGCTTGCAGCGCTTGAATAGGGAGCGGGCGGGGGAGAAGGCGGAATCGATAGGTTCGAGAAGCATGATGGGCGAGTGGTATCAACAAGGCCGGTCAACGGCAAGGAATGTGCGAGAAGATGAAAAAAGAGAGAGTAATGCTCGGTCGGCGTCAAGTCGTGAGCGTAGGCAGTTGATCATAAAAAAGCCAAGCCGTAGCGTTGGGGGGAAACGAGTGTCGGTGGGTGTGTACAAAGAAAGTGGATTAAGAGCTCATCTTCCGGGAAAGACAAGTCACCCAACGCGTATTTGAACACGATCCAATGGGAGAATAAGGCAATGTGCAAGGAAGTCGAGTGGTGGTGTAAAGAAGAAGTTGGGAGAAAGAGGAGAACGGGGGGGGGGCCAAAGCCACGGGAAGTCCAGGCACACAGCCTTCTCTAATGGTTCCACGGGTATCTGGTACGGGGTAGTCAGGTACGAGGACTTCGTACTTTAGTCTATGAGTAGTAATTTCGATCAAGATTAAGAACAAAAGTCACACTGGAACTGCGAGATCTAAGATCCTTTTTAATATCCCAAATGTTTCATCCCATGCTCACCTTACATGATGTGAGGGCTGGGATCGAATGGAACTGTACGAGGACAATGGGTGGAGTCGGACGGGTGCCCAGCTGAGGTGGTCTGGACTCGGACTATCGTTGATCCAAGATTGCACTTTCTTTGTCTTGAATCTGCTGTGTTTGTCTTGTTTGTACAATCTCTCGTGTTTGCATTATTTGCATTGTTTGCACTGCTGACCCCTGTTTGTACTGTTTACACTCCCAGCCCTGCCCGGGCCTGCGGGCCCACAGAGCAATCAATCCCTCACATCCCTGATCGGGTATGGCCGTCCATGTGGGAGTCGATGATTGGCCCTGGGAGAATATGCGAACGTCCTGAGATTAGGGGAGACTTTCGCGTGAGATTTGCCAAATGTGACCCGTCGCTGCATGTGCAGGTATCAGGTTCTCTGGGCGCAATTGAAACTTAACTGTTCTCACAGTTAAAAATAATCACGCTAACCAGTTCGCAGTAATGTCTAAGATTATCAAGTCAGGTGACTATATGGACAACTCCGTACCTAGGTATAGTATGTACTCGCCCGAAAGGATAAGCATGCTAATGCTGAGGAGCACCACATATCTGACAGAGTACGGAAGAACTCCATGGCTTGTACTCCGTACCTGGGTACCCGAGGGCGGGAGTTCAAGGTTCATGTAAGGCCTGCATACGGAGTCATCCGAACAGAGTACCTAGGTACTCCGTATACGAAGTCTCCTATTGCACACACTCACAGTAACTATGTACGAGTACACGATCCCGTACTCCGTACTGCAGTGGATAGTTAAAATGGCAGTGGGGTCTGATGGGCTGTACAAGTACCCCGTACCTACAGTAAGCCGCACATACCAGAGATCCCCTAGACAGTACGCAGTTAAGCCTCCCAAGGGTAGTCCGTATTGTAGGATCATTTGTTTTGATTTCCAAGTTCCCCGGAATGTGAGAGCCCCAGACATGGCACGGAGCATAATGTAACTATGGCTGTCAACTCCAGTCTCACATTTGTACTCCGTATTGAAGATATAGACCCTATTCACCGAATGTTTCACCAGTGGAGTCCTTTAATTGGGTTTGGGGGCTCTTAGCGCGTCAATCATTCCCCTAAAGTAGTAAGTGGGTAAATGGAGTACACCTAAAAATTCAAAATTTAAAACCAGAATGAGTTGTCAAAAAATAAAGGGGATCATGAAGACAAGAATTTGAGGTTTCTTTGCCTTTCAACCCCATATCTTGAACGTCTTGGTGATCTGTACTACAGACCTGACCCTCCGTACGGGGTATCCCGTATACAGGACCATGAACTGGGCTTCATTTACTTACATTCGCTGTAGACTGTGTGGATTTAATATCTATTCAATAAGCATCCAATGTTGCTAATGGGCTCCGTACTGGCGTAATTTAAGCCCCTAAATAATCCCTAAAAACAATGACTAGTGTCCGGGAAAATAATAATAATAAGAAAATAACAAAGGCTGAGAGGCGAAACTAAACCAGGACGGGGTTAGAGACAGTCTATTTTTGACCTCTCTCCTAGTTTCACTCTATCCTCCTTTTCTCTTCCCCCCATTCCCCCCTTCTCTTTTTCCTTTATTCACACCCTTGATTCACCTTTTTTTTCTCGGTTTGGATCATTGAAGGGATTTGCCTTACAGCCCAGGTGGCTCTACTCCAGTACTCCCTAACGCCAACACCGTATGCGCCTTGTTTGATACCCCTCCCTTTGATCCTTTATACTCCTTGTTGGCGACATGGCCTACCAAGGTGGGCGCTCGCATTCGCCGAGCTACGACGATGCGCACGACGGCCATCGTCTGCAGGACGTGCCTGCTTCTCAGGTACGCGTCGGAAACACCCGACAAGCTTTGAGTGGAAACTAATTGTCAGCTAGTACCCCGAGGAGGAAGATGCCGCACGTGGATTGCTCTCTCAGCACCAGGGTCCTTTTGCGACTCCTTTTGATGACCCCCACTCGCGTGGAGTTTCGCCCCAGCGTCCTGCTTCCGGCTATAGCTTGACCGAGACTTACGCCGCTGATACCGCGCCCGCTTATAATGATCCCTACAACAACGGTTCAGTTTACTCCGGTCAAGACGAAAACCCCGCGACTGCTTTTGGTGTTCCTGGTCGTGTCGCTTCGCCTTACGCCCGCAGTGAGACTTCTTCTACTGAGGCTTGGCGTCAGAGACAAGCGCCCGGAGGGCCATCTGGTGGAGGTGGCGGCGGCGGCGGCGGTCTGCGCCGATATGCCACAAGAAAGGTCAAGCTGGTGCAGGGCTCAGTTCTGAGTGTCGACTATCCCGTGCCCAGCGCTATTCAAAACGCCATCCAGGCCAAGTACCGCAACGATGTGGAGGGTGGAACCGAGGAATTCACCCACATGCGATGTATGTAAAGACCAGACGACAGACCTGGAAATATCACCGAACAAGCAATACTAACGAACCTTGCCAATTCACAGACACCGCAGCAACCTGTGATCCTAACGAATTCACTCTCCACAATGGATACAATCTGCGCCCCGCCATGTACAACCGCCACACCGAGCTGCTCATTGCGATTACCTACTACAACGAAGACAAGAACCTAACGGCACGTACTTTGCACGGTGTGATGCAGAATATTCGCGACATTGTCAACCTCAAGAAATCCGAGTTCTGGAACAAGGGTGGTCCAGCATGGCAAAAGATTGTGGTGGCACTTGTTTTCGACGGTATCGACCCTTGTGACAAGGATACTTTGGATGTTCTGGCCACAGTCGGTATTTACCAAGATGGTGTCATGAAGCGTGACGTTGATGGAAAGGAGACCCTCGCCCACATCGTGAGTGGAAAGGAAGAAGGCCATCGAGTAAACGGAGCACTAACAGCCCTTAGTTCGAATACACGACTCAACTCTCAGTCACGCCCAGCCAGCAACTCATTCGCCCCACTGACGACGGCCCTAGTACCCTGCCCCCCGTGCAAATGATGTTCTGCTTGAAGCAGAAGAACAGCAAGAAGATCAACTCCCACCGTTGGTTGTTCAACGCCTTTGGTCGCATTTTGAACCCTGAAGTCTGTATTCTTCTGGATGCGGGTACGAAACCCGGTCCCAAGTCACTTTTGTACCTCTGGGAGGCTTTCTACAACGACAAAGACCTTGGAGGTGCCTGTGGTGAAATTCACGCCATGTTGGGTAAGGGTTGGCGCAATCTGGTCAACCCTCTTGTTGCTGCACAGAACTTCGAGTACAAGATCAGTAACATTTTGGACAAGCCTCTCGAAAGTTCGTTCGGTTACGTTAGTGTCTTGCCCGGTGCTTTCTCGGCTTATCGTTTCCGTGCTATCATGGGTCGTCCCCTCGAACAGTACTTCCACGGTGACCACACCCTGTCGAAGCAACTCGGAAAGAAGGGTATTGAGGGTATGAACATCTTCAAGAAGAACATGTTCTTGGCCGAAGATCGTATTCTCTGTTTCGAATTGGTCGCCAAGGCTGGCTCCAAGTGGCACTTGTCGTACGTCAAAGCCTCGAAGGGTGAGACTGATGTCCCCGAAGGTGCCGCCGAGTTCATCTCTCAGCGTCGTCGTTGGCTCAACGGTTCGTTCGCTGCTGGTATCTACTCTCTCATGCACTTCGGTCGTATGTACAAGAGTGGTCACAACATTGTCCGCATGTTCTTCCTCCACATTCAGATGTTGTACAACGTCTTCAACACCTTCCTCACTTGGTTCTCACTTGCATCCTACTGGCTCACCACCACTGTCATTATCGACTTGGTCGGTACACCCAGCAAATCCAACGGTTATACTGCGTTCCCCTTCGGAAAGACGGCCACGCCTATCATCAACACGATTGTGAAGTATGGATACTTGGCATTCGTGTTGCTGCAATTCATTCTCGCGCTTGGAAACAGACCTAAGGGTTCCAAGAAGTCTTACCTTGCCTCCTTCGTGGTATTTGGTCTTATTCAGCTATACATTGTGGTCGATTCGCTTTACTTGGTCGTTCGCGCGTTCAGTGGCGGCGCCCCCATGGACTTTGTCACAGACAAAGGTGCAGGCGAATTTCTTAAGTCTTTCTTCTCCTCTTCTGGAGCTGGTATCATTATCATTGCCCTGGCTGCCACCTTCGGTCTCTACTTCGTTGCATCATTCATGTACGCCGACCCGTGGCACATGTTTACCTCCTTCCCCGCCTACATGGTCGTCCAGTCTTCCTACATCAACATTCTCAACGTCTATGCTTTCTCCAACTGGCACGATGTTTCATGGGGTACCAAGGGATCTGACAAGGCCGATGCTCTACCATCAGCTACGGTCACCAAAGACGAGGGCAGTAAAGATGCAGTCATCGAGGAAATTGACAAGCCACAATCCGATATCGACAGTCAGTTCGAGGCCACTGTGAAGCGCGCCCTTACTCCCTATGTTGCCCCCGTTGAGCACGAAGAGAAGAGTTTGGATGATTCTTACAAGAGTTTCCGTACCCGTCTCGTTACCTTGTGGATTTTCAGCAATGGTCTGCTGGCAGTCTGCATCACCAGCGAGTCTGTTGACAAGTTTGGCTTCAGCGTAAGTTTTTGCACCTCCCCTCTATACACCCGCTCTCACTAACCCATCAAAGAACACCGCCACTAGTCGCACGACCCGTTTCTTCCAGGCTCTCCTGTGGTCCAACGCCGCCGTGGCCCTGTTCCGTTTCATCGGCTGCTGTTGGTTCCTGGGACGCACCGGTATTATGTGCTGCTTCGCACGCCGGTAATCGTTCCAGCCAAAATGTTTCTCTTCTTCATGACCCCTTGACTCGATGTTGACTTCAATTTTGATTTGTACTCTACCTAAGATGCCCAATTCCCGTTCTTTCAATGCCAGCCCGTATTTCGTTCGAGTACAGCCTGGTATTCTTCTTGATCGTTTTTTGTTCGGATAGCCATGCACTGGGATAGCATATGGGGCGCTATGAATTACTCATATTAACAAATTTTTGTATCATTCCAAGGCCCCGCGTAGCAAGTAGATATAGTGTGCGGAATACTGCGTAGTCTACGGGTGGTGAGGCCCGTTTAGGCTCACAACATGGCCCGAAGGCGGAGTGGCTGATAAAGGCCGATTGCTGATCTGAGAGACCCCCGCAGGCACTAGAACTTCCCCCTCCATTTAACTCAATCTTGCATCTTTGCCATTTCTGTCCTTGGAGCAAAAAGGGGTGCTCGGAATTCTCTGTTAGCTATCACAGGATCTTTAAAATCTTACGTTCCACCAGGTGTGGTGACTTGCTGTCAAAATGTTGAAAATCTGGTCTATGGTAACGTCCTCATGACCACTTGAATGAGCTGAGCCCTAACAACCCAACAGAAGCAAAAGCAGCAAGAGGCTGAGAATGCGGAGGGTGCTGCTGGAAAGAAGAAGAAGAAGGTCACCGCAGCCCAGCTTCGGGTGCAACGAGGTAGGTTACTTTCAAGATTGCAGTGTCCAGTTCACCCTGCGCGCAGTCATCTAACATGTTCCTATAGATCTCCAAGAACTCACGCTTGGGAGTACCATGAAAATGACCTTCCCTAATCCCGACGACATCCTCAATTTCACCCTCTCCATCGAGCCGGACGAAGGCATGTACAAGGGTGGCGTCTTCCACTTCTCCTTCGTCGTCAACCAGAACTTCCCACACGATCCCCCGAAAGTCAAATGCACACAAAAGATCTACCATCCCAATATCGACCTGGAAGGGAACGTGTGCCTGAACATTTTGCGCGAGGATTGGAAGCCAGTCTTGAACTTGAACGCCGTTATTGTCGGCATGCAGGTGAGTGTGCATATTGGCGCATGGAATCATTATAACTAACACATAGCGAGTTCCTGTTCCTTGAACCAAATGCCTCCGATCCCCTCAATAAGGATGCTGCGGAAGATCTCCGCGCCACCCGTGACCACTTCAAGAAGAACGTGCGCAACTCTATGGCCGGCGGGTCCGTCCGAGGCGTATCGTTCGACCGGGTGCTACGGTGATCAAATCACTCTACAGTTTTCGATTCCTTCCAGACTTCGCCTTTTCTCCTATATTAGCATGCAGTCACGATACGGAATCATCTATGGCTTTACACATGGTGGAGATTTGGTTGGCGATTCCACGGGGCGCCGGTGTTTCCACGTACATATTCCCGGCGTAATTTAGCGTTTGAAGAAAATAGATCCAGTTCACTTCGCAGAGGGCCATGTAGAAAGACCGTGTTGGTGTGGGCGCAGCAGTGACCAAGGTGGCGACGATGAATTTACAGAATATGGCGAGGTTCTTTTGACATGTAGTCATGAGTCGCGTCTGGCGAGCGCATTCAGAGAGGGAGAATAATCCAACATCAAATCAACTGGTTGTCCATAGGCGTATATGTACAATCGATCTCAAATCTATCCCATTGGTACACGACCCGTCGATTCAACCGAGCGCCATGGGTCACGTCGAGACAGGTGCTCGCATAGGCGATCTCTAGATAACGCTTTGACAAAGAAAATAACTGGTGCCGAACGGGCGAAGGGACGGTCGGGGTGAATTGATGACCGATTTAACCGCGCTGGGCGGCACGCTCAGCCTCGAGGCGGCTGTAGTAGACGTCGCGCTCACGGACGCGGGGAAGGTGGAAACCTATACAGGGTATGGTTAGATTCCTGGTCAATCGCGTGGAGATCTGGAGATGTTCTACATACCGTACCACCAGAGGTAGCCGAAGGTAGTACCGAAACCTGCGAGACCCTGATCAGAAATTGTTTCCCGTTGATATGCTGTAGTTGTGTTCGCGCTGTGCGTCTTCTATCCGGTCGCTCCCGACATCGCGATATCCAACTTGGCGTTCGATCATGCCACTCGATTCGGGTCATAACTCACCGAAAGCGGTGCTCAGGTCAAGGACGAGAGTGCGGCGAAGCATCTAAAGAGAAACGAATCGTCAGTGAACTGTTGCGAAAGATCGAATTGACTTGATCAAGGTCCGGGTCAAACCGGTGATGGAAGGGGCACATACGCCGGTGATGGGGGGAATAGCGGCAGGCATTGTGACGAATACGTAGCGTCAATCGATACTCGGCAGAAAACGAGATTGATTTTGGACAGACTAGAACCCGTCTTGGTTGTGGTGCGGAGAGGAGAGGGGGTGAGAGCGAAAGACTTGTGAGGTGAAGTTGAAGCTTCGGAGCGGACTAAGCGAGCCGCCGGATTGGTCAATCTATGGCATGTTCAATATTCCCTTTTCTTTCCACTGCTTTCAATTATGTCTACTTTTTGATCTGATTCAGGGACAACAGGTGAATTGGATTGTTCAATCTGGTCATCTATGGTATTTGGCATGGTATCTCCTCTAATACCTGACTAGGCGTGCAATACTCCATTGACTCAGTTGAGAAGGATAGCTGCCGGAGCCCCCAAACGGTAATGAGTGAGTTATATCCCAAATATTGGCACTTTCACTTTGTACTCACCTCTACACAGTCATATTCTTATGTATCTATGCCCTGGAGCCGCGGAGTGAGAACCGAGTCGCAGCTCTATAGAGAGACAACAAACTCACCGCCCGATACACGTGACCGGCAAATCGAGCCCAGCAGAGCTCCTCGCGCCATCTTCCTCGGATCATTACCATGGCTATGGCATCAGGCACCCAGATCAAAAGGCCTGCCTCATCTGAAGGACCACAGGATACTAAGCGTCTCAAGCGCCACTACCATCATCACCACCACCTCCAACAACCCGTTGCGTTAACGCCTGCAACCGAGCCAGCCGTGCAAGATGATGCCCACATCGACCATTTGATGACTCGCGCCATTGGCCAGACTTTGAAGGAAACTGGCTTCGATGTGGCCCAGCCTGCTGCGCTCTCCAGTTTGTGCAGCGCTACGGAAGAGTGTACGTAAATGCCATCTTGTCGTTGAAGTCTCATCTAACCCAATATCCATAGACGTGCTGCGACTCTCAGGTTTCATCCGTCAATCTATGCTATCGTCCCGGCGTATTCAGCCCATCCCGAACGATTTCGAACATGCTTTGAAACGTGCCAATCTCGATCTCAATGATCTCCTACCTCATCTCAAACCTGCGCCTTCAGATGCCCCCACGCCTCAATTCCTACCATCACCTCCGCCCGAGAATGAAATAACGAAATCCTTACCCTTCCTCACGGCGTTGAGTAGTGAGGATGATCGTGCAACTCGCGCCTACATTCCGCAACACTTCCCCAGCTTCCCCAGCAAACACACATATTCTGCTACTGCGGTCTTCATCGAGCGAGACGGTGATCCACGGAAGATTCGTGAGCGTGCAGCTGAAGATGGACGGCATGGTGAAGAGGCATTGCGCAAATTGGCTAGTGCCGCATTCCGTGACAACCAAACGGGTTCGACGGGTCGCGACAAGAAACTCTGGGGTCGGAGAATGGATAGCATGGAAAGCATGTTCGAAAAGACGACCAAGGCATTGGCGAAGAAGCTCGGCAATGACAAGCAAATACTTTCGTCCGGTCTTGGTTCTACAATGGAAATCGATTCAGGACAGGTGGATGCTGAGACCAAAGCTCAACTCAAGCTTTCCTGGAATATGGAAATGGGCCCCATCGTCAATTGCGAGCGAGATACCTGGCGCCGGACAACATCGAATACCCGACGAGGGGAGGAGAAAACCCCCAAGCCTGCTCTAAGCGCTGAGCCGATGGAAGTAACTGGCATGTAAATTAAAACGACATAGACCCGGCGTTCTGTTTTCTTGGGATGGCGTTCTTTCTTTTACGTTCAGGAGATGACCTGAGGAGATACCCCATGGCAGTTGCATTAATCAAACGTTCAATTATTCAATGCTAGCAGTTGTCACGATTACGCCGCCCAATGCATAAACCCCTGTAATCCTCTTATTCCGTTGCAGTTCCCGAAATATCTTTTGCTTTATTGGCTTGTTTTGCCTCCTGTGCCAATCTGAGTGGTTCCCACGTTGTTGTTTCGATCATGAGTCCTCCGGCGCAGCTATGACAATCAGTGAATGCTTCAACTGAGGCTCGACCAGACTCACCGTCGGAATAACCGCACTATAGGTTTGCAAACCACCACTCCCGCTTCGGGAACGCCATCCTGGGGTGGGTTGCAGGAGTATTGTGTCATCTCGAGTAGCGGGCATTCCTTAAGGTCCACTGCATTGCCTTTGCGACGTTTGTCCTGGAAATTGCGGCGCACGGTGTTGACATGGTCGGGGAGCGACTCAGTCGAGAATACGGGAACGAGAGGTGCCATTGGAAGAATCAAGAGCGAGATTGAGAGGGAAAAGGTTGGAGTTCGCAGGTGTGAAATCGAAGTTCTGCGGAAGCTCGGCCGCGCTATCGTTTCCGCGTCCGCATTCACCGCAAAACATCTATCTTGCAAGAACTATGACATCCAGCCCACGGATTTCGTGATGCCAGTTCCATGAAGCACCTATTCTGCCATGGCTGCTAACCTCGGGAAAAGTGCCCTGGCTGATGTACACCAGGAGGGACTCGACCAGGTATCATTGAACATTGCTGCAGTCTTGCAAGGTTATGAATGGAATTAATGAACTGATTGTTCCCAGCTTCTCTCTGAATTGGCCGACTACTACCCTGGGTCTGATCACGATGTGTATTCCTTGGGGATCCCAGTGCTGGACTCATTACTAGAGGTGTTCGCACCTAAGACATCTCACAATCGAAGCCGTAGAGCTTCTGACCAGGACCAACTGAGAGATTACCAAGCTGCTGCATACGAAGAAATGCTCATGCAGGTCGAGACTGAAGATGATAACTCTTACGGACCAAATGTCATGCATGCGCAAGATGATACCGGCCCTGTCGATGCCTTATTTCCGGAACCTGATGAGGCTCAGAAACGTCCAATCCCAATTTTGGAAGTTTCAAGCTGTCTCTCTTCCTCGGGGAAGTCGCAGCTGCTGTACTATCTAAGTGCTATTGCCATTCTGCCTCGAGCATACGGTGGCATCCCAGTCGGTGGCCATGAAGCGGCGGTCGTTTTCATAGATACGGATGACCGGTTCGATGCTGAACGACTACGCGTTGTAGCCCGGAGAATCATGCAGGAGCGTATGGCAAGACTGTCATCCATTTCTGAAGAACAGTCAGCTGGACTACCAACTGACTGTGATATGGACGCATTGATTGTTTCATCACTCCGGCATGTCCATGTCTTCCGTCCTCAGTCCTCAATCGCTTTGCTGGCCACCCTGCACTCTCTTGGGCCCTACCTCTTTGATCTATCGCGGCACCAGTCCGCCTCGCGTCCTTTGCAGATGATTGCCATTGACAGTATCACCGCATTCATCTGGCAAGATCGGCTCCGAGACGAAGTAGCCCGCACGGAGGAAATCGGGCGTTCTCGAGAAGAGGTTGATAGTGAGCGTGAGCAGAAACGCAGATTCTGTTTGCCGATTCTATACGATGAACTGGCCAAGCAATTGAAGCAACTCCAAGGTCAATTCCACTGTGCGATAGTGTACACGTCAGTGGTTTCGGGGGGTCGACCTGCTGCTGATCAAGATGAGCCTCAGTCTCGATTCTCGACGTTGAAACCAGCTCTCCCCGCACCCTGGGGTAAATTGCCGACTTTGCGTTTGATTGTGCATAGATCCACTGTCCGTCCTTTCCCGCCTAGTATGACACCTCTTGCAGCAGCCAAGGATGCCCCTTCCCGACAAAGCGTGGTTCACCAAGGCAAAATTTCCGCTTGGGTGAATGAATGGGACCGTGACGGTTGGCCTCGTCGGATAGTGGAAGCTGTCGAGGCAAGCAACGGGGGAAGTTTCTCCTTCTTTGTGCGTGAAACAGGGGTTGAGTTTAGCGATCCTGCGGATTGAATATGATATTTCATCTATCCACATCTCTTTATATGTGAGAACTCTATGTAAACAATTTGGCGATGGCTTCAACAGTCGTGTTACCACCACTGAACACAACGCCAATATCCCAACCACCTTCGCCGCCCTCTTGTTCTACGCGGCGTCGGAAATCCTCATCGAAGAGACAAACAGCTAAGCCAACGACCGCACTAGGTTCAACAACAACCTTCATACGTTCCAGAACCAACCGCATGGCCGACTTGATCTGCTCTTCAGTCACAGCAAACACTCCCTCAACTCTCTTCTCGTTAGAAATAACCTCCCAATTGATCAATCCCACTGGGGTGCGAAGCCCATCCGCGATAGTGAGTGTGCCAACTGCCTCAACACGCTTCTTGGCTTGCAATCCACGCCGGCAGTCGTCCGCACCTTCGAAACTAGGTTCTGCGCCAAACACACGCGTCTTCTTATCCGAGAACCACGTCGCAACACCAGAATTGAGACCACCGCCACCAATGGGAGTGATGACAGCATCTAGCGCTTGAGATCGAGCCTCGGCGTGCTGCGCCTCCAGCTCCAGAGCCGTTGTTCCCTGTCCGCAAATGATATTGAAATCATCATATGGCGGCACCAGAATTGCATCTGTCTTCGCTTGAATCTCTGCTACCACAGCTTCACGTTCTACGCTCGTCGATCCACTGAAGATGACCTCGGCGCCGTGGGACTGCGTGCCTGCGATTTTGGATGGTGTACTGATACGGGGCATCACGATGTAGGCAGGGACGCCTAGGGTTGAAGCAGCGAGAGCGAGAGCTTGTGCATGATTTCCTAGAGAGGGAACTGGTCAGTATTCGACTAGGCAAATCAGGGCCTGGCCGATATTGATTACCAGAGCTGTGGGTAATCACCCCGCGCCGTTTTACTTCTTCCCCGCGTTCTTCCAACAGGCGCAACAAGGCATGGAATGCGCCTCGCGCCTTGAAGGCACCAATTCGCTGGAAGTTCTCGCACTTGAAGAAGAATCTAATTCGGGGGTGTGCGGGGGTTTGGCCTTCGAATGGTGTTCCAACCAGCGCTTCGGGGGTCTGCGGCGTGGATGCGATGGTATCAAGTGTTTTGCAGGTCAACAGCGGCGTGCGGTGCACATAGGGCTGGATGAGGCCATACGCCGCTTGTACAGCGGCTGGCGTCAGGGATTGAGCAGCAACAGCGGGAGAAGTCATTGTGGTATGTGAAGGATTGAAAAGTGAGTCAGTCCCGAGGATGACTCTAAACAGCCTTACCCCGCCTGACGCACGGGGACGCGGCTGCGTGCAGGTGCATGCGGAGCTAGTTAAAAGCTATGAGCTATGCAAGGTTATGAGCTACAGATGGAATGAAGAATAAGAAAAAAGTTGGGGAATGGCATGTAAAGCCTCAAATAATATTTCCGATATGAAACCCAAAACGAACAAGTTCATAGTACATCATCACTTTTTGAACCCCCACGGGTATCAAGGTATTATATTTATTTCTGGTTCTCGGGGCGCAGAGAGCGGACGGCCTTTCCGGCGCGCCAGATCTCGAGGTTGCGGATCTCCTCCATCTCCTTCTCGTACTTCTCGCGGTAGTCGGGCTGCGAGTTGTAGTCGAGGGAGCGCTGGGTCTCAGTGCCGTTGTGGACGGAGTCGTAGAGGTCATTGAAGACGGGCTTCAGGGTGTCCTTGAAGCGACCGGACCAGTCAATGGCACCGCGGCGGGCGGTGGTGGAGCAGGCAGCGTACATCCAATCCATACCGTTACCACCAATGAGGGGGTAGAGAGACTGAGTGGCCTCCTCGACGGTCTCGTTGAAGGCCTCGGAGGGGGAGTGGCCACGCTCACGGAGAACCTCGTACTGGGCGAGGAACATACCGTGGATACCACCCATGAGGCAACCACGCTCACCGTAGAGGTCGGAGTAGACCTCCTTCTCGAAGGTGGTCTCGTAGAGGTAACCGGAGCCAACAGCGACACCCATGGCGATGGCGCGCTCCTTGGCCTGACCGGTGACGTCCTGGAAGACGGCAATGGAAGAGTTGATACCACGGCCCTCGCGGAAGAGAGAGCGGACGGTACGTCCGGAACCCTTGGGGGCAACGAGGATGACATCAACATCCTTGGGGACATCGACCTTGGTGAGGTCCTTGAACACGGGGGAGAAACCGTGGGAGAAGTAGAGGGTCTTGCCCTTGGTGATGAGGGGCTTAATAGTGGGCCAGGTCTCGGACTGGGCGGCATCGGAGAGGAGGTTCATGATGACGGTACCCTTCTCGATGGCGGTGTTAACATCGAACAGGTTCTTGCCGGGAACCCAGCCATCCTGGATGGCCTCCTTCCAGGAAGCACCATCCTTGCGGACACCAACGATGACGTTGAGGCCCTGGTCACGGAGGTTCAGACCCTGACCGTGACCCTGGGAACCGTAACCGATGAGAGCAAGGGTGTCGTTCTTGAAGAACTCCTGGAGCTTCTCACGGGGCCAATCGGCACGCTCGTAGACGTCCTCCTTGACACCGGCGAAGTCAATGGTCTTGATACCACGGACGGGGGTGGTGACGGAGGAGACACGGGGGAGGGCAGCGGCAGCAGCAACGGCCGGGCGAGGGAGGGCCGAAGCGAGCACGGAGCGAGGAGCGGCCACGCGGGCGAGGCGGAGGGCACGGGGAAGACCACGGGAAGCCATTGTGTGAATTGAGGAGAGGAGAGTGGAGAGATGAAGTGGAAAAGAGGAAAAAGAGTTCTGGGGAAAGCTTTATAAATGGCGAGTCCGCAATCGGCGAGTCATAGCGGAGAAAGATATTGTCCGGGATACCGGGGAGCTCTGGCCGTACTCCGGTCTCGGGGAGGTCGCGCCCAACTCCGGAAGTGGATTTGGGTGAGTCTGGACGATCACGGTGAGTCCTCACATGTACTTATCACCGTCATTCATGGCTTGTACCCCATACCTACGCCATTGAGTACTTACTCCGCAATATGCATTGAAACATGGGTCATATGTTGATCGGCTAACTTTTCCCCTCGAGCTTACGGGATGAGTCTCAGGCCAATGAGTCTACAGAGCTTAATGCTTAACATACCCAGACATTAGATCTTAGTGCGTACCAAGGTAGCTCTGTGATCTGGACGGAGTACATATTCGAGCTACCAATTAACAACTTTAAAAGTACTCTGTATCCAATGCATAAGTTGAGTGAGTCAGAGTTCAGGTACAATCTAGCTGGAGATTGCAGTCCTGGAGCTGTAAATATATATCCAAGGCTCTAAAGTTCACCCAAGTGTGGTCCTAATGATATGGCCTGTTGGCCAGAGAGCCCTTAGAAACAGTAGCCCAAAATGCCAGGGTCACCATATTTTGCAAGTCTTCCAGTCTGCCTGGAGAGACTCCATCTTGGGTGTAAACCTTGACCCGTATCAACGGTTGACATGATGGGTGAGGAGGGATTGAAAGTCATACTGGGGTGGTGCGAACTCCCCTGCAAATTCTAGATGTCGATAAAACTTTAGAAGTAGATTTGATTGAAAGTTTACTCGTATCTCAAATTATGTAGAGGCAAGTAGCCGCAGCTAAGTACGGAGTATAAAGTACTAAGTAGCACAACAGTAAGTATCGGCCTCGGAGTAAGTGTACACATGCCAAACCATTCCTTGAAATATTCTTGCATTATATACCTAGGTAGCTTTGAAGTTTGTCACTGCTATCACTATTTATTTAAAGTCATTCATCATTAAAAAGGAAGCTACTGCGTATCCCCCAAACCACCGAAGTTACCAGGCTGTACTCCGCACGTCTAGAGACAAAAGTACTGCCGCTCTCCGCCCCCACCTCACTGTCAACACAACCTCTCTTCTTCTCACCATGTCTGAAGTATGAGTGTCTTCTCATTTGGGGACTTACCCACGATTCAAACCCGCAAAGCTTTGCTATTGCTCGACTTTCAAAATGATTTCGTTCGTCCATCGGGCGCGTTGCATATCCCCAATACTCCCGAAATCATCGAAAACCTCCCGCAATTAGCATCCGCCTTCCGTCGCGTGGGAGAGGTGGTCTGGGTACGCTCGCAGTATGAAGGCCCCCAGTCAATCAGCGACTGGGATTTTGGAGACAGAATCGTTCTAGCCCGAGAACCACCACGCAAGAAGCGGATTCCCACTTCCGATGTCATTGAAGTCGGATCGGACCGCGATTCACCAGAGCCTATCGACCCAGAAGCTTTTCTTTCCGCCGATCCGTCAACATGTTGCTCTCCACAGACAACGGGAGCTCAGTTCCCGGCCCCGGTACTTTCTGCCATTGATCCTCAGAAGGACACCGTGATGGACAAAACAGGCTACTCTGCTCTAGGGTCACCTGGTCTTGTACTATCCTTTAGAACGCGCTTCGTAACACACATATATCTATGTGGCTCGCTCTCCAATGTCTCGGTTTTTGCGACAGCTCTGGATGCTGTCCGCAATGGGTTTTCGGTGACTCTCGTGGAAGACTGCTTGGGATTCCGCGATTTCCAACGCCACCAGGAAGCAATGCGACGGATGGCTGATATTCTTGGCGCAACTGGAATTACCGCCCGCGAACTTATCCAAGAGCTGGACTGGGACGAGACGGAGGCAATCGCTCGACAGGGTGCACCACAACCAAAGAGATCAGCAGCAAGTGCAGGTCTCGAGTCAATTATGGATGGGCTAGAAGTATGGAATGCTGCGGACACTTCTCCGAATGATGAAAAACGAGACCGAGAGGATTTTGGATTGTCAAAACTGGCTTCTATATCTCGCGCCCGTGGGGCGCGAGGGCCGGCGGAAGAAAATAAGCAGGTGCGCGCGCGTGTTCGACGCCCAAAGCGACGAGAACCCGAGCAGCCGCCAACAGCCCAGCCCCCTGCCGAGGCCAATCGAGGAACCGCATCACAGCCAACGCATACTGCTCAACCCGGGATCGGAGAGGGTGACTCAAACATTATACATGATCTGGCCCTCCCCGATGGATCATTTGAGCGCATTAAGGCAGAGGTAGATTGGCAAAAAATGTACCATTTGTCAGGCCAGGTTCCACGTTTAGTTGCAGTCCAAGGTCAGTCTCGGCCAGATGGCGCTATACCAATTTACCGCCATCCTGCAGATGAGTCCCCACCATTCAAACCATTCACCTCCGCTGTTGATGAGGTGCGCGTTGCCGTTGAAAAGATTTTGGGTCATCCGTTGAACCATGTGCTCATCCAACTTTACCGGGATGGACAGGATCGCATCTCCGAGCACTCTGACAAGACCCTAGATATTGTACGAGGATCGTTCATTTGCAATGTCAGTCTCGGCGCCGAGCGTGTCATGGTCCTTCGCACCAAAAATTCGGCCTCACAGCCCCAAGAGGGACAAGAGTCAGGTCGGACATCGCAGCGCGTGCCTCTTCCTCACAAATCACTCTTCGTTCTAGGCCCAAAAACCAACATGCGGTGGCTCCATGGAATTCGTGCGGACAAAAGACCCGAGACGGCCAAGTCCACTGACGAGCAAGCATACGGAGGCCAACGTATCTCCCTTACTTTCAGACACATTGGTACTTTCACCGAACCTATTACCAACAAAATCTGGGGCCAAGGAGCTGTTAGCAAAACATTGGAACAAGCTGGTAATGTGCTACATGGAGACTCAGCCGAAACTGAACGCCTCATCGGCGCATTTGGACAAGAAAACCGTGCCACCGAATTTGACTGGGATGCGGTATACGGCAATGGCTTCGACGTGGTCAACTTTGTAACGACGTCATCTGCACGGTTGATTCTGAGCGGGGACCCCGTGGCTGATTTGCGAGTCTGCATCGCCCTTGGAGAAAACGGTCTTCGATACGAGGTGGTTGGTCGCCAAAATAACCAAAATGGTCAATTAGGACCAGTGTACGAAGAGCCTAGTGGAACCACAGTTGCAGGCGACTGTGCTATCCTTTCACATTTGGCTCGACGACCCGTCGAATCAACTCGGCCTGGAGTGGAGGTGTTGCGAGGAGGTGATTTCTTGCCAGCCATTGAAGATTTCTTCAGACGCTGGCGGGAACATTGCATCTCTGGCTCACGCAGCGTATTTGAGTTTGGGTATGAAGATTGGGAGCGCATCCTGCAAGGACGACACTACCTTGGCGGTAATGCTTTTACGATTGATGACTGTGCCCTGTGGCCGGTTTTGCGAGAAATACTATCACAAACGCAAGGTCCATTTGATGCACGATTCCCGAGCTTGAATCAGTACGCTCAGCGGATCGCCAACAGAGGTATTGTCCGGTCTATACTGGAAGCGTGAGGCTGTCGCCCCGTGTGTGTCCACACGAGGGGCGCTATATTCATCACGGAGGGCACGGAGGGCTTTTTTCTTCATTGTACTTCATTTCTTCTTAGCAATGAACATAATAACAGGAATTGACACAGCCAATCAATCAGCAAACGAGAAATCGTGTTGGGATCGTCCAGCACTGGCAAGCCGTTGCAACAATTCATCGAGCTGCTCGCTGAAGAAATGAATTTTCCAAGCTTAGTATTGACTATGAATGCCTATATCGCACAAAGACACAGACCTGGGAAACACCTGCATCCTACATCTGACAGCCTCAATGTGAGTCTGAACAATCTCGAAGCGGTGGTCTGATTAGCTTGAGTATAGACATCAAGCCCCCCTTGGTATCCATCTAATCCCCCCCTCTCCCACGGTGCATTGAGACAATGCTAGCTCTGGCTATAACCACCTGCATGTCCGAATCAGACAGGGTATTGTTGAGTCTTCCTGACTAATAATTTACTTGAAACTTGTCCCGGCACAGGCCGTCTTGGCTACGGTCTCTGATGGACCCAATACCTACCGAAGTCTCAGATATCCATCATTCGAGAATTTCAGGCCGCGCAGAAAGAATATGTCCATTGTTATTTATGTACATGCTACTGGTTTCCATGGGCTCAATCACTCAGAGACAAGAACCGGGGAAAGAAGTGGTGGTCAGAGAACTCTTCAGAGCGACATCGCCACAGACAACAGCCTTGAAGAATGCCTGAGAGACGACAGACGCACCATCGGCACTGGTATGGGTGTGGTCATTTGGGAAGTAGCTGTCAACCGTAGTAGCACCAAGCGACTCGAAACGGTCTGCGACATACGCAAAGTGGTCGATGTAGGGAACCCCAGCATTAGCCGCCGCCGTTTTAGCGTATCCCACGAATCGAGGCTCGGAGTAAACAAACGAGCCAGTTTCCCAGAGGTTGTTAGGAGTCTGGGAGGAGATGATCACATTGGCACCCTTGGCTATGTACTTCTTCGTAGCCGCCTCGACATAGGCGCCAAAGGTGAGAACCGTCTCTGCAACCCCGTCATAGGTAGTGCTGCAGGTTTCACTTCCCGTGCCAGGACAGTCGGTACGTCCATTGTCACTACTGCTCAGCGAACCACCGTCGTTGTGTCCGAACTCAATGACGACCCAGTCTCCAGACTGCACAACGTCTGCGATAGCGTCGAATCGGCCCTCGCGAGTGTATGAACGTGCGCTGCGGCCGCCGATAGCCTTGTTGGACACCGTCAATGAGGTATATGGCGAGACATATTCACCCCAGCCTTAGAAAGCATTAGCATGGATTGAACAGAGCAATTGCACCCAGAAGCATACCCTGCGTGCCTGATCCACCGCCGTTTTTGGCCATGGTCGAATCACCGGCCATGTAGATAGTTGCGCCCAGTGCACTGGGAAAAAGAGCCGAAAGGAGCACAGCAGACTTCATGATGAGAGAGGTATAGGGTGTACGGAGTATTGAGACAAAGAGACCGAGTGATACATTTTGGCTTTTATACTTCCCAAACCATGCCAGGGGGCCTCTTTGGATACGTGGGAAATAGTGACAGCCACGGGGAGAAGCCCAGCCGGATATTCTCCGAAAAGTGAAGGTCTCCGAGTTTCATGGCGTTTATGGCGGGATGTGCAGGGGCCAAGACGAAGACGAAACAGGGCGTCTTGCAAGTGCGGAGACCCGATCATGCACGTCGTTGATTCACGGAATTTCCACTTCGGCGATCATTGTCCTTCTTGGCCACGGAGGAAGTAAACCTGACGGGCAAAAATCACCCGAAAATGCTGCAGAAAGGTAACGGACAGATGGAAGCCATTGGAAATATTTAGGGCTGTCGGTGATGCCTCGGATCTGAGTCGGATATAGAGCTCGAAACGACCCCAACAGCTTCAGTCCAATGAAATGCCGACGCAGTTGTTTAGTTTAAAGTGAAGGTACTCAGCTTGGGACTTCAATCTCCCCAGCTGTCAGAATGACCCATAAATAAAAGACGAAGTGTTCCAAGAGACATCGACGTCCTAAGGAACGGGGGAACAAATCATCCCACGCCGATTGCCGCTCACTTCGACGATCCACCAATCCGTGCGTACCTTATATGCCCGGTGCAGACCTCAGATGAAACCCCGGACGACGTCAGCTACTCCAAACTGCCACAAGATGGACATATATCCCACACCGAGTAATCAATGATCTGTTTGTTTTCTTCAAGGCAAGCTTGACCTGCGGAAAGAATATCTTCAAATACAATCCTGCTCAGGGGCTACTTTGAAGGTCACCAAGTGTCCCAATGGACTCGTATGCCCTCAACCCACAGAGCCGCCATATTTTGTGTGGTACCGTCCTCTAGGTTCTGGGCAGGGTTGTATTTGAAGATATTCTTTCCACGAGTCGAGCTTGCCCTGGAGAGAAAAAGCGGATCATCAGTTGCTCGGTATGGGATATATGTCCATCTTGTGGCAGTTTGAAGTCTGGGTACAAGCGCACCAACGGTGTGCTGGATCTGTTGATTCCGCATGGAGTAGCCGACGTCGTCCGGGGTTTCATCTGAGGTCCGCGCCGGGCATATAAGGTACGCACGGATTGTTGGATCGTCGACGTGAGCGGCAATCAGCTTGGGATGATTTGTTCCCCCGTTCCTTAGGACGTCGATGACTGTCTCTTGGAACACTTCGTCTTTCGTTCTAATACGGATCACTTGACCGTTCTGCCACACAGGAAGAAAATCGGGGTCGGGGTCGAATGAAACGTTCTCAAAGTAATGCGATGCGTAAACACCGGTTCGGCTGATAATGTAGAGTACCGTGCAACCTGAGAGTCCGCTTGTCCCTGTGCTCCACTCGTCTCTTGAAGAATGGCGCCTGGGCCACTTCTCCCATACTGCACTGCTCAATTTTTCTGCGGTTGAAGCTCTGTCGCGAGGAGTGAGGTGCCGTGTTACTTCCGGAAGCTGGGTGTGGTAGAAAGCAGCCAGATTATTCCCAGGCAGCGCCATGATTGCACTCAAAGCAGTCAAACTGTCTCGAAGTGGTTGCTCCCAATGTTCATCTGGACCATCAGATATAACGTCAGCATTCCGGTCATGAGTGCAGTTGCACAGATCACAAGGGCCAGACATACCAGGAGTGAGAATAGGCTCGTGAAAGGCGATGGAGGGCGTTGCAATGTGTTGCCGAATGGTAATCAGGCTTCGAAGGTTTCAGAGAAGAAAGCAAGACGATATGCTCCGGTGAAAGATGGGAGAGTAGAGAGGCAAGAAAGTGAAAAGTAAGAAAATATGCTCTGCTGGGAAAGTGAAAAGGTCAGAGAAGTGAGAAGTTTCAGAGCGCACCTAGGTAGGCAGTAAACAAAACAAGTTAACTTAAAGTGAAGGATACACCAGCCGGATACACTTCTGCAGTGAGCAAAGACCATATGTTTGCAAAATTGCTTTGGCCTCGGGGCTTGTCTATGTTCCGGGCTCCATAAGGCAGAATGAACCTAGGTAGATGATAATACCAAATAGCTACCTAGGCTCTACAGTGATGTTGCGTAAATATTTGACTTCTAGTACTTTAGAATCCACCATCAGCTTGACTGACTTCCAAGGTTTAATACAACAAACCTGGCTATCTTTTCAAGACTTCTTTTTTGTGGCCTTCTAGGTGTTATATCGCCTCAAGCGGCTTGTATGATGATATTAAGCGATTGGGCCGGCGGTTGTAAGTACTCAAGGTCAGATAATTATACAACACCACTGTACACCAGCTTTACAAATTTGGAAGTGGCCAATGTATGCTAACATTATTGATCCATGTGCTACCGAAGGACGAGTATAATCTAATGTCCACAAGTCCACCTGGGCAGGTCCCCTTCCAACGCTACAACTTTTCCAACTACCTGAGCAGCATTGGAACACCCGGGCTGCTGATATGTCTTGCAACCTGGAACTGTATACCAATGCTTATATGAACCTCAGTCAAATGCATCTGCTGAATGGTATCTTTCTAAAGTTATTAATCTTTTTCCGGTCGATATTTTCCCCCTAAATAAGCTGAGCTCAAGGAATTGTCCCCCCAAAGCTTCAATTTGAGATATAACTCGATAATTGCCGATTTTAAAACCAGTGACTCACTGTTTTTGGGCTAGGGCAAACTCCACTCGAAGTTTGGTCGTTGTGGCGTATTTACAGACTGGTATTATTACACCATGCCACATACGGTACGGAGTATTTGTAACCCGAAGCGAACCACAATGAATACATAAATACTCCGTAGTGATGGGGCGATATCAGGGTTAGGAGGGGCCGGACCGACTTTGGCCCCCGACTTTGGCCCCTGGTTTACCGAGATCTTAGATCCCCGCCAAAAGCCATTAAGAGGAGAGGCTTATGGAGATCTCCAAGGTTTAGAATGATTTTATGTCAAAAGGTTAGCTGATTTATGCTCTACAGAACAGTCCGGTCAAATAAAACCGACATGAAGCAGAACCTGCAGCTCCCAGCTCACTAAGATCAAGGATGTATGAAAAGTGTAGCCATAGTAGTTCGAATAGAGTATGTAATGTATGTACATAGTACCTAGGTATGTGGACCTTGTAAGTAAGCAAAGCTTATTTTACAGTTTCAGTGCCAGGAACTCGGCTTTCCCTACTTCGAACCCTTCTACGCTACTTCGTTCAAAGCCATTGTTATTCTTCCAAGAAATCCTATAGGCCATAGGCATATTGCAAATATTCCCGTCCTTGCGTCTAGCCGTTGAATTTTCTCTATGGCGCCAGGAATTTATGTCGGATTCCGATTTTTATATTGCGTGTCAGACCTTTGCTAGAACTTTGGGGAAGCTTTGACTGGTATGTCGATGTACGGTGATCGAATATAAGAGTGTCCGCTTCCGCGGCAGATTCTACGTCGAGCTTGCCAGTTGATGCCCCTCGATTTGAAAAGATGCACATAGAAATATCTGAATAGGTATGTGGATCTTTTAGGTGATCCCTGGCTGTCTGTGAAATTCAAAGTACGCAAAGGATCATCGTGTTGTTAGCAACAATTTGTATACTCCATATGGTTCTAGGCAGTAGCTAGCGATTGCAAGTCCACTAAGACCGAAGTATATCAAGCATGGCCTGTTTCGAAGGTCTGTTTGACATCTTGGCCAAATCCAAGGGGGATGCGTAATAGCAGTTCGTTCCCGCTGGTTTAGCCGTGGGGTCTGCACCCGCCTTCACCAGTACTCTGACGACATCCGTTAGGCCAAGACCAACCGCACGGTGAAGAGGAGTTCCCAGCGTCTTGTCTGTTGTATTGGGATTGAGACCCTTGTCTAATAGAAACTTGGTCTTGAAGTCCATATCCTTCAGGCGTCGATTGAGAACTCGAAAGAGGAGACCTTCTTCTAGCTCAGCCCCATATTCAAGCAGTAGCTCGACCAAATACATGTCTTGTTTAGTCGCACTCAGAAGGGCCCGAGCGAGGGGGGAGTCACCAGTCCTGAAGGGTTGTATTGCTTTGGGGCAGCGGCGGTTTGGGTCAGCGCCTCGCGAGAGAAATTCGATGGCGGAATCGGGGTTACTCAGCATGCTGTAACAAGATGTCAGCTTTGGATGTTTAGTTCTTCAGCCACACAATTTACCATAGAAAGGGCTCGCCGTTAGATAGTGTTGCATTGGGATCAAGGCCATGGTTCAAGAATTGACGAATGATGACTGGCATCTTGAGCTGCGTCCCAGTGAGCCAATCCCTCGCAGGGTGTGCACGAACGCCGGCTCGGAACAGGATGGCCACGATGTTAGAGTGTGTTTCCCTCACGGCGCAGCACAGTCCCTCTTGGAGGTCCGCACGTTTCAGATGACCTTTGGAGATGGCTTCATTGACGTATGAACTGTTGCCGGTAGCGCATGCTTTGAGGAAAGCCTGAACAGGATCCTTGTCGGGCTCCATGGTAGAGAGAATAGAAGTGATTGAGAAGAAGGTTTGGATTGATGACACAAGAAAAGGGAAGAAGGGAAGTGAGTGAGAAGCTCTGGGGATCTCTATAGATGGTACCAGTACTTCGATCATGTGACAGTACAGAGGTGGGAATGTGACATCTACAGTGGTAATGTATGGTAATTTACACAACTACAGATCAGCGCACCAAGACCTTCAGTTGCTTGCAATACTTGAAAAAAGTCTACAGTAAGCCACAGCCAAGACAAGTAAACTACTCTAGCTTCAAGGTAATTGTCCAGGAAGGGTGACAATTTCGCGTTGACACCTGACATGTATTATGTTGAATGACATAGGCTAAACACACAGTAGAAGGCGGCAAAATCGCAGATCCTACTACATCTATAGCTTCTCAAAAGTGGGAACCCGCTTTTGCAGCCCGGACAGTAAAGCAGTCGAGAGATCCTGCGTTTGCAGAGCTGCACTGTTCCAGATACTCGTATAGCGCAGCCCGTCCTGTACGGAATGATCGCGCGAATAGTTCAGGATCTCCTTGGTACCCTGCACAGCCACGGGGCTCTTACTAGCCATCAAATTGGCAAGTTTGAGGGCAGCTGCGACAGTCGCGTCACGAGAATCATATACAGCGTTCACAAATCCAACACGTAGCGCTTCCTCTGCTCCGAACTCGCGCGCGGTCAGGGCAACCTCCTTTACCCATCCGTAGTTTCCAACCACCTTAGGAAGACGGCTCAGGGTACCGATATCCGCAGCAATACCAATATCGACTTCCTTGACGGCGAAGCGGGAGTCACGTGCGCATAAACGTACGTCCGTCGCCGTCGAGAGGTCAATGGCAAGGCCAAGGGAGAATCCATGCAGAGCAACCACAATAGGCTTCTCGCAGCGCTCGACTGCAGTGATGCAATCTTGGAACTCAGAGATGTGGCGGCGGAGAACGGCAGCCTTTCGGGCTGGATCTGTGCTGGTTTCTGAGGACAGTAGGCCCTCAGATGCCGCCTTGACGTCTAATCCGGCCGTGAACGCTTTATCTCCTGCGCCACTGAGGACAATAGCACGGACTGATGAATCTGAGGATAACTTGTTGAAAATTTTGGCTAGGTTCAACCACATGCTGAGCTATGTTAGCGGAGATCCAATGCCAAGTCCGGGGCACTTACACTTCAACGAAAGCATTCAGCCGTTCAGGGCGATTGATCTCCACATGAGCCACATATTTGTGGTCTTCTGGGAATCGCACAGTGAAATATTCAAACGAATACTCGGACATGATGAAAGGTGTTGGATGGGTTGAGGTTCGAGTGCGGAGAGGAGAGTATAAGTGGGTATCGAGGGACCTCGGCACGTTAGATCAGCATCTCGGCCCCGGATTTATCAGTAGATTCAGAGCGAGTTTGCGGCTTCTGATTCGGATAGACGCGTCGATAGAATATTGCTGTCTGGATATAATGCATATTTCTACGTCAAGGGTGATTTGAACAGGGCTTATAACCTGAGGTCCGCATATAGGCTACAGACTGGAGTTTTTGCAGGAGCTTCACGTACCGAGGCTCGATATCTACAACGCAAGGCTTACATTATTGGGAAGAAGTTATTGAGAATTCTATAATGTGGGTGTTTCAAATAAACTTGATTTGATTAATAAAGCAAGAGAATGGCATTTCAAGACAGAAAAGCAAAAACCCATTCGGTCACATAGGCAAGTAAAGTAATAAAGCAATCAAGGAGCGGAATTCATGAATCGTGTGCAGACGTTAAAGTGACATCGAAGGGTTGACATCGTAGATCATTTACTCGATGGTGATCTTCTTAGTGGCGGCAGCGGTAGTCTTGGGCACCACGATGGAGAGGATGCCGTCCTTCAGGCTGGCCTTGACTTGGTCCTGGTCAACGCGAGTGGGGAAAGAGAATGTGCGCTGGAATTCGCCAACAGAGCGTTCAGAGGCCCAGAAGCGACGAGTGGGTTTAGTCTGAGGCTTGTCGGCCTGCTCAGTGTCTTCGCTGGTGTCCTCGTCTGAGGTACGGCGCTCATACTCAGTGCGACCCTTTACGACCAGAGTTTGGTGGTCGGAGAACTCGATGTCGACATCCTTTTGGGCAATACCAGGCAGCTCACCGTCGAGGTGGTAGGCATCGTCAGTCTCGTGGACATCAAAGCGAGGCGAGAAAGTTTGAGCTGCAGGCTGGTTGCGAGCAGAACGGTGGACGTCGTAGTCGTCAAGGAGACGGAATAGAGGGGAGAAGTCGCCGGAGCCAGGGAAGTTAGCGCGGAAGAGAGACATGTTGAGAGTAGTTGTAGTGGCTTTTGAAAGATGGGATTATTGTCTTGAAGAGAGAAGAGCTTGGAATGACTTTGTTTGCTGATGGATTAGAGAAGTAGGAGAGGTCTGGAGGGGGTTTATATAGACATCAGAGGCAAAAGCATCTAGAGCATGCTAGCATCACACAGAGAAGATGGTAGCATCCAGAAACTGGGTGTCACTTCCAGCACCTTGTCGTCGCCTCTCCAATCTGCTGGATGCTTCTAGTATATCGGTCACGTGACATCTGATTACAATGGAGCAAACAGGTCTTATGGTTCAGAGGTTTGAGACCCTTCACAGGTCAATGCTTTGAGATTTGAACGATATGTTCTGGAAATATCCATGCTCCATATTATGTTGTGCCATTGTACAGATGAAAGCGAACCTACCCAGGAGTTAGGGAACACTGCATAGTAAGGTGCAACCCAACATTGTTTAATCCAACCAAGAGGCGACATAGCGCTGGAAATATTGTGTTCCGCATTCTGAGTAACAGCTGCAACCAATCCCATCGAGTGCTTTATGAACTGGTCGAGCGGGCACCACTCAGTTGGTCGCAAAGGTGGTTGAGTCCAGGCTGGATACAGATGTTGCATGTACGTTGACAGAATACCAGAATATAAATTATCGACGACGTCACGAGGGGATTCCGGCAGTCGGCTTGTTGAATGAGTCGCGGCAGAACTGGTGGTGTTGTAGCGTGGGCGGTTTAGATGGGCGGGCTTTGGGGTCGGGTTTGATTCCTTGAACTGTAATGCGCTTGTTGTGTATGCGGTATGCAATAATCGGGAAGAAGCCGACGTTTTGTCTTATTCGGACTCGGATTCATCCAGCTGCATGATCTTCTCGTCAAGATCCTGCGAATTTTGTAAGTATTTGCGAGAGCAGGGTAAAGGAGAGAACATACCCGATCTAAGCGATACTTTAGGTTCTCCAGCTGACTCTCCTTAATCACAAGGTGATTTTCGTCATCCAGATCCTCCACTATGTAGTCGTGTCGTTCTTCGTCATATTTGAGAATCATGGATTTGATCGAAGGATCACACTCGATCAGCAGACCTGTCGAAACAAAGAAAGTTAGCGGGAAATGATACGCGCAAGCCCAATATTCAGGGACACACACCTCTTACGGCACGAGGCATGTTGAAAAGTTCGGAAGGTCGTTGGAGAAGTGAGATGCGGAGAGTTGGGGAGAAACGGTTGAAGCTCTGCCAAGACCCGCTCTGGACGCGCTCCGTCACTGATTTGCATCTTCCATTCAAACTATCATTCTTTCTATGGGGTCGCTTTGTCGAGACATTCCTTTCGCGAGTCTCGAAATTTGCTCGCGATAAATCAAACATGAATGTCTAGCTGTCTTTCTAGCTGTCTACTGAAAGCCTCTCTCAATCCTCAGCATCACGGTCTCTATCGCTCTTATCGGCAACCGGGTTCCATCCAACCCCGGCCTGGACACAAGTCGCAGCCACTGCCACGACACTACCGGCCAAAAACAGCATCCTTACGGCGTGCTCATAGCTCTGAACGGCCACGACATGCTCGACGCCATCCAAATGTGCCACAAGGGCTGGGCTACCGAGCAATCTACGGACCAGATCGGGCTGCTGCGGTAGATCGTGAGAGGAGAAGCCTGCCTCGAGAGAACTCTTGAGCACGCGCGCGAAAAATCCACCTCCAACAGCTGATCCAAAACTGCCTGCAAGGCCACGAGACATCGCCACTAGGGAAGTCACAATGTAATGCACGCGTTTGTCGGTGAGATGAAGCAGATGCGAGAGCGCATAGTTGAGCAAGGCGCCAGCAAAAAGCCCGTTCAAGAACGTCGCTCCGACATAGATGGCTACAGAGGAGCCGGGTGTTGACAAGAACGATAGGACCAGCGAGATGAGTGCAAAACAGAGAAAGGCGACAAGACAGGAGCTATGAAACGTTTAGGTCAGGTTCCATTGCGAAGGACATCACTTACCCATAGTAACTGCCAGCCTGGCGAATATGCAACCATCCCACGAGCAGCCCACCCAACCCAAATCCAACATTTGTTGGGATAAGAATTAACCCGGCCGACGCTGGGGTCCATTCTCGGACAGCCAGCGCATATACTGGAGTATAAAATAAGACAGACCATCGAGCCATCATGAGCCCGAGTCCGGACAAGCATGTTGCCAAGACACTGCGAGTTTTGAGAACATTGATCGGAATAATCGGCTCAGCAACCCAGTTGGATTCAATCGCCAAGAATGCAGCAAAGAATACCACAGACACCAGCATGGGCCACACGGTGATTTGCGGGGATGCCAGGCTGGCGAAGAATAGAACCAGAGATGCCGTCTGGTGGTGTCAATACAACCTTGGAAGGATGTGAAGGATGAGTCTATTGACTTACCAGCGTGATTGCTCCAGCGTAGTCCACACGCGCGAGGCTATGGAAAAGCTCTTTCATGTTGAAGTGACCCCCGTTCTCATCGGCTGGTTTTGGAATCGTCAAGAACAAAAGTGGCCCAAGCAGCAGAACGATCGGTGCCTGTACCCAAAACATGAGGCGCCAGCCCAGAGTCGGAGTGATCAGTCCAGCCAAAACTGCACCCGATGCGACACCGGTGGTAAAACCGCAATTGATCAACCCGATACAAAGACCCCGGCGCTTCTTGCTCGCCATCTCCAAAACAAGAATGATTGCTGTGCTCACCAAGCCACCACTTCCGCAGCCTGCTACTACACGGCCCGCAAGAAAATACTTGAGATTGGGGGCAGAGGCGCTCATGAAAAGCCCAATTGAAAGCAGGGTTGTTGAGAAGACAGTGTAAAGGCGGGGTGTGAATATCTGGGAAAATCTTCCGGCCAGCGGTGTTATACTAGACATTGCAATCTTGGAACATGTTAGACCGAATCTACCTTTGTAGATACTGACTTGAATGACTGTACCAAATACGCGGAAGTGAACCAAGATGCGTCCGCAAATGCATCTAAATCGGCCGCAATGTCCGATTGTGCCGTGGTCATCATTGACATGTTGGTGGCTGCCCTCTATCAGCCATGCATAGATTGAGATTGATCTTGATGCCGATTTTACTAACCCAAAGTGAAGATTAGCAGACCCATGAACGACACTATCAAGAGCCCTCTAACAAAGCCCACTGGGACTTCATTGGAAATCTCATTGGGACGACCATTTGAAGTAATCAGTGGTGTCTCCTCAGATGGAGACGAGGATTGTGCCATGGTGAAGTTGCTTTCAGATTTGCAACAATCTTGTTAAATACGAAGCAAATCGTGAAAATGACTTAGAACGTTGGGGCGTTGACACTACACATCGGGGTTAGGCGGATGCGCATTTATAATCAAGTTCGCACGCGATAAGCTGCCCTGGTGCCGTTAAGTAAGGGGGATTTGTTGCGGAGAACGGCAAGCTGTTTTATGCAGATCCACACTCGTCAATGTTTATGCAGATTTATTCCGAAGTTTTGGGCTAGAAGGGCCTAAAGGTTGGGATTTGCTGTCATATTACCCGTGAATTGCAGTTGTAGATCTCCAGTAGTCTCTATGAGACATGCGTCCAACAGCTATGGTGTTTTGCAACACACTTGGCCAACAAATAACATTAATTTAGACCAAAAATAGATGGCCAATTGTGCAAAACTCGCTCCAGAACCTTTTTCAGGTCCACATTTTCCCCGGTAGGCTCAGGAGTGGTCCATGTCTCATCCTGCCACTGGTTCTCAAACCCTCGCAGCTTTGTATGAAGCTTGGTGGCATTATACGACGACGTAGGTGTTGACTTTAGGTAATCGACGAACATACGCCAACGTGGAACATAGTACGAGGACATAAGTCCTCCCCACTGTTTGGAAGCATAGTCCGAAATCTCCCCATTCGGTCCCCACAGAGTGACCTGATTGCGCGCATTGTACTCGAAATACGCTTCCTCGGTTCTGTTTTCATGGGCCCAAGCCCGCGCGGAATCTATCCAGGTCGAAAAACGGAAGATGCGATTGGTGAGAAGAACGGCATCCAAATCCGTCAGAAGTTGAACGAGGTTGTCTCCTTGTCGAGCGAAACTGGGTTCGGCGGAGTGAGATTCGTTGTAAGACTTCACTAGATTCGAGTACAAAGTGATAAACTCGTTGTCCATCACTTGACGCGTGACATCAACTAGATCGTGTTGATAAGCTGGGTTAGACCATAGTTCTGGCTCTTCGCTTGCTGCTTGGTAAAGGGAACGCCATGCCTGTACCAGAACTGAAGGATCATAGTTGACAGTAGTGCCATGCGTGCCGATCACATCAGCCAAATTCCAAAGCCTGGGCTCAATATCTGCAATGGACTTGGCCACAGCCAAGGTCGTTAGATTGGTGTTATTGTAGACGGTTTGTCGCATCAGATCCCAGGCCACGTAAAGACCATTTGGAACTTTACTTTGACCAGAATATCGGCTTCTAACCCAATTTTTAAAGTATTGATGCGTATCCAGTGGGGACTCGGACCATGCCTGATCAAGGAGCAAGTCGTAAATGATTTCGTTTCCTTCTTGGCCCTCCATAGTTAGACCGTATCCAACCATCGACGGGGACTCGATCCGGGCTTGGGTAGCATTTATAGTCAGATTTTGTATCTGCCCATATAGACCCATGTTACCACCAAAGTTGTGTAGCTCGCACCAAATCCAAGGCTTGCCGTAATAAGAACTCGTCCGTTTCCACTGGGGGATAGATTCCGAGAATAGATCCAAAATCAACATGTCTTCATTTGATTCCACGCCTGATAGGTATGCTTCGACTCGTTCATCTGTCCAGAAAGCAGAGTTTGCATAAAAGAGCCAGCCTTGCATCATCCATATGGCCTGGGGATCGGCATCTTTCAAGCTCTGCCAGGTGTTTCGAGTGACATTTTGCAAGTAATCCAGGTCACCAGAATAAGGGTCGTTCTCGTTGTACTGATCGAGAGTGTAAATATGGCTGATGTTCCCATAGGCATCCTGCTGTTTGCTAATGAATCGTTTTTGTAGATCTGCGAAGTTTTGATCGAACGGCTCCAGGAATGTAACGTTTGTGTATTGAAGTGGGAAGCCTCCCCAACGCGATCCTCGAACAACATTCGCATTTGGCAAAACGCGAGTGATATCAGAGGGAACAAATCCAGTGAAAGACGGAAGGACCGGGGTCATTCCAAGTTCCACCATGCGACGAACAATCTTCTTCTGCAAATCGAACTGATCGTCGATCCATGAATCTGGAAGATCACCATGCCAGGACCCTTGGATATTACCGAACCGATTCCATGCTTGGAATGCTGGCCCACTCAGGAAAGTACCAATCTCGGAGTCAGTGAGCCCGATCTCGCGGAAAACTTCCACGATGATCTTCTCCTGGCCTACCCAAGCAAGAGGTAGGTTAATGCCACGCAGAGCCATCCAGTCAAGTTGTAGCTCCCAGTCCTCCCATGTCCAAAAGGCAGTAGTGTAAGAGAATGTAACTGTGGTCTTCTCAGCTGAGAACTAGAAGTAAACAGGGGATATAACTCTTACCTGTATTGAAGTGATACCTCCAAGGAACTGTACTTGATCCGTGCATCGACGCATTCAAGCGAGGCAGTTCAGATGGTGCGACATCTAACCGGCTCCCAATGAACCAGTATATGTCAACATGGGCAATATCTGTAAGATATCGATGGAGTCTAAAGAAGAAATCAGCTGCGTTCCACGTATGAACCGGGATGGGTTGACTAGGATGTCTTACCCGGAAGATAAAGCGCTTAGGGAGTTGCCCCTGACCAGGATTGTGCTGTTTGGGGCATTTTCCACAGAATAAGCATCATGACTGCCAGCTATACTGGTATCTACAATGAACTGAAAGCTCTCCGTGTGATCAGGTAGCCGTCGGCTCACAAGCTTGGAGATACCTTCGGTCGATTGGGCGACTGCAGCTGCTAAGCAAAGCGAAATTATCGGCTGAATCCAATGCATAGTAAGTTGTTGTGCATGGATTTTCCTCGGGCGGCAGAGGATAGGTAGACCTGGAAAGCTTCCAAGGTCAAAAGCAAGGGGGTTTAGAAACTATTTGTTGTATCGAGTACTTCCCCCGCACTGCAACTCTCTCCTGCAACGCTGGTCGCCTAACTCGTATAGCGATAACAATACCAGCGAGCAGCTGGTTGATAATTTCTGGTGAGTATTTTGTCCCTCCACATAATTTAGAAAAGAAAGAAAGTGAAGGCTTGCATTGGTCCTATGTTGAGCATACGAGCCTGTGGGTTAAACAGCCCTCTCGGGAATACCTCGGCACTGCTTTACATTAGATACACATAACGATAGTTAAACCATTCCGTAGCCCCCTCCCTACATAGAATTCACAGAATCAAGCCTAATTCCTTTCCTCCTCGAGAATGAACAGCACTAGTTCTAGACTAGCTGCTGCGCAATGGCAACAATGAGCCCATCAAACCGACCATTGAGATCCTCGCGCAGAATCGCCATAAACTCATCTGGTAGGGGAGAGCCCTCTGCGATCCAACGAAAATGGGTTTTGTTAGGCCCCAGTGGATCTAGTACTGTTGTTCCAAATGCGATCATGTCGGGGTAGTCGGGTCTTCGGACTTGAAAAGTCATGGAGTGGTTGGAAGCGTCGCATTCTGTGAGCTCCTCTGAGAAGGTATACTCCTGGCCCTTGTTTTTGCCAGCAGGGTAGACATAGCTGAAAGTGCGCACGCTGCCTATTCCGAACCCTTCGAGAGAAACAGACTTGGCGCCTGGGTACCACGCCTTTTCGGCGCCGAAGCCCGCCACGAGGCCCCAGACTTCGCCGATGGGTGCATCGATGTCGCGAGTGACGGTAGTATAGTGGACAAGAGATGGATTGGACATGGCGAGCTCAAAGGAAGAAAGCTTGGAGGATATTTCAGATAGTAGATTGGAAATAATGGAAATACTTCACGATGATGCCAGTGTGATCAAGGGAAGAGGAATGGTGTGCCAACCACCGCAGTGTCGATTCCTTTTAAGCCCATCCTGGAATTGCTTCAGTCATTGCTGTGGCTTGATAATTATTAAGCTTGCCATCAAAATCATCATAGTTGGGTTGATAATCATCTGGTGATGCTAGAAATTGAGAGATTGCTCGGATTGAATGGAAGCCGGCACTGTGTTCTCCGTCCTTCCGTCCGTCGTTCCGTCCGAAGGAAACAAACTTGTTTCGTCACCCACGAGCAAACCGACCAAGGTTTCGCATTCAATATTTGATCCAAAACAATAAAAACACGAGATATAGCAGTAGTGCGTTGTATCGATGCTATCGTGCTAGAATTGGGAGAACGTGGAACTTAGAATGCATCAAGAACGACCACCACAGCCTAAACCCTGCACCACCCCATCTGGCACAAAGTGATCCATTAAAATCAGATTTGAACAATCCGTATAACTACGTTTTCAAAGCTCCCACTGTACTGACCAGCTCACCAGCATCAGTCAAAACGCAAGTTTGGCATTCGACATGGATACAGTCCACTGTGTTCTATGTGAGATAGAGCACATATTTCAAATTCCTAGATTATTTTTATTCTCTTGAGGAATTTATAGAAACTGAATAAATGGTTGGAAGTTGCACTGGAGTCATATTTCATTGTCTAACACGGTATTCTCCGACTCGGGAAAGAGTCCATAGATGGACTACACCTCAGGGTTGCGGCGGAAGAATTCCTCCAAGCTAGTTTGCTTGACGTTTGGGAAGCGTTCAACATCCACTGGCTCATAATCCCAAGAACGAGCTGGGATATGATATTGATAGCAATACCGAATGAAGTTGTACCAGCCGCCCTTCCCATTTTCAGCTCTGCCCTCGTTCAACTTGTTCTCTGCGTCCTTAACTGAACCTAAGCAGTTCAATTTAGCAGTGACCCTGCCTTCCCTCGCAGCACTGTATGCCTTGACGATGTCTTCGGGGGAGGCTTCGAAACTCTGGACACGAACAAAGCCTCCATCGGCAGCAGTCGGAGCCGTGATGGCCTCGAGCACATAGTTACCAATGTCTTCTGCGGTGGTATAGCGAGTTGGGAAGTTCGAAGACCCGTGGAAGCTGAATGTCTTGGTTTCCGCATCCCAGTCATAAGGACTCCGCTTGAAGTAGTACTCCGCGATTGCACCGGTAAACATGTAGATTGGCTTGATGGTAGAGCTGACTGCTACGTGATGGGCGAAGCCCCGCATATCATCGTAGATCTCGTGTGAACCAGGTGAAAGGGTCCAGTCGTAGTTCCATGAGGTAGCGTGGAAGATCTGAAAGATTTGAGCCAACTGTCAGGAAGGACATAGCGCCCTCGGGTGCTGCCTACCTTTACTCCAGCACGCTCTGCTGCCCGAATGAGCAACAATTGCGAATCCATGAACATTTCTGGAATGCCGGCAAAGGAGCAGATAATAGCGTCAACTCCTTTTGTGGCCCGGTCCATTGCAGCGACGTCATAGGGACTTGACATCGTCTCGAAGCCTTCGAGTCTGCTTCGTACATCCTCGGGAAGGTTGTTGATGTTCCGAGCTAGGCCCCGAACTTCCATGCCATATGCAAAAGCGGACCTTGCACATGGGATCCCGACAAAGCCGGTGATACCAGCGATCAAGACAAGCATGTTCTGTCAATTTTGGAATGGCCAAGGGGGTTTGGAATTTTGTTGTGAGATATGAAGCATGATGTGCACAGGTGCCACTTATATACCGGCTTGAATTATTAATTATCCTGGCTAGAATCTTGCTCGCGCTCCGTCTGGACCGAGTGGAAATCCGGGTCCAGGCGTCGGTATGCAGTCCGCAGAGAAGTCTGATGTCAACAGACAGATCGCGAAAGGTAGGTTCGGCACACAATGCTAACGTGCGGTGTGATCCCAAGCTTTCTTCGATATTGTGGAAGTCAAATCGAAAGCAGTGATCGTTAGCACGTATTCTTTTCTTTGCTAACAGTGACTTGACGCCCACGGCATTCACCTCCGATCCGTCTTTCTACTTCCGAGCCCGGAAATTTCACATTTCCGTCCGTCCGTCCGGGCTCTGTACTCCCTCAAGTTGAATGACGATTCCTAAAAATCTTCAGCGCATAGATTACACAATATGTATTGTGTAGGGAGTTCGTCCCAACCCTCATTTGTAGATAGATCCGCTCCCCGCTTCGCCCTTCTTCTTCCTGCTCTCTCTCTCCAAGGAGTAAACTCAATCGGTTCGGTCCACTTCTTCTTCTCTCTTGCCTGGTAGTCTCAATAGACCATAAGACCCTCTCTCATTCAGAATATGCTATTCTACACGCTTTCTCTGAATCAGATACTACGTTTTACCGAGGGAAGAAGGATGGTTGACTCTGTATAAGATCAATCCATCCCACCTCACCCCTCACTTCATTTTACTTACTTCACTTTGTCAGATCGTCATCGAATTCCTGACCAACCGCTACGATAGCTACCAAGGTTGATCCTGATGTACTCCGGACTGGTTATCCCCTAGCTAGCACGTGGGAAGATATCAATAACGAATACACCAAGATATATGCCAATAAGAACTGAGGTGCCGACCTTTCGGAATCTAGCTATACTTGTATCAAGGCTTGGGGTTCGGATGGCGGTCCTTAATGATGCACATTTTGAACACTCATAGAAACTGTTGCCGACCTCTCTATCTATCCATTGCTTTTATAACCTTCTCTCTAGCCCCATCTCTCCATAAATCCCACCCCAAACTAAGATTCAAAGAATCCCTCCATACATCCTCGGGATCACTCCCAGAAGGAAGCTCTCTCCCGTTCCCAACCTTTCCATGAACTTTACCCTTGATAAATCGCATATGCCACGGAATCATTCCGACTTGCACGAATCCCATTTTCTCGGCGAGCTTGACACTGGCCAAATTGGTCGAGTTCGCCGTCCAATGTACTCGGCACAATCCAAGTCCCCCCAGCTCTGGCGGTTTCAAAGCAAGCTGCAACGCAAGTCCAACAGCGTGCGTTGCTACATGGGTGCGTTGGTACGGTGGTAAGATCACAATAAACCCAATTTCCACGCAGAGGTCTGTAGCTGAGGCACGGATAAAGCTGATGGTGCCGGCCAGTTCACCATCTAAATCCTCGGGAGATGCAGGGCGTGTCCTGTCGATTATGGCAAAGGCGAATGATTCAGGATTAGAAAATGAGAGGATGCCTCCTGGTGGGTTGTCGTAGAAATGATCTTTGAGCTCCGCGGTTGACTTTGGAGGCAACATGGGCATGTGCGCGTATATCTCTGGGTGGTTTGATGAGAGGCGGAAGAATGACTCACAATGCTGCTCTGGATCGAAGGGCACAAGTTTGAGGCGATCGTTGGAGACTCCGTGGATGGGAAAATGAAAGTTTGAAGATACTGCCATTTTGATGAGTCTTAGTCGCTGCACAATCGATATTGATGCCAGGTGAGCAAGAAAGTGTGTTGGTAAGCGTGGGATATTCCCGAGGTCGTCGTTAACAAAGGATAAATTTCCAACAAAGATTATGGACAGGGTACGGCAGTACATAACCGGCCCTTACATTTTTTACAAAAATTACAGGCCCTCAAATTTTGAGAAGTAATAGTCTAATTGTCTTTTTCATTGTAGATCAGATTGACCGGAGATGAAGCTGACTTTGCTCTCCTGCAAGAGACTGAATATAATGTCGACTGTGGCTATTCCCACAGATACGATGCGACAAAAACCACTTTTCTGTGAATTTGACTGCCTGCGGTAAGGAAAGCAGACAGCATTGGGCACCCTTACGTAGTGGAGAGTAATTTTGGTTGAGTCACTGTGGGAGAAACTTCGGTGGGCGCGGACAGAGCCTCATCTTTCAGTGGAGCATTTAACTATCCAAAAGAATCCACGCCTTTCCATCGCAAACTACATGATATCGCTGTCGCTTGCTAACAACTTATTTGACTCTCGTGGCTGTTGCTACTCATCTGCGAGAGCTTTCTTCTAACCCATGGGGGTCCTGTCACCCAGGCTAAGTAACGGTTTGTATGGCGGGTATGAGTAGGTCTAGCGTCTTTTGGATTAGATCACAGGCTTTATAACCCTTGATAATATAGCTGCAACTTTGCTCTGTTTGAACCCAGATTTTAGGAGTTCTATTCCCAACGTATTGGGGCTAGACTTCCGCACCGGCCCATACTTAGATAGATCCGCTCTCTGCTTCTCCCTTCTTTTCCTTCTCTCTCTCTAGGGAGTGAATTCAATCGGTTCTGTCTACATCTTCTTCTCTCTCGCCCGGTAGTCTCAACAATATTACCATAAGAGCTAGCTAGAAGTAGGATTTTCTGTCAAGGCATCCGATCTCATCCAACCAAGCCATGGCTGAGAATCTATCAAATCCCACAGGTCTTCATCTCCGGGGACAATCTGTCCATCTTGACCGCCAACAGCTTGATCCGGTAAATCAGTTGTGCCTTCTTGATCAAGATTTGAGCCAATGGTGTGGTCCATCCTTGCTGTGGGATATTGAGTCGCCATGTTGGTCATATTTGAAGATGTGTTTCCTTGCGTTAAAGCACTCGGGGTGGGTTGAAAAAGCAGGGGATCTGGGCGACTATGAATCAGAGGCCTGACTATTCCCAGGAAAGCCGAGAACAGTCTGTAGACATCGGAAATCGAGAGATGCATTTTCACAAAGCGTGAAACCCCATGAGTGACTTCGGCCATCAGTGTATAGTCGTCCAGGTTCGCCGAACATATAGCGTTGCAGAAAAGGACAAAGAACGGACTGAGTGGGTAGAACAACAAGGTCCTAATGAAGTCAAAATCAACTCAAAATTATCCTCCAAGTAAAGACTGACCAAGTGAGAAAGTAGGGATATTGATCAAGGAAATTCGCATCCATGTAAATTTCGTCCTGAAGCTTTACCAGGCGCGTCAGCGCTTGTCGAGAAGCTTCCAAGCAATCTTGCTGTGTTGATCGGTCTTGGGAAACCCGTTGGTGTAAATGCAAAACGCTAGCAAGAATCGCATAATAGCCAAACTCGATGGCACCCCATTCGTAGGTTGCTCCCCGGAAAGGCAATTGATTTTGATGCTGGAAGAAGTTAGTACATTTCATCATTTTTGATATCTGGGCTGGTTGATATACTGCCCACTTTTTTCATCAATTCATAAATTTCATGCGTGTCGCGCGTCAGCTTCGTTAAAAAAGTGACTTGGTCATTATTGTTCGTGTGGTTGAGTATATCGAGAACACCTTCTTGTATTTGGGCAAATCCGACCATGATTTTCACAGTGGCACTGAGAGGCAGTCGCGGGTCCAACTGAACCAGCTCTACCGGCTTAATCTTCAGCTTTGGGAGTGAGGGTGGTCGGAGAAGGAGCACACTGAGCATTTTGTCGAGATAGTAACAGGTATACAGCGATCCATATATGTCACGCTTTGTCTCGTCAAATAGTGTAATTGAGTCAATTGAGTGGTAATTAAGAGACACCAAGGTCCTGGACGCGAAAGCTGTCAATGTCCAACTTCGGGACATGTCACCTTGGTTTTGCATGAACAGTGCCTGACAGGGAGTAAATTAGCACTTCGATGTAGTTGAGTGAGAGAAATGCTGTCCAACCTACACCGGACAGAAATGCTTGTAAAAGAACCAAACTTGGCGGTGCAAGACAGTCAATCTCGGAAAGACCTTTGTGTATCTCGTGTTCATATTGCTTTTTGCTTCGTTCAAGATGCCTTCGAAGTGAAGCTTTCCGATCTTTCTTTGGTAGTCGGTAAAGGAAACCGGCAGCCTTCATAAAGACGCAGACACGGTAGCAAGTAAGCGTGTGTTGGTCCTTGTCACCATCAATAAGGGACATGCACATTTCTTCTAAGGTCGGAAAGGAAACGTGGTCAGGCCAAAACGACTGCTTCATAGTGTTTGGCTCGGGATCTAAGGTACTTGTTAAGCGAGATCAATCATCATGCGAGATTGACAGACTCACCCATGGTCATCATGTATAATAGCTCTGGCGGGAACGTCGTCGACTCAAATCCACCAGCTGTTTCAGACGGGTTAAACGCATCGGTCGCAAAGTACGGTTTTGACGTATCAGAGATCCGGCTGACGAAATCAATTGCCTCCCTCAGTAATTTAGATTTATTTGTTCCAAGCAGTGGGTTTGATTCAAGCTCGGATTGCAGGAATCGAGTACCCTCTGAGGTCTGTTGAGTCAGGCCATCTCTGGCGTTAGTATCGAATGTGTTAGACGATCGCGTCTCGATTGTTTCACTATCTTGCTGCATGACCTGAGAAAATTGAGTGTTCTCTTGTGGGGAGATTCCCCGTTCTAGTACCCCGGTTCTTGCTGCATGACGGGTCGGGCTATCGTGAGACGGCAAACCGGCGACTGATGATTCGAGCGCAGCGAGCCTTTCAGAAAAGGTTGTTACACTTCACAGTGTGAGTGCACTTGATATTCACAAGAATTTAATAGACTTACCGAGCTGCGTTCCGGCGTCTACTTTTCTTAGGTCGATCTCTGCGGCACTCTACCACGGCCTCGGTGCAATTGGCGCATGGGAATTGTCGGTCGCATTTGATCTGTGATACTTCGACGTCAATAAACACGACCGGCAAGCTAGAACAGATGATAATGACTCATATGCGGATTCAGACTCTCCGCGTATCGCATCTTATGCTTGACATACCTTTCTCGAATGACAAAAGTCGCACTATTTCCATGTCAATTCCCTCCTATCGTAATGCCAAGGGGAGACATACCGCGGGGCGTTCAGTTAGTACAACACTAGGCGCCATAGTGTGTAGGCCCTTTGGCCATCGGTCTGGGGGGTACTGGTCTCCGTCCTAGTCGGAACGTTGGGAAGTTGCGCCCACACGCATTCGGATGGCTTTTCCGTCCGTCGTTCCGTCCGACTAATGCTTCGGACTCGGGATTAACTCTACACGCGTGCCTATCAGACAACCCGAGTTTTTTCCCCTCCAAGATTCTCAGAGTTACTCTTCCGGAGTATCTGCCAACGGTCAAAAAAACCTCGGAATTCGTTATTGTTTGTACGTTGGATTGGGTAGTAGAAAATGATGGCAAACGACACACATGTTGAATCACCCCAATTCGCTGTCATGAACGGAGTTCCGCAGATCTTCCGTGTCCTTTGCAGCTTTGCATGCCTATACAAATAATTTATATGCAGAAATCAAACCAGGAAGTCTTTTTGACCCTTCAACGCTTTCTCCAAAACCTCTGGATACCACCTTTTCCCGACATCTTGATGACTGGTCACCCGAGCAACGAATGTGCCTTCGCCAATGCACCCCTTGAACATCTCGTTGAAAGTCGCCTCAGCATCCGATTTAACCTTATCATCCTTGACCAAGGAACGGATTGAGTCGGGAATTCGCAACGAGATCTTGTCGGCCGAAAGGTCCAGACTCACCCCCTGGAAGACAGGGAACGAAAAACGAGGTCCTAAGGAGCCGTGGCTAGTTTCGAAATTCTCTGGCCGCAGACTCACGCGATGAGTCGTGGCGGTACAGATGCCTCCCGTCAGAGCCTCCAGCGACCGACCGATATTGACGACCAGTGTACCAGGGACTGGTGGAGCAGAGATCCATGTTCCATTCTTGTTCTGTACCTCGAGGCCATGGTGAGGGGTCCCCTGTAGTAGAAAGGTGAGGAATCCGGAATCTTTATGAGGCCCAACACCCTGAAAGCCAGATTCCACGTCGTTTGTTGTTGTGGGCGCGGGATACTTGATGAGTTTGAGTTTATGCTGCTGGGGCTTGTCGAATACCCCCTCCAGAGCATTTGACGGGAGGTCCAATGCCTCAGCGATCAAGCTTGGGAACAGCTCGGCCAGACCGCTCACTTCGGAAAGATAGTCGTCAAATGCCTTTCGAAACCCCGGTACTGCCTTTTCATCGGGCCACTGGTATGCTCAATGTGAGCTTCTGGAAACACAGGCTGAGAGGAAACCAGCCAAGCGAGTCGTTGTCTTACCTGATTCGGCCCAACAACATTTCTATACAAGGGTTCATCTGGACCCGGTGCTGGAAGCTCGGTTGCAAACTTGGAAACAGTCAGTGGGTCTGAGAAACGCTTGCAGGGTGCGCGCTCACGTCAAATTGCTCCCGGTGATCGAGCTTTAAGGCTGTGATCTCAGCGCAGAGTCTTGAATAGCCCAAAAAATGCGGGCTGTTCACCATTTCAATCTCGAGTCTCTTTTCCAGTGGTAAATCAAAGAGCTCCAAGGCCCTTTCGGTGAATTCTTCTTGTATCTCCCTTGGAATGGGAGCATTTCGGAGATAGAAAAAGCCCACGTTCACAAGAGCCTCACGGAGGGCTTCTAAGAATACCGGCTTGTCGGATATTGCTTGAGAAAAGTCCAAAACTGGAATCGATGTAAAAGAAGAGGCTGACTTGTGGCGATGAGTAGGATCCTTTGAAAGGGTGTACTGTGATTTGGAGGCCCTACCATTGTTAGGAGTGCGCGTGGATGTTATCGGTGTCGGCCACCACACCAAATGAATATGGTACTTGGTTTGAGGTTCAAAAAAATGATCGACAGAGAGAGACACGTCGCAATGTCATATCTTGAACTCTTAAGGGGGAAATATTACGGAGCAATGAAGGGGAGGTTTGATTGGGCTGTGATGGCGAGTGCGGTTACAATACAAAACCCCGCTTCCACTCGACTTCATCACGAATTTTTGTGGAACTCATCTATTAGGACATTCCACATACTGTTATTATGTTTAATCAATCTCATCCTGGCGAAATGACTCATTGGGACGAGACACCAGCACTTGAGGGTTCAGCTCTCGGTCTATCTCAAGACCACAATGCGTCACATCACAAGATATAGCGGAATCCAACAACACGGGTTTCCAGGTCGTTTAAACCGGTGGCTTGAACTTCTGAATTCTCCTCCTCGTCTAATCGTTTGTTCATATTGACATGAACAAGGCGGATGATGAAAGCAAGCACCGCAACCAAGAAGGCGATTGCAGCGGTCGCACTTCCTCCAGGAATGTACCGAGGCCCGGAAGATGATGGCCACATATAACTGCCATAAATCGAGGCAGTGTTGCCAATCATGTTCGCAACAGCAATCGCGGCAGATCGTTTGACCAATGGCCGAGCGAACGAGTTGGCCACCCATGCGATGATGATTTGATACGCAGACACGGCTCCCATGGGCATCCTAGTAAATATGAGTTTGGTGTCTCGCGATTGCATTGACTGGAAGACTCACAGGAACATGGCAAAAAATTTGGCGCCGATGTTGGTCGTGACAGTGCAAATGATACCTCCTACCACGCTGACCATCATCAAGCAGATGATATGTATACTGCGATCGTTCGTCTTGCCTGATGTCCATGTGACTAGCAGCGAGATAAAGAAGGTCGCAATCCACACGGGCGCAGTGATCAAAAGGGTTTCGACATTGCCGTATCCCAGGGTTTGCACAATGGTCGGGAAGAAATACTGGAAGTTCTGGGATAGCAGCGAGACATGCTGCAGGAGAATGAAAAGGTAAATTCTCTTGTCTGCGAATACCAAGGCTAAATCCTCCTTGATACTCGTTGAACCGACCTCATCGGCTTCTCCTGCATCGTGCATAAGTCGCCATTGCGCATATGCCTGCTCCTCTTCGTCCAACCAGGACGTTGAAGCAGGATAATTGGGAAGGAATATACTAGAGAATGTTAGGACAGTCAGAATGAGGAGCTTTCATGGATGAAACCCACGTCGCAAGTAGGGATATTCCGACGGTGATGCAACCCTCGATAATGAACAACCATCGCCAACCGGCAATCCCCTGTGCTCCACTGAGATTACCCAGGACACCCGCGCCGATAAGACCACCAAAAGCATTGGCTAGTGAGCTTCCGGCATAGAACCAGGCAATACGATGGCTGAGCTGTGCGATCAAATTAGAGGAGATTGTCAAAAAAGCCAGCCAGAAATCATTTGCTCACCTCCTGTCGGGTATACCAACTTGACCTGCAAAGAATGTATCAGGTACTGACAAAGATCTCGGTATATTGGATCCAGACTTACATCAACATGACAGCACCTGGGAAGAACGGCGCTTCGACAAAGCCAAGGAAAAATCGCGTAACAATCAGCCCTGAAAATGAGGTGATGGCCGCCTGACAGGCGGAGATAATGCCCCTATACCTAAGTTGAGTATTTCGATAGCGGTTGGTCTATGGCTCAGTTCATACCAAATTGCCATTGCGATACCCAAAAATAGTGAGGGTCGCACTCGAGTAAGAATCAAATTGGAGGGAAGCTGCATCAACAGATACCCAACAAAGAGAATACTTGTCGCAAGGTTGTAATCGGTACCTCCCATACCCAGATCTTCTTCGAGAGTACCTAAGCGGGCTTGGGACAGGTTACTGAGAGGGAAAGTGTTAACATAACAGTGAGATAAGCCCCTGCACTGAACTGACGTACTTTCTGTCCAAGAAATTCAAAAGGTACATCAGGATCAGAAATGGTAGTAGATGCCAATCAACCTTTCGAAGTAGACGCTTTGTCATAGCTTGATGCCATTCTTGGCCTTTTGAGGCATAGGCTTGATAGAGGGCATCTTGTTCCAGGGCATTACCCTTGTGGTTGGGCTTCTCTTGGAACTCGACGTGTTCATCTACCGACTTCTCCATAATAGTGGTAGTCGATAGGCGTGGAAAAAGGCAAGAACTCCGCTCTGGTGGGCATATCATGGGTTATAAAAACATAGCTGTACATGAAAACGGGTTGAGGAGCGTTGAGCCGGGCGTCGGACCAACTCCGCAAATATTACCCCACGGGGAGTGGGGCTGCTACCCCCGGACTTGAAAGAGCCAAAGACTTCATTGGCGGTGACTTTTGTATTGGCTCATTCGCGGGGGAAGGGATCTTCGTTTGGTGCAAGAAAGCGCGGGGGAGCGGGCAGGATTCGGGGTATTCTACTCCGTAGACCGAGTAGCATTGCATGATTTTGCTCACTTGAGGGTCATTCGACCACTTTGCTTTGAATATCGTAGGGTCTTTCACGCTTTCAGTGCTGAATGACACGATCAGACTGTTAGGCGAAGCCCTAGAGATCAGTGGGCAATTTGAAAACTCGACAGTATGTCCCCATAAAAGGGCCAATATTGCGGCATTTTTCATGTTTTCATGGGCTGGAAGAGAAAGTTTGCGAAGTGCTTTTTGTGTCATATGCATACCCACAACACACAAGTTGTCCAATATTCGATTGCAGTATCGACTTTTGAGCAAGAAGCTTGGGTCGTCCCCTGAATCATAAAGCTAGAGGAAAAGGCAATAAAGGGGTCTCCGAGATTCTGAGACAAAGCCGAGACGTTGTCTCGTTTAATATGAAGGCTTCAGGGATCTCCAATGTTGTTTGGAGCCCAGTCGGTACTATCTCGGATTTCACCGCCATGGGGCCTTCCTCATTGCGATATCAGAAGAATCTTACTGACCTTTTCATTGATTTCGGTAATGAAACTTTTGGGGTTCATATTACCGGACGTTCATTTTAAAATGATATGGCCCTTGGTGTTGTTTTTGTTGTGGGGTATGGTAGACCTCAAGGGAGCCCGCAAAAATCACGGCCCAACCCAATCCAACAAACCAGCCCACCAAATGGGTTGGGGTTTGGGCCCATCCATGGGCTCTGGGCTATGCCTCAAGCTCACAAATTATGAGTCCCCGTTACTGACAAAACAGTGCAAGTATGCTAATTCTTGGCATTTCCACCCCATGCGGTTGTTATACATATCTCTTCCTGGAGATGCAGCCTTGGGGCTTACCATACAGTACGTCAAAGTACGTAAAATAGAGCCATTGTTCAGCTGCTCATCAGGGTTATGCGGGCCAAGACTGACCAGTATTTATGCATAGAATGGGCCATTGATGAGGGTTCATGAGGGCCCCCATCAATTGGCTGCGCATTGGGTCAAGCATTGGGCAATTTTAGAATAGCCCAGAGCCCACGAAAGCTAGAGGTTCCAAGGTTAGGTCATGGGTCGGGGCTTGGGGCCCATTTCCAAATGTTGCGGGCTGCTTTATGGTCTACTGTGGGGGGTTCGCGCCCTACCCCCCGGTGGAGATAGTACCCGTCTTCCCTTCTTCCAAGGTTCACACGCTCTCTTTCCTGTACTTAGTCCAGCAGCGAGAATCTTTTCCATCCGCTTCTTTCACTTGCTTGCTTGCTTGTTGGCTCCCGAGCTTTTTCTCAAAGACCATCAGGCGGGCTCCATGGAAGCCAGAGAATTTAATCCCAGTTACTTTATGTCACGTAGCCTGTACGCTGTACAGAGCAACTAACTTTATCCAAGATATCAGTTATTATTTCGATTGGTCGCACTAAAATGCCTAGCTTCATGAGGGACATATTGCTTTTTCCAAGTACTTTCGGCTTGTTATTTCGGCCCCCAGATTCTGCTCCTTACTCCCCGCTCTGCCTCTTTCCCTCTCCTCCATTCCATCACAACATTCAGCCCCTCTACTTGGGGTAAATATGTCATCCCTCCGCCCACCCGACGGATTATCTGACGATGACACGGGTACGAACAGTACCACAAGCCCGTCCGAGGCTGTAGGCCTCTCCACGATATACTATACCTACGCAATGGTTGTTACTCGTACTAGTACCAGCGTGGATTCAAATGGAGACAACACAGTGGTTTTGATCACCAGTACCGCGTCCGCGAACCCCACTCCTACCGCCTCTACTACTCCAAATTCGGACCCTTCGACCACATCCGACGGAACTTCAGGCAACGAAGGACTTCCTACGAGTGCCTCATCTGACTCAGATTCAGCCAACGCAGGAGGGCTTTCCACGGGCGCCTCAGCGGGCGTTGGGATTGGGGTTGCATTGGGCGTGCTTTTGTTTGCAGCTCTTGGGTTCTTCCTCTATCGACGCAGGCTGAAGCACCGAAAGTTCGCACGGAGCAGTGATAATATGCCAACCATGGTGGAGCTTGGGACCGATGGCCAAAAGCACGAGTTGTCGGCGGATGAGACAAGGCGAGCAGAACTTGCTGCCAACGAAGCAAAGCGAACTACCAACCCACACGAGTTGGAGTGATTTATATTTGATACCCCCGGGGTTTTTCAGAGATCTAGAACTATGAACCCAAACTTTCGATGGTGATCGACCACTAGAACGGGCCAATCGGCTCAACTGGTGGGTTTAACCTTTCTACGCATTTCGGCGACACCCGCACTTGGCCCGAGAGATATCCCCTCAGCTCCCAGAATTCCTTCCATTTGTCAACACTTCAAGTTGACAGACCCTCAAAATGAGTGAATCATCCAAATCTCGTAAACGCTCTGCCAAACACGATGTGGGATGGCGACGGGTGGTGCGGAATTTCAGTCCTTCGTTCGTCTTCCCTATTCTTAAGAGGTGTGGTTTCTAACGGCCAGCAGGTGGTTTGCCGTGACTATGGGAACGGGCATTGTCTCGGTGTTGATGACATCGGTGCCTTTCCATACCCCGGTTCTTTACTACTTGTCCATAGTGTTTTTCGTGCTCAACTTGATATTATTCACTCTAGCCATGGTGACATCTATTCTTCGGTACAGCCTGTATCCGGAAATATGGACTGTGATGATTCAAGACCCTGTCAACTCTTTGTTTCTTGCCACCATTCCAATGGGATTCGCGACACTCATCGAGATGTGGGTTTTTATTTGTGTCCCGCTGTGGGGTGAATGGGCCAAAACTGTCGCATGGGCTCTGTGGATGGTCGATGTCATCGCCGCGGCTTCTGTAACCCTGTCTTTATCTTTCATCCTGTCAGTTTCTGGACTTGAAATGGCATCTACTCTTTTTGCTGACTCTGGTTAGGATTTCACAGAATCACATCACCTCCTTGGACCGAATCACTGCTCTTCAATTACTGCCAATTGCAGCCACGATCGTGGCTGCCGGTGCTGGCGCAGAAGTCGCTGGCATCCTTCCAAACCAGCAACATGCATTAGGAACACTTCTGGTGTCCTTTGTCCTTTGGGGTATGGGAACTCCATTGGCAATCATGGTGTTGGTAATTTATTATCAACGGCTAGCAGTACACAAGCTTCCACCCCGTGAAATGATTGTGAGCTGTTTTCTACCATTAGGACCCCTTGGGTTCGGTGGCTTTGGGTATGTCGATGTGTTATATGGGATTCATTCCCGGCGAGAATATTGCTAACGCACTGCTAGCATCATTTACATTGGGAAAGTGGCCCGTGATCTTTTGCAGCACGGAAATATTGTCGATCCCCTAGCAGGCAGAATGGCATTTGTGCTGGGTTTGTTTATATCCCTTCTCATGTGGAGCTTTGGTCTTATCTGGCTTGTATTTGCGCTTGCCACGATCTTACTCAAGTTTCCCTTCCCATTCAATATGGGTTGGTGGGGATTTACGTTCCCTCTTGGTGTCTATGCCGCAAACACCATGCAGTTGGGTACTCAGATGGATCTAATGTTCTTCAAAGTGTTTGGCACAGTAAGTACTTTTGGCTCATTTTCAACCTCGGTTCTTGCAGTGTTGACTGAATTGCATTCAGATTCTCAGTGGTGCGGTTTTACTACTTTGGATCTTAGTAACATCGAGGACCGCACTTGGTGCATGGCGTGGTACGCTGTTTCACGCACCGTGTTTACAAAATCTCGTCTTCAAAGAGCAGAGAGCTTGTGCATGAAATTTGAGTTTATCAGCATGTGAAGACGCCTTTTTTGGATTTATCTGTTGGTATGAATTCAAAATCCAGGCACACACTGATTTTACTTAGTTCTTCCATATTTTTGGCTAAAATATACTGACTTCACTATCCTGGTATCTTCTCTGTTTCTTTTCGTTTCTTCTTGCGTCGGGTTTGTTGATATGATGTCGGGGCGAAATATTATATTTGGAATCCACCTTGCTTTGCGGGGTGGCCCTGGAGGGGCTGGTGGGGATCTTGGGGCGATATTGATGGCCCAGCCAGTGTTCAATCTCCTGAAAATTAAGACTTTTGACTGAATGTTGTCTTTCTGAGCATCTGAATGATCAATTCGGTGTAATTTCTCTTCCAGAAGAATGTCTGTAGGTATCAAACAGGTCAATTGATGTTCCCAGAAGGCGCCAAGACTTCCCCGGGCCGGAAATCGAAATTATGTAAGACGTCCGTCGGTAAAGTCACGTGCGTCGGTGAAAGCACCCAATCAGCGGTGAGATGGCGCGATCGCGATAAGCAGCTTGGACTTAAAGTCGGGAGTCTCTCCCTGACCTTATACTCGGCCTATATCTGTTCACCAATTCACAATGGAGACTGAGACGATTGACCAGATTGAGCAGGGCGGTGGTGCTCTCCGCACCATCAAGGACCTGGCCGCGGGCGCAGCTGGTGGAATGGCCCAGGTTCTCCTCGGTATGTGTGCTCAATTGATTGAATTCTGAGGAAGCTTCATATTATGAGACTTTCCTTGTGGCATCCAATGCCATTCGAATTCATTCAATCATTCACTTCAAAATCAGATCAATTGCTAACAAAACACCAGGTCAACCCTTTGGTTTGTTACTCCAAACAAGCACGTCATCGTCAAGCACTGACCAATAATTCAGACATTGTCAAGGTTCGTCTGCAGACCACCACTCAATACAAGAGTGCGCTGGATGCTGCCACCCAAATCTTCAAGAAGGAAGGCCCCGCGGCTTTCTACAAGGGAACCCTGACCCCACTCATCGGTATCGGTGCTTGTGTAAGTTCACCGGCCCGGTTTATTGACAATGCCCTAATCCACCGCAGGTCTCTGTTCAATTTGGTGCCTACCATGAAGCGCGTCGTCGCTTGGAAGAGATGAACAAGAAGAAATACGCCGTCAAGGACCTGTCCTATGTCCAGTACTACATGGCTGGTTCATTCGCCGGTCTGACCAACTCCGTGCTCTCAGGTCCCATTGAGCACGTCCGTATTCGTCTGCAGGCCCAGCCCCACGGTGCTGGCCGTCTCTACTCTGGTCCCATCGACTGTGTGAGCAAGCTCACCTCTCAGGGCGGTGCCCTTCGTGGTCTCTACCGCGGTCAGGCCGTTACCCTTCTCCGTGAGGCTCAGGCATACGGTACCTGGTTCCTGGCCTTCGAGTTCATGATGAACCAGGATGCTAAGTTCAACAACCTCAAGCGTGAGGATCTTAGCACCACCAAGGTCGCTGTCTACGGTGGTCTCGCTGGTGAGGCCCTTTGGCTTTCCAGTTACCCCTTGGACGTTATCAAGAGTAAGATGCAGACCGATGGATTCGGGGCCGACCAGAAGTTCAGCAACATGCGCGACTGCTTCAAGAAGACCTACGCCATTGAAGGCCTTGGTGGGTTCTGGAAGGGTATTGGACCTACTCTGCTGAGAGCCATGCCTGTCTCTGCTGGAACATTCCTGACGTATGTTTTGCCACCCCTTGTTTTGATATCACTTCCACTAACAGATTGTTCTCCAGTGTCGAGCTTGCTATGAAAGCTCTCGGTTAAGATCTAACAGTCTTTGCTTGTGATGAAAGTTGACGCATCTGTCTTTATTTCCATGGTCCTTTTCACTTGTTTTGATATCCAGGGCTCGTTCGATCCCAATTGTTACATAGAGGGCTACTACAAAAGTGAATATCCCAATTCAACAAAATTCTGTACTCCCGGCGCAGTATGCTGCATATGGAGAAAGGTCTTACAATTGATGCATCACCTACATAGCCAACGAAAAATCACCGAAGAAATCCTGCCAAGCAGTGGGGAAATAAAACAGATTGAGCCCCGGAAAGTCCCACTCGGAAACAAATTGCTCGGGTACAAACCACTGCAGATCAGCCTGGGCATCAAACAATTCCCAGAACGGCGACGTGGCAGCGGGTCCATCCGAGCCGGGCTGCTGTGTCTCCATTAATGCACGTCCGAATTTCTCAATACTCACCTTCAAGATCTGAAGATAGATGTTCCCAGCCCCGGACTGTGTGCCACTAGCACCGGCCTTGCTTAGCTCGTCGACAAGTCGATTGCCATGTTCTAGGAGCTCTTGGTGCTCTTCATCACGCTCGGGAAGCAGTCGGGATAGTTTCAGAAGCAAAAGGAATGAGAACGCGCACTTGGCCCAGACAAAATCCATTGCGTATTTCAACTTGGCAAGATAGAAGTCCGGGTCAATGATGATCAGACGGAGATGTCGACGCGCACTAGCTTTTGCCGTAAGAAGTATGGTTCGCTCGGTCGTAGACATGGCACTGAGTGCTACGTTAGTACGGACTTGGGGTGTTGAGAAGAGCATCACTTGCGCTACGTTCTCGACTCCCATTGATCGCAATGCTTTGCAATTGAGCATCATCTCGGCCCAGCATTTTTGTACTCGAAGGGCGACGAGCAGAGATGGCTTTTCGTCGGCAGCGGCGTCGCAACTTTCTGCAAAGTATTAGCATGTTAGGGGTAGTCATGACTAGTTTAATAGTACCGATTATGCGTAGCCAATCACTGGTGTTCGTTAGTGAGACACTCGGAGTGCAATTTAAATCAGATCTTACTCAAACCACAGGTCCAGCTCAATCTTCATATCATGCACATAATCCACGATGCTTGGTCCATCGAGCGAGGTGTTTCCGCCAAGGGTATCACCCACATTCGCTGCTGGATCTTAGCCAATGGACCAGCCGGAAAAACAGCGAGCAGTCATACCTCTGAGAATGTTCAACTGATGACACAAATTAATATCTGGAAGCTGGGCTCGTATACTTGTAGTACTCACCTCGACCTGAGAGAATAACCGTAAATCCAGAATTGTTGAAGAAGGGTGGCTAAGTAAAACCCGACAGCGTCGAGAATTTCCTTTCAATCGGATGCCAGGTGGCTTCCCTCCATCAACGCGAAATCTACCGCGTCACATTAATTTCCAACCATGCTTCAAGCCTTTTAAGAACTCTTACATATGCTCCAGGACCAAAAGACCAAACCAAGTTCGAGACTTCCACATAAGAGCTCTCTCTTCTTCAAACATCTGATGAGGCAAAGCATAAGCGATGTCTTCGTTTCGGAGCGCCAGTCTCTGGGTTAGTTCGTCAAAAGCCTCATGCAACTCCAGATCTAGAGCCATGCGGGTAGCGAAAGAAAGCATCAGAGAGCGCTCTTTGGAATAGCAGGCAACTATGAGCATTGCCTGAACCGATTCAAGAGAGTTGAGTGCCTTATTTTGAATTATGACATTAATCCACTTCTTAAGTTCAACATGGAGAAGGTCGGATATCGGGCCACCAGACCCTAAGAATGCTCCTTTCAGTAATGCACCAATGCAAGAGGGTGTGTTTCGCAAATGCTACACTTACTCGTCTCGACCATGCAGCCAATAGTACATATTGCGTTGAGAAGAATGCTACTTCGGGACCGAATTGAATCAAAAGTGTCGTATTGAGGGTCAAAGATCGGGATGTACCTATCCTGGATGGTTGATAAAGGGTGAGTACTCGAAGATTTGGTAGGGAAAGATACATACGCATCCTTCAAAGAACCTGGAGTATTTCAGTCAATCAGGGTCTCAGTCTATGGGGCATTCTCGGGTAGACATACGTATTGAAGTAGGACACAGCGCAGTCAAATGTGATGAGCCCTTTGTCGACAAAGTCGGCTATAGGGTCTTCCCGAATCTCAAACCCCGATCTTTTCCTTTTCAGTGGTCTGTTGACAACTCGATTGGGTGCGTAGAGAGGCTGGGCTGAAACCTCATTGGGCGACAGGGTCGGTATAGACGCCGGCAAAGACCTTTGGTATTGATGACCATTTGAGTATCCAGATTCCATGGAGGATATAGCTCCAAAATCATGGTTATGGTTCCTTGGGGGCGGATGCTGGGTACCCGAGGAGCTGCAAGCGCTCTCGTGGCATACTTGCTGGCGAGCTCGAAGCTGGCTCGGGGAGTGGCTTAATCGAGATTCTGGAGAAAGCTGCGCACGACTCTGTTCAAGTAGCTCGCGCATCTTCTCCATTTGGTTTCGGAGATACTGAACCTCGGACTCGACGCCTTCAATCCGCCTAAGTCGTGTCAGTTGAAAGTTGTTGGTTGCCATGTGACATTGGCTCGTACTCTGAGACAGGGTCTTTTGGTATCTCGAAGAAGACACATTGTTTTTCTAGTTTTTGGCATCTGCTTGCTTGATAAGTATCAAAGGTCTGATGCAAGCTTGCTGTTTTGGATGTTGAGAGTTACCTTGTACATGGTCTCTCACCGTCGCATTTCACCTGGAGTCGATCAGCCAACCTCCCAAGATATTCAACATCAAGGGAATCGAGCACAGACCTTCGATTGGCGGCAAGCACTGCAGGCCTTCTATGCAATGGAAACGCCACAACTTGTCAGGGCTTGTCCAGTTCTTTGGGGGATCTCAATTGGCCTGATGGCGGCTTACTGGGATGCGCTTTTTCCCAGTTGGGACTGGGATAAGATGCAGGGATTCATCCTCCATCTCCGGACTGAATGGGCTGCAGACAGATTGACTAGCCATAACAGCTCGGACTTTTCTCTTTTGCACCGATGGTTTTGCGGCAAGGGGAAGTCTGGAGAAACGCGGGGTTCGGCTTTTGTGCCGAGACCGGCTATACAACCAGTCCCCGGCTATAGCTGTTTACTTCTAGTCGGTGAAATACTAGTAGGAATGAGCATTCAGGGGCAATTCTTCCAAAATAAAACTATATTCCCACCCTTAGTGCCTACATTCGATGAAACAGTGATTTTAAACATAGCAAAACTAAAAAAAACCCATAATCCTATCCCACTATAGCACAAATTTAAAAAACGACCTAAGTCGAATCTTAGAAAACATAAACAAAGTCCTCGTTTTGCCAATCAGTCAGGTCTTTCCAAGCGTTGTCATCTGCTGGTTGTTGAGGCAAATCTTCTTTGTCGTCGGATACTGCTTGCACGGCCTGCATCGACTGGTCTACAATCTTGGCACTCTTTCCGACAGCAACACGTCTCTTTTCGTGTTGTTTGTTCAAATAATAAAGGTATGCCGAGTTAGCTCTATTTTTGGGGTTAGAGAAGCGTTGTCTTGCTGGACTGAAGGATAACTTACCCGGTAAGACCTATCAATACGCAAAACAGTGCGAGACTAGTCGAATGGTTAATATCAGAACATCGAAGACTTTCAAAGCCTCTGCTTACTTTGAAAGTAGACCTCGCCGATATAGTGGTGCTTCAGCGGTGGTGTAGAGATTTGGTCCGAGAACCTATTAGGCTAAGTGTAAGCGCGTGATAGAACATTGGGTTGTGATGCAGGAGCAGCTTACATTACCAGCGCACTGTCCGACATATAGGATAGCGGTAGTAACTTTCTTTTTTGTCTCTCCCGCTGTGTTTCCTGCAGACCATGAGTAGATCAGTGGTGCTAACTAGGGTCAGCCACATTCAATGTTGGGAATTTCTTGAGTCTTACTGATAGCTGGATACACAGAAATCTGGAAAATGTTCATTAGAAACTCATTTTCGAAAGACACTCCTCTCTTTTGATTTCAGAACTCACGATATAGTATCCTGCAAGTAATGGTCCTTTGTGGGCATTGTCGTGCGCAATCTGCAGGAGCATCACACAGCCAGCGATTGGTGGGAGGCAGAGCAAGGCTAAGACCGGGCTCTTCATGTTCCAAAAGGTCGCCAGCCATGCTCCTCCCATTGTTGCGACGAGCTGAACAGCACCGAATGGAATATTGAAAAGCATGGTATCATATTCGCTGAGTCCAAAAGATTTGATGATCAAGGGGCCGAATGTAGTAATGCCTCCGCTTGGGACACTGGAGTGTTGTCAGCAACTCAGCCTCGGCGACACTTTTTATCAGGATCATCTCACGAGATTGAGAACATCAATGCAAACCAGAACCATGACTTTGGGTCTAGCAATGCTTCTTTCGCATGGTCCCATTTCCATTCTTGGCTTTCAACACCCTGCTGGTTCATTCGTTGTCTCTCGATGGACAGTAGCTTGTCTTCTTCTCCCAGGAACTTAGCCGATACGGGGGAATCGGGCATAAAAATGCTGTTTTGGCGAGATCAGTACGATATGGTAGAAAAGACTTGCGCAGATCTTACAGAATGACGGCAGAGAATCCAACGGTTACTAGACCGAAGAACAGAAAGATAATCTGGTCGATATTAGATGAATGGATCGGAACAAATTCCCGCAATATAACTCACTTGGTAGGGCGCGAATATAGAGGATTTGATATGGCCCAGTCCAAAGGCAATCAAACTTCCAAACTTTGATTGATTGTCAGCTTAAGGGACCAAGAGCCCAAACCCGAAACCAGGGGAAACCCACCATATTCACGACTCCATTCATAGCATACCATGAACTTAGTCTCACTGGCTGTTCACGACGTCGGTACCACATTTGTGTGACTGCGATGAAGGCCGGGGCTAGTGGGGCAATTCTCATTAGAAGTGACCTTGACGAGTGGGGAGACAACGTACCGATTCCAGCCTCAAAGATACCAAGGAATATCCGACAAACAAGCAACTCCCGGAAGTTTGTTGCTGCGGTCATACATGTCAAAGCAATGCCCCATAGAAGACATGATGCCGCGAGGAACTTTGCTAGGGGAACTTTGACCAAGACGTAAGCGACCAGGGGTTGAAATACCAGCTGGGCCAAGTAGATTGAGCCACCGAGCCAAGAGTACTCTTGACCTTGGAGGTTTGCTTTCTCGACAATTCCGAAAACCGAGGCATATGAAATGGTTGATTTGTCTAGCTGCTGGAGAAAGTAGATTCCCAGAAGAATGGGGAGCAGACGCAAATCGATCTTTCGAAGAACTTTGGCGTTGTTTTCGGGGGTCAGAATGCTCGAATGGCCTGCTTCTTGGATGAGCTGCAGAGCTTGATCGCCTTTTGGTTGACTTCCTGCGCCATCTTTGGGTGGTGGCACGTTCTGCAACTGCTCGGGCTCAATGGATTCCACGAACTCTTCCTGCCCCTGGGGTAGTGATGCCTTCTGCGACATGCTTAATGACTCGCAGCGGCAGAAGAATAAATAGAAAGCAGAATATAAAAGCCTCAGACGCAGTGTGGGTAAATGAATTAAGTTGGCCTCAGGTCAGTTGAGGAAAAAGTAGGGCTTGGATATAGAGTATGCAAAACCCCGTGGGGAAGGAAGTATATTACATTCCCCGGACGAGACCAACCAAGCCGACGTGTCAGACCACAAACGGCAGTTGATTTATCCCTTTAGGCCGTGGCATCGTTGCCAATGAAACTTTGTATTGTCAGTCGGCACACGGTCAGTTGATCTGGCGAGACACCGGAGTGCACGATCCCTGCAACACACGGCCAACGTCCGACGACCTATCCAATCACTTCCCTAGGATGCATTGCCGTGGGAGGGGTGGTTGAAAGAAGAGGAGTTGTGGCCGATGCCCAGAATTCTTAGCATCGGAGTTCGGTGAGAAAAACCGACAGCAGCGCTAGTCTGACGAGGAAGACGAAGGAATATTTCCCCGGACTCGCGTTTGTGGGGAAAAAAGACCATCGGCCCGCATTTCGGAGGTGCGTGTTACGGTGCGTGTCCCGCCTTTGAGCGGCGCTTGGCCAACTTCACCTCTTTCTGTCGGAGATTCTCCCCGATCTCCGATTCTATACAGCAGACTGCATCACTGGCGGGGTACAGACCACGGAGCTCGACAGGCATTCAAATATCCCACCATGTCTGGCAATATTCTGGTATCCTCTCCAGTTCCTCTGGATCAATTGCATTGCCTTTCACATCATGCCTCAAAAAGAAAGCTGCCCTAAGGGCTACTCACAGGTGCCTCAGGCGAATCAGGAAGCTTCTGTTCACGTTCGCAGCAGCACGAAGAGCAAGAACGCGTTTGACTTCACCTTTGAAGCGGTCCGTCCCAATCTTTTCCGCGCCACCTTCTCTTCCGCAGAGCACCCAATCCCGCCCTATCCAAGTGTCACAAAGCCCGAGACAAACCTGCAGGGCGCCAATGTCTTCGCCGAGGAGAGTGCTTCCTCCAAGACATTCGACGTCGCCGGTGTCACAGCTTCGGTGGACTGGGAGCATACGCCCGTGGTCAAGATCTCATGGACCGGCTCTGAGAAGCCTCTTCACGCAGATTTGCCCCTGCGATCCTTCGTCGCAGACGGCGAGGGCGTAGCCAACTACTCCGTGCATGACCGCGAGTGCCTCCATGTCGGACTCGGCGAGAAGGCGGCCCCTATGGACTTGAGCGGCCGCCAGTTCCAGCTCTCAGCCACTGACTCATTCGGTTATGATGTTTACAACACCGATCCCCTCTACAAGCACATTCCACTCTTGATCAAGGCTTCTCCGGAGGGTTGTGTGGCCATTTTCTCAACAACCCATGGCCGTGGCTTGTGGTCCGTGGGAGCTGAGATCGATGGCCTCTGGGGACACTTCAAGGTCTATCGCCAGGACTACGGTGGTCTCGAACAATACTATATTGTTGGAAAAACAATTAAGGATGTCGTTCGCTCATACGCAGAATTGGTTGGATTCCCTCTGCTTGTGCCCCGCTGGGCTTATGGCTACATCTCCGGTGGCTATAAGTACACTATGCTGGATGAGCCGCAGAAGGCCCATTTGGCTCTTCTGGAGTTTGCCGAAAAGCTCAAGCATCACGGCATTCCCTGCTCTGCTCATCAAATGAGCTCCGGGTATTCTATTGCAGCTACCGAGCCCAAGGTTCGCAATGTCTTTACATGGAACTACGAGCGATTCCCAGATCCCCAGGACTGGATCGCCAAGATGCACGAGCATGGTATCCGACTTATCACCAACATCAAGCCTTTCTTGTTGGCTTCTCATCCTAAATTCCAGAAGCTCGTCGATGCCGGTGGCTTTTTCAAGGATTCTGAGAAGGAGCCTGGATACATGCGTCTGTGGAGTGCTGGTGGTGCTACGGGTGGTGATGGAGCTCACATTGATTTCACCTCGGCGGAGGCCTTCAAATTCTGGTATGACGGTGTTCAGAGCTTGAAAAAGGTCGGCATCGACGGTATGTGGAATGACAATAACGAATATACCCTACCCGACGATGATTGGACCTTGTCTCTCAATGAGCCCACTGTGGCTGAAGCTGCAGCAAAGAAAGTCAAGAACTCTGTTGGTCTCTGGGGCCGTGCAATGCACACAGAGTTGATGGGCAAGTCTTCACACGATGCTTTGCTGGACATGGAGCCCAAGCAGCGTCCCTTCGTCTTGACCCGCAGTGCTACCGCCGGAACCCTTCGATATGCCGCATCTTCCTGGAGCGGTGACAACGTCACTAGCTGGGAGAACATGAAAGGTGCCAATGCTCTTTCTCTCAACGCCGGCATGTCCCTTCTCCAGTGTGAAGGTCACGACATTGGTGGGTTTGAAGGCCCCCAGCCCTCACCTGAGCTCCTCCTCCGCTGGGTCCAACTGGGCTGCCATGCTCCCCGCTTTGCAATCAACTGCTTCAAGACCTCTCCAAAGGACTCTTCTGTCGGTGATGTCATCGAGCCTTTCATGTATCCTGAAATCACACCCCAGATCCGTGACACCATCAAGCGCCGCTATGAAATGCTGCCCTACATCTATTCACTCGGTCTGGAGAGCCATCGATATGCAACACCACCACAGCGTTGGACAGGGTGGGGCTACGAGTCCGATCCCGAGGTTTGGACCAAGACACTCAAGGCAGGCGAAGATCAATTCTGGTTTGGTGACACCGTCCTTGTTGGTGGCGTTTACAAGACCGGAATCGACGTTGCCAATGTCTACCTCCCTCGCAAGACTGGTGTCTTCGATTACGGCTACGTTAACATGAATGCCCCATATCAGTACCTGGCATCTGGCCAATGGGCTGAGATCTCATCAGAGTGGCAGAAGAGCATTGCGCTCATTGCCCGTGTCGGTGGAGCCATCCCCATTGGAAAGAGCGTTCACACCCGTGTCCCCGGTGATGAAACCGCTGCTTCGGTTGGAGTCCAGGAGATCGATGATTACCGTGGCGTGGAGATCTTCCCACCCAAGGGAATTTCGCACGGATCCGTCTTTGCTACCACCTGGTTTGAGGATGACGGTATCTCTGTCCAGCCTGGTACTTCTTCGTACACCATCAGCTACAGCTCCACTGAGGAGAAGGTGCTTGTCAAGTTCGAGCAGGGTGAAACTGGCTTCACTCCCGCTTGGAAGGATTTGGATATTGTTTTGCACAATGGTGACCAGCGCCGCGTTGTCTCAAGCACAGGTGATGAAATCGTGCTTAAGGGTACTGACTCGCGTGGTCGTGTCGTCTACACTCTTAAGGTCTAACCTTGAGGAGCAATTGATGGCACATTACGAGGCTCATAGACATGGACTTGCATTCGGGGGATACCATTAGATTATACAGAGAGTTAATTGCATGAATTTTTAATGTCTCGGAAGTTTCTCTTCAACAAACATTTCTTGCATGACATCAATTGGAGTGCAACGTTGATTGGCGTTCCTAGTAAACCCTTATAGGTGATGGACTTATTCGCCGAATGGCCAAGACGCACATCCTTGCGTCTACTTTACGGCATCATAGGAAAACCTTTCGCCGAGCGTATCACAACAAATGGTAGTTATACCATAGCCTATCTTTGAGTATCAAAGCTGTCCAATTTGGGACAGTGTAGCTAAAGGTGTCACTATCCATCAAGCCTCATGGAGACAAAGTCTTACAGGTCTTTCTTTCTACAAACCAACACCGTGTTGACAATGGCATATAAAGAAGAACTCATAACTTGGTCTCGTAGTCCGTATATCTACCGTTCCTTCCAAAAGTCGATCCCTGCATATCTCGCCAACAACATGAAGTCAGCCATTCCTATTCTCTTCCTCAATGCCGCCGTGGCTCTTGCAGTCCCTGCATCCGGACCTGTTGATGTGTCTTCTGCTATACCTCCTTGGTCTCCTTGGTCTCCTTGGCCGGGTCGCAACGACTGTCATGCATTGTAATGCTCCATTTCTCAATGTAACGGGCTAGGCTAATAATCTTTCAGCGAGGACCCCGACTGCAATATTGACACACCCTATTGTCAATGTGCCCATGGTAGGATATTAACATTCTTCTTTCAAGGCATTTGAGGCTCACAGTGGCAGATCGCTGGTATTACTACAACCCGGAGAAGCGCTTGGGCTGTGACCCTCCAGGGGCATTCATTGGTTTTACTGTGGCATCTCTCCCTGGGTGGAGCTGCGAGTGACCATGGGTTAGATAGCAATAACTCAAGCATGAGTGACATGCTCCATGTAATAGGGAAATTCTATGTTCTAAGTTATCATATCTGGGAATCGAACAGATTGAATATCTTGTTGCAATCTCTTTTCACCTTCGTTCTCTGGGAAGTTCATACACTTGGAGTACGAGCTGCTTTGTAAGTGTTTGTTGGTGCCCAGGTGGCCTGAGATACTTAAGTAAAGATAGCATCGCATACTACTGCTTCATTCAGAGACCTGAACAAGTCATCCAAGCGCCGGAGGGTCATGAAAAATTAAAATTACACTATATTCATAAATATCGTACACGATCACCGCTCAGCCTCCGCCTCCTGACAAGGCACGGAGCCGTTTCGGTAATTCAACTCAGTGGTAGAGTTATAATTCCACCAAAATTTCAAACTTTTCGGATCCTTATGCGGGACCTTGCATTGCCCGACGTAGTCTGGCAGTATCCCCTTCACGATGGTGGAGTATTCCTCCAGTGGGCATGAGTATCCAGGACCTGATGTACACTTGTTGAAGGGGACAACTGCTTCGTTGAGAACGAGACGGACGTAGCTCCCTGCTTCTGAAGCAGCAGTCTTGTCACAGCTCAGGCGCTCAATTGTGAAATGTCCACCTTGCGGCACGATGTCGCCGGTAGAGTATGGGTTTCCGAAGGGGATTCGATCTAATGGGAGGTCTTCGTCTGGGGTAAGGAGGCCAAGGGCTGCGAGGATGGGGGTGATGTTTGTATCGTGGGCACTAGATGAGTGAGTTTTTGTCATGGCTGTGGGAAGATTGTTTGACTTACAAGTTGAAGAAGAGAGGGCTGGTTTTCTCGGGACCTTCATTGAGAAGGGTCAAACTTGCGTTTGCGTAGACGGAGCCTACAGCAAACATCGACTTGTCGCCCGGGCTGGGGGTCGTTAGTTATAATTCTGGTGTTTCCGGTCGTTGTCAAGACTCACCCTGCGCAGTAGTAATAGTTCAAATCTTGGACGTAGCCGAAGCTAACCCATTCGTCCTGGGTGAAGACATTGATCCATTCCGAGGAAGCGCGTGCATTCAATTCGAATGACGCCATGGCTGTATCTGTTAGCTGTGTTTCGCAGGCATGGAACTCCTCTGGGGGCACTCACACATTAGATAGTAAATATCTGTCTCATTCAGTTTCAGTTCGGGGTTCTGAGCGTTCAATCTCTCCGCCGCAACCTTGAACTGCGGCATGGTATTTGTCAAGCCATCGCAAGTCGCAGTGTCGCGATCCGCATAGCAAACCGGCGTCAGCGAGTTCGCGCCCATGCGCTCGCTCTCGGAGATAATATTCAGAGCCGCATTGGTCGAATAATTATACCCGAAAAAGCCTTCTCCGAACTTGCGCGCCGTCTCAATCACCCGTCCATAGCCACTGCTCCACATGGGTACGATAGCATCCCCATCCCATAAATGGCCATACCGGTCTCGGTACTCGGTGCCGTGAGTATAGCCATCTAGCAAACCTGCATAAGGACCAGACGATGTCTCGGCATTATACAAGCACTTGTTGGGGACGTAGTAGGACCAATCATTGAAGAATGATAGATCGCCCTGGTATGTGATTTTGGGGTCGAATTTGGAGAGTGTGCTTTCGATGCCTGCGCCCAGGGCAGGGGATGGGTAGCGCTCGCCATGGCGCTTGATCATGATGACTTGGTCGACAGCGCAGCTTGCCGGCGGATCGCGCGCAATGCCGTCGGAGCGACGCTCTGAGTAAGGACCATTGCCACCATAATGTTTCAGGATGCTGTAGTTGTCGCGAAATTCTTGGGAGAATTGTTTCGCTTTGGGTACACTTGAACCCAGTGCACTTGTTATGCTCAAGGCACAAATGAGACTTGAGAGGATAGGCATGATTTGAGGGAGAAATTGTTGGAGATCCAGGGCTGACAGAGTCCCCTGGACCTTTATATCGGGAAGTGTAACAATAGTCCATGGCAGTCCATGGCACTGTGAACGGAACAGTGACCATGACTATCACAATACCCCCACGTGCACAATTGGTGGGAGCAGAGAGCTGAAGCTCTTTGCATGCGATGGAGCAGCGGGCCACTTTTTGTTATAGCCATGTAAATCAGATCGAATCGCTCGGGGACGTGATGGTTTTGCTCAATATGACTGGCTCTCGGATGGCATGTGGGGATCTCCGACAAGCTTTTGAGTTGCATTGAGAAAACGGAGATAACTCGCACTCGCAATTACTCGCAAACTAGTAGCGAAAATCACTCTCGGAATTGAGAAATTGCTGAATTACTCGTGTCTACGAGTGCGGAGTACCGAGTACCGAAAGACTAAATCCCCGACTCAAATACCCATGATGTATAGGGAGTACACAGTAATTAACCCATTTTTTGGAAAAGTTGTTATACATGTCAACAAGATCTATACAGTACAGAGACCCGTCGTTTCAATGCAGTCGATCGGATGCCAGAAATCAGAATGCAAAAATCACTCGCCTATTTCTTCGCCAGGTCGCTGAGGTTCAATCCGGTGAAAGGATCCAGACGCAACTCAGCAGCTGTAATAGGCTTATAGGTGGTCTGACCCGCCTCGGCCATCTTCATACGACGCAACTGACCCGCCTCACCAGCACGACCCAACACTCCCGCAATCAAATGGGTAGCCCGCAGACTATCATCGTTGGAGGGAATGGGGTAGGTGACACGCGTGGGGTCCGCATCGGTATCAATAATACCGATTGTAGGGACATTGTTCACTCCACACTCGTGCAGAAGCACCGCATTCTCAAGCGGGTTCAGACAGACCACAAGATCAGGCTTGAGCGAGGGACGATCAGCCAAATCCTGCTTGAAATCCGGCAACTCCTGATCGAGCGCGTTGACGACTCTCGTCTCGCAGTGGCCGAGAATCTGCTGACCATTGGTCAACGAGCCCGGAATCCACCGCTCGAAGATGTGATATCCCTTCGCTAACTCGGCAGCCTTGACAACAGCCCGCTTCTGGCCGTCACGGGTACCCGCAAACAAGATCAGACCGCCACGCGCGGCAACTTCTTCAACGACTTTCGCGGCTCGGCGGAGGTATGCGGCCGTCTGGTCTAGCGAGATCATGTGCACGCCTTCACGGATACCGAAGATGTAACGGGAGTTCTGAGGGTTCCAGCGGGAGGTCGAGTGACCCATGTGGGTTCCGGAGGCCAGGAGAAGTTCCAGGGTCACTTGGGAGGGCTTGGGGGGATTGCGGAGGACATCTTCGGGGTGGTAGGCAGCTTTAACCTTTGTGCCGAGTTTGTGGAATTTGGATCCTGGAATAGGGAGTTAGTTGATAGATTCGAGGACTAGAAAATGCGCAACGTACTGCGAGTGTCGAGTGCGGAATCTTGTGCCGTGTCTGCCGCGGATTGGGCCTGTACCATCTCAGTGAGAGGGTTTTCGGGCTTGATTGACTCTGTGATTGACTCTGTGGGAGGAGTCTGCAATGTCTCGACGGGAGTCTCGGTCAATGTCGATTGGAAGCGACTTGAGATCGGGGCTCGTCGACTCAGGGCGAGGAGCTGGCGGCCTGGATAAATGCGCTGTCAGAGAAATCACAGTGGGATGTTGATTATGGGATCAAACTCACTCTGCCGCATACAAACCTTCCGTACAATCATTTTGGTGAGGCTGAATTGCAGATGTGTCTGACGGGGAGGTTACTGGGGACATGTCCGCTTGAACTTTTGTCGGGCTTGGCGGATGCCTGAGGCCGCCACGGCCACTCGTTGTTTTGACTCGTGAACAATTTCTTTCAAACCGTGCACATCTACGAGATTATCTACTTGGATATTTAGGTCCGTTGAATATTTCATCGAGGTCATCACATTGCAATTCTGGGATTATGGTAGGATCACACTAAGGCGATTTCCGATATCAATGCAAGCATGTCATGGTACAAAAGCCCGAAGGCGCTCAAAACCCCAGTGGAAGAAAAAAAATCATAAAGCGAGGCGTTCTGGCGGAAAAGAAAAGATGCATGCCAGCCCATTGGAACAATGAAAAATTGATAGCAAAACGAAAAGGAAATTCATGAAGGATGTGTCATCAAAACGAAGGAGACCATCAGAAACCCTCTATTTCTTGAAGAAACCACCGAGCTGGTCCATCATGGAGCCACCGCTACCCTGGGAGGGAGGGGGACCGCCGTACTGGCTACCATACTGGCCCTGGGGAGGCTGGGGAGAACTGGAGTTGCGGTGCTTCTTGACGGCATCTTCAGCGATACTTCCGATGATGGCTCCACCGATCGTTCCGAGGAAGCCGTGGTTGGCCTTGTGGCCGGCGAAACCACCGGCGGCTCCACCGGCGAGGGCACCGGCAAGACCGCGCTCACCCTCCTGGGCCTGGGGACCATCCTGACCCTGTTGCTGTTCGTAGCCACTGTTGCCTGTTAGTATCCGATACTCTCAAGTGACTGGAGTGAGTACGTACCCTTGGCGGTGCTGGTCATGTTGACCGTACTGCTCGTGGGACTGGCCACCACCGTAGTAGTCAGAGGCGCCACCCTGCTGTTGGCCGTAACCTTGACCACCGTAGCCACCCTGCTGGTGCTGTTGGTGCTGCTGGCCGTAGTAGTCGCCACCCTGCTGTTGACCGTAGCCCTGCTGGGGATAGCCTCCCTGCTGCTGACCGTAGCCTTGCTGGCCGTAACCCTGAGGCTGACCGTAACCCTGCTGCTGGCCGTAGCCTTGCTGGCCGCCGTAGCCGCCCTGGTTGTATTGATCGTAGCCGGACATGTTGAGATTTGAGTTTGATTTGATTGAAGGTAGGAAGAAGATGGAAGTGATGAAGTTGGAGTGAAGTGGATTGAAGATGAAAGACAAAGCCGAGGAGGGGTAACCCTTTTTATAAGAGGTAACTCCGGAGCAACCACAGGGCTGACGGTACGAACCCCACATGAGACGCGGAAACTTACGCTTACGGAGGGGGGCGCAGCGTAAGCGTCAGCCTTGTGTTTTGTTTCTTCATTTCCCCCCGTTTTATTACATTTGACTGGTGCATCTGCCTATGGATTAACATTCATTACCATCTATTACCGTAAAGCCTGTGAAATCGAACCGATCGCCCTACGAGGGCTGTACTTTCATGCAGCACCGCCACATGGTTGCGCATTGTTGCGCACCATATTGCTGCATTCACCTTTGGCTATGGCGGGCTGAGCGCCTTACGCCCAATTATAGAACGAAAGACACGGATCACTCGGCTTCCATGGTTCTTCTAGAATCTCATGGTAATTTTGTATTCATGCCGAGCCTTGCTGTCTCCGCTAAACGCTGCACAGCGCCTCTCGGCGTGCTGTTTTGCTGTTTTGGGGGTAATCTATTCGGTTGCCTAGCACACTTAGCCCACCATCGGTTTGTCCGACATCTCGACTTCCCCTTTCGCTACAATATCCCAACCCAACGACTGTATTGTACAGCCATCACCCGATCTACGAGTATTATTCGGGTTGACGTCACGAGGCTTATATCTGACTTCACCTGTTCATCGACGACGTGATGCACTTCAGTCCCAAAATGAGGGATAAATTAATATGATACTTGGGTTTCGTACTAGTAAATTCTCGCCTGAAGCCAAGACTTGTATCTAATACAATTGATCAACATCGATGACTATTACTCGCCCTCGCCCATCAGATCAAATCAGGTTAGGTGCTTTGAACTCATAGTGATGCCATTTCCAGCTGATGGGTACTGAAGTACAGATCCAGGGGTCTCCTGTACTTAGATACTCGTATGTACTCGTAGAATAGCGTAGATCCCTAGTGCCAAGGTTTAGGCTTAAGGCGGTCTTTATCTCGGGTGCTCGATATATATCTATGGATCTACTTCGTTCGGCGTACAGCCTTAAATTTACTAGGCGATCGCAGAACACTTAATTAAGTAGGCATATGGCCCAACAATTTAAATCAGAACAAGTTCGTCACCTGCTGGACCCCCCGGCCCCTTGAAGCCTGTGAATCTGCAGGTGTACTGTCAGGTGATCATGATCAACCCGTGATGAAAGTCATGAAAGTCAACCACTCGCAACTTTAGAATGAGTGATCGGATGATGGGACTTTAAACCACCAAGGTCCTCAGATCATAACGTGTTCCCCCGAAACAGCGATATTAAACAAATGTTTGATTTCTTCTAAAGTTGCGATACACTGCTCTCAAATTGTCAAAATTTCAAGTTTCAACATCGATAAGGCAGAAGTCCTGAAAGATGAAGCCGATCAAACGCGGGCACATGGGCGCCCAATGAAATAACCCAAAACCAGGCACCTGGTTCGGCCGAGCCTGCAGTTTGTCCACTTGATCTCGCACTTAAGCCCCTTTCAGCCTTCGCACCGCCTATCCTGAATCGTCATTGGGATATAAGAGTTGCTGACCCACTACTTACTACAGCCCTACGTTGCTTTTTCCTCGGTTGACCCCTTGATAGGATCAGTGAGATTGATGTCCTGCACTTATGACAATTATGGATCCCTGATCGACATGATGTGGAGGGTCTGTTAGTGTGCCAGCATCCTTGTTTTCTTCAGGGTGCTTGTTTTTCTTAAAAGCTTTGTTTTCCAAGGTTCATTTTCATCCCCAACCGTGTCTCTTACAAGCTACGGGGTACCTGGCCCCCCGTGGTTAGTGGACTATACTCAGTGCCAGTTTATTCAACCCGTGCCAAAATGCTACTACGATTTATCTTGTCAACTTTGTGTCTCGTTTTGAGTGTCGCATCCGCAAAACACAGGCCGACGGTCTATCTCATTCGCCATGGTGAGAAGCCCGCAGACAAGAACGAGCATGGACTCTCGCCAGAAGGAGAGTTGCGCGCACAGTGTCTGCGACATGTTTTCGGCAAGCGCTCGGAGTATAATATCGGATATATCATAGCGCCACACACCAAGAGAAGTGAGTACATCTTCTTGGCACAACTGGTCTCCCGGTATCGCAGCAAAACCAAGTGAAATGACTGATTTGACAATGCAATCCTGAGTAGATGGCGAACACGGTCGTTCCCTTTTCACCGTCCAGCCGTTGGCCAAGGATCTCGGCCTGACGGTCGACACTCACTGCAAGCGGGGGAAGGTGAGATGCGTGGTGGAAGCCATTCATTCATACAAAGGACCGGGCAATATTTTGATATCATGGCGACATGGACCTATGGGGAAGATCGTGGAGGCGCTTGGGGATGGCGTGCCCATCGAGTATCCGGACGAGCGGTAAGTTGTTGGTTCATAATCTCTGTGCGACTTGGTAGTCTGGATGTCGTACGTGGGGATAATCCCTCGGGGGTTTTTCATGGAGGCCTTTATTGGCTTGCATTGCCCTGACGTGCCGGTGCTTGGTGTAGTGGATTTTAGCGCTGACTATCTCAGGTTCGATCTCATATGGACAGACCCATGGCCTTATGGGAAGGTAGTGGATATTGCGAGTGAAGAATGCCCTGTGCTGGACATAGAACCTGGTCTCGTGGACCAGTCTTGAACCTAGCACATTCAAATTTGCATTGTTTCTTTAAATTTGTCAACATTTGGTCTTGATTTTGAGTTAGTTCCGACAGTATGTTGAGGTTAGCTGTGAAATGGAGACATTGAATATTCCCGATAGCCCAGCCAAGTGTAGATAAGGCGCACTGGCCAAGTCAGAAAAAAAAATTAGGCGGTGAATGGAAGCGGAGACCAAAGTAGCGCCAAGATTTCCTCACCCCGAATTTTTCGTTGCGCTTGCCATTCAAGCTTCCCCCTCCAGATTGCAATTTCAGTCTACGGGAATAAATCATGGATGATATCGAGGTTTGTGAGCCCGAAAAATGTCCCGCCAGGATTGCGAGCTGACCACCCGCCCAGGAACGGCTGCGTAGTCATGCGCAGGCATTTGACGGCCTACTGTCCTTGATCCCCGCCAAATACTACTACGGCGAGGAAGATACCAGTGTATGTAGGCCCTTATCACACCGGGCGGCTCTCTGCTTTTGTTCATCCAATTCTCTGTTTTACAACACACTGCCCATCCTGAAGAATTCTGTCTGACAATCCATTCCACTTAACAGGATCAATGGCAACGCAAAAAGCAGACCAAAGAACAAGCCCGCGAAGCAAAGCGTGCGAAGCTGGACCCCGAGGCCGCTAAGACCGCCAAAGACGTGATGGATGAGAACGCTCGCAAGCGTAAGCGGGAGGATGGGACCCTCGAGTCCGACGGGTCCGACGGAGAGCTAGGCACAGAGAACCCCAAGGAGGGATTGAACCGCGGAACCGCCAACCCCAAGAAGCAGAAGCCTGTCGAAAAGTCTGATAAGGCAGACCCCGCCAAGGCAGCCGCCGCAGAGGAGCGCAGAAAGCAAAAGGAAGAGAAGAAGGTTCAAAAGAAGGCCAGCCAAAAGGAAAAGAAGAAGGCCAAGGATCTTGCACGCAAGGAAAAGACCCAGGAAAAGAAGCCGTCGACCACTCCCAATGAGGAATCGGAAAAATCTGCAACCAAGCCTAACGGCACTGCAGCGAAGGGTGATGAAGAGTCTGCGGATGAAGATGACGACGAAGAGGATGATGGTGTTGTCGAAGAGGGATTCTCTATCGAATTCAACCCCGAACAGGAAAACCCATCTACTTCCTCATCCACACCCCACTCCCCCGATGCCTCAAATCCCCAATCCGGCAGCTCTTCTTCCTCTTCCATCGTTCCCCCCTCCGCCTCCACCGAAGCCAAATCCTCAGAGCCTAAACCCCTCAAGCACACCCCCGAAGAGCTTAAGCAGCGGTTACAAAAGCGTCTGGACGAGCTCCGTGCCAAGCGCCACGCAGATGGCCTTAACGGCAAGCCCGCCCGCAACCGCCAGGAGTTGATCGAAGCCCGCCGCCAAAAGGCCGAGCAAAGAAAGACGCACAAGAAGGAGCTACGCCAAAAAGCCAAGGATGAGGAACAGTTGAAGACTGACGAGGCCATGGCCCGCCGTTTCTCCCCCGGTGGTTCTGGATCCCTACTTGCTTCTCCCCGCTCCCCCGCCGAGTCTGTTGGTTCAAACAGCAACAACTTCGCTTTCGGGCGTGTTATGTTCACCGACGGACAGCAGACCGATATCGCCGGTGAAGTCCGCGACAAGCACAAGTCCAGCGGTGCCCGTGACCCAGCTGCCCAGCTCAAGGCCGTCGAGGCCAAGAAAGCTCGCCTCGCTGAGATGGACCCCACCAAGCGCGCTGATATCGAAGACAAAGATCTCTGGCTGAACGCCAAGAAGCGTGCCCACGGTGAGCGTGTTCGTGATGACACCTCCCTCCTCAAGAAGGCTCTTAAGCGCAAGGAGACTGCGAAGAAGAAGTCCGAGCGCGAGTGGAAGGACCGTCTCGACACCGTCGTCCGCTCTAAGGAACAACGCCAGTCGAAGCGCGACGAAAACCTCCGCAAGCGCAGAGATGAGAAGGGCAACAAGGGTGGCAAGAAGAAGCCCTCCAGCGGCGGAAAGAAGAAGGCTCGTCCCGGATTCGAGGGCAGCTTCAAGGGTGGCGGCAAGAAGAAATGAGCAAGTCACTCACTCTTTTGATTGATTAGACTGATTTCACTTGTTGCTTAATTCTACATGCCCACCTTGTTCTATTCTATCCATTCTCTTTCTTTCATTTTTCTCTCTGCATACCCTTCAACAATGGTCTTCGTTTCCCAGATGTGGGATCCCAGAAACAAGATCGAATAACCAAAAAAAGTGTTTTGAGATGTCGAACTGGGAAATATCCTTCTGGAGATCAAGGTGCCTGGTGTTTGCGTTTGTGTCTTTGGCGGCTTGGTCCGTCAATTTATGTCTATGCATGACAGCATCGGTAGCGATTTGATTTACCTGTGAATACAAATATCATTTTCTTATCGGGCTGGATTGTATTTCTTGTCTATACATAATTCATGATCGCTACTTATGTATTTCTATGCTGCTTGTAGGGGACATCACCCCCATCACCCCCATCAGCCCTAATCCCCCTACATTTGCTATTGTCCCTTTCTCTCAGACCCTGGGCAGCGAATAACGCCATTCGCCTGATTCTTCGACCTGACCTCGATTCCAACTAGATATTGGAGCTTAGGGAGGACTGAAGGTATCTCCTAAGTCCACTGCATGCCCAGATGCCCATTATACCTACACTATTCCCGGGCCTTGCTTAATAAGGTCGCCTTCTAACGTCTCAGATGGCGATATGATGCCACGACAGTCGGCGTCGACACTGGCGTCAACACTGGCGTCAAAGCCAAGACATAAAAGATCAAAGGTCTTATAGCTCGATGAATCAAATCTACCATAGAGACTTTTTTGATGACTGCAGGTCAAGATACGTAGTACAAGAAGTTCGATTGGTGACGTAGCGGCAAATGGGGCTCTATCAGACAAGTATCGGCATTAAGACGATTAGCATCAACTCCGAGGGAACGTCGACTACTACCCGGGTCCCCGGTCCATTGGCCCCCGAAATCTGCGTCTTCTAAAATCCTTCGAGAGATTCCTAATTCCAAATCTTGCAGAGTTGAGGCCAAGTCGATCCTCTCTGTGATTTTCTGTGACTGTCACGAGTTGTTGAAGGATGAAGGGGAGCACAGCCCTGATTGGTTTGAGAGACATGACCGGTCCAAACATATTATATGTAGGAATGAATCAGAGAGAAAAGTGCTAGATTCCAGAACATAGGAGACAAACAGAGACAAAGCAGTCATTCCAAGGGATAGTTTCCCTTGTGAGTTGACTAATACAAGATGATAACACAGTCGAGGGCAAGTTATGTACAGTTGGTGTGATGGGGATTCAATATCTTGTTTTTCGAGACACAAGTGATGCCTCGTGAATGGGTATTCAAATCAGTGATACGCCCGCATGTGTGCGTGGGATACACGCATTGAGCCGAAAATCCTGATCAATGGGACGTAATTTATCGGTAAGGAGCATCCGCGCGAGCAGAAGCCGCAATCTCGGGCTCCCACTTGTCACCGTTAGAGAGGAGCTTCTCCTTGTTGTACAAGAGCTCCTCACGGGTCTCGGTGGCGTACTCGGCGTTGGAAGCTGAAGCTGTATTAGTACTTGGATTCCAATTCGTATTGTGGCCTGAAACTCACTCTCAACGATGGCATCCACGGGGCAACTCTCCTGGCAGTAGCCACAGTAGATGCACTTGGTCATATCAATATCGTAACGGGTCGTCCGGCGGCTACCGTCCTCACGCTCCTCAGCCTCAATGGTAATGGCCTGAGCGGGGCAGATGGCCTCGCAGAGCTTGCAGGCAATGCAGCGCTCCTCACCGGTGGGATAACGGCGGAGAGCGTGCTCACCACGGAAACGGGGGGAGATGGGTCCCTTCTCGAAGGGGTAGAAGATAGTGTAACTAGAAGACGCATGCGGTGAGTCGATGTACGAATTGTCGATGCCATTGGCGTGTACGGAGAATGGTCCGCACCGCCGACTCGGGTTGTGGGGGTACCTACGGTGGTCTGAAAAACTGCTCCAGCACCACGTACATGCCGCGGAAGATCTCGGCCATCAGGAAGTATTTGCTGGCCTTGTCGAGGGCGGACTCATCGCCTTGATCCCAGCGCTTGGGCGGGGGCAGGCGGAAGCCGGCCTGAGGGGGTCCCACTGGGGTTGCTGCGCGGATTGTCGAGGACGAGAAGTTTGCGGTTGAGCCCAGCAAGCCGAAGGGAGTCGGCCGGCGGTAGGCGACTAGCCTCGCGACCGATCGGGTGGCGGCCATGGTTGAGAGAGTGAGGGGGATGGGGAGTTGGAGGTTCAATTGGAGGTAGTGAAAGGGAGCAAAGGCGAGGTTGTGGTAGTTTGCAGGTTTCGGGCTTAGGTCATTCCTTTCTGTCGGGATGTGATTGGCCCGCAGGATTTTGCTGGGCGCGACGACCTCTTCCACTTCTGCCCGTCTCTTCCCCCATTACCCTTTTTGCTCTCTCCACCCTTCCTCTTTTTATATCCCATTTGCTACATCTTTCTAGCCTTCGCGCTTAATTCCACCTTCCCACAATGTTCCGCTCCGCCATTGTCCGCTCCCTGAGGGCCTCCGCTCCCCGTGTCGTCAAGACCCCGGCTCCCTTCCACATCCGCAGCTCCCCCATTGCTGCCATTCCCCAGTTCACTCCCTTCCAGGGTGCCCGTCTCTACTCTGCCCCTGCCGGTCTCTCCAAGAACGAGGCTGAGGGTCGCATTGTCAACCTTCTCAAGAACTTCGACAAGGTGCGTCATATTGTTTTCCCCGGGGAAACTCGCCATTCCTCGGCTATGGACGAAATATCCAAAAAACACAAACATTGTGCTAACTGGCTTTCTTTTCATCCACAGGTCTCCGACGCCAGCAAGGTCAGTTAACATGCCGGATGCGATGTCCTAACCCTTCACAGCTATGAGCTATGGGAGAGGCGACACAAAAGATTCATCAACTAAAATATCGCAATTTTCAGATCAACGGCGCCTCACACTTCTCCAACGACCTCGGTCTGGACAGCTTGGACACTGTTGAGGTCGTGATGGCCATTGAGGAGGTATGCGACCGGTTTCCCTCGGAAAAACCATTCGACATCCCGTGACAGCATCTAACCGATATAACAGGAGTTCAGCATTGAGATCCCCGATAAGGAGGCTGACCAGATCCACAGCGGTAAGTCATGACTCGATGCATAGATCGTCAAATTGACCCAATGGAACTGACATGAATTGTGTGTATAGTCGAGAAGGCTGTTGAGTACATTCTGGCCCAGCCCGATGGTGAGTTTTCCATTAATGTTTGATCTCTTCTACATTCACTGACTGTTTTTCAGCTCACTAAACACCTAATTGGAAACTTGGGAATCTGGAGAATTGGATAGAAAATAATCGGGATGTTAGCATCAGCGGGGTCATTGACCATCACCCTTACCTGATATGCTATTCTGTATGCTGAAATACATGCCAGTGGTTTTTCTTTCCTTTATCGTGTATATCATTTGAATGCAATTTGTGCAATTTTGACGCAGCCATGGCCGGTCATATGTCAGAGAGGTGTCGGTGTCTTATGTCTAGGTTAAGAGACCGATGTCCAGAGCTCTGGATATACCAGGTTCAACATTTATGGGAGTGTCTTACACTTGCCAACGTAGGCCACCAACGCCTAGATCGGACAATCACCCGTGTGTCGTAATATCGTAGCTTGAGGGGTACGCATGCGCCCACTGTTAGCTTTAAGAAACCACAAACAATTATTAAATGAATATAAGCAGATCTAAGAAAAATGCCAAGCAAATTATAATCGCAATTTCAAAGACAATCTGTACCAAGCAAAAAAAGAGAGAGAGAGCAATAGTTCAAGAATAGGAGATCATAATCTCCGTTCGGGTGTTAACCGCATTCGAGACCACATCGCCTATCATCCTTTCAACAACTACTCCAGACCATCGTCACTTTGGATCTTTAAGTCCCCAAATATCAACCCGAAAACATCGTTTGGGCTAGTCCACTCGGTCCCTGGTTTCCCCTGACACCGAGTCCCACTTCGACACTTTCGGTCACGGTCCCTCCCAGCATTTAACAACCACCCTGGCGACCGAACCCCCAAATCGCCATATAGATCGGCGTTGAGTTCTGGTCACATCCGGCTCGCTACCTTCCTCTCCGACCCCCTTTCGAACCTCTCCTCCCCGACCCGGTTTCCTCATGGCCACACCAGCCGGGGGCTTGACTCGCCGCAGAGGCGCTGGTCGAGTCGCTGGTACAGACGAGCAAGATGACAGCCGAGTGTCATCGCCAATCTCGCGCAATGGCTCAGCCATGGATAACCGCGGACCGGAGACCTCATTCACCAGCGCCGAAAATGGTCACAAGATCGCGTTCGACCCCCGCGACATCAGCGAAAATGAGGAACGAGGCAAGCAGCCTAAACTGACCCTGATGGAGGATATCTTACTGTTGGGCTTGAAGGATAAACAGGTGAGTTTTGACAGAACTCAATTGTCTCGATTACCGGGCTCCGATCGCTGACTGCCCGCACTACAGGGTTATCTGTCTTTCTGGAATGAAAACATCTCTTATGCCCTACGAGGGTGCATTGTCATTGAGCTTGCTCTTCGCGGGCGTATTAGCATGCAGAAGGATTCGTCGCGGCGACGCTTCCCCCTGGCCGACCGCGTCATCGAGGTCATCGACGATACATTGACTGGGGAGGTCTTGCTGGACGAGACACTGAAGATGATGAAGTCGAGCGAGAAGATGAGCGTTAACTCATGGATTGATCTGCTGAGTGGTAAGATTGGCGAGAGTTGTAACCCATCGATGCAACTACTGACAACCTGGTAGGCGAGACATGGAATTTGATGAAGATCGGATATCAATTGAAGCAAGTCCGGGAACGACTGGCCAAGGGCCTGGTGGATAAAGGCATCCTCCGAACCGAAAAGCGCAACTTCCTGCTATTTGACATGGCGACACATCCCGTGGCCGACGGCGGCGCGAAAGAAGAGCTCCACCGCCGGGTGCGCAACATCTGTAGCAACCGCACCGTGATCATTCCTCCCAGCCCATGGCTCCCCGAAGACTCCGAGTACCGATACCTGCGTTCAATCACAATGGTCTGCGCCGCATACGCCGCCAATGTTTTGGAAAATGCTCTGGTCACCATGAGCCATGAGGCCCGGGAAAGAGCGTTCGCGCAAGTGGATGAGCTGTTGGCAGAGTACTCACAATGGCCATTCGGCCGGAGGGCTGGCGGTTCCCAGGCGATCGGAGCCAACCTGGCTCAGGCTATCAATGAGGAGACCACCAAGAACAAGGACAGAGAACTTCAGATGGAGGTAAGTTTCGAGAACCCGACAACGTGAATGCAGCCTAACTAATGGGTGTAGATTGTCGCCGCATGCTTGAGCGTTTTTACCAGACTTGATTCCTTACTTTAACCGATTACCGCGTTCCTAATACACTGTCTTTTGTTCCACTTCTTCGAAACCAACTTGGTTTATTTCTTTTTTTTTTCTTTGGTGTGTAGTTTCGGACTTGACAGAGCGTCTCTCTATGTGGAAACGTCAAAAATTCACTCTTGTATGGGATATTCACCATGTTTGATCTACTTTCTCCCCTTTGTTTTACTTCTTTTGACTATGTTTATTTTGCTCTTAGGGACATGCCGTTCATAACGTCCAGCGGGGGTGGCTCTAAAATCATACAGATTTTGTTTATTCTCTCTCTCCAGATTTATACAAAACTACAAAGCACGACTGCCTGGAATCATTGAACCTTGACAACAACCATATCTCCCCGTAACCCTCCAGCAGTCCCAGCAGCACCAGCCGCCAAAAGGTCTGCGCCTCTCGCAATATCCACGATCCTCGCCTCTTTGGCCCGAACAAGATTTTCCTCTATCAGCTCTCCAATCCTTTCAATGGCCGGTCCATCGGGATTGACAGGGACAAAGCGACTTCGAATCCCCCTTTTCCTCTCCCCAAGCTCATCATTCTCGGGAACAAGTGGCGACTGCAATGCAACCTTAGCATCCACAACCGTCAACACGGCCCCGTGGTCTTTCACAACGCCGGCCGCATGAGCTTGCCGAAATACTTCGCCACCAGCACAGTCAAGCACGATATCAACCGGGTGCCAACGCCGTGCGCGAAACACTCTTGATATGTTGCACTCATCGGCGGAGGGAAGATGCGGGATCACAATGATTTCATCCACCTTCCAGTCTCTCTCGATTATATCGGCCTCAGGGGGTGTGCAAGTGACACAGATCCAGGGCCGGACTTGGACTGGGAAGAGGGTTTCAGCACGCAGCATTTGAACAGCAATACGGCCAATTTCACTGTCTCGGGCATTGGTGACCAGGACCCGGATTTTGGGCGGCTTTCCTTTGCCCTCATTGGTGTTGGCGTTTGTGTTCACAAGACTTCCCAGACGGCCATTCTTGTCCATGCGATTGAGCAGGCTGAGACGCCTAGTGCCGGTCGTACTGGAACCCGAGCCGGCTGAACTGGTAGTGCCAGGGTCGGTTTGGGGATTGCCGCGCACCAGGTTGATCAGGCTGGCGCGGCGGACGCTGTTCTTTGGATGTGGGTCAATGGTGCTGGCTGCGCGGGGAGCTTTGCCGGTGGCTTTCGGTGTTCCACTGACAAGACTCGCTAGGCTTTCTTTGCGCACATTTCCATTGGCTTTAGCACTGGGGTTCGTCTCTGGGTTTGGATCGAGCTTGCTAGCCGCGCGAGGCAGGTCATCGATGTTCACAGTACCCCCAGAGTTCGCACCGCTTGCTTTGTCGTTGAGAATGGTATCTCGACGATTCCAATGCCAGATCCAATGCCCACTTTGATCCCCGGTACTACCACTGGCATTGTCGTTGGCGGTGCCGCTGCGCTGTTCCGCTCCACTGTCAACATCACCGGGACTCTTACGACTGCTCCTTCCACTCATGCCAGTCCCAGCCGTGCTCTTGCGATGTCCGTATCCATAGTCCATGCTCCCGAGCACTGTATCCCGCCGCTTGCGCTGCCATTGCCACCGCCCAGTACCATTGCCACCTTGCCCAAACTCTTCGTCGTCCTCATTCAATCCACCCGGCACATCGGGATCGAGCCCCGCGTACCGGAAGAGCGCCTGCCAAGCAGTTAAAGCAGGCAGAGCTATTGCTGCACCCTCGGCAATCGAGATATTGTCCGGTTTGGGCGCCAGCTCTTTCTCAGTTGCAACGGTGTAATCAGCAGCTCCGCCATCGCGAGTATAGCTCAAGAGACCGAAGACCAGATCTCCGATCCTGAACCGCGGACCTTCTTCCAGCTCGTCGTCTTCACGGGGCGTACTGACCACTGTACCGCAGATGCTGTGCAGTGGGATTTGCGGAGAGGTTATTGGTGGATTGAGAGCTGTGGCAAGACGGATCTCGTCGTGACAGAAGGCTGCAGCGTGTACTTTAAGTAGATACTGCTGGGGCAAGGGCTGGGGGGTTGGATAGCTTGCGTCAAGGACGAGGTTTGTTCCTTTTTTGCGGATGATGTTGGTGCTTGAACTAGGGGAGAGGATGTCACGGACATCCCCCTCCGGGATCACTTCGGGAAGATAATGGTTTTCTCCTTCTGGGATATAGTACAATGCTCGCATTGACAGCGGCGTGGAGGCGGTGTCATTGAGACTCGTGGTGGTGTGCTTAGTTGATAGGTTGATGGATTGTTTTGCTGACTCCTTGCCGAGTGGCTTCGTCGACGGATTGGCAGAGTGGTTTGTCGACTCTCCCGGTGATAAACTTGATTTTTTCGTCGACTGCCTCGGCGTGGGTGGCTCCGAGGGCCTCTTCCCGGTCTCGGGGTCCACGATGGGCTGTGTCGCTGGTATGTCTGGGTGCAGACTAATGGAATTGGGTTCTTGGTGCATTTTCACTGAGGAATAACCTTGTAGACTCGTAAAATCTACTGGGATAGAGGGTCTATGGCTGCATATTAATAGCAAACGGGTGTTTTGTTCGCCATCTACATGTTGCCATCTATATAGATCGGGGGCTAATTCCTAATCTTGACGTATGTAGATCTTGGCTCGGGGTCGCCACAGAGCAATTCCGAGGAATTCCTTTTCAATAAATACACTGAACTCTTCCCTTTATATCAGTTTAGGATATGAGCCCAGGCCAAGTGGTGGCTAATGAATGACTCGAGGCAAATTTGAGAAAACACCGAGACCATCTAGGAGTCGCCCCAGGCTCAGCTTTGAAATGGATAAGTAGTTCTCAAATTGACTCATTAATGCAGTGGCCTCAAGCCTCAATATGTACAGTACTTAAATAGTTAAAAATCCTGATCCTCCATCCCGAGTCCGTCAACAAAATCATATAATTCCCTCGGATCCTCGAAAACGGTCCAGATGTGACCGGGGACATTCTCAAAAGCCTTCTCAAATCGCCCTGGCTCATTCTTGTCTTCCATATGAGCTACATCAAGCACCTTGCGAATCGCAATGGCGTGAATCCACCCTGGATACTTTGCGTACATCTCGGCATAAGCCTCGGGGTCTTTCTGCGTCGAGTCCCCAATGCACAGCACCCTCCGACGCGGGAACCAGCCGTGAATCTTCTCCATGCGATCAACCTTGTACTCCTGCGTCTTCTCTGTGAAAGACTTGATCAGCCCCGTGATATCCATCCAGGAATAATCACGTAGAATCAACGTGCCGGGACAGTAATGCTCATGCAGGAAATCATATAAGAATGGGTACAGGTTATACGGCGATGCAGAGAGGTAGAACCATGCAGGGACAAGCTCGGCATCGAGATACTCGTATAAATCAGGCATACCCTCGATCGGCTCCGGCACATCTGCAAATGTGGTCTGAATGATGCCCGTCGGTTCGAGTGTCAGGGTGCGTTTGATCGTATCGTCGATGTCGGAAATAACCAGCCACCCCTCTGGAGCAGCGAAGGTCGTATGCATTGATACCATTTGATCGCCGAAATCGTGTAGCCGAGGTCTTATCACTGCCCCATCTTCAACGCCAAGGTGACCCATCTCGAACGTTTGGCTGATGATACCATTGCGGTCGGATGGGCCTAGACTGTGTGTCTGCACCGGTCTAGAAATGGGAATCTGAAGAGTCACCGTACGCGAAGGCGAGACGGCGTCCAGGAAGGGCTGAATGCGTTGCTCGATGCGCTTACGGGCTTCTTCGTGACCGCCGCGCTCGCCATCTAGCCCAATCTGGTCGGCGATCAGAGCAACGATCTTGCCTATGTCTTTCCTGCCTCCTTTTTCGAAGAGACAGGCGACGACTTCGGCATGCCACGATTGGTTCTCGCCTGTTTCATCGTTTACGGGCTGGTACGCTGTGTTGTCAAACAGCCACACGGTGTTCTGGTGTGGGTCTGCGGGTTGCGCCAGCGGGTTCTTTGAGCCGAGGATGGATGCAAAGAAGCTCATAAACGTGGAACCCCGTCTTTCTGTCGGTGATGTGGGAGTCGTGGGCTCTGATGGCCCCTGGGGGGCTCTTTTGGCCTCTGCGACCGCTGAATCTCCGTGCGACATGGTCAACTTCACATATGGTGAAGTTAGAGCACTTAGCAGATTGTGTCCACGACACGAATACGGCGTATTGGAGTAGACGGGGGAAAGTTAGTTTTATTCGGGAAAACTTTCCAAGTAACACATGTCCGAGTGCAAAGAAACGGGGAATTCATAAGGGGAAAACGAAGATCATATAGCGTTTAGCTGGCGATCTGTTAGTGACCGTTAGTGCCATCCGGTGCCCACCAGCCAAGGAGCCTCTATTCCGCCTGATGTTGCCTCGTCGCATTTGAGGGTGTTCGTGTGGCTATTTACGAGGTTGCGACAGATCGTGACTTTTCTTTAGAGCGTGCTACTGACAGGTCAGTCGATCGGGTCAGGCGAGACCAACACTGGCAGGATGGGCTTGGCGGTAGGGCTGAGCTCCCTGAACTGCTCCGATGAACCGGTTGTCATTTTCCCCATCAGTTCCAGCTGATTTGCAGGACGTGAACTGGTGTGAATTGCCAGGGTTTGCAGACTCGGCTCACGTATGTTGTCATGCGGGCCAAGCCGAGGCAACTTAATTCAATTGTCACGGAACTCCGCCCTGATGGCTTCGCGTCTATAGGAACTCACCAGGTCTTGTAGTGAGTTGAATGACAAGTTGTGATATCGTGATATTCAAATTTCCAGAGCGCACTGTACCCGGTCTATATTTTCTATATTTTCTAATGTCCAGGCCAACTGTGGGCCGCGGTCCAGATAGCTTATATGGTACAAATCACTCTTGAATAGGGAATCCATATCCAACCAGCATGGCAGGCTCATCAATGATGTGGTGCTGGTAGCTGTAGTGAAACGGGGTCAGTTGCAGGGTCATGAAACAGGCGGAACATTCATACCTGAGGACACCCACGGCACCGGGGTCAAGCATGAGCGAAAGAGGGAACTCCATAGGGTAGCCCAACCAGCGCTTGGTAAAGGCACGGAGCAAATGACCATGGGCAACAAGCACGATATCAGAGGGGTTCTCTCCGTGCATGTTGTCCTTGTGGGCAACCCGAATCTCACGAATGAGGTCATCAATGCGATCTGTGACCTCCTGTGCGGACCTAGATTCAACCATTCAGCACATGTACACAGGTGAATTGACTAGATGGAAAGGGAAGAAAAACACTTACTCGCCACCCTCACAACCATCTCTCCAAATATCCCACTCTTGCTCGGTGTCAAGACCGTGCTCCTTTCGTAAGGCACGGATCTGCTTGGTCAACAGACCTTCATATTCACCATAGCCCCATTCGGCCAGTCTTTCGGTCTCAGAGACCTTGTTAGCGTCCCTGAGAGCCTGCTTGTCGGCATCGGAGAACGCAATGTCGAAAGTCTGCACCGCTCGCTTACGAGGGCTGATGTAGACGTGCGACAGCTTGGACGGGTCAATCAGTCTTCCTGATCCGACGATCATCTTGCCAGATGCATTGACTTGATTCACACCATCTTGAGTGAGCTCAAGCTCGGTGATACCAGTGTACCGTCCGTTCTTGGACCACTCCGTTTGTCCTGCAAATTCCTGATTAGACCGCAGAGCCTTGGAAAGCACTATCTCAGTTTTACTTACCGTGACGGTAGAGGAAGACACGAGGGGTGCTGGAGTCTTTGTCGGGCATCTTGATAATTTGATATCGAGGGTGATGTCTGGAAGAGCGGGCGGGATGGCGGGGAGAAAAGGGTTCCCGCCTCGGTGAACTTTCTCTTCACCGGTTATTGCCACGGATATCACCACCTGGATTCTCGCATTGATGATAGAATTCACTGCAAACTAATAAAGTGCCTACATAGTATACAGTATACTCAGTACATTGGTATGTGGCATTGGAAACATGCCCCCCACCGCGGGGTTGTAAAGCGGGCAAGTCGTCATTTGTCGGGAATAAATTTTGGATGTGTACAATTGTTGAAGTAGAAATTCATCGACGGACTGCACTGTTTAGATCTAGTCTGGAATATAGCAGAGTAAGATAGCATACATACTTTTTACATCCTATCAAAGCCATAGTTTCCAGTCGCGTTGCCCAAGGGGGCAAGGGGTTTGAAGACATTTGCATCATCCCAATCTATAGTGACCACTTAATGTCTCGGAGCGTCGTGTAGAGTAGATACTGAGAGGCCAGAGACATGCAAGAAGTACCTGACGTACATCATCTCCCTGCGGTACCTACGGTACCTTGCATATATCCGACTCAGTGTTCAACTAGTAAATGATCATCACCCTTGCATATGAACAAAGCACGTACATCCTCAGATCTTGTTGACTTTATTTCTCTCCAAGGAACCCTCTACAAGACAGCACTCAATATCCAGCAAAGAAGAAAATATACACAACCTCGAACACGTCTGATTTGTGCTTGAAACTCGAGAAAGACAGCAGGTATACGACCCAAACCCTGCGAAATGTGTAGAACCAATCGAGCTAATACAGGCTAGTACTTCCCACCATGCCTTCGACGATCTCATCCATGCTTCCTACACCATGCACTCAAACTCGACCCCGATTCCGCGCTACATACAGTCGGAGACGTCGAACAACCCGGGCTCTCGTCCGTCCTGTCTATACCAATGAAAATCCGTTTATCTGCCACACCTCTTCGCATTCGTTGACGCATTCAAGACCCCAGCATCACTCTGTCGACTGTCCTCGCTGTAATAGACACCACAGCGTAAGCTTCTGCAAACAAGAAGGCAACAATAAAGCCCCGACAGTTGGGCTATGAAACTACCTCTCATAATCGGTCAAAGTGCTTCTGTCTTTTGGTTATTTTTTTCCCTCATGTACTATCTTCTCGTTTGATCATACTATTTTTCAATGAAATTGGCAACAAAGCTCAACATGCGGAGCAGCCTCTAAACCTTTTCATTGTATCTATCTTCTATCTATCTTCTGGATGTTCACTGCGTTGTATAGTTGCCATTTGGAATGATATGCATATCACAACCAGTCTTTTAAGTATCCTCACTATAAATGCAGCTTTTTGGTACCATGGTACGCTCAAACAGAAATCGTTCTAGTCTTGTGTCCGTTCCAGTGAAATGAAAATAGAAACCAAGACATACGAAGAGGCTCATAACGCAAGAAACTTGACTCTCAATCCAGGATCGGAGCAGATCCAAGGATCCAAGTATACATCCAAGCATATTGAACCATTGAAAAAAACCCCATTTTCATCTATATGGGATCGTTTGGCTATCTGAGAGTCTGTTGATCAGCCGAGGGCCAGTCAATAGGTCTTTGCATAGTAAGACAGTTCAGACCTACAAGCAATATTGCGGATGCCGCATCTAGAGTAAACAAAGGAACTAAAGACCTAGAAAAAGGTAAACGTTTGACCTGATGTTGAAGTTGGAAGCCAAATGGCCTAATCGAGAGACGGAGCCCTGTAGCTATGCTCAGCTGTTCTGCGTTCACCTACGTTTACCTTTCCAAACACCTCTGAAAAACGCAACTTCATTCTGATTCTATTCTTTGTTGACGTGACGGCTCTCTATCTCTTTCAAATCCTAATACGGCGACTGGAGCCATGTCTTCCCAGCCTTTAACCCTACCAGGCATAGCCGACATGGACCCAATCGAGATGAGAAGGCAGTCCAAGGTGATCTCACAAGACATCCAGCAGCAGGAAAGCCGAATTTTTGTGCTCCACGAGCATAACAAACGCATGAGTCGCCTTCTTCGTAGCGAAGCTGAGCATATCCAACTGTCCCTGTCCCTCTTCCAGACCAACGGCCCCGCCCTGTCTCAATCTATCGAAGACCTGAAAGTCACCGCAAACAAGTACTCGGCATTCAGGGAGGAGATGAGGCAGCAGGAAGATTTGATACTGCGTCTTGCCAAGTTCTGCGAGGCTTCGTTTGGTCGGTTCGATAAACACACTACCCAAATGCTCACTGTGATGGACCAGCAAGCGGCGACAATCCGGGCCCTGGAATCCGAGAACAGCGATCAAAAAAGAACAATCTGCGAGTCCAATTTCAAGCAATCGGCGGCGGAGTACAGATGTCAAGAGCAGGCGAGGATCACCCAAGAACAGACCCGAGTCGCTGCTTCCATGGAGTCGAAACTCACCAAACTGAAAGAAGTCCTCAACAGGTCCGCACATGTGATGCTTCAGGAGCTGGACTATCAAGATGAGTTGATCGATAATCTGCCTGCCAACGCGGAATTCTTCCAACCATCCCACCGAACGATGACTGACATGGTCGAGAACATTGAACACTGGACCGCCGACGACGCCGACAACGAGATGACATTCGAGATTGAACTGGAACCTGATCTCCGGAAGAAGATCTCTGGACTCAAAGATACGATCGACCTCCAGTCTATGAAGCTTGATTACCAGAAGCGTAAGATCGCCGAGCAGACGAAGATCATCGGTGAATTGGAAGCCCAGAATCGAAAGCTGGGTGCGAATCTTGAAGAGGCGGAGCTCGAAGTTGTCAACTTGATGGAAAAACAGTGCCCAAACGATGAACCTGCGGAGAGGTCAGCGACTATGTGAGTTTCTTTGCGGGGCGTCAATGAGGTCAGTAACCATGCCCCAGTGAAAGCCGTCACGGTCTCTAATTCATGGCTTTATCAGCGCTTGAGACCATCAGTTATCTTTACAAGGACTGCTTTTCCTCGAACACCGGAACTCAATATCAATACTAAGGGTCGACATGGGCGTGAGGTCAAATTTCATTGATATTCTGGAGTTTGAGAGACGAAGAATGCTGGTATTACTTACACATTTGCTTCGAATAATGCTGGATTTAGCGATGCAAAGCGACGGTGACCTGGTTGCTTTGCTTTACGAACAAGTCCTTTGAATCTTTGCTTTTGCTACGCTGTCATGTCTCAAATTACCTTTGTGTATCTAGCCGACATACTGCGGCCATTATGATAGTCAAAGCTTTGATTGATTTGATGAACTTGTTTCTTTGTTTTTGATGTAATCCATCCTTTCTGCTGTAACTCAGCAACGATAATGAAATGTCCATATGTGGGTATGTCATTTACTCATGAAAAGTCAATTTGCAAGGCGTGTAGCATAAATATGAACCTCTGCAGGAGAGATATCCCTAGGAGAAACGGGCGTAGCTGCATAGGGAGACATCAAGGTCAAAAGCTGAGGTTCCCTGATCTGACAAAAGTGCACTCATGAAGGTAGGTCTCAGGTTCAACAGATGATACCCACCGAGGCAGGTCGGGTAGCGCTGACGTTGTCCTCTGGATTTGGATAGCAGCAGACCCGGTAGGAGGCCTTGCTTGACGAAAGAGTGTGGGTGCATGGTGCCCATAGACGAGGATATCACCATCTTTTCGGGGCGGAGATCTCAGCCCTAGAGAATGAACCAGTCACAGTCTCCTTTGCTCGCCGTTGTTGGATTGCCTTGATCCCAGTACGATCAGTGACAGTGGTTGCATTGATGATATTGTCGAAAGCCTCATCCTCACTTCCTGCCGAGCCAGACTCAGCATCCGAGTCAACGTACACCTGTTCCGGTCGAGAGATCTTTTCCGGCTGTTGCTTCTCCTCTTCTTCGGGGTTTTGGAAAGATTTCGAGTTCAGGATCTTTTGCCGAATCTCGGCCATCTGGGCCTCGTCCTCTGAGTCGTCAGAAATCGCAAAGGGATCTTTGTCCTCTTCTTCCTCTTCGTCGCTGTCCTCTTCGTCGTCCTCGTCTCCACTTTCGTCATCTGACCCCCGTGCAGGCATGCGGTTGGTATTTCCAGTTGTCCAAATATCATCGCCTCCCTCGAGGCGGTTGTCTTCGTACTCTTGCTCGATTTTGGCAAGCCAGTCCGTTTCGGCTTTCTTGACTTCTTCTTCGGTGGCACATGCAGCATAGCGTGCCAGGAGCTCCTTGTTAATATCCAAGAATGCAGCTCCATAGCTAAAATGTCTGAGGATGTCTTCCGCCCACTCCAAACGGCCGCAGATTGCAAAGCAAGCGGCGAGCGCTTCGACACAGTTCAACCTCCATGGTTTTCCGTAGTTGACAGTATTAGCGGCGATGAGGTACGGAACTATAAGAACTCAATGTCAGTCTCCGACGAATGCTGGTCATATGTTTCGAAGCGTGTCACGTACGAAGTCGTTCACATTTTCCGCCGATCCGTGACCAGGGCACTTCTTGAACTCGCACCCAAGAGCATTCCACTACAGCCACACCGAATTGTTCCATGGTATCCTTGTCGGCCGGGGAGACGATTCGCTTGGCATTTGGACTAGTCAATGGTCAGTATACACATTGTAGCCATGGTGGGGTAAGATGCGACATACGAAACGATCACACCAGGGTGTCGCTGGCCAACATGAAGATCCCGCATTAAGCCCAGTTTCATCAATCGCTTTCCAGAGCAGCGCTTAGGGTCACAGTGTCCCATGTCCCAGCATGCGGCTTTATACGCAGGCCGCGACGAGCCTGCACCTTCTCCATCATCGCGGGGTCCTGGCCGAGGGCGGGGGTTGTTGGATTTCTTGCCTCCTCGTGAGAAGTTGTCTTTCTTGTGGCGGACCATTTTGAGTTATATGAGTGTATTGGCCGTAGATAGGCGTATGTTTGTGAAATGCGAAGATAAAAAAAAAGATCAAGGTCAGCGCCACACGTGCGGGTTCTCCGCCCTCAAGAACTCGGGTTCATATCGTGACTACTTAGATTTCATGTGTAAATATGGGGGTTTGGCTGGTTTCTTAACTACTTGACTGGGCTTTCAATTGCGTTTTAGAAAGGGTTTATCTGATTCTTCATGTGCGCTCTGTTTTGCTTCTCTTCCAATATCTCCAGGTGCATCTACTCCATAGCAAAGTTCTACTCCCGAATGCTCGCCGCTCAAAAACGAATCGTTGATTGATCTTTGGTTTGTGTTTCAAATTACTCATCCTGTCTGACTTCCCAGCAGTTAATTGCCGGTTCACTTATCATGTCAATCTACCAGACACATGCTTTACACCTCAGTATGTGCTTTTCGGTTTGCCGATGGCCCAATTGCATGCTAACGATCTCAATCCATAGATAGTGACTGTGACTAGCGTGCTCGCGATCATGCCGATTGCAGACAGCAATTCTGGGGCTTGATGGCATTTATTCTTGCCTTGCCAAAGTCTCTCATTCTGATTTCCAGGTTACTGACACCGGGCCCCTTGCTGTCGCAGAGTACCAAGTACTTGTAAGCCGTTCAAGATCGGTATCTGGGGTTAGCAACTTGACACGATATGGGTTTGCGATTGAAGTTCTTTTCAACGGGGTAAAACGCTCCGAATTGCCGATACATCGGCTCCGGTATCACCACGACGTTTTCTGAACAGTGCCTTTCTCCAAACTTCGGAGTTTCCCGCAGCCGGTCATGGTCCATGCCTTCGAAGTTGGCTGGCGGGTTCGAGGTTCGACGAACTGACGTAAATTTCCATCGTTTTCAAACCCGTGATATCCTCTCAAGATCGGTGTTTCCCACCGGCCGAGAATGTTTGAAACAAGCCTGGAGAGACGTCTTGGTGGTATTGCCGTTATGGAGTGGTCAGTCACTTGCGACAAGTCGCATCAAGATCTACCTTGGCTTCGGCAGAAGTAAAAAGGGGTTAAGATCAAACCGAGGAGCTAAGGCAGTCAGATTCCGACACTGTGTTTATGACCTCTGTCCATGATTGCTGGCACAGGTATGTACTCCCTCTCGGAAGGTACTTCTCCCTCCCGACCTGCTAGTTTTCTTCTTGCATGTCTCTCCATCTTTGATGTATTCGTTTGGTAGACGATAGAATTACTAACTGAGAGTTTTCCAAATGTGGACTTTACTCTGCAGTAGCGCGGATATTTTCGTGACTGAAGAGCGGATTGCTAGAGCTGAAGAAGTGGTTTTGGATTTTGGCCTCGGGGAGTGGCTAAGCTGAGGACCCAAGCAGAGAGTCCATGGGCATTGAAGATAAGTTTGGAAAGAGTGGAGGGCTGACGGGACTTGGAGAAGTAGAAGTTGAGAACGTGGAGGTGAAAGAGGGGTATCACGTGATTGACGGTGGTTGATTGCGCATACGTACCAGTAGTGAAACTATACGAGTTCGCCTTTTGAGATTACTGCGTTACGCGAATTGTCCCTTTTGTTTCTCGGCAAATACCTCCTTTCTATCCTGTTCCATCGACCACCGCCAACCTGGAGGCAGCCTCAGCACGAATGGCGGCTAGGGACCGCTTCGGTGCCTACGCTGAACCAGGCCTGTCACCGTTGCAACGGGCAATCCGTGAGCTTTGTTTTGAGACCGTGACACAAGTGGCTCAGACTAATTCCATATAGGAAATGCCTGCGACCCCCAGAACTACGAGCCCAACTTGGCCCTCAACCTTGAAGTTACGGACCTGATCAACACCAAGAAAGGCAATGCGTGAGTACGGCCAACCCGCAGTGCATTGCGCATACTTACAATCCTGTTTCACAAGACCTCGTGAATCGGCATTCGACATCGTTCATCTGATCAATTCTCGGAACCAAAATGTTGCGCTGTTGGCGTTGGCGGTACGTGGGGATCTCGAAAGAGAGACGCGGGGAAAGCTGACGTTGCTATTTCTAGCTACTCGACATCGCCGTCAAGAACTGCGGATATCCCTTCCATCTCCAGATCGGTACAAAGGAATTCTTGAATGAATTGGTGCGCCGGTTCCCCGAGAGGCCGCCCATGCGGCCTTCCAGGGTCCAGCACCGCATCTTGGAGTCGATCGAGGAGTGGCGGCAAACAATCTGTCAAACATCGCGGTACAAGGAAGACTTGGGTTTCATTCGGGACATGCACCGACTCCTGTTGTACAAGGGATACATGTTCCCGGAAGTCCGCCGGGAAGACGCCGCAGTGTTGAACCCAAGTGATGTATGCCACCCCGACATGCGCTTCCCATGGGCCAAGCTGACATTAATTAGAACCTCCGGTCTGCCGATGAGATGGAAGAAGAAGAGAAAGAGGCCCAGTCTGCCAAGTTACAAGAGCTGATTCGGCGTGGCACGCCCGCCGATTTACAGGAGGCCAACAGACTTATGAAAGTTATGGCCGGGTTTGACAATCGGCACAAGACCGACTACCGCGCAAAGGCCGCTGAGGAGGTCGTTAAGGTGCAACAGAAGGCTAAGATTCTGGAAGAGATGTTACAAAACCAGCAGCCTGGGGAGACTGTCCCTGAAGGCGATGTCTTCGAAGTAGGTGACCTGACGACAGATCCTATGGTTCTTGGCTAGCATCTAACATCTCACTCTCCAGGAACTCGCAGGTGCACTGCAAAGCGCTCATCCCAAGATCCAAAGGATGTGCGAGGAGGAGTCGGATGATCCCGAGGCGGTTCACAAGCTGCTGGAGATTAACGACAGCATACACCGTACGATTGAGCGGTACAAGTTGGTTAAGAAGGGCGATTTAGATGCCGCGTCCCGGATTCCCAAGGGAACACTGGGTACGACAACTGGTGTTTCCACAAATGCCAACAACGAGCTGTCTTTGATCGATTTCGACCCAGAACCTCAGCCTGCTTCTAATGGCAACGAGGCGACACCCTCTCAAGGTGGAAGCTCATTGGAAAATGACCTGCTCGGCCTTTCACTTGGTGAACAAGGTCCCACTCAAGGCGGTGGCATTGCTCTTGGTTCTAGTAAGTTGGACGCCCGCTGTTCGTGGGTAATAGTACTGACTTTGGTAGACAACTCTGCATCCATATCGGCCAGCTCAACACCACCTGCTCCACAACAACAAGCATCAGCCGCCTTCAAACCTAATTATGACATCCTAGCTTCCCTGAATAGTTCGCGACCAGCCTCTCAATCACCCACTCCCGTTATGGGCGCACCGCCCCAAGCCCAACCAACAGCGACTCCGCCGCCCGCCGACCCCTTTGCATCGCTAGTCTCTGCAAGCCCAAGGGCATCTTCCAGTCCTTTCCAGCCACCGCAAAGTCGGCCCGCTCCCTCTGCTTCCTCGCTGCTTGATCTAGCCGGTCCCCCGGCTCCAGCCCCACAGGCGCAGGCCGCCCCGGCTGAGGATGACGAGTGGGATTTTGCCTCGTCCTTACCAGCCAGCAATACTCTCCCGTCGACTAACAAGATCCAAGTTCTCAACTCTCAGCTGCGCGTTGACTTTGCTGCGCGTCGCGTGCCCAACCAGCCGCGCCAGATTCACGTTGTGGCTATATTCTCAAACAACACTACTCAGCCTATTGGGGATCTCCACTTCCAAGTTGCGGTAGAAAAAGTAAGTAATTCCCTCTTCTGGTATGTTTCCTGGTTTCCGGGTGGTTTTGCTGATACCTGCACCAGTCTTATACATTGCAACTTCGGCCCCAATCTGGCCGAGACGTTGCACCGCAGCAACAGAACGGTGTTCAGCAAGAGATGCTTATGGATGGTATCGATGCAGGAAAGGGGAGCTCGGTGAAAATTCGATTCAAGGTCTCCTACAAACTCGGCAGCGAAGCCCGTGAGGAACAGGGCATGGTGCCACCTCTCGGGATCGCTTAGACGCGATGACACCCTTCCTACGTTACTTTGCACTACCCTCCATTTTTTTTTCTTGTTCTAGATCCAGCGATGACTGCATTTCTCCTGCTTTGCACTCATTGAGATCTTAGCGCCTTTATTTACTCATGCTGTTCACAAGGACTACATGCCTCCATGTTGCCTTGAGAAGCACCTCATGTGGTTATGAATTTTTGCACAGCACGTAGACATGTAAACTCGATTGAGTGAGAACCCTATCAAACTAGGAAATTTCCGCGCTGACAACAGTACCATTCCAGCTGGTAACTCTAATGAGACTATATTCAGGGCCCCGGGATCAAGCCGAGTGCCCTGAAAGTTGTCCGCGGAGTCCCCCAGGGCTCCTCCATAGCCGTGTAGTCATGGTGGCATCGTAAACATGCCTCCCGAAGTCCCGTTCCTGGTATGCGTGTGCAGATCTTCGCTCATTCCGATGCCGAACTCTTGCCCGATCAGGCCGAAAGCATGCGACACAGCACTGCCCCACTGGGAAATCTTCTGGGGCTTCAATATTAGGGGGCTGGCTACCGAGATATTGAATGCCGGTGAATTTGAATTAGTGGACTTCCAGCCTTGCTAGTACTCGTAGTGATCGACCTGCGCTTCCATTGGGTTACCATTGCGTACGACACAACAGCACCCAATGTAGTTTTGTTGAGTTTGTAGGGGGGAATTCCGATGTCTAATCCAGCATTTGAATGCTGTGCTCCCGAGGTGACTCCCCCGAAATCTGATATCTAATCAGCGTGGCGAAGTCGAATTGGCGTTGCCCCGGCCGGCCGAACGCTCGGCTCTAGGCCCGTGGCGACAGGTTTCGGCCTCTTTTGTTTTTTCTTTTTTTTTCTTTTTTGATGAATACTTCCCGCAAATAGTATTCTCAAGAACACTCTCTCCTCGCGTGGGTACGAGGATGCAGAATTGAGGCTTGCGAGGCTGAACACCTGGGCAGGAAATTCCGGGATATGGCGTCCGGGGTTTGGGTCAATTCTACGTGATCCCTCGGCTATATGGAGTACGAAAGTGACATTTTCTCGGACATTTCTCGTCTATCTCACTGTCTATTGGATTCCAAAATATCTTCAACCCATTAGTCAGTCATCAGTCAAACGAGACCCTCGCACAGTATCCCCCGTTTAGGTCGAGGACGATGTAGGCAATGCAGGATGCTGATCCCCGTTGATCGACGATCTCCGAACAGATCGTGCAACCTTAACGGCCTTAAAATTCAGGGCCTCAGAAGGTGTCGACGCGGCGTCGTAAAGTCAGGGCACTTTCTTAATCCGGTCATCACGTGTCTCTGTACTATGTGCTGTTTTACTGTACCACTGAACGAGGGGAGTGTGGTTTTTTTTTTCTGTTTCCCTCTTTTTTTTTTCTGGTAAAGACAATACCAGGAAAAGAAGGTCTAGCAAGTCTGGGTTCTACAGGGCTGTAAAGAGTAACGTTTCTTGACCCCACTGTTCCTTCCTTGCAATATGGAGCAATATGGAGTAGACTATTAAGTGTTTATCGGGTGCATCGGTCTAGATCCCCCAATGGGCGATGTAGTTGGGTATGCAGCTTACTTGCAGCAGGAAGTAATATCCCAAGCACGGTGAATGGCACAAACTCGTATTTGGCGGCTAGGGGCGCTCTGGAGCGGACTGGCCGCGCAGACTGGGCCAGTGATGTACCATGGAACCCAGCGGTCGTAAGTTTTCCTCCCAAACTATGATCGGCTTGATACCATGGTACTGTCCCCCCAAGCTTGCCCTGCAGTCTGACACTGTATACTACTTAACTTGTAATATTTCCCCCCCTCCCCTCTTTCCAACCTTCATACCCAACATGCCCTTGGATCTAGATCTTGATATTGCACCTGTCCCCCGCTCGCGGGAGGAGAATCAGGAGAGGTAAGACATTCACCCAGACATTAACTATCAACATCTCACAATTCTCCCCAGAGCCTTTATCGCCGCATCCAGGCGCAAGGATCGCAGCTTGGATGCCAGGCTTGAATCTGCCAACCGGGCTTCCATGCTGCATAAGAAACGCACCGGCAAAGCATTTCATATCACTAAAGAAATTGTGGAGAAAGAAGCCATGTATGAAGAGATCGACGAGCGATATCAAGAGAAACGAATCAAAATGCTGCAAGCCCAAAATATGCAGATTGAGGAACAATTCCACCGCCATCTTCTGGATGCATTTGCCAAACGAGCCAGCTATTCGAACAGGTCGTCTTCAATTGCCAGCCGCCGAGCGAGCAACATGACCCCGCTTCCTTCGGCCGACGCCTCCCGCAAAATGAGCCTGGATTTATCTCACCTGCGATCCGCATCCTTCTCTCAAGGACCAGGGTCAATGGGTAGTCCAGCACATACAACCGATGGATATGTCCTCTCCCCGACAGTTTCATACGACCCCAACAGCCAGCCCTATATGAACTGCATGAATGGCCCCGAAAGCCCGTACGCCAATATGGTCCCTGTGTCTGCAGCAGCCTCCTCCCACATCCCCGAATACGTTCAAACCCCCAACTGGACGCAATTCCCCAACTGGTCAATGGCGCAGCAGATCCCAACCCCCGGGGATACCCCGACAGAGGCACAAGCCGTGCAGATGTGGCAGCAGCAAATGATGCAACAGGCCTCGGAGCCTGTCCAAATGCGTCAGTTCAGAGACCGGCTCGCTTCTGCCCCAGAGTTACCTCTGCAGCACCAGGCTCCACCCTCCATCCCTCCCGGCCCCACTCCTCCAACCCACGGTCACAGTCGCGGCCAGTCCCAGCCCTCTTCTTCCTTCAATCTGAATCTGCTCACCCAGAGCACCCACTTACATGCAAATGCCGTCTCACCTAAAGTCGAGGCCTTTTCGACAGAGTCCCACTCCACCCCGGACTTCTGCCCAACTCCTCATACTCCAGTGTCACCCACCAACCCGGCCCAGAAGGTTGAGGCAGACTTTGTCTCTGGGCAAATGGATCCAGATTATACGGATTTCAGCCAATTTGCTTTCAACCTAGGAACCACCGGTCTGCCGCACGAGCGGGAGCAACCATTCGGATTCGATGATTATATTGCCGTGGATGAATTTACCAGCGTTTCCTGCTGAACCTTCTAAACGGTCTTTATTGTTCATGTTACGACAACATTTTTTTTCTTGACGCCCATTACGATCTTGATACCTGATATACCCAGGTAGTGGTTGGCTGTTTTGGAGTTACTCTTTCTTCTGTCGTTTCGGTTCTCCGTTTGTACATCCCTTCCAGGATTGCCTTGTACATTTGCTCCTGTATCATATTTCTTGCCACTTATCTCTCATTTAATATGAAACACTTATGATACTTTTTCCCCTCCTTCCAATCATTTCGACAAATGAGTAGTCATGAGTTTGAAATTAAATATTTACTAGCTCCAAGGCTACAAGTTACCACATCGAGTAAGCCTCGTCCTGAAGTCTGAGACAAAAGATCGACCCATTGTGAGCTCATGCCGGAAGGTCAATAGTGTAGCAAGCTAACCCTAGCCGGGCGATTCGAGATGAGGTATTTGCGAACGAGCCAATCGCATAACCGATCACACCAAAATCGCCTACCAACCGTGGAACCCCACTGAACATTTGTCACTGTGATCCAGAGTCTCACAGCCCTAAGCAACCCACGTCTGACTACAGTGTGGAAACAGGTACTTTTGGCAAAAAACCTCATCAAAACCCTGCTTCTTTGCTTGCGATGGTCGAAGGGGGCCTTGTTTTCGCTCTCGTTTGCAGGTGTGGAAATGGGGTCGTCCCGACTGGCTTTTCTTAATTAAGTTTCACATTACGAGGGAATCAGGGCTAACTGCTTCTTATCCGATAATGTAGATCTCTTGTCTGACGTGTGCAGGGAAAGTAATCTACGATGCGGAGAAGAAGGGGGGGCTTTCCCGCTGTGACCGATGAGGCGTTCCCGGCATCCTGGATCAACGGTGATCTTGCAGCTTTATCAGCCAATCTTTCAAGATCGATATTTCTGTGTGACATCCATCGTGTAACGGAACTGGCACTACATAGATTAATTAATATCGCAGGTTGCGTGTATCAAATGAAAACAACGTATCTCAGCCTAGCCCCTCAGTACCAAATTGATTTTAACCCGGACTAATATATAGCCCGCGGTGATTACGAGGCCGACCAAAGCTCGAAAAGCATGGAAAAATATCCTTGAAAAGAAAAATACTAATCAGGCCACATGCAGATAGTTCCCGAATTTGCGGGGTTAAGGTTGCAGCTCGGCGGTGGGATGGGGTATTTGATTGGCTGGATTAGAGCTAGCGTCCGCACAGACCCATGAGATTAGAGAGTTTATCCAGCGGCAGACCCAGGGATTGAGTTGCGAGTCCGAAAGGATGGTTCCACTGGGACAGGAATTGACATTGGGTTTACAGTGGGCCGATGTTGAAAGGTGACCCCGTGCACTTTTGTGGGGGCTTGATTGGACTTACATTTCAGGTTTTCAACTTCCTAATCGATATGAGATTGTGGCTTGTGTTGACCAGCGTTGATAGGGTCTGGCCTGGGCAGGTGATAGGAAAGGAGGGGGGAAGCATCGTAGACCCTGTCAGTACCTGCGTTCGAGGTGGTCTGATCCCGATAGCCCAGAGCAGTCTACAGGGATGTCATTGTGTCGGGATTGGTTGCATTGCCAAGTGGATCTCTTTCCACTGGAGTGTTGGGTAGTCTCTGTGTTGCGTATCTTCATTCGACTTTCACAGTTATGCACTATGTATGCACTGTACATAGGTAATACTTAGAACAAATTTCTCAATTCCTTCTTATTTCTTTCTTTTCTTTTCTTTTCTTACACAAAATATGCTCAAACACCTTTCTAGAGTGGGGGGTTGAACGTGGGAGAACAAATCGAATTCTCGTTGGAGTATACGTAACCCTGCAGCCAGCGATCTTCGTGGGCCCCATTGAAAAAAAAAGCTGGTAAGAAAACCCAGTGGAAAAGGGATGGGAGCCAGGCGACAGCATGATTGGACTGAAGAGCTGCCAAACCAGAGCTAACTGGAGCTAGCTCAAGCTAACTCAAGCTGGCTCGGCCCGATGGAGCACAGAGTCCGAATGATACTCTTGAGAGGATATTCGCGCAGTGGAAACTGGGTCGATCATAGGAAGATCTCCAGGGCTCCGGAGTAGGGTGGTTGTTTGCGGAATGCAACGTTAACCTCCCCCACCATGGAGTTGAGGGAAAATAGAACAAAAGACCGTGGAATAGAACAGTCAAGGTTCATGACCATTGTCAACGTAACAATACCACAAATCTTGGTAATTTTGCAAATTCCTGGTTTTCAACTAATGAACTATACTAGGTACATTTCTTGAACCTGGCCTGAACATGCACGGATGTGACATAGGACAAGATCCAAGATCAGCCAATGAGAGGATGTTCTGAAGACGGAAATATCAAAGAGGCTTTTCCCTGATCGCCCCCAATGTGGAGCCATGGCTACCCATGTTCTTGGGAGGCGAATTCTAGACGAGGCTCTGATTGGGATTTTGAACAAAAGTACGTGAGACTTTTAGAAGTTCAATTCAAAGTGTGTGTACGTAAATTTCTGCACATTCTAAAGAAGAACAAACCATACTTGGCCCTGCGGGTCTAGATGGAATGGAAGTACATCTCGCAGTCAACGATCTCTTAGATACCACTGATCCAATTGCATACCTCTCAACAGCCTAATCCATCCGCTAACGAGACAACCTTCCATATCTGGCAGCGCCGTTATGGTCTAACCATAAAAATGATGTGATGGGCCAGGGAAAAAAAAAAGAAAGTCTACACAGGGGGTCATGGGATAGCATCCAGCAGCAACAACATTTCTCATTTCCTCAATCATAGACCCACAACGCTGGGCACTCGAGTCATGTCAAGGGTAGATCGCGGATACGAGTAGATCACAAAATCCCAGCACCACGACACCATGATCGGGGGGTCTGGCCCGTGCGAATGCGCAGTGGAGATGGCGAGCAGTCTGCACCGTTGGACGACCTAGTCCGGACCACAAATGAGATGGACGAGAGACGAGTGGGGAGGCGAAAATGGGAGGGGTGTGCACACCCAACCACATCGCCCTACCACGACGGACATGTACTTCCGCAGACAAAACGACATTTTGGGAAAATGTGCCAAATCCAAATGCCAAAAGCCGATGTGCCTAAAGCCGATGCGTGGACTGCCTCTTTTCAGGCAAGAATCGGTTGAAATTTGAGGCGTTCGGCTTTTTCCCGGGACTGCATGGCGTTGATCTGCGTGGAGACTTTCGGCCATGTCCGGGGGCTGTCGATCTTTGCTTGTAGTGTATCGTCAAGATCTAGCGCTTCTCGGCAATCTGGGGTCTCAATTTTGAGATCATGCGTCAAAAATGAGTCTATCGGCAACTACACGATTGCGAGGACGGGTCATTGGAAGTGATTTGAAATCGTAATGGAGAACATATCCGATGCTAGATAACGTGATACTGTGATAATAAGAGAGCCAATGGTAAGTCTATGCTTGTACCTTCCTGGACAATTGAACGATGGAAAGTCCCAGAGTCAGATCCAAGGGGTACGGGCATTGGACTGATGTAAAGCCAATGTAGTCACAACGAGTGAATATGTCTGTGATCTGTTGTCGATACGCACGCACAAAGCCTTGGAACGTCTTGTAAAGGATATGTGAACCAGGCATCAATGCTCTTACATGCCACGGCTGAAAAGCTCCCGGCCGATATCACCGCTACGGCGAACACTCTGGCTCGACGAACTACTGCGTCTGCGGCGGCTACGGGACTCCGCGGGGTCGACGGGATTGAGTCCGCTGGCTCGAGCGTGCAGATTCAAGATGTCAGTCAAGCTGATAACTCCCACGAGACGGCCTGACAAGCGTGCACCATCGAGCGCTGCTGACGGGATGGAATGTGAAAGAGGTGGTGGAACATGTACACCTGACGAGGAAAGTGAACCTGTAGTCGGGGTAGTGTAGGGCGCCACGGGGGTTGCAAGGTGTGGAGATATGTGGTGGGAAGATTGTGATGTAGGCACTGGAAGTGGTGATGGCGGGGGTGAGTTCCCGGTGTGCTGTGCAGTAGATGGATGGTTGACGCTCCCAGATAGAGGGATGTGCACTGAAGAGTGTGATGGGGTGGGTGGCCCTGATGAAGATGGAGATAATGGATCGGTCACCCAGAGTCTGGAAATATGGATTAGCAAGAGACTTTGTCAGCTTTCCTTTTGTTCAGATATAATTACCGGTGTGATCGAGTGGCCACAATTTTTGCGACTGTGTGTGCCAACGTTGATCCTGGGTTGACGTGGAAGACAGGGAACGAGTCTTTGCCCTCCATCAGGCCGCGAGTGGACAGAATCACGGAGATGAAGTGAGTACAGGTGTTTTGTAGAAGAGGTAGAGAAGAAGACCGGGTCAAGAGCTGGGGAAATGTCAGCTAAAGCCTTTTGACACCCAAGGAGTTCCATCAGTTCCTACCTTGACATCAGCTGTAGAGATATTGCCAAGCACGTTCATATGGTTATCGACAACGACGATTGATGAGACACCCTCATTGTTCATGACATGAAGAGCCTCTGAAAGGGGACTATCACCACTGCAAGTGCGAAAGATGGTTAGGGCTAAGCTCAAGGATACCATCAACTGCCCAGATAGACCACTTACTTGATGTATATCACACTGGTGGATCCGAGTCGCAAATCACTGACGGGCTGTGGATAAAGCTCTTCGATGATCGGGAAGCTGCGACCATTTTCCCAGAGGAATTTCACCAATCGGAACTGACTGAAGATTCCAACCACTTTTTGCTCATCAGATTCATCGACGACCACAACACGATGGACACCTCCACCGAAAATCTCGACTGCAGACAAGACGTTGGCCGAGGCAGGCAAATTGATGAGTGGCTCTTTCTCCATGCCGAACTTCTTGACGTCTCGCAACGGAATTGGTACCCCATTTTGGGCCTTCTTTGCTAGCTCCTCGTAGGATGCCCGATGTTCCTCGTCAGGCGAAGTGAGGCCCGCCGCAAGCAGGAGATATGAGTTCAAATCGGCATAGTCGAATGTAGCAACGGCAGAGGTATCTTCGACTGACTCACGGATCAGCAATACAGGTGCGCCGGAATCAATCAAGATCTAGCAGATGTTCATGTCAGTATATGGGTAGTTGGGTACCATCTAGTGATGTACTCACATTGGTCGCCTCTTCGATCCCGGTATCAAGCTCCACAAATTTCAATTCGGCCGGGCTCACCAGCTCTCCAATTGATATATGTCTCCAATCGCGACCCACAAAGGCAGGGTCAGTGGCCTTGGGTGGCGGGGGGTTGTCAATCAGGCTCTGGATGGCGGACTGTGGCAGGGAAGGCTGTCGGCGGGCACGCGGGGAACCAGGCGGACCACGAAGAGTCTCACTCAAGCTCTGTCTATGCTGGTGGTTTGAGGTCGACATTTGGGAAATGCGGAGTGGGTTTCGTGCGGAGGGAGAGCGAGATTCGGTGCTGGATCGCGGAGAAGTAGTGTTGGTGCCGTTGAGGGAGGTGTCGGACCCTTCGCGGGAGTGAAGGCGGTCGGCCATAAAATTTCCAGTGCCAATTCGAATAATCTTGTGCTAACCAGAATGCCTATCAAACACAAGTGAAATGCAGATTGTCGCTTGATCTACTGAGGTCATCAGGTGATGTTGATCAGACTAAGCGGGGTTGGTGGTTCAGCCAATCATAGCTCGTATCTTATATCTCCGCTGACATCATTCGTTCGTTAGTCATCTTGATCCACAGCCCAATTAGGCAGGTGGAATTATGTCTGGAGATCAAGCATTAGACCTGCATAATGCTGAGTGCATATAAATTCTTAGTTATGGGGTTCTGTACCACTACAGAGGCCAGGATTAAGGATGGAGTGTTCTGGTTGAGAGAACAGCTGATAATTTGTTGTCTCATTCCGGAATTCAATTTCAAGTATTGATTGAGGCACAATAGGACATGAAACAGTCATTCCAAAAAATTCAGAAGAACTCATTCAAAGTCTTCGAGATATCGATTCCTCTGTCTTTCATAACAGCCCGCTTGGGAGGACGTCGACTCCCTTCAGGCGCATCAGAACTCTTGCGCTCCCTTTCACGCTTCTGTTTTCTCTCGCCCTCTATCCTCTGTCTCACCGGATCTCGAGTAAACATCACAATCGACATGGAGCTATAGTTTGAGCGAATAGCCAGCATCTCCTTTTTGCTATGGTCAATGGTCGGAAGTTTGAACTCCAGAATGGGTAACTTTGTACTCAGCGACGAGGCTTTAGTCTCGCCATTTTTCGCCGGTTGGATGCTGGATTCGTACGCATGAAGTAGAGGCATGACATGATTGAGACTCTTGGCCTTCTTTTCGCTATCCCAGAGCCAATCAAGTCTACAGGCGGACCAGCCTTCGACATTGATATCAACACCATTCGCAGGCCTGCCTGACTTTCTGATGTGTTTAGTGATTTTTTCACATTCGTATGCCAGCACAAGCTGAAGCTCAGGTAGGTCGCGCAGCGATCTCAACGCAGAAGTGGTCACTTCGTGCTGATTGTAGAGCCTGAGGACACGGAGATGCTGCAGTTCGTTCGATTCAATCCAGCCACGCACGAATCCATCCTGCAAGGGGAGGCCGTCGTGATCAACGCTCATAGGATCAAGCGTAGATTTGGACGTGTAAGGCTGATTGTAAACATCCAATGCAACCAGATTTCTGATTTTCGCGATGGCCGTAAGGTCTGCAGCAGAGCAATACGCAGTTGCAATGGTTAAAATAGCGCGCCAGCAGAAATCATCGTTATTGAGGATGTTCATATAGTCCCCAAGCGGCTTCTTCGGTGAGCCCGCGCTCAGACAATAGTGGCGGCTGAGTTCAGGGAACTGCTTAGGATACGCTATGGTCATGATTTTCCACATGTGCATGGTTTGTTTGTTGCTGAAGCCCATCAGACCTGGAATGGACCCACATACGGTTCGGACTTACCATCTCCCAAGTGCGTCCCAGATGTATTTAGCCAGGCACCAGGGAACATGCTCGAACAGCTCATGTTTCAGTGCTGACTGATCTCGGACAAGAGATTTCAATGCAGCATGTTTCAGTGACCCGGATCCGTGATCATTGGTGGTCTCCCATCCATGTGGTAAGAAAGGGATCTCATGGTACCAAGTTGGACCGAGGCGGGTGAGGCTGGGAGGTTGGTGATCTTCAAGGATGATGGACATTCTGATCTAGCATCACATTGATAAAGTGGATAGGGGAGCTGTTCCCCATTTCACAAATCCGAGAATTGATGTCGCGTTGACTCTCATGTCCCGGGGAATTCATAGAGCTGCGCGGTTTAGGGCGGTGAGCCCATTAGATGCTCCACTTTCTCGTTGAGTACGGAGTATGCCCCTTGAGTATATGGAGTGCTCAGTACTTTATTAGGACTCTAGTGTGATCTGCGTAGCTGTTGGTGGAAAACACATGTAATTACTTTTCATTGCGGTGCTACTAGGTACATGGATGTGACATGAGCCTACCGGGCTCTATTCCGATCATATGGCACAACGCAACATGGAAAAACGACGACCACGCAACCTACCTCTGATGAGAGTGCTTGCTTGATACCTGATATCATCTCCACGAGAAGAAACTTGGCAAGCACAGCACACATTTTCGCACCCCTGCTCAGCTCACTTTTTTTCGTCTCTGCGAGCATACTTGCTCCATGAACGTACCTTGTCCCCCTTCCAATACAATAAATAAGGTGCAGGTAAGAACAAAAACGAGAGACATCCCAAAAGTGTCAATGTCCAACCAATACCAAGCTTTTTATACATCACCTCAGATACAATCGCCATGACACCAGCACTTACGAGCCGCATCATCTGCAGCGTCGAAAGAGCACTGGCAACATTAAGCTCAAACGAATCTGCGACGTATTGGAACGCCGACACAAACACACACAACGTGCCGAATCCAAAGAATACTGACGCAATCAGTGGACACCAAAATGAAATGGACAGACGCGATGTCCAGCCCATCCAGAACAGTGAGACGGGGATGAATGGAGCACCAAACATGCCCATGTATAAGCTGATTTCTGGGTCTGGACGGTTTTGACCCTTTTCACGACTGAGCCGGATATCGCGGCGGAGGAACCACATCGCAAGTGGCACGGTCAGCGCCGAAAGGAGAACACCAACTTCAATACCCAAGAAAGCAAGAGCTGCTTCAGTGGCCGAGAAGTTATTTTTCTCTTGGAAGATAGAGACATATCCCGCGATGAAGGTGTAAAGCACAATGAATAGGATAGAAAGGTAGGTGGCATGGATGGAGATGATCGGTTCTGTCACAAATAGAAGAATAGGCCGATAGAGTGAGATACGTAGGCGGCTCCAAAATGAAACTTTGTTGAATTCCAATGGCGATCGATACCTGTCATCTCCTGTCAGACGGCGGAGTTCTTTTGCCTTCCAATATAACAGGATAGGGCTGTAGGTTTCCGGCAACAGTAGGATCATCAGAGTCAATATGAACCCTGCGTATATGATTGTGATCCAGTCCACCCATCGCCAGGAAAAGTGGCTGTTGACAACATAGGAGCCGGGAATTGGACCAACTAGTGCCCCCGAGAACCCGATGATAGCGAATATAGGAAATGCATAGACTCGCTCCACGCGTGACCAGACATCGACGAGAGACGCCCCTGCAAGGACGGCGGGAGCAGACCCGAAAAGGCCTGCTATGCAACGGCAACTGATCCTTTGCTCCACATTATGAGAAAGGGCCGCAATCATGTTAAAAAGCATGAATCCCACAGTGGTCGGAATGTATACCGGAGTGCGTCCGAATAGTTCTGAGATGGGTGCTGTTACTAGTGCGCCGGCGCCCAGTCCAACCAAGTAGAAAGCTGATTAGCAGATTAGTCCAGTTATACAAGGTCCCCGAGGGAGAATAACGTACTAGTGGGCAAAGTCTGAACTTCAAAGCTTGTATGAAACAGTGAACTTGTTCTTTTGTGGGCGGTGGCATCGATGGTAGACGACCAGAACATCACACTGGCAATGACCGAAGTAAGAAGTGTCGTCCACAATCGACGTTTGAAGGACCAGTTGTGCGGATCCATCATGTCAAGGTCACCCTCAAAAGTCACGACGATAATTTTGTTCCTCTTGATCGATTCAATATCCGATACACTTTCGATATCAGTCTCGCCGTCTCCGGTGGGAATGCCATCATGAACACCCGTGTCCCTACCGGTGCGCGGCCCGATTCTTTCAACGCCCGTCACCATCATATCAGTTGTGTTACCCAGCGTCTCTTGGGTATTGATTGTATGAGGATCGGTTTGAAGATCCGGGTCGACGTCCGCGCGTTCGACATCTCCATCTCTCTCGAGATGGGTTCTCGCAGAATGTCGGTTGATAGTTGGACCGGATATGAAAGTACGATGGCCATGCTCTCTTCTCCGCGCAGCAGGTATATCGTCACCCGCCTCGCGGGGATGCGTGTGAATCTCGCCATCACGGTAATAGTAGCGACCTTCGTCGGTCCAGACATCCTCGGGGGTTCCATGTTTCGTGACGATTTGTTGCTCAAGCTTTCTGCGGATTCTGCGGCGCTCGAGGAAAGATTGCATATTTTTTCGAGATGGGGAGCTGCGTGCGGATATTAGATCCGTTTGAATATTGAAAGTTCAACTCAGTTGAATATCATTTGGTGCAATGAGACGATAGCTCAATGTTCTTTCTGCGGACTTTAACAAAGAAGCAAGTATAGTCGTTTGATTTGATAAAGAGAATGCTCCAGTCCACTTGATCTGCGGTAGATTGATCGTACACAAAGCTTGAACCCGCAGGCTCCTCGGGGGCAAAAATGATGCCATTGAGGATGTCAAAGCCGCATAGCGCCATGCTCATATCATTCGGTCGGTTTTCCCGCCAATGGACCTCGCCATGGAGACTCGAATTCAAGGATGAGAGATTTGTCCTGGGACTTTTGATCTGTAGCAAAGTCATGAGTGTTAGACCGCGAGAAAATACAATTCAATACTCCCCGCAATTTTACGCTTTTCGACAATTGAGGCCCCGGACTGTCTACAATGATGTCAGAAATACTGCGCATTTCCGTCACCAGTCCAGTCTGTAGCTCGAAAGATCTCAATAGATCACGGATTGATAGTTAATCACAAATAGTGCACCAACTCACGGGATAAAACATGCACTGGAACACCAGGGGGTAAATTAGATACAGGACAATGCATAACACAAAACATGCTTCGTTGAGAGTATATGCTCATTATTTCTCCTTATTGCCAACTGCATTCACATCACATAGAGGATGTCGGTATCTATAGTATGTCAGATTATCGATTGCCAAGAGGGCGGGTTGTCATGCTTACCGAGAGGGTGGCTGCAGCTCAGCTGTGGCTTTTGACTATATTTGGTGGAGAGCTCATCACGAATGCTGTTCAGGAGCTGGACGTAACTCTGTTGAGGGTTCTTCCGCAAAGCAGCAATGAAGGCCCAAGACATGGCACCGGTGGCTTGGCCTGCAATCTGGGCATCCTGACTAGTTTGGTCATCCTTGCTACCAGACCACATGATAACATCTGCCGGGCTGGTCTTGGTCTTTATGTTACGCTCGTACACCTCGTCTCCCTTGGTGGCCTTTTTGATGAAACCCATGGCAGTGGACATCATGCTGCCCATATCACCGCGCGCATATGCCGATACCACACCAAGCAAGCCTTGGCCGGCTTCCTTGGCCAGATTGGGCTCCTTGAGCACACCAGAGGTGGAATAGACGTAAGGGAGATCGAGAGCTGAGCCGGAGTGGCAGGAGTCAAAGATCGCAGTCAGTCGTACTCCAGGTCGTAGAGACTGCACCATGATACGATGCATCTCGTCGTCCACAATGTGGCCGGCGGCCCGGAAGTCCACTGGATAGATAACTTCATCGTATCCATCATCCTCATCACCGTCCAGATCGGGTGTTTGACCACCGTGGCCTAGAGTATTTATTAGTTCGCCCTTGGGAATTGAGGGGATAGACACGCACCAGAATAGTGGAAGAACAACGAATCATTTGGCTGAGCATCTTTGACCAGCCAGTGCATGGCACGGAGAATATTGACCTTGGTCGGCTGGCTCATGGGGTTTTGCTGGTCGTCGGTTAAGAGAACCATATCCTCACGGGCATAGCCAAAGTTTTGGTTCAGATAAGTGGACATGTTCTTCACATCATTGATACATCCTCGCAGCTGGCCCTTTTGGCCAAAGTAGTTGATACCAATCATAAGCGCCTTTCTCTTTCCCGTGCAGCGCGAGTACTGGAAGTTGTAGCCTTGTGGTGCGCCATGACCGAAAGCAACGGGGTTGCTGGGAGGGGGAGCCGGACCGCCACCTTGACCATACGCTATCTCTCTGTATTAGCTTGTGCTGCCCGTGAGTGCAATCGTGGCCTTGGGGCGGGCGAACCTGGTCTTCCTTGCTGCATCGGAGGTCCGGAGGAATGTTGATTGTAGCCGGATGGGGGAGCCTGCGCAGCAAATGGGCACATTAACTCTATTCATATTCCGCTATTGCCGCTTCGGTACATACATTGTAACCATGCTGCGGGGCGCCGCCGTACGACTGGTGAGGCTGCGACGACTGGCTGTATCCGTACGGGTTGGACTGCTGGGGTTGCTGGGGTTGCTGGTGGTAGGATTGGCCGGGGTATCCACCATAGGAAGGCTGCTGTTGGTGATGCATCGGTCTGTACGGAGCAACAAGCTCAGGGTCAGCGTGCCCTCACGAAACCAGATCAATAAGCATACGGGTACTGTTGCGGGGGATAAGACGGCTGCTGTGGGGGATAACCCGGCGCGCCCGAGTACGGCGGATAATAAGACATCACTCAAGCTCCTAGGTGGAGTCCAACAGGGGGGTAATGAGTTCTCGAGATGAAGAGAGGAATGTGGAGAAGAAGAAAGAGATCTAAAGCTCAACAGATCGGGAGGACGGCAACCGCCAAGCCTCGCAAATGCGACAAAAATTCCCCGATCGCAAAATGATCGACTTACGGCTATTTTTTTCACTCGAGATCGAAAAAGGGTCAAAAACAGGATAGTCAATTAATGGAGATCCGTCGAGACCTTTATATCTGACGTGCGTTCGGCACCCCCGAGGCATCCCTGTCAGACTAAAGCGACTGGAGACGCCCAAACCCCACGGCCATTGGGCTGCATCGCAATCGACGTCAATTAAGCTGGAGTATTTTTCCAATAGACCTGCGTTAGGGCAAAAATAGGTGGATGTTAGTCGCATGGGCTACGTGTAGTTCATTCCAAATAGACATGGGGCGAGAGCGTCGGCGTATTTGTGGTGCATCTGATAACTCACATATGGAAAACAACTCCGTACAGAGGTACTATATACGGAGTACTCCGTAGTTACTCAAGTACTCAAGGATATAGGAAAGTAGCATTACTTTCATGAAGAACTATGTACGAAGACAAAGCCTGATTATATCTACAAACTCGTCTTCTATTCTCCCTTTACTTCAAATTTCATCTCACAGACACCAGACGAGAGGTAACCCCCGGTGGTATCCTTTTTTATGGGGAATAATCATCGAGCATCCAATTCGTGGGTTGACCCGTTTATCCTCGTCGGGGCATACCACGGCCACGGCCCCGGAGAGCACGCTGGGCAGCACCAGGCGGCATACCGCGCTGCTGGCCAGGCTGAGCTGACTCCTCGTTCTCTGACAATGGAGTTAGTAACGTCGACGACCGAAAGAAATTGTCAAGAGAGTTGTCACTTACTTATCGTCTCATCCACGCTCAAGATCAAGCAAGCGGCCTCCACTGCGGCCTGGATGGCATTGACCTTAACCAGACTAGGCTCCCAGACAAACGCGACCATGTTGTCACGAACACCCTCGTTATCGAAGTCAACACCAGCCCAGGTGTTACCCTTGCGGTGCTCCACACGCAAACGGTTCAGGATATCGGTGGCGTCGAAGCCGGCGTTGTCGCACAGCTGGCGGGGGATAACCTCCAATGCCTTGGCAAAGGCCTTGACAACGGCTTGCTGCTTGTGGGGAACGTTACGATCGGCAAAGCCATGCATGTAGCTGGACAGCTCCATCTCAGTGGCACCACCACCAGCAACAATGGCGGTGTTACGCAGAGCACGCTTGACGATCATGATAGCATCGTGCAAACTGCGCTCAACCTCGGCAATGAACTGCTCGGCACCGCCACGCAGCACCAGAGTACAGGTCTTGGCGAGAGGGCAGTCGGAGAAGAGGTTGAAACGCTCTCCACCGATCTGGCGCTCCTCGAATGTGCCACAGGTACCCAGGTGGCGGTCCTGGATGTCGGTGCAGGTAGATTGGGTCGCGGCTCCGGTAGCCTGGCAAACACGGTCCATATCGTCGGAGGCAACACGGCCAGCACAGAAGATGTCGCGGTCAGCGAAGTACCTATACATTGAATAGTCAGCATGTGGCCTGCACTCTGCAGCAAGTAGAAATCACGCACTGGGTAGCAAGATCACCGATAGGTAGCTTGCTGAGAACAACCTTGGCTCCTGTGTTGTGAATGGCCTCAAGCTTGTTGTAGATGATCTGCCACTCGGCATCGACAATGGCCTGGTACTCGGAGACCTGCTCGACACGGACCTCCGCGTTATCCTTCTCGCTCTTGAGCTCCAGCTCGACGTTCAGGCACACAATCTTGGGGTCCTTGAAATGCTTGGGCTGTTGCTCGAAACCGGCGTAGGAGAAGGTCTTCTTGAAGGCGACACCGTCGACGAAAAGTGAGTCCTGGAGACCACCACCGGTAATCTTCTTCACACCGATCAGCTTCTCGTTAAGGTCGTCCTGGTCCAGTGAAAGCACAGCGTCCACAACCACTGTAATTTCCTCACGTCAGCTTTCAATTCCAAATTTTGATCACTGTTGTTAGGAGGTTCTCACTCTTCGTGAAGAAGTCCGAATTCCGCTTGATAAGCTTGCTGTTCATGGCCGTTGCGGCTAACCGTCTTAGTGTCTCGACCTTCTTCTCCTCGCTATCCGCAGCGTGCAGCATGTCGACCGCAATCTCTTTGACCTTGTTGACTGCCATGGCGCCTGCCCTCCGCAGACCCTTGATGATGGTCTGGGAGCTGACACCCTGCTCGACGAGGTCACGCACTTCCTTCAGAATTTCACCAGCCAACACAACAACGGAGGTTGTTCCGTCACCGACTTCGGCATCTTGGGACCGAGCGATATCAGTGAGAATGCGGGCGGCGGGGTGCACAATATCCAAAAGCTACCAAGCACACAAAAAGTCAGCATATCCGGGCATCGCCATTGTGGTGGGATAGAGCCTAGCACACCTTCATAACTGTGGCTCCATCGTTCGTAATGGTCTGTCTGCCGTTGGCATCCACAAGCAGGAGATCACCACCGTAAGGACCGAGAGTGCTCTTGACTGTCGATTGCACTGCAACACAGGCGTTGATGTTGGAGATGATCTGACCCTTTCCCTGAGAGGCATCGGTGCCTATATGTCAAAAAAACCATAGTTAGCATGGTTTGCGGAATCCCACCAACAAAACTGCCCGCACTGGAGACAACACATACCCTCCTTCAACACGACAATCGTGGGAGTTTGGCCGTTGAAGGCCATGATTAGATCGAGACAGGAAAGCTTTCAATACAAAAAATAGAATAAAAAGAAATAGGAAAAGGGGTATGTTGAGTTGAGAGGTCGGAGGGGTTGATCTGCCAAAATTTCCCAGAGCTCCTGTTCCCAAACCCCCCAGTCGCGCAAGGCGGTGACCAATCAGGGCTCCCTCAACCCTACGTCCAGGCAGTCTACTACTTTTTGACAGCGCACTCGAGGATAGATTATATAAATCAATTGGATATATAGGAATGAAGAAGAATCTGATGGTGTTTCACACGCCCACAATACAATGGTAGAGTATCATCGGTATCCGAGTCCATGCAATCCCCGACGCCAATAGAACATGGAAGAACCCCGAAATCTGGATATAAAAAAAATATAAAAAATACAAGGTAGCCGAGAAAGAAGAAAGTAGAAAACCCCTGTGACTATTGAGCAGTTGGTCACGTAAAATCATAATTTCCTTCCGATGGACTTCCATATTCAAATTTGTTGAGTAATTCGGGGTCGTGCTGCAAGTCGTGCGCCTGTGGATTCACCATCCCAAGCAGGTCTTGCGGAAATAAGTCGGGGGCTTCTCCAACCATCAATTGATAGGCATTGTTTGCTGTATGATAACGCATTGCATCGTCGAAGTTGGACATATCAACATGATGAGTTCCCGGAGGGAAATGGCCCATTGGGTTTTGTTGCTGGTATCGTCGTAGCTGCTGCTGTATTTGCATCATCTGGGGGTCAAGAGGCATAGATGGGAAACCAGACATAGGGTGAACGGTTCCAGGGATAGCGGCTGCAGCAGGTTGGTGCAGAAGGGGGTTGAAGTTGGGTGCCTCGTCTGGTGCTTCGTCCATCGCCTGGGAAACCTGAACTGGTTCCTCCTTTTGGGGCGGTTCCATGCTGCTATCCATCTCCATGCCAGACAAAGTTTCTGAGGGTGAACGATCGTCCTCCTTCATTCCTGGGATAGGAGGTGCTTTCAGAGTTTCCTTACACTGTGGACAGTCCCGTATGACGCGATTAACCGTCTCTTTGATCCGTACCCAATGGAACTTTATCGCAATAGCGGCAGTGGTTTTGTTGATTCCGGCATGCTGTTTGAGATGAACTTCTTGGGCAATATCGTATTGTTGCTGTGGGTCAGACACCACTTCCTTATCTTTCAGCATCAATCTTTCAGGCGAGCCCTCTTCGCCACCAAGCAGTTTATAATGAGTTGCCGCGCTGCGCAATCGGCTCTTCTCAGCACGATCAGCCCCACGGGGGTATTTGGCGTGTTTCAGATAATAACGGATCTTCTCAAAACGATCTTGGGACACGGAATCTTCGCCGTCCAGACTCAGGCCTCTGCCGTAGATAATCGCATCAACAAACTCTCCAGGCTGTGATTTGATTTGACCTCCGCCCGGCACTCGACCAATTCGCTTGAAGCCGAGGGAATCCCATAAACGGCACGAAGCAACATTAGACTCATAGACCAGGTTGAAAACTGCATAAGTATAGCCCTAGGAACTGTCAATGCCGAGCGCTCTGCGTCTTAGGTATGATGCATCGAATCACTCACGAGTCGGGGAGCCCACTCCAGGTACGCCTCTCCCATCAATCTACCTACACCTTTGTTTCGTGCGGCATCAGTGACAATAAAGGTGCCGTTACAGACATGACTGCTCCGGCCAGGGTAATTTGGTCGAATGTGGAAACCACCAAGACAGGCTTTGGTCCAATTCGCACCAGCCCGATCCATGCTATGGGTCTGTTCTGCGCTCTCGATATCCCCAAGAAGCATGACGACACCGAAGTTGGAGAACCAATACCTGCCAAACTGAGCCAATGGAATGGGTTCAGACATGGCATATGTATCTCCTTTTTCAATTTCCTTGTTGAATTGATCGGAGAGGTACTTCATCAACGCTCGGGGTACATCTTCCGCGGAGGCGAAGGGGACCAGGGTTGCAACAGTAACCCGGTCTCGCAGAGTGACTTGTCTTGGGGTCAGAGCGAGAGGATAATCAATGTCAGGGCCCGGCGGAACGAGCTCTGAATCTCCATGTACTTCAGACATGATGTGACCCTTGAACGCTAATCACACGACTGTTTGCCCTGTTAGTTGGGTGCATTATACTCGTCTCTTTTCGCCACAAAAAAAGGGGGGGAAGGGAATACATCCGAAAGAAGGACTACAAAATGCACGGTAGTTCAAGTAACTCAAAGAACTCAACACAGGGGGGTCTGTTCACTGACATTCTGGACTGCTTCTAGAAGGACGCCCTCAATCGCACTTCGTGGACCGCGTGTGTATTCTCGAGTCCGGACGAAGGCCACGCAACTGACTCTGCACGTGATACAATTTGTGGCCTCAGGCAGTAGGCTGTGTCCTGCCTGATTATTGAGGCCAAAGTAGATTGCCGAACCTGACGATGGCTCCGTACTCCACCGGAGCGTCTGCAGATCTCGTACAACTAATCAAATGGACTTTTCAGCACAAATCATGGACAGTGGTTGGCCCTGCCCCGAGTCCTGGTGGATCCATCCGACACCGACATTTAATTGCTGATTTCATCTTGCGCTAGTGGCTTGCTGGCGGGGGATCTGTGCCTGGGCCAGCTCAGTCGTACAGACGGAACGAGAGCCCCCCGCCAATGCCAAAGTTGACTCGCGTAGGGTATATTTTCCCTGCAAAAAGTCACGCAACACCTGCCAAAAATCACGCCAGAGAGCTTGAACACCATATATCTACAATATGGTGGAGCGTCCTCAATACTTCGAGAACACATTGACTCTGCCATCCATCAATGCAGCCACTCTAAGCGAGAGTCTCCAAGAACTACGCACCGCAGTTCACAATGGTGCTCAACTGGTGCAGGAAAATAGTCCTCTACCAGAGGCATGGGGCCCCAGTGGCCTGTTCAGGGCCTTTCCAGGTACCTCCAACCCTACCGTCATCGTATTTCATTAGAATTGGCGACATCTGACTTGTTGAAGGCATCGCCCTGGCATTTTTGCGTTTAGACTATCAGTCTTCGGTATTGAAGGATGCCAGACTGGCTTGGCCAGATTATCGTCAATTTGCACTCCAGCGAATCCCATCGAGCCCCCCTGATGCAGAATTGCTAGCGTCTCGGCTTTCCCCCCTCGGTTCTTCTTGTCCCATAACTGCGATCATGATGCAAATTCTAGCCAATGTGGCTAAGAATAACTGGCAAGACAACTGTCATATCAATGTCACAAAAGATAACATCACTTGCCTTCGCGACGCTGTGCAGCTGGCTTTGAAGAATGAGCCGCTCGTTGTACATGATGGCCGCCGTATGGGCGGCGATGAGGTACTCTTTGGGCGTGCAGGGCTACTTTGGGCTCTCTTGAGCATTCGATCCCATCATTTCGATCAAGAGAGCCAGAGAGCTCTGTCGCCTGTGTTAGAATCAATTCCAGAATTGATTCGGGTCATCATTGATGCTGGTAAACAAGGGTCCCGAGAGTATATCGAGAAAAATGGAGTTGAAGGTTCACACCCATTGATGTATGCTTGGATGGAGGGTTATTATTGTTTTGGGGCGTGAGTAAATTCCAATGCTTATTAAGTCTTATCACTAACCTGGTTGACTAGGGTTCATGGTGCAAGTGAGTATGCCAGTCGATCATTGAGGCCTACAGGAACTAATTGAGTGGTCGAAAACAGCCGGAATTCTCACAATTTTGCTTTCGTGTGAGCCCGAAGAGCTGGCGGAATATATCCCGGTGATTGGTGAAACCATCAGCGCGCTATGCCAGCTCTCAGCTACCAATGATGGCCATCTGCCGATGACAACCCCTTCTTTCAGCTTTGGACAGCGCTCTGAGCTGGTCCAGCTATGTCATGGAATTCCAGGGCTACTCATTCTACTTGGCGCAGCTTTCAAGCATAGAGGTCTGACCCACGACCATTGGAACCCATCCTGGGACCAAGCAATGTATTTGGGTAGCGAGCGTATTTGGGAAGAGGGCCTCCTTTCCAAAGGAGGAAGTCTTTGCCATGGCGTATCTGGCAATGCATGGGCATGGCTGCTTCTCCATGATGCCTTTGAATACAACTCAGACAGCATCAACGATGCCCGTGAAGCTTATCTCCAACGCAGTCAGCTTTCGGCCTTGCCTAATATGCAGATCAGCCAAAGTCTCAAGGGCGACTTCTTTCTGTCAAGGGCACTTGCGTTCATGCTACATGCACGCGAGACCAAGCCCTACAACGCATCTTCTATGCCCTCCGACAAGGACTACCGTATGCCTGATGAGCCCTATACTTTGTTTGAGGGTCTCGCTGGAAACGTCTGCGCGTGGGCTGAGACTTGCACTGTCCTCCAAGCCAGACTGCGCAAAATGGAATTGGTTGAACAGGGCGTGTGTGCTAGAAACGGGCTACCACGCGATTCGATTTTCCAACATGCCTTGTCTAGACAAATCGGCTTCCCCGCTTTAGGTGGAAATGGGGCGATGGGTATCTATTAAGGTTAGCTGTCTCAAGGACGTCAAACGCATTCCCAAATTATGCGTAAATATCAACCAATTTCCAAAATTACTTAAGTAACATACACTCCAAATGGAGAAAATAAGATGTGCTTTGAACATCTGTAGATGTATATCTCGGGCCGTGAGCTGCTACCTCTACAACCGTATAGCCAAGCCGCTACTTCTAAAAGTAGATAGTAGCTTTAAAAGCTCTTTGATAGGATTCAAACCCCGATTTCCTTCGCTATAATCAAAGTTCGGGATCGTTTGCGCCAAAATTATCGTTCATCTTGACATCAGGTGCTGCTACTGGTGGGAGGTTTTTTTTTGGTTGGCCCGTGTCGGCAGGCTCGCGTCAGGCCTGAAGTATGCCTTTCCTCTACCTACTAACCAAAGAGAGCCTTTTTTCTCCATTGGAAAGATATATTGATGCTTTGAAATGCTGTCATTGAGCATACGACTCCAGGACTATATTTGGTGATCCAATTTCATCACCTGACCCTTCTTACTAGTTGTTTTCATTGGATGTTCGTTTCCCATCTGTAGGCGCCAAGACTTGGGGCCATGGGGGCACTCCTATTACGTGGCTGAGTCGAGATGGGGATCTCTCCATCGAACTACGTCGAAGTCTTGCTCAAGTGAGATTCAACGTGCAAATAACCAAGCGCGCTCGGCGCTTTCTTTTGGATCATGGACCTCATCCCTCCGTCTTACGAGTCGGCCACGGACAGAGACGCATGGTCAATAATTGCACGCTACATTCCCTCTAGCGACCTATGTGCTGCCTCCTTGGTCTGCCAGCGATGGCATGGCCTGTTTATGCCCTTTCTGTGGGGTGACCCTGCGTCGCATTTCGGCCAAGAGAACGATGCAGTCTATGGTAAGTACAACTACGTCATATCCGTTGAAGAAAGTGAGACCAACCCCACGCAGTGGCTCTCACGCGATTCCGCAGAACCCTCAGATTTGCTCGGGAGGAAGTGCGAGCATTGACTCATACCCTGCATCTTCCACCCGCTCTATCGGAGATCTATGGTGGCCCGCGCCCGGGTTGGTTAAGAGACATCCTCGAGTATCTGCCATGCCTGCAATGTCTGATGGTCTCCAAATTGCCCTTTTTCGACCACAATGCCATGACAGCGTTGAAGGACTGCCAGAGGTCAAATCAATATAACATACGCCTTTTACTGGCTGAACGGGAGCCGAACACAACTTCCACAAGCCTTGCACAGACGCTGCTCTTATTTCCATCACTAACTTATCTGGATCTTTCGTATACGACCCCTGCACGAGACCGCAATGTATTATCTGCACTCAGTCAAATGCCTTTTCTTCGGGTTTTAAAGTTACGCGGTATCGGGCTCAGAGACAATGACGCTGAGTTTCTAGCAAATGTCATTGGACGTCGTGTCCGTTGTTTGGACTTGCGGGATAACATGCTCACTGACATGGCTGTACGCTCATTGTTGCAGGCTTCATTCCTTCCTCCAGGTCAAAGACAGCCCCAGCAAAGCCAAATGCAAACGACTGGCTCGCCGAACCCCCTTTCTCACTATTTGATTCATGAGTCTACTTCGGATTTCTTCAAGCGGCCAGATTTGGATGAGCAGCTCGCAAAACTACTTGCTCAGCCCGTCCTTTATCACCCATGGGTAGAAGATCTGCCAAACACTGGAGTGACCCATCTGTATATCGCTGGCAATGAAATATCGGTGGAAGCTGTGGCGAGTCTCTTGGTCTCATCCCAATTGCATGCTTTGGATTTTGGCACCATCAGAACTCCAGACAAGGCATACGAGACCCATCATCTTGGGCGAAAGAACTACCCTGGGGCCGAGAAGCTAGTTCCAGTCCTAGGAAAGGTGGCGGGCGAGAGCCTAATATACCTCCGAGCACACCATGCTGTTCTGACGTGTGAACCACCAGCCAGAGATGTGACAAATGCTGTTGAGTTTCTACCAGAGCTGCCTGGACAACAACTTCCTGATGAAGATCAGCAATTTGAGTTGGATGCCTCCCAGGAGGTCTTTGAGTTGCCGGAGGACACACGACCCGTGTTTGAACTTGCAGATACATCGAGGGCCGACTCCATGGGCTCGGGGCTAACAGTGGTCGTGCCTGAGACACCCCAGCTCCTAACCCCAGATGAGCCCATGCCAGCCATTAGACGTGGGTCAGCTTTTGCCCCGGAAGTCGTACAAGACAGCGCCGATGGAAGTGTTGCTAGAGTCTCTAGAACAGACACCTTCATGTCTCTCTCATCCGCCTCGGAATGTGACACACTCGCCACAGAATCGTCTCTTCAGACAACCCTTCAATGCAACTCCCCGGTTTCAATGAATGACCCTCGTGCGGAGATGATACAACAGCTGCTGGCAAAACGACCACGAAACCAATCAATTCCACTTCAGGGAGGGAAAGAAAGTCGCTTTCCCTACCTGCATCCCTCACACATCCCTCATATGCAGACGTTAGTCTTGTCGGATGTGCCCTCACACGTGGCCCCCAATTCCTCTACAATCCCCGCCCTCATAAGATTCATCACTGCCTGCTCCAACGAAGCCTTATTAGCAAGCCTGCAGGCCGGATCCGACTATTCACTTCCGCCAGGCCAGGCACGCATGGAAGCCGAGCAGCAAAGATCTCGGTCCATATTCGGGTTACGGCGTGTAGTCCTCGAGATAACACCTGTTGATACTTCTAAGCTGACGTCGTGGAAACCGGGGAATCAATACAATGCCACAGGCCATTCAAGCACAGGGGATCGTGATTCGGAGAATCTTTGGTCTGCAGCCGCTGGTGACTTCAGTTTCTTTGGGGAGGAAGAATGCGGAGTTCCTGCAAACGATCCTGGCAAGTACTTCCCCATGGCTGCTTTGAACGAGAAGGTCTCCCTCATGCCGGACGATGATTCGACCTTATCGCCTGATTCTCCCCACCTTGGACGTCATCCTTCACCGAGCATGAAATCTTCTAGTCCCCCACAAAGTCAAGCTCCGATCCACACCTTGGATCTTGTCGCAGAGCTTGCGGCATTTCGTCGCGAAAGGAAGGCAGAATACGAGCAGGGTGTTCAACGCCAAAGGAAACGGCGCAGCACAACAAGTTCGGGTGTTTCCAGTCTTCTGCCGACATCACCCAATCTCCCCATGACAACATTTGTCGAGGGTCATTGGAAAGGAGAGCTCAAGGTAGTTCGAAACCCCATGCCCAAGGGGCGGACGGGAATGGTCGATATGTATGGGAACTATTTTGAGAAGGGGTATCTGTACCCTTGAGGACTTGCACATGGCAGAATACCCCAGATAAGCCCACGAATTAAGGATCTATAAGAATCTACGTCATTCAAACATGCTTTTGTAGGAATTTTTGATTTTTTTAAGTCCTGCTAGGGACTTGAACCATCCTTCCTCCCAGTCATAACAAGCCGTCTTCAACGGGCCCATAAACATCACAAAACCAGAGGGACGCCCATTGTCTTCGTCGGACAAGTGGTGCCGTCTTCTTCATGCTCAATGCAGGAGCGGGTCGGCAGTTTCGAGACCGAGCATCACCCCTGCGATCCGGTTGACAAGAACACCAATGCGAAGAGTGAAGACAAAATAAAAGAATTCATTTCAAACTAGTTCCATTTTATTTTGTTCGTCATGCGACATTCAACTCCTTACAAAGCCTTGGCGGCAGTAGGGGGCTGGAGCTTCTTGCCGTCCTTGTTGAAGCGGATGCGAGGAGGGGGAGCACGGTTGCGGCGGCCGTCACGGGAACGAACACTGCGGAGAATTAGTATTTTGGTGGAGGAAAATAGTTGTTGCTGATCGATAACGTACCGGACAATCTTTCCGTGAATGGCGCAAGACACACAGTACTGGAGCTTGAGGTACATCTTGGGGACGGCGTACTCAGCGAAGACGGAGGCATCGGAGATATCACCTGCAATCGAACGGTGTTAGTTGTGCTGATTCGGTGTAGATTTGTCTCGTATTTGTGCGCGGGGGTAGAAATTGGGAATGGATCGATTTTTTTGGGATTGGCGGGTTCACGTACGGATGGCAGCGGACTCAACCATGTTGCGGATGGTGAAACGCTTGATAGCCTTGTCCTTGGGAACGCAGCGAGCGCAGTTGGAGCAGCGCACGGGCTTAACGTGGCCGCGGCCGTTCTTGTTGCGACCGCTAGAGAATTAATTAGTTACCATTCCCCCGAAGTTGCACATCGGTTGGAATCCAGGTTCCCATTCTCTTCATCCGGCAATGTGCGTGTGTCGTTCTGTTCGATCTCGAAATGTTTGTTGTATGCGCATTGGTCGTCATTGCGGATGTGTCGAATGGGATCCTGCTTCGCCGATGTTGGGGGGTTGGTCTTACTTGTTCGCCCTCTTCTTGACCATTTTGACGGTTTGTTCTGTGGGAGGTCAGGTAATGATCACTAGGTGAAAGGGGGGGGGTAGGTAGCGTACGGTTGACTTGTCGGGAGTGGGTTGTTCAAGCTCGCTCTCACAAAGTATCGCTCGGGATGGATTGGATTGTGCGGGTAGCCCTAAGCCATTAAGCGAGGTCAAGGCCACAAGGCATCAATTTCTCAGGTGATATGTCAGGTGACGACGCTGGATGACATAATAAAGGTGCCCAAATACACTAGTCTCAATTCTGACTAGTGGCCCCGGTGCGGAACCACAGAATGGCCAGTGTTTACGGCTCCTCATCCCCGACTAACGCCAGAAACACCCCTGTCGGGATCGACTATTGACTGCCCTTTTTTTTTCCCTACCCAAAGAATTCCCCTTGCTTTTCCTCCCATACCAGTCTCACATCTTAAGATCCTTGTCTTGTTTGTGTCTTGCTCCCTCCATTCCCTCTGATTCTATTGAGACTTTCCTCTTTGGGCATCACAATGTCGGCTACAGGGACTTTTCGGGGCACGCCCAATAAGACGATCGGTAGAGGGAGGCTGCCCGACTTCGGTAATGATCCTAGTGCTTCCCATATCCCCCGACCCAGGCCAGAAACTTCCGCTTCAACCCATACACCCTCAAGCGACCTTGGAAGCGGCACCATGAGCGCCGCCAGTAGCAGACAGCGACAGACCCAGTCGAAGCGTGATGAGGTACGTCATGGCTATAACCTCGGTCTGTCAAGTTTTGGCCCAAGCTAACCTCGATACCAGGCCATCCGCCGCAAGATGGAGGCTGACCTCAACAAGAAGAGGAACGCTCCGGCCAAATCAAGAAGCTCCCGCAAAGCCCCTCCCGGCACCGTGCTCGCCCTTAAGCCCAGCCAGGCTCTCCAAATCAAACCTGCGCTGAGCATCGCCGAAGCCGCCCAGCTTATGGCCGCCAAGAGAGAAGACTGTGTGTTGGTCACCGACGACAATGAGCGCATCGCAGGTATCTTCACCGCTAAGGACCTGGCTTTCCGCGTTATCGGAATGGGCTTGAAGGCGCGAGAGGTCTCCGTCGCCGAGATCATGACGAAAAACCCGCTTTGCGCCAGAACTGACACCAGCGCTACCGATGCGCTCGATCTGATGGTGCGGAAAGGATTCAGACATCTGCCAGTCATGGATGAGAACCAAGACATTTCCGGTGTTTTGGATATCACCAAGTGCTTCTATGATGCTATGGAGAAATTGGAACGTGCGTACAGCTCTTCCCGCAAGCTGTACGATGCGCTGGAGGGTGTGCAGACAGAGCTTGGCTCTAGTCAGCCCCAACAGGTGATTCAATACGTTGAAGCCCTGCGATCCAAGATGTCTGGTCCGACTCTGGAGACCGTTTTGGACGGTATGCCCCCGGTCACCGTCTCTGTCCGCACCACTGTGAAGGACGCTGCGGCCCTTATGAAGGAGCACCACACCACCGCCTTGTTGGTCCAAGACCAAGGCTCCATCACGGGTATCTTCACTAGCAAAGATATCGTTCTTCGTGTCATCGCGCCTGGTCTCGACCCTGCCACGTGCAGTGTCGTTCGCGTCATGACTCCTCACCCCGACTTTGCTCCCTCAGACATGAGCATTCAAGCCGCTCTTCGCAAGATGCACGGTCAGTTGTTTAGCTATGCAATCATGTCGCACGCACTAACATCCCGCAGATGGTCACTATCTTAACCTCCCCGTGATGAACGAGGGCGGTGAAATTGTTGGCATGGTCGATGTCTTGAAGCTCACATATGCTACCCTCGAACAGGTATGGTTAATCGCAGTTATTCTGAACATGTGGATATTGACCTCATTTAGATCAACACGATGTCAACCCAAGACGACGAGGGACCCGCATGGAACAAGTTCTGGCTGTCAATGGACCACGAATCCGACTCTATGGTCTCTGGTAGCCAGAGTCAGCAGCCGCACACTCCCCATCGCTCTGTGATGAGCCCCGATATGACTCGTTCGGGCTACGACAACAGTCTTCTCCCCAACGACTCAGCATCCCACCACGGCGATGAGCACTCTGAGATTGCTTCTCAGCACCACACAGAGCCGGCCGCTCCTACTCCGTTCCCCTTCAAGTTCAAGGCCCCAAGTGGCCGTGTGCACCGTGTCAATGTACTCACCACCAACGGTGTCACCGACCTTGTATCGCAGGTGACAGCGAAGCTTGGCAAGGAAGTCGAGGCCGTTGGCGGAGAGGCTACTGTCCAAGATGGTACACTGAGCAACACTGGGTACGCGCTCAGCTATATGGACAATGAGGGTGACACGGTCTCCATTACCACTGACCAAGACATGACCGATGCCATTGATCTGGCACGCCACACGCACCGGGACAAGGTTGATCTCTTTGTCCATGATCCTACCCAACCCCCTATTCCTGCCACTGTCGAGCCTCAGCCGGTCAAAATCATGACCCCTGTTGAGGAGCAAAGTACATTCGAGGAACCTGCACCAGAGGAGATGCCTTCCCCCGTGAAGGCACGCCCGCAACAACAGGCCGCTCCCTCTCACCTCCCCGATGAGCAATTGATCGCTGGTGTTCCCAATGACTTGCTGCTTCCCGGTGCCATTGTGACACTCGCCGCAGTCATTGCGGGTGTGTTCATCCTCAGCCGCCCCAGTGGCCGTTAAAAAACATGTCTCCCCTTCTTCTTCTCTCTAAATACTTCTTGGTTGCAACTTTTTTCTTCGGGAAAGCGTGGTAGATTCTTTGATTGTCCGGAGTATTGCATACCCGTTTCTCTAATATCGATATTTTGCGTCGCCTCCAGATACCGCTGTTTGTTCTCTGAGCAGTTTTGGCGCTAGTTCAGCCTTCAATGCAAATATATGTTCTATACTTAAGTAATATATTTTTGTCCTTCTTGAAGCTTCCAACTTTAGAAGGTTTGGATCTCGATATATATTTCCAAACGGGTCTACAGGTGCTCGAATTTGCCCACAACTAAGTGAATAGTCACAGATACTTACTGAAGTACATATGGTCTGCGTTTTAGAAAAACAACTGAGAAGTACTGAAGTAAACCTTGGAGTACTGTTTACAGATGTAAATGATGATGCCTGTCCCGAGGTCTAAGGTTCTGACAACTTTAGATCTACTTAAGTACCCGTGGACTGAGCCTCTCAACCTCACGACCAATCGAGTCCACCCTATTCTAATCTTCAACCTTTATCCAATTCCTTCGGGGCTGCCAAATGCTTTATCTTACGAATACGAGAGGACTTGCTCCAGGTCTCAGGCCTATAACCCTGAAGACAGCGTATGACGACATTATGCAATGGCTTTAGCCTCAGCGGATAGCTTCCGGATCTAAATATTTATCTAGGTCCTCCCAAGAGGGTTTGAATCAAAGATAAACTAAAAGCTTCCAAGGTTGTCCAGCAAACCAAGAGCGAGTGTGCAAATCAGACGCTCCATCCACGGACCTCGTATGGTCATACTCGCTTTGAGCAGTGAAAACATGTTGATATTGGCCTTACTGCCTGACAATTACTTAGTACAGTCTAGCGAATGCTGAAGGGTATTTTCTTTGAAAGAGTGAAAAAGACCCCAGAGAGGTTCTAAAGTTCTTTGGCATTGAAAGAGTCTGGGCAGAAATAACTCGAGATCTCGGGGAGGTGTGGCAGCTCACATTCTCCCAGCTTTGGAAGGGTTTATCGTATCGCTCTCCTAATCAGAATTTCTTCTTTTTTCCCTTCTCCCCGCCCCACCAAAAACAAAACTCCTACCTTCTTTCTACCCCCCCACCAAAACTTCCTAGGTACATCTACGAGGGCTGCAAGATCTGGGTTGCTTGGCTCGTCTGGGAAACACATCATGTCCCTCCTACCCCCAGAGGTGCACACCGCGCTTTCTCAGCTGCTCAGCGCTCTGAGCACCCCCGACAACACCGTCAGATCCCAGGCGGAAGATCAGCTCAATAATGATTGGGTTCAAAACCGGCCAGATGTCCTTTTGATGGGATTGGCTGAACAACTCGGCGGCGCATCGGACACAATAGTAAGTTGGCCATCTCCATCCCAGGGGGGTGTTTGCTTGGGCCTAGGAGGAAGGTGCAGGCTTTCGGGCAGGAAACAGATACTAACTGGGAATTTTCACACATAGACTCGTGCCTTTTCCGCTGTACTTTTCCGCAGAATCGCCACAAAGACCCGCAAGGATCCTGCCTCGGGTGACGCCAAGGAGATCTTCTCTAGCCTCCCCATCGAGCAACGAGTCGCCATCCGTGAGAAGATCGTGGCCTGCTTGAGCAGCGAGTCCGTTAACGATGTGCGCAAGAAGATTGGAGATGCATTGGCCGAAGTTGCCCGACAATACACCGACAATGGTATGCGATATGAGTCAAACTGGGGATTGGTGGTGCTGACCGTGTGTTATTTACAGGCGAACAATGGCCCGAACTTCTCGGTGTGTTGTTCCAGGCAAGTCAGAGCCCCGAGTCCGGCCTGCGGGAGACCGCATACCGCGTTTTCACGACTACCCCGGGTATCATCGAGAGACAGCACGAGGAGGCCGTTCTCGAGGTCTTCACTAAGGGCTTCAAGGATGATAACATTTCTGTATGTTACAGCATGGATATGGCTCATCATGTTGGGTTTGAGGCCATTGCTAATCTCGACTCCAGGTCCGTATCTCCGCCATGGAGGCCTTCGCTTCCCTGTTCCGATCGATTTCCAAAAAGTCCCAGCCCAAGTTCTTTGGCCTCATGCCCGATCTCCTCAACATTTTGCCTCCCCTCAAGGAATCCTCAGAGAGCGAAGAGCTTTCGTCAGCGCTGCTTGCTCTGATCGAATTGGCGGAAATCAGCCCGAAGATGTTCAAGGCCATGTTCAACAACTTGGTGAAATTCAGCATCAGTGTTGTCGCCGACAAGGAGCTTAGCGACCAAGTGCGTCAGAACGCACTCGAGCTCATGGCTACCTTTGCCGACTACGCCCCGAACATGTGCAAGAAGGAACCCGAATTCGCACAGGAAATGGTCACCCAGTGCTTGAGTTTGATGACTGATGTTGGTGCTGATGATGATGATGCCGAAGAGTGGAACGCGTCCGAAGATCTCGAACCCGAAGAGAGTGACCTCAACCACATCGCCGGTGAGCAATGTATGGACCGCCTCGCCAACAAACTTGGCGGGCAAGCCATTCTCCAACCCGCTTTCTCCTGGATTCCTCGCATGATGTCGTCGACCAACTGGCGCGATCGCCATGCCGCTTTGATGGCCATCTCCGCGATCTCAGAGGGTTGTCGCGACCTCATGGTCGGTGAGCTCGACCAAGTCCTGGCTCTTGTTGTCCCCGCCCTTCAAGATGCCCACCCTCGCGTTCGCTACGCAGGTTGCAACGCTCTCGGTCAGATGAGCACCGACTTCGCCGGCACTATGCAGGAAAAATACCACGAGATTGTCCTCACCAACATCATTCCCGTTCTTGCCTCATCCGAGCCTCGTGTGCAATCTCACGCCGCTGCGGCCCTCGTCAACTTCTGCGAGGAAGCTGAGCGGAGCACTCTCGAACCCTACCTAGGAAACCTTCTCAGCCACCTGCTCGGTCTCTTGCGCAGCCCCAAGCGTTATCTGCAAGAACAGGCGCTGTCTACTATTGCTACTATTGCCGATTCCGCCGAGGCCGCGTTCGACCAGTACTACACAACATTGATGCCTCTTCTGCTCAATGTCCTGAAGGAGGAACAGGGCAAGGAATACCGCCTTCTCCGTGCCAAGGCTATGGAGTGTGCCACCTTGATCGCTCTGGCCGTCGGTAAGGAGAAGATGGGCCAAGACGCCCTCAACCTTGTTCAAATCCTGGGCAACATCCAGCAGAACATTGTCGACGCCGACGATCCTCAGTCACAATACCTTCTCCACTGCTGGGGCCGTATGTGCCGTGTCCTAGGTCGCGATTTCGTCCCGTACCTGCCTGGCGTTATGCCTCCTCTTCTGACAGTGGCCGCCGCCAAGGCTGATATCCAATTGCTAGATGACGAGGACCAGATCGAGCAGGTTGAGCAAGATGAAGGTTGGGAGCTTGTTCCTCTCAAGGGCAAGGTCATCGGAATCAAGACCAGTGCTCTTGAGGACAAAAACACTGCCATCGAGCTCATCACCATCTACGCCCAGATCTTGGAGGAGAACTTTGAGCCTTACGTCATGGAGACCATGGAGAAGATCGCTGTTCCTGGTCTTGCTTTCTTCTTCCATGACCCTGTCCGCGTATCTGCCGCTAAGCTGATCCCCCAGTTGCTTAACTCCTTCAAGAAATCACACGGACAGCAGTCACCTGGTTTCGCTGAGATGTGGACCAAGGTTGCTGAGAAGATCATTGAGGTTCTGAGCGCCGAGCCTACCGTTGATACCCTGGCCGAGATGTACCAGTGCTTCTACGAGTCAGTGGAGGTGGTTGGCCGAAACTCTCTCACCCCCCAGCACTTGCAGGCCTTCATCGAGTCTGCCAAGTCAACCCTTGAGGACTACCAGATGCGCGTTAAGCAACGCTTGGAGGAGCAGGCCGAACTTGAAGAAGGCGACGAAGAGAACTTGGACTTCGAGTACGCTATTGAGGACGACCAGAACTTGCTGAGTGACATGAACAAGGCCTTCCACACCATCTTCAAGAACCAAGGAAACTCCTTCCTGCCAACCTGGCAGCAACTGGTGCCATTCTACGATGCATTCATCAACAGCCAGGACCCCACACAACGGCAATGGGCCCTCTGCATCATGGACGATGTGCTGGAGTTCTGTGGCGACGAATCCTGGACCTACAAGGACCACATCATGCGTCCATTGGCCGCTGGTCTGCAGGATGAGAACGCAGCTAACCGCCAGGCTGCCGCTTATGGTGTCGGTGTGGCCGCACAGAAGGGTGGGCCTGCATGGAGCGACTTTGTAGCAGCCAGCCTTCCCAGTCTGTTCCAAATCACACAGCATGCGCAGTCTCGCACGGAAGAGAATGTCTTTGCCACTGAGAACGCTTCCGCCAGTATTGCTAAGGTCCTTCACTACAATGCATCCAAGGTTCAGGCTCCCCAGGATGTTGTCGTCACCTGGATTGAGACTCTGCCCATTACATACGATGAAGAGGCTGCTCCCTACGCCTACTCTTTCATTGCGCAGCTGATTGAGCAGTACGTTCACCTTTCCATTTCTTTCCAGTTTTCCAGTCCCTTTTTGGTTATATCACAATGCTAACTTGATTACTAGACAAAACCCTGCCATCTTCGCCAAGGCTGACCGAGTTTTCGGTTTCATTGTGCAGGCGCTTGAGGCTGCTACCTTGCAAGGTCAGACTGCTGTGCGGGTGGCCGCAGCCGCAAAGCAGCTCGTAGCCGCGACCGGCGCAAACGCAGATCAAATCCTGGCTTCTGTTGACCCGAACAACCAGGAGCGTGTGCGCAAGTTCTTCCAATAGGTATTGCTTGGACTTCCTGTTTATATCCAGCAACGCTTCATCCCCTTTCCTGTTATCTCCCCATCATTCCCCTAAGTCATGTGAAATCTGAAGTTACCTGAACCCCGACACGTTTCGTTAATCTCTATGTCCTACGTATGAATCCCATACGCTTTCTAGACATTGTTTTGAGTTGCGCTGTTCCACGTAGTATTTAATGAAATTCTGTCTTGTCTCGGACAGTCTGTTCAAACCAAATTATGTCAAATTTAGCCACCTACAGCTTCGATACCCGTGCGATTTCATTCGCAACAACCTCTTGCAAACCCATGACCTTCGGCTCCCCAATAATTGTGTTGGCTCGCTTAGCATACAGCGTGCCTCCCTCCGTCCAAATCCGCCGCAAAGTCAACACCGTGGCGGACGGCTTTCCAGCCTCCCAAGCCGCGGCCTCCAGCTCCCGCAGCTTCTCCAGAGACGTGCGTGATACCTCCCATGGTTGACCCCCAAGCTGGCGTTCAAACTCTGCTTGAATCTCGTCTGGGGTGGTAGTAAACGAATTGACACATAGCGCGGAATTGCGTGTTTCAGCCGTGGCATGAAGCAGGGTGTTTCGAACCAGAGTTCCAACACTTGTAAAATAGTTAGCAGATCATCCAAGCAATGACAGAAAATAAAAACAAAAATAGAGAACTCACTCTTGCATAGTCGTCAAACTAATCTTCGCGCCTTTCTCACCCAGCAATACTGCTTTACGTGCCTTGACATCCCATCCACCTGCTTCCTCAAGCCCAGGCACTAGGTCAAGGTACATCTCGGCAAAAGGTCCGGTCACAACGTATGAGTAGGCAAGGTCTTCTCGTGAGACTTCGTTCTCGAGATACGCGCGCACCTTCAGCTTTTGCTGATGCGGCTTCTCATTTGCCGAGGCAGGCCCGTACTTGATATCTGTGCCGTATTCTGACGGGAGGAACCATTTCACATCTTTACTGGCAGCTGCTAGACGAATGAGGGGGATCTGCTGCGCTAGGGTATTGCGACCCAATGCTGAAATCACAGTGTCGATTCCTTGGATTGTTAGCTATTCGATTTCCCGATTTGATGTTGTAGGAATTGGGTTTAGATACCTGCATATGCGGCCTTGACTGCTTCTTCGTCTTCGACATTGCCTGTGATCACCTCGACGCCTTGTTGTTTGAGCTTCTCTAGCTGCGCAGCTTTGGTTTGTGCTGTGTGCGGGGAAGTGAAGATGGCGATACGGCCAAATTGGGAGCGCACGGGTAGAATGGCATCGAGGATGAATGTGCCGATATTACCCGTGGCACCGAAGAGGAGGATGTTCTTTGCAAGAGACATTTTGAAATCGTGCAGTTGCAAACTACCCAATACGTTTTCCTAGGTATTTATACAGTTCAGTTATAGTGTGGGGTTGCTTATCAATATGAATTTCTCCGTTGACGCCATTTCCCACTGTTTTTGTTCGGGCTTCTGTCCGACACTCTTTTACTATATAGCCTATTCAACAACCACTTTATGAGAGCCACCAGTCACCTTGACAGTGGCAGTATTGTCTACATAAGTCACTCCTCTCGTCAATTGATCACCGTTGATGGTGATCGAAGGCTTCTTGGATGCGGCAATAAAGGGCAAAGTGACTTTTCCCACCGAACTCTTCGGCACCGTAAAATCCAGAACATATCCATGCCCATTAGATCTTTTTTTCCAAGACGCCTCGAATTTTCCGAGGGAGGTGACGAAGCCGGCTGAGGCAAAATCCAAGTCCCCAAATTGTGGTGCAATATTCCACTCCAGCCCCAGAGGAGAGACCACAGACAAGCCAACAACATACTCTGTCAATGCAGAGGTTGGTCCTGCTGACCAGCCATGGGCATGAGAAACATAGGAGGGATCATATCCGTACCCGCGGTTCATTCGGTATCCGAAAGTGCCGTTTTGAAGGTATCCCTCTATTACGGTGCTCTGGGTACCATTCGGATTATTGATGTACCAGCCCCAGCTGCGACGGATGAGCTCCAGGGCGCGCAGTGGCTGGTTAGCAATGAAGTGGCTTTGAATCTCGAAGGAGGAAATGAATGAGGCGATATTTTCGGGTAACTCAGGGGCCACGGCTCCGATCGGCGTCCAGTTCTTGAGAAGTTTCTCGGAGATACTGGCTGCACGCTCATCATCGACAATTCCAAACATTATTGCCATGCTGTTGGCATCTTGTGGATGCAGAGTGGTTTCCGTTGCGTTGTCTTTGAATGCACCGTACGATTCATCCCAGCAATAGGTGTTGATTGCTTTCTTGAGATTGGCTGCTTGTGAGCTCCATGTAGTTGATAGGTTGGTCGAGTCTCCAGCCCATGAGGCAAGAGATGAACCTGTTTTGAGTGTATGATAAAGACTGGATGTGTAAGTTTGAAGATCCTCTGATCAAAACTGGAAAACATACATCATCTGGGCCTCGGAGTTGTTATAGCCTTGCTGCCATCGAGCCCAGTCTCGTGTGCCGGTTACGTTCAGAAGACCACTGGGGTAAGTCACCTTGCCGTAAATGTAGTCCATGGCATGCAGATAACCTCCCCAGTTTTTCAATAGGAAGTCAGTATCGTTGGTGTATAGTACGTAGTTGTAAGTGCCGATCATAGACCACATATGGTATGTATCCGAGTCCTTTTGACTGAGTGGAGGTCCAGATTCATCAAATGCACCCGTGGAATTGTCCTATACTCAGGTGGATTAGCTCTAGACATAGAGATCTCAAAAGAACTCACCTGTGTCGTGTACATGATCTGCAAAGCGTTCTTGACACTTTCTAGATCACCCAAGCTCACGAACGCCGAAGGAACAGCAATGCCCATATCACCAGGCCAAACCGCACGATCCCGCTTGGCACCGTCCACGATGATAGTATCTCCAGGTCCGAGTGTCCCATTGTTGACCCATCCTGAGGTAATACCCTTGGTGACTCGGCCCGTATTAACAGGCACTTCGTTCGTCTGTAGTGTATAGGCACCGCTGTACCAGATGCGATTCAGAAGCTCGTCACTGGAGTGGAAATATCCCTGATAAGCCCTCAGATTTGACCAAGTGGGTTTAAATGCGATTTCCAAGCTCAAGTCCTCAATCTGGACGTCCACCAAGTCATCCGTGATGAGGAAAACGGTCAGGTATCGGAATCCACCTCGCAGATATTTGTCCGGCATAACATAACTTCCCGTCCCAGAGGAGGAAATGTTGGCATACAGAGCACCATCATGGTACAGAGCACTTGACGAATCTGACCATTTTCCGATCCAGGTTTTTGCTTCCGTGAATGCCAGACCTATGTTTGCCTTGCCGGTAGAGGTATAGTTTAGATGCACAATACCCCCCACCTCGACGCCAAAGTCAAATACTATTGTCGAGCCATTTCCGTGTAAGGATGCTTTGTATGGATAGAGGGAGTCTGTGCTAGCATTTTTCTTCAGTTCCAGTAGTGTTGACGCTGGTCGTACTGTTCGTGAGGCTGGCGCAAAAATGTTTCTCTCCCAGGGCCCGTTGAATGCACTTTCTGTGGGACCCGAGCAGGAGGTGTCGCGCCAGCAGCTGTCAGCGAAAGATAGCGAAAAGAGGCTGTAAAAGCTAAATAATAAGCAAAGCCAGTGCGTCCCTGCCATTGTAAGCGTCTGGTGTCTGTGAAACTGCTCATGAACGGATAGGCATTAATTGGTACATATTTGAAAAATAGTAGCGGGGAAAGATGCAACAACAAGCATTGCTCGGCATGAAATGACACGAGTGGCTGAAAGACAGGTGCGGACCTGTTGTGGTGGAACTGGGGATACCATAGCGTTGTGTATACACTATTGGTGGAATAATCATGGAGATGCCATCAATCTATCCAAAGCTTGTGCGGGGATCGTCCAAACAAGCACTTGAAAGGGCTCACAACTTACGTTATGGCGCAGGGCGCAGGGATTATTGTGTTTTCCCCGCAGAAAAACTGTTCTCCCCAACATTGACTCGAGGCAGAGCTCGGCCCAAAGTTCCCCGAGAAACATACGAAGTTGTATAGACCCATGGATATCGGGCCAGTGCGCCAAGGATATACTTAAGTAAATCGAGATCATCCTGAGTAGTGTGACAAGAGATAAAACATCGTGTCAGCCTTAACATGCGACTTTTTGGAATAGCTGGCCTAGCCGTCCTATTCGGGTTTGTGCCGTTAAACCATGTAAATGCAAAGGAGCAACGCAAATCGAGTGTTTGCACAGTCAAAGCTCAAGGGAACCAGAAAGATGATGTCCCAAACATACTCGAAGCTTTCCACCAATGTGGCCACGGAGGTACCGTTGTTTTCCCGGAGGATCAGTCGTATTGGATTGGAACTCGTTTGAACCCCGTGGTAAACGATGTGTCCATTGATTGGCGCGGAAAATGGACGGTGAGTTGAGTTAAATAGAAGACCGAATCGGACTAACATGCGTTAGTTCTCCGATGACCTCAGTTATTGGCGAAACAACTCGTATCCAGTTGCCTTTCAGAACCATGCTGCCGGTTTTGTTCTCACAGGCCACAACATCTCAATCAACGGATATGGGACTGGTGGCATCGACGGCAACGGGAATATATGGTATACGGCAGAGAAAGGTGACACACAGCCAGGAAGACCTATGCCATTTGTCTTTTGGAACGTGTCCGATGTTAGTGTCGAAAACTTTTATGTCAAAGATCCCCAGTTGTGGAGTGTGAACATCATGAACGGGACCAACATGCGGTTCAATAACATCTACTGCAATGCTACTGCAGTCGATGCCCCATATGGTCAGAATTGGGTTCAGAATACGGACGGATTTGGTAAGAGAAGCTCTAGTCCATACCCATTTGACTGGCGTACACTGACATGATCCTAGACACCATGGACGCAAAGAACATCCAGCTCACCAACTTTGTCTACCAAGGCGGAGACGATTGCATAGCTATCAAGCCGCGGTCATACAACATTGATATTCACAATGTGACTTGTCGCGGTGGCAACGGGATTGCGATCGGTAGTCTGGGCCAATATCAAGAAGACTCAGGCGTGGCCAACATCCGCATCGATAAAGTGAAGGTGATTCGCTATAACGAGGACATGCACAACAGTGCATATATCAAAACTTGGGTGGGTGCTCTTATGCCGCAGACATCATATGAGAGCGCTGGGCTCCCTCGTGGGGGTGGTTGGGGCAGCATTCGCAATGTGATATTTTCGAACTTCGACATCCAGGGAGCGAACGCAGGCCCTTCCATCACGCAGGACAATGGTAACAATGGATCCTATTCCGGGACAAGTTTGATGAGCATTTCAAACGTGGCATTTGTGAATTTCACAGGTAGTATCGAAACTACTTCAAAGGTGGCATCCGTATCTTGTTCCAAGGTGCATCCATGCTATAATATCGATTTTAATAATGTGGTCCTGTACGGGAAGAACGCAAGCACCCCTGGTATTGGATCTTGCAAGTACACAGATGTCGGTGGAGTCCATGGACTCAGTGGATGTTAAGTAGAAGATGTCGAAAGATGGACACTTCCAATGAGTTGAGCTCGGGGAAACCCCGCGCCCCACCAATGATATAACCACATCCTCGACCTCTCTACCTCACCTTTACCTCACATCTCTTACTGCCTTCATTTTAGATAATCTACAGCCATGTCAGAGACTGTGCAGCAGGCGTTCTCCGGTCGCGACTGCCCTCTCATCTCTTACGGTATCCCATTCCCAGAAGCCGCCTCCCGTCATTTGCGCGAGTCCTTCCAAGCATCCCGCGTCTACGTGATCTGCTCACAAACGCTGGCGCGAACAACGGATGTGATTGAGCGCTTATCAAATGCTCTGGGTTCGACTTTGGTGGGCCATCGGGTAGGGATGAAAAGCCATACACTGTGGTCAGAAGTATTGCAAATTACAGAAGAAACCCGGGCCCTTGAGGCAGATGCCATCCTTACTGTAGGAGCTGGCAGCTTGACCGATGGAGCTAAAATTGTTGCATTGGTACGTAAAGCGATTCTTCCAAGGCCACTGGAATGGATTCTTGCCGATCCTCATCCCTGCTACCATCTCCCAAATGGGCTTTGTTTTCATTTTCAACCACAAGGTTAAAAAACCTGACATCTTCTCTAGGCCCTTGCAAATGGCATCAAAACTGCAGATGAACTCAAAACCCTTGCAGAAGGACCCGACAAAAGAGACAGCATTACAGCACCCCAAATACCCATCATTTCAGTTCCAACGTCCCTTTCTGCTGGCGAATTTTCTGACTTTGCAGGTGGGACAGAGGACAGTTCCAAACGTAAACACAGTTTCCAACCACCTACTCGTGGGCCTCAGCTTGTGATTTTTGACCAAGAGTTGGTTAAATCCACCCCAAACTCAATTTGGCTCAGCACTGGTGTGCGCGCGATTGATCACTGTGTCGAGTCTCTGTGTGCGATCAAAGGCACGACCGAAGCTTCAAATACACTGGCTATACATGCGCTGAGCCTATTAGTATCCGGTCTTCTACGCTGCAAGAAAAGCCGGGAAGACCGTGATGCACATTTGCAGTGCCAACTCGGCTCGATTGATGCCATGGCTGCTTGCACGAGCGGGTCCATTGAACTAGGAGCTAGCCACGGAATAGGACACCAGGTATGTATATACTCGATAGTGATATCTGCCTATGAAAATTATTGGTGGTACAAGAACGACATTGTTAACATATGAATACTAGCTCGGACCGCTAGGTGTCGGTCATGGTGAAACAAGCTGCATACTCCTGCCGGCTGTGTGTAAGTTCAATGCAAAGTATGAAGCCAACTGCGAGCAGCAGGAAAGCGTACGTCTATCCCTGATTGGGGAACCTATTGTGTCGGAACTTTTACATACTCGATCGGTGAGTGTGGACACTTCGGACTTGGGTGATGTTTTGGATGTCATTACTCGTGAACTGGGAATGCCTCGGTCCTTGACTGATGTCCATGTGGGACGGGATAAGTTGGATGAACTTGCAGCGAACAGTTTGCATGATCGTTGGTGCAAGACAAATCCGATCCCACTCGAAAAGCATTCTCAGGTCTTGGAGATCTTAGAGATGGTGATATAAAAACAGGTTCCAGAAACTCGACTTCGGCCAAGGATAGACAGAACCGGTCGCTCTTTACATGTCGAACTATTTACAGCACGGTCTCAAACCATCTTTATCACAACTCTTTCCCCTGCTTTTCCGTACCCATCTTTAATACAATCCTCCAAGTTCACTTTCCTGAATGAAGTCTCGTCCTGAGCACATATCGACCCATTTTCAACCCAATCTCCAAGGAAACGCAAAAGCTCTGCTGCATCCTCAACAGTCGGGCTGACAGAGTTGCATCCAGCCAATATGAGCTCCTTGCGATAAGCCTGAAAGATATCAAACGAAAAATTCTTACTTGCTTCCCCCCTCGGCGCCGCAATCCACACATAACGGCCCTTCTGCGCCAGCTTCTCAACCGCGGCACCCATTAGTGCAAGATCTCCAACAGTGTCAACGACAACATCAACACCACGCCCACCAGTCATCTCTCCAATCCTCAAAGCCAATGTCTCAGCAGCACTCGCCCCTGAAATGACAATATCCGGCTTTGCCTCCTCCCGCCGCGCAGCAGTTAATATGCGCTTACATCCCATAGCCCGTGCCATCTGCACGGCCGCGGTACCAACAGCACCAGTAGAGCCAATAACCAAAACACTGTCAGTAGAAGAGACAGATGCCCTGCGCAGGCAGATCAATCCGGTCGTAAATGGGACGCCAACAGTCGCGGCTTGTAGCATCGATAGCGTGGATGGTTTCTCGACCAATGCATCCTGAGGCACGCAAATATACTGCGCATGTGGGCCATCACTCGTAAATCCCAGACTCGAGCCACTAGTGCCGTAGACCTCTTTCCCGATCCAGTTTGAGGTCGGGTTGGTTTCGGCCACGACGCCAGAGTAGTCGCGCCCTGGAACGCGGGGGAGCGTGGTAGATGGGAAGAGGCCTTGTGCGTTCAGACGGTCTGATGGATGAATGCATGAATGGTAGACTTTGACTAGTGCTTGGCCTGGTTTGAGAATTGGAATTGGCAGTGTGTTTATTGATAGTGACTTGGTGCCGGTGATTTGAAGTGCTTTCATTGTCGCCATTGTTGTGTGTGGATCGGAGGTCACTTGGACTATTTGAGTTTTGGTGATTGAATTAATAGATTTTGTTCGAAAATAAACACTCAGTATGGAGTAAATGAGTTGGAATCTTGTGGGAGTATTTGACTTAGAGTCGTCCTTCTGATCTTCACTGAGGTTTTATTGTCCAACATTCACCTCCGGACATGGCTGGCGGCCCGCGGCCCGCGCGGGCCCTGCGGAACCCAATGTCGACTTGAAGTACGGACTATCTTTAATGTGATGGAAAAATAAATTTAGAAGACCCTCATTTATTTTGACCTCGTGATACTTCCCGAAGAATTGAACAACGTGACAAAAAGCTCAGTGTTGGCTATCTCAATGGCTCAAGACGAGTAAGTGATCATCAATGAAGCAGCACACCCATTTCTAATCGACTTTCGCAGAAGAGATGAAGACATGACGATTAAATCGAGCAACCACGATAGCGATGGGATACAAGACCCTGAAAACCAAACGAAAGTACCGCGAGCACAATCTCCGACAAAAGAAGCAGCCTTCATAGCTGTGGTCTGCGCAGCACAACTCATGACCCAGGCCGGTCTCTCCCTCTCCATAGCCCCCATTCAGTATATCAGTACCAGCTTTGGTACGACACCACGGGATCTGACGTGGGCCTCCGCGGCGTACAGTTTGTCCGTTGGGACATTGATCTTAGTCTCTGGCAGACTGGGCGATACATACGGACACAGACTGCTATTCATCATTGGGTTCATCTGGTTCGGAGTCTGGTCACTTCTTGGAGGATTTGCTGTGTGGTCGAATCAGATCTTCTTCGACTGCTGTCGAGCCATGCAGGGTATTGGTCCAGCACTTCTGCTACCCAATACCGTGGCTATTTTCGGTCGGACGTATCCGCCGGGATTGAAGAAAGATATGGTGTTTTGTCTGTTTGGCGCGACGGCACCTGGTGGATTCACGTTGGGTGCGACTTTTTGCTCGCTACTCGCTCAGCGTGTGTGGTGGCCTTGGGGCTACTGGATCATGGGCATTGCATGCTTTGTGTTTGCCGTGCTTGGGCTTCTGGTGATTCCCTGTGATGATCGTGCGGAAGATATTGATAAGAAAGAAGCATCAACTTTCGAACAGCTAGATGGTCTTGGGGCTATCACTGGGGTCGTTGGCCTTGTGCTCATCAACTTTGCATGGAACCAAGCCTGTGTCGTTGGGTGGGAGGTACCATACACTTATGCCCTTCTAATTGTTGGGGTCCTCTTTATTGTTTTATTCCTCCTTGTGGAGCACAAAGCAGCCTATCCATTACTGCCTAATTCTGTTTTCAGGGGTGAAGTTGGATGGGTCCTGGGATGTATCGCAGCAGGGTGGTCCAGTTTTGGGGTTCTCGTGTTCTATTACTACAATTTCCTCGAGGAGATTGAGCACAACAGCGGGCTTTTAGTGACAGCCAAATGGGCTGGGGCCTCTTTATCCGGAGCAACTGCTGCAGTGGTGACTGGTGTCCTGATGAGCCGGGTACCACCGAGTGTCATTATGCTTGCTGCAATGTTGGCTTTTACAATAGGACTTTCCCTGTTGGCCACTTTACCTCCAGGTCAGGTCTATTGGGCAAATGCTTTTTTGATCATGCTGATCACCCCTTGGGGAATGTGAGTGGACCACTTTTATGACGGCTGCGAGCTGCTGACTGATCTCAACCAGGGACATGTCATTTCCATCCGGAACCTTGATCATGAGCAATGCGATGCCGCGTGAGCATCAAGGTGTCGCGGGCTCTCTAGTGAACACAGTTGTGAACTATTCCATCTCTCTTGGCCTCGGCCTAGCCGGCACAGTAGAGAGATATGTGGACCCAGATGGATCGAACGTGCTCAAGGGATATCGCGGTGCGTCTTATATGGGTGTTGGACTGGCAGGTCTGGGTTCTGTCATTGCCATATGTTTCACAATCGTGACTTGGTCCAAGTCAAAGAGAGCCTAAAGAGCGAATGGTCTTTCGAGCCAAAATGACACAGATGTAGAATGTCTTCAGTTAAAGAAGTCCATGTTTAATAAGAAGTCGAAATCAGAAGATTGCTGAGGATAAGAATAAGGACTGGCAAGTTCCAGCTCTTCTTCCGGTCGATTGTCGTTACCAGCAGGAGCTGGACTTGAGGGACCAAGAACTCTTTCAAGCGTTTCTATGCCTTTGCGCCTTTTTTCCAGCGAAGCTCGAACCAGGTTCCGTGCAGTGGTGATGGCCTCCTTTGCGAGATGTGTATCCAGCACATCCACAATCATCTCCAGCGTGTCCATGGCTTCAGGAAGATGCTTGACGGTGGCCTGAGTGTCGATAACCAAGAGGACACACACAAATTGGAACACAGTACTGATAACATTCCACCAAGGCCGAATCTGGCTTACCAAAGTACGTGCTGCAGGAAGGGCAGACATGCCCATCGTGATCACCTCATTTAGGAGGCTCTCTTTCAAGTTCGACTTGAGTAAGCGAAGCCGCCGATAGACAGAGAAACCCAAATCCGCTCGGACCAGTATTAAGAAGTCATGCCCGACAGATATTTCTGCCAAATGCCCCAAAGAAGACGAAAGCTCATGTATCGCCACGCTTGTATCGGGAGCATTCGTAGAAAGAGGGACTGCGTTAACAAGGCTGCACAGCTGAGGAGTGAAGTCGTCCACGTCAGTGGCAACTGGCAAAGACTTTTGAGCTGGAATTTCGAGGTTCATCACAGATCTGCCATACTCATACGCTATGATAACATGCAAGCAATGAGCTACCCATGCCGTTCTTTGGACGACATCAGACAATTCTGATGAAGAATCCTCTAATCCCTTCCGGGTAGCCAGGATAAGAGACTGTGGAGCCTGGTGCAGGCCCGTTGCCTCAACAAGGTGCATCAGCGTGCAGCTACAAATCCAAGCCACATGTGGCCGTGTCGTAGCACGGAGGTATAATGTTCGGAGAATCCAGGCTGCAACTTGGTCAATTGATGGGAATCGACTGACAAATGGATCCTCTAATATCTCCTTGGCATGTAATGCTAGCCACATTTCCTTGTCTCCGTCAAGCGACCCACTGAACAAGGAAGTCAATGCAGCCACTCCACTGACGATGGCCTCAAAATCAGGAGACTGCGGCTGGCCATGCCAATGATTTTCGCAACGCTCATAGAGTAGACTTTTGTCCAAAAATCTGAACACTGGATGTATTGTGGTGAAAAAGAAATCCAGTTGGCTTCTGATGGTGTTCCACGATACCCGTTGTGTCAGCTGAAGACGGACCGTAGAATCAGGCTCTTTCCTAGTTCCAAGATGATAGGCAAAAGAATGTAACCGCGGAGGCTTCGCTGCCTGTAAATCCAGACCTACACATAGTGGGAAGGCAACACAGGAGTATCTTCCGACGTATCTTGACTTGGCGGAGTCAAGTATTCCCGAGGGGGCTGAGGAGGCGTTCTGTCTGACTCCCAGGGGCTCGGATGATATGCGGGCAGCTTTCGCTGCCTGTGTGGCAGCTGGTTCACCTTCGAATTGGCGCTTTTTATTCGAGGATGCCGCTTGAGCTGCATCATAGTTGCAATCATAGCCGTACCCTACGCAGGTGTTGCACGGATGCTTTCCGTCGCATTTCCTCTTGCGTTGACGACAGTTCAGACATGCACGCGCGGACCTTTTTCGGACCAGGAGGCCTGAAGGAAAAGAATCTGACATCGCCTAGTCGAGGACTTTTGGACAAAACCAGAGCCCTGAAGTGGAGGACCCTGGCGGCCCCCTGCGATTCGGATGGGAGTCAGCCCCACATTGAACCGCAACGAGAATAGACAGGAATTCTGAAAGTTATACATATATTGAGATCTTCAAGATACTCGAAGATACTCGGAGGATAGGACTGACATATCACGTCAAATCTTATTTATAACATAGCAGAGTGAAAAATCAGAATCCATGTTCTCATGTAGATATCTTGGTATGCTCAACTTCTGTGCTTCGTAGTGTAGCACTGCAAAAGGGTGAATGGCCTCAGGCCTGAATCGCCACTCCAGGCAGCGGAGGAGAACCATCTTTACCATTCCAGATCTGTCAAGTCCAGTCTCGACCCTAGGTGATATTCTGCAAGGCAGACTTCTGCGTTGAGAGCAATTGCTACATGCGATGGCAAAAAAAGTACTCTCCGCCTTGTCTGCCTACCTGGGACCATCCGGGGGCATGACTTCACGTCCACCTGCTCCCTCCCCTGAGAGATCCATGACTTTACTGCCTCCGACGCTCGTTCAGTCCAGTCTGGGCGAGAAGTGTGCAGTCTACCTCGATCACGTCACCGACAATCTCCCTCTTCATCTGCAGTCCCTCCGCCTCCGCCTGGACCCCATTCTCACCTACCTGTCCTCCTCACCCCTCGGGCCCCTCGCGCAAAAGCTCCCTGTCGCCGCCGAAGACCAGCCACTTGCGCTCCTCGCTGCTGTTATCGTCTGCCTGTTAACTGTCGCCGTGATGAGTTGGCGCAATCCCCTCAACTTTTTGCGCCGCTCGCCGAGCTACGCTCCCGCCTCTAACCCACAAGTCAACGACGAGCATTTCAGCTACATCACCCCAGGGGACATCGTCGATCCTCCAGCGGACGACGCAGAGCCGGATATTATTGCGCTCCGCCACCGTGGCACCATCTACCCATTGCACTTCCGCGCATACGCAATTGACGACGGCGTCTTGACCGTCGGAGACCTGCGGGAGCAGGCCGCCGTGAAGACAGATGCCGAATCCCCAGATCGCGTCAGACTGCTTTACAAGGGCAAGTTGTTGAAAGACAACAAGCGAACATGCAAAGCCGAAGGGCTAAAGCAGCACTCGGAGGTGCTGTGCGTTGTGTCGGAAGTCGGCGCAAGCGACATCTCCGACGACAGCGGACACAATGTTGCGATGGGAGTACCGGCGGCACCAGCACCAGGATCGACACAGTCCCGTCCCACCAGCGCCGAAGCATCATCACCCCCCACACCTACGGGCAAGAGCAAGAAGGGACGTAAGAACAAGCGCAACAAGAAGCCGGCTGCAGAACCCACACCTCAGCCGGTTGATCTCTCCTCCAACCCCGCGCCAGTACCAAACATCAAGCAAATCCGCAATCCCTTGGACCAGGTCAACGCATTGGCCGGATGGCTTCGGCAGGAAATGATCCCGCGATGTGACCAGTACGCCGCGGACCCACCGAGCGACCCCAAGAAACGGGATTATGAATATAAGAAACTGAGCGAGACTATCCTCGCACAGGTCATGCTGAAGGCGGATGGGATCGAGCCCGACGGCGATCAGACGGCCCGCGAGGCGCGCCGTGCTCTGATCAAGGAGGCGCAAGCGGCTCTGAACAATCTCGACACCATTTCTAAGCTGTAAGATACGTTCTGTTGCATTTGGGTGCATTCCCGTGCACGGCATACATTGGGGTTTGTGGGAAATAGGTTTACCATAGGTTTACGACATAGACCATCTATTGCCCCGGCTGATATTAGCGTTTGCTTTGTTGGGACCTGTCAGCCCACGCTTCTTGCAGATCGGCGTTGTGATATATCGAATTCTGATTCCCAAAGACTATTGTCACCGATTTCTTGAAATGTTCATACAGAGTCCAGTGTCTTCAGTTACTTCCAGAGAAACCCCATTACTTGAACTAGATTGACTTAGATCAGTTCTAGCGTGATCTCAAAATGATCAACACTCAGGGGCAACGCACGGTCCAATGAAGTAGCGAGCTAGATTTTCTAGATTATCGACCGTTACGCGATTATTGAAATGAGAAGTACGGTACCTGAACACTTGAATACCATGCGTGGGAAACAAGGTACCCACGCCGTGCTCTGTACGGAGTACATAGCGTAGTACTAACAGATAGCGCCGTTGCCCGTACTTCATACTTAAGTACGATCGAGGAGACAGGTACTCCGTACCTGTAGTGAAACAAAGCCTAGGCTGTCTACTTTATTCCGGAGGACTATACCCAGTTTGGGTGCTAGCTCTCCTTTCTTCGCGTCATATTCTTTAAGCCTTTTTGCGGTTTCTCCGTCTTCCCCTCCTTTTGCAGCTCGCACACTCGACGTTGTAGTGGAACCCCCCACGAACTCTGGTTTCCCTCGTGATTCTCAACCGTGGTCAAACCCTCCGCGAACCGAGATAGTGACCCCCTTCCTGAACCTTGGGAATTGTTGACAAATTTCTATTTCCGGTCCCCCTTACTGCCCATGGCTTGATCCAACAACTCCAGCCGCAAATCTCTCCAAATCTTCTCAATCGCCGGGTTTCAGCTGGACTGGCCTCTTTTGTGTCGACTACTCTGGAATGGCGGGTGTCGCAGCAGCCTATTCTTCGGATGCTTTAGCATCGCCAACCGTGGATGGCTCGCAATGGGAATTCGCGGTCCCACTGGGCCACGAGGTAAGTCGCGGGTTGTCCGTACGGCAACACGGCAACGTGGGAAAAAAAATGTGCTAACCTTCCCCGCAGGAGAGCCGACATGCCAGGCCACGGAACTCCCAGGACTCGAACTCCGTCCGGGCAAAATCTTCTCGAAAGCGTCACTCGAACGGCTCCCGCAGCTCCTCCGTCTCCCGCGCTGTCCACGCCCACGACTCGCCCTATCTGACCTCTAATCGAGGCCGCAGGGACCCAAGCCTCAATCGACGTGGCAGCGAAGTAGGCAGTATGCGAGACGCTTATGGATACGACGGTAGCCGTAGAGAGCCCGAGGAAGGAAAGGACGGCCTGAATTTGATCCTGGATGGAACTACGAGCCAGGAACAATGGATCCACCGAGACAAGCTGGCGAAAATCGAGAGCGAGGAGCTCCACCAAGCTGCCATCCTATTCCAGCGACGCATGAGGGGGGAAAGCAAATCGAGCGGTCGAGAAAGGAGCTTGGATTCCCAAGGCGCCGCGAATGGCACCGGTCCAACCTCGCCAACAGAGTACTCTGAGCCTTGGCCGGAGTTGCGAGAAGAATCCCGCCGAGGTGTAAATGGAACCACCGACCGACAACATTGGGATCTTCGCCGACCGGAGGAAATTGCGGCGGACGACGCAGCTGCCAGTCTTTACAGCCACCCAAGCCAAGGAAAAAGCGCATCACGGATACCCATTTCTACAGCCAGCCCAGTCCCACTTGCTGGCACAGGTCGTGATTCCCGTGGTCCTCGTAGCCGGGCAGCAACAGATGAGGATGACCGATCTTCACGTGGCCGTAGAGCAAGTGAACCGATCAACATTGATCAAGACGGTTCAACTCCCCCTTCATCTAGCCGACCCGGCAGCCGTGGCTTCACCACCACCCAGAATACCCCAGCGAAGAAGAAGCCCGCCGGCTCCACGAACCGCAAGACCTCTGCTCCCCCGACCAACCGCAAGACTAGTGCCCCTCGATCTCGTGCCGTATCCGGAAATGCACGACCAACGACCCGTGGCAACGAGACTCGCCCTACCACTGCGGCCAACCGACCCGAGGGAGATCCACCTTGGCTGGCAACAATGTACAAACCCGATCCTCGCCTCCCACCGGACCAGCAGATGCTTCCCACCCTTGCCAAGAAGATGCAGCAAGAGCAGTGGGAGAAAGAAGGCCGCACCCCAAATACATACGACCGCAACTTCGCGCCTCTTGCTGTGCATCCATTTGATGCACCTCCCGTTCCCTCAAAGACATCCTCGGACCCGGTGCCTGAACCTGAACCTGAACCTCAACCTCAATCCCAACAGCCTGTCGACTGTATCCAACTGGATGACATGCGCCAACCCGCGAAGAGTCCAGAGCCACCCCGTCCAAACACCAGCACAGGTTACAGCACTATGCCCAAGGTGCAAGATACACCTCCAATGGGACTCACACCCAACCCGAACCCCAACTGGACTCCACCTGTCGTCACTGCGCGCGAACAACCCAAGAAAGAGAAGAGCTGTGGATGCTGCATTGTGATGTGATGGACAGCTCTACCTCATTTATCTTCAATATCTACCATCCTACTAACTTCCATCTGCACATCTGCTTTCCTTTCTCTGTGATTAATTTTGTTTCCAGCGTCTCCGGCGGGATGGTGTTCTGTCGGTTCTGTTCTGTGATTTTATATCCTGCGATCTAGGCCTTTGCCACATCCTTGGACTGCTTTTTAATCCGGTCTCCCTACTAGGAGCCAAAACCGGGGCATGGCTTTCCTTTCCTTCTCCATGCATCCATTCCTTGAGCTTTTCCCTTCTTCTCTCTATTCTCGTGCTTGCTCCCACAGCCCAAAACTATTTCGTTTGCAAGGGGATCATCGATATTTCCCCGCCGCATTGCTCTTCTGCTTTCTTTCCTTTTCCCATCTTGGCTTCACATCTAAAACATCTCGGAGCCTTTACCCTATTCCCATTCTTGCTAGCGCTTTTTCTTCTTTTTATTTGTCATTGGAGAGCTGTCTGTGCTGATATGCTCACGTCTTCTCGATGGTTGCTACGGAGAGATAAATATCAGGTAGTGAATACATCAATAACTACGCCCAGTTCCTTAGTCTTGAAGATATACAGCAAGCCAATTGCTGTGTCTGCGTAGAGATTAGATATCACGCCCGCAGTATTATGATTACCCATCAATGAGAGACTAAACAGTGAAAGGGTGATTCTAGATCAAAACACTTCTAAATTTTGGGCTCCAGCCCAGGTCCAGCCCAGGGAGATGCCCCCCGGGCGCGCGGGCGACACTCCGGGCTTACAAATATCACATGATATCATCGCTCCGAGGCCATGTCGCAATCCCCAATAATCCAACTTTCCTCTTGATTCTCTACCCCGCCTCATCCTATTTAAGACATCTTGTTGTCTCTTCAACCGCCCACCATTTCTTACTTCAAGCGTCTCTTTGGCTCTTTTGCCACCCCTTCACCCGCCGCCATGTCCGCCGCCACAACCCGCGCCCAGAGCTTGATCAACGACAATGCAGTCATCGTCTTCTCCAAGTCTTACTGCCCTTACTGTATCTCCTCCAAGAAGCTGCTCAAGGATCTGAACGCCAAGTACACCGCTATCGAGCTCGACCACGAAGGTAAGCATTGCGCTGCGATACTGTTTTTGCCCAAATCGTTATACGCGATACTAACAAAGTCGCGATAGATGATGGAAAGGCCATCCAGAACGCCCTGGCTGAGATCTCCGGCCAGAGCACCGTGCCCAACATCTTCATCAACAAGAAGCACATCGGTGGCAACTCCGATCTGCAGGCCAAGTCTGACCTCAAGGAGCTCCTCGAGGCCGCCGGTGCCCTCTAAACGTGTTCTACATAATGCAAGGTTTTATTGAAGTGGATTAAAGATACCCACTTTAGAATGGGGTAGTCTGCACAGTTATACCTACCATCCAACACATCATGATATCGTCTTCACCGTAGATTAAAATTGGAAAGTTTCCGTGGCGCGAGAGCGCGAAAGAGCTCTCTGCCATATCGCATTGAGTGGAGTATCTTTCAAAGCTCTCTAAGTCGAGCTAGATCCCAAGAAAAAAAAAAAGTTCCAAATGTTATACAAACAAGAGATTTAGATGACCTTTTGCACAACGGTCCCAAGCGGCCGCTCAACAATCGACATCAACCCATCAACAACACTTGTCCTGGCACCCTCGCTGGAAACAGTCTTTCCAGCCAGGTAGTTCAACCAAACAAGACGACTCACTCTCTCATCCTCAACACGTCCCATCCAAGTGACTGGCTTATCAGCCCCAGGCTGGAACAGTGTATCCAACGCACCCCGCTGGTCGCGCATGAGAACCAGCGTCTGACCCTTCGGCACAGACTTGCCCTTCCCAGAACCAAAGACAGCCTTGAAATCATTCATTGAAGTTCCGAATGCCTCATCTGCAAACTCGCCAGCCTTCGCCTTCGCCTTTGCTGTGATTCCGCGCACCCACCCATCGCGCAAATGCATGAAGTCTGTGTTGCGTGTCGGGACGATTCGGAAGGCCGTGCGAATCCCATCATCCTTCAGAATGGCGGACCAGGCGGCGTCGCCGCGCTCAGCGTCCAGAAGCAGTTCCTTGAGCTGCTTGCGCTCCGGTGGGACAAGAGATGTCGCGGACTCGGCGCCGGCGCCGGTGATCGGTGCTTCGGAATCGGTGGGTGGGTGGATAGCGGTGCGGATTAGACGAGTCTGGAGCTCGGTGATATCGCTTTTGGCGACGTAGAGGCCGACAACGTAGACTTGGATGGAGAGGAAAGAGACGGTGCGAATACCCAGGCCGAGGAGTTGGTATTCGTCTCCGTCGGATGGGGCGAGCTCGTCGCCGGCTTGTTTGCCTTCTGTTTGGGAGGATGAGGGGAGGCGGATGGTGCTGGGGAAGTGCGGGATTGTGCTTGTTCCTGTTGGGACTTGCTCAAGACCGTCTTGGCCTTGAATAGTGATTACTGAAGGGCCGCCGTTTGTGAAGCCTGTTGGTCCGTCCATTTGTAGGGCATTGCTGGAGTTCTTGGTGGCTTGTTTCTTGTTCTCGATTTCTTCGAGTCCGAAGAGATCGAGCTTGATTGTACCATAAAGACCTGCTGCGCAAGTAACAATTCCTGCTGCGGATAGGATCATCTTGCGCTGTGCGTTAGAGGCCTGCTGCATGTCTTCTGCCGGCGATGCGCGGCGGAGCGGGTTCTTGGCAGCATTGGAGCGAAAGGGGGTGGTGGAGAGGTGTCGGGTGTTGACATTCGTGCGCAGCTGTTGCCGGCCGAGGGATTGGCAGGTTCGCCATGGGTTTTGACGTAGAGATGCCATTTTGGACTTGGTTGATGAGATATGGAGAAAGCAGGATTGGCGGTCCGGGACGGGAGTGTGGGGATACACGTGATCTGGCATGATCTACGAACATCGAGGGAAGTATTCTCCGCCCTCCATCCTCCTTGAATACATCAGTGTTGACCTGCCTGGTGGAATCTTCTTCGCTACTGAAAGTCCACCATCCGACTATATAGTTCTTCTTCCACTCAAATTACTGCCACAGGTTGGGTACTGTACAGGCCTTCCTTTTTCTGAGCTTTCACTGGCTTTAGCGGCCACAGCTAAAATGCATCGTGTGATGTATCCGAGGTCCTCGATCAGATCAAGAACTACATTCCTTGGTCTTTTTTGAATCCCACTGATGAGTTTGATACGTCTTTCTCGTGTCGTTTAAAATTTACGGCCATAATAGAACGCAAAATTGGTGGCCCATCCACCTCTTGGCATGAGCTTGTCTGAACTTCAGCGCTTGGGTTCTGACGACACCATTAAAGATTCCGCGCAAAGACGGTGCTTGGCGATAAAACCTGGGTATTTTGATTTTTTCTCTCTTATATTTGATGCCTCAGCCCAGCAAGAAAAGACAAGATGACCTCAAATAAAAACACTGAAACTGACCGCCAAAGAAAATACTACCAAATACAATGACAGTCCTGGATTGGTGGCAGTCGCACTGCTAGCCCTCTCAAAGGTGATGAGGGACTCATTTTGGCTCGCAGCGCCAGTCAAGATCACCTGCGTGGAATTTGCGAAGTCCAAATATCCCGTAAACGAAATATCGAATGTCACATTGGCATAGCTACTGTTGTAGCTATATTGCCGTGGAAATGCTGCGACGGCGACGCCAGAAAGATTGAGTTCCAGAGTGTCATTGGTCAAAGACCCATTCACGCGAGTACCAGCCCATCTCATCAAAGCCTGACCAAGACCTTCGCTGGACTCGTGGCATGTACCAGTCGGAAGATAAAGCATTTGATCTGAAAGACCAGGATCATCGAACCTTTCGTTATCATAGTCCCGCTTACTGTTTTCCCAGTTTTTCAAATCATATACTCCGTCGAACTGGATCTTGTTGGGGTTCTCAGGTGTCTGAGTTATGTTCAGTTCCACGGCATCCATGGCTTCAAGGGGAGTGTCATCATCATCATCTTCCTCCTTATCATCAGGATTGAACTTGTCCACAGTCGTGGCGAAATGCATCAGATCAACATCGTCGCACACACTGTAAGAATAGTCAATATCCGACAGACGAATATTGCTTTCCCAGGCCTTGAATCCGATTGCAATAGGATTCTTAGGTCCCGCAGGCCTAGGGGGCTTGCCAGCAACCCACGCGACTCCCAACATGCGGGAGGTCTGTTGGCCAACGGGACAGTCTGGGTCATAAAGGGTATAAGAATCGTCCTCTTCTCTAATGACTGGCAACACATCGATGGTGTATTTGAAGCTCGCAAAGCCTTTGAAGAAGATACCATCGAATTCACTGTAAGCACTAGCATGGCCAGCTCGTGGATTACGATTGTACTGGTCATAGTGGGAAGGCTGAAGGTCATCGAAGTTGAGACGGTGGGAATCCGTGCAGCTGAGGTCCAATCCATCACTTGAAGTGGAAGTTGTATCACTACCACCGGAGTCGCTATCATCTCCACTGCTTCCACCGCTGCTTCCACCGCTGCTGCTGCCACTATCGCTGTCACTACCACCACTGGAGCCACCGTGACCTCCCCCTCGGGAGAGGACGCCGGATGGAGCGGCGAGCAAGGCAAGAACAGCGAGAAGAGGGTGACGAAGAAGCATTTTTGTTCGTGTGAATCATTCTTTAATGCGCTCAGAGAAGTAAGAAGGTCGGAAAAATAGATCAACAATGGCACAGCGCACAACTTTTGAAATCAAATTGATCTTCTGTTACGTGCCCTAATCCAGACATAACACGGGATCTATCCTTCATAGACCCTGAAAGCCAAGGCGCCAAGAGATTAAAATGAGACCAACCCTCGTATTCAACCTAACTCGGGTGGCTATTGGATAGGAAATACACCAGGCCCATTCTTTTAGGCTTCGAGCGTCACAGTGCGGTTCGTGATATGTTATCCGAATAAGAGATCTAATTTGGTCCTGGAGTTGATCCCGAGGTCTGTTATTTTGACTCTACCTCTCCGCGTATCAATCTGGAATGGTTTATGATTTCCTACTTATGTCGATCACAACTACCAGGTGTAGTAATAAGCAAATGCCAAGTATTATTGTAGCCCGGCTGTGTAGAGAGCTTTGGTCTTCTGTCTCTCTTCTTGCTTTCTTTTCAACTCTACTCGAATAACAATATTTTTGATACCTCAATCACAAGTTCTTCCAATGTTGAGCTGTGAGCTGTGTACCGGATCCTGGACCTCTGAAATTGAGGCTGATATCGAATTCAGTCCGGAAACAAGAAGTATGTATTGAGTTGGGCCAACTGAAAGACGCCCTTAGTATGAAGACAAAGGGCTCTTCTATGAAGGCCCTCTATTAATTTGATCTAAGTCAGTTCTAATTGAAAAACTTAATATTGAATGTCAAGTATTCGACCAAGAATAAAATGAAGTAACCGGGAGAAAATCAGACGCAAATGAGGCTCATAAATGGGCCTGCCGAGAACAGGCGGGTTTTGCCGCACCTGGCATGAGTGGAAGGCTACAATTCTGGCGGACCCCTCTCCAACAGGCCACTTGGCCGTTGAAAAGCGGGGGGCGCCCATGTCAAATAGACTGCCTATTATGATCAGTCATATAAATTCAGCGACTTTGATAACCTTCTAAATTTCCAACACAAGAACCAGCCGACTCTTCGCTGACTCGCAAATCAGTCAATAATATCGAAATAACTTGCCAACAGTTTCTGCAAGTCTATTTCGAGAAATGACATCTGAGTAAGTGTTGCTATCTGAAGCTCCAATATAACCAGCAAGATCCATACGAGATGGGCCTGATCCCAGAAGATCAAAACCTAAAAGTTACATACTGACTGAATCTTCAAAGTACAATCCAAGATGGATCTCATAACATCGCCATCGTACGGGGAACAGTGGACTCCGTTCCCGCCGTCCTCGAAATCCTGGATTCCACAGTCAAATGGCTGGCATCGCGTGGCAGAAGTGGGCAGTGGGGAGAAACGCCATTTTCCAAGAATCCAGCACGTGCCGATCAACTGAGAGAATTTGCAACAACAGGATCGGGTCTTTGGCTTGCTGTCAGCTTTACCGATGACAAACCTTTAGCGGATCAAGATGGATTGTCCAACAAGAACCCCGAGACTATTAACGGAGAGGCTTCGGGGGTCATTGTAGGAGCTATTGCTCTTGGAGACAAGATGCCTTACGTGACGCCTGTTTCTGAACCCGAGCTTTACGTGCGTTTGTTGGTCACAGATCGAAAATGGGCCGGCAAGAAGATTGGTGAACGTCTTTTGCAACATGCGCGTGTCCTTGCCAACGAAGCCGGAGTTTCTTTGCTTCGGGTGGACTGCTATGCAGGCAATGATAGCAAACTGGTCCAGTATTATGAATCTCAGGGATTTGAGAGATCTGAACGTCTGAACTTGAAAGACAATTGGCCCTGTCAAGTTCTCTCTCAACGGTTAGACGGCGTGGAAGGAGGGAGACATTAATTGGACGAGTCCCTGCTGGGTTGAATCAGAGATAATTTCCACTGGTGGCATGTAAACTTCAACTCGGCGAACGGGACCAAAATACTTGATTGCCCTCGAGGTTTGCAAGGTCTTGTGTTGCTTTGAGACCACCCCTGGAGGCCAACCATGAAAAGGACATTAGATTCAGAGAGTGATAAGATGTACCGAAAGAGAGTGAATTCGGTGCCGGTCAGATGATCAAAGTTACCTGGGCGACATTGATGTTAATGTTGGGATTGGGCAACTTAGGAAGATAACCCGGGAAAGACAAGATGAGCATTAGATCCATGGATATATGGGATACAAATAATTTTGCCTAGACCCCCGCACTGGGCTCTGGGCCCTGCCCTCCAAGCCCAACCCAACCAACAACCCATTGACAGGGGCCTCGTGGGCCCCTGCTGAAGTCCATCTCCTTGCATAAATGCAGTTTTTGCGTCCCTAATCCTGTCAAACGAACCTGATTCTGACGCGTCTGTATTATTTGTGTTCCACCGGGCCCTCAATAAAGCCCACCGACCACCGGTGGGTAGGAGGACCCTCTTCTGTGAGTTGGGTTGGGTTGGGCTGTTGCCTTTGTCCAAAATCCATGCCCTCATAATAAACGAGCGTCGTCCACGACATGTTCAAATTGGTTGAAAGTAAACGCAGGGCTCGGCTGTTCCAATTGCAAATATCTTTCCCCTCTACAATACCAGTACTTCTCTTCCAGTGAATGTAGCTAAGGCGCAACGTTCTCGTCAAAGGTGGCCAGGACCTCTATCGAGCGATACTCTAGTATCACAACTAGTACCACCCAGTCTCGTTTCGGAATGGAATGAATTTAAGGAAACTCGCCGACCACCGCCTTGGCCCATGATGGAGGCTGAGCTAAATCTGCCGACAATATATTAGGGCAAAATATCAGCGAGTCATGTGCGGAGTACGGTGAACCCGGTCTAGGCATTGCGCCTGGGTGCTGAACAGCGCTAACTTTGAAAGCTATTTTGCCTGGATGCGGGCGTTTAAAAAGGGCAAGATGTCTATTTTAATCGACCAACTGTCGGCGACGACTTTGCTCAAAGCAGCGGAGCAGCTCAACTTGAGCCTCACCACAGAGTCTAGGACCCCTGTTTCGCTTGACCGATGCTACTGTTTCAAGGGATCTTGATTCTTGGACTCAGCTACTGGTTAATATTGGGCTTAAATGCCGCCACTGGCCCCATGAGTACCTCCCCCCCCCCCCCCCCCCCCCCCCCCCCCCCCCCCCCCCCCCCCCCCCCCCCCCCCCTCCCCCCCCCCCCCCCCCCCCCCCCCCCCCCCCCCCCCCCCCCCCCCCCCC